ACTTTTTTTCACACTGACCTCAGTTGATCTTTCTATTGTTAAACCTTTATTCAATAATTTCAAAATTCTTGCTCTTTTCTTCCTTTTCCCCCTCAAAAAAACCGCTGAATCTTTATTTGTTTTACACTTTGTTCTTCCTTTTTTCACTCCTCTGGAAGCAAATGAAAAGAAAATCCGAACATAGGAGAGCCAAAAAATGTTGTGTTGCAACAAAATTCGAGTTGCTTTTTTTGTGAGGGGGTGAGAACAAAAAGTAGGTCAACGCAATGAATTTTTGAATGGCTACAGAGTAGTTCTCAGAATCTATTTCATATGTTTTGCTTCGCTTGAAAAGTCAATTTTTCAGTTTTTTTTTTGAAATACGTAGAAATGTTGAACATGTTTTTGAATATTTATCAATTTTTTGTTGATGTGCTTTGGTGTTACGTATGAAAATTTGGCATTTTCAAATGTTGAACATTTTTTCCGCTTAATTGAAAAATTTATTTTTTGTCTCCATCGGAAGTTTGAAAAATAAAAATTGAAAAAAATTTCATAAATTTGGATTTAGGAAGCATAGAAAATCTTGTTGAAATTTTCAATTTCCAAAAAATTAGATTTAAAAAATAAAGTTCAAATAGTTCAAGCACATTTTTAAATCAAGAAATTATGTGTTTTGGTGTCCCCACCGGAAGTTCCAAAAAAAAAGTTTTTCATATATTTTGCATCACAGTCAGTAAACGCAGAAATGATAGATTCAGAGAAAATGTTTTTGATCTACCCTAAAAATCTATATTTTATTATGTGCTTTGGTGTCTCCACCGGAAGTTCCAAAAAATGTTTCATAAATTTTACATCAGTGTAGTTTTCATATTTATTCAGCTGTTTGTGTTGAAACTCCTCTGATGAATTTTTGATTTGATTTTGGTAGAACTTCTGATTCTTCTAACTTTTTTTAACGGACACAATCTTTGAAATTAGACTAAAATTGAATTAATGTTCATAAATTTTACATCAATGTATATTATAGTTTTCATATTTATTCAGCGATTGTTGAACCACTCATGAATTTTAATTTTTTTCAAATATTTATCTTCCGTGAGAAAAAATCGCAATCTTTCACCTGCCTTTTCCACTTTCAATGCACTTTTCAAAGACAATTAAAAGGCTTCCTGTAGACACCTGAAAATAATAACAATCAAAGAAAAGTGCATACAGGTTCACAATAAGATAATTAAAAAAATATATAAAATTGTTTTCTGAATGTGAGAATCGGAATCAGAATCTGCATTAGAATTAGAAGAATCTTCAGAAGAAGATGAAAAAAACGATATTTTTGATTGATGTTTTTTCTAGGCTATATAAATATGAACAGGAAACAAAAATGAATGAACTCCATTCTTTTTTTTTCTCTTCTCCACTAGAAATTTCCAATCTCATCAGCTCAAGAAAATTCCAGCAGAATAAATAGTATTTTTTTTCTTCCAGCTTACTCATTTTCCATTGAAAATATTTGGAAAAAATAAATATAAACACGGCGGAATATCATGAATACAAAGTGTTTATTCATTTTATTTCATTTCTTTCAAAAATCATTTTCCAAGAAAGAACATTCTAATTTTCTCACGGGAATATTTTTGGAATGTCAAAAAATAACAACAAATCTCTGTCTTCGTCTGAATGAAATATTCTTCTGGTCCTATCAATTTCGTTGTTTTTCACATTTTTTTCGAAGGATTTTTTGTGTCTTTCGCAAAAAAAATATATGACGATCTTTTGATGTTTTTGAATTATTTATACCTAGCAAAGTATGTTCCCCGACAAGAAAAAGTTTTCTAGTTAGTTTTATTACTTTGGCAGTTCGTAGACTACCGTAATTCAGACCAATTTCATTTTATTTGTAAAAAAAAACTCAATCTGGACCACCAAATCCAATTCAATTCCTCGAAATAGAAAAAAAAACAATGGTGATGAACAAAAACCATTCCATTCCTCGTCGTAAACCTGAAACCAAACCAAAAAAAAAGCTTTCGCCATTCTTAATTTTCGTCGAAATCCAAATTGGTTATCTTGAATTTCATTACCACTCTAGTGCGTCAACAATCCGAAATCCCAAGGAGTACAATTTCAATTTTCTTTGTCCTCTTTTTATCTATATTTTTTTTCTGTTCGGAGCTAGCAGGCTATTGGGGTTCAGAATTTGAATCAAAGCTGTAGCTTCTGGAATTTGAGATTTGAGCTTCTTCGTTTTACATTAATTTGTGTGAGCCAGGATTAATTCATTACATTAGAGCAAACTTTAAAAAATGCGCTGTGTCAATAAAGAAGATCAGAGAACCCGACAAAGCCTACTGTAGTAATATCTGTGTTGCACTGTACATACCCATAGTATTTTTCTGTTCTTCCATGTAACATATTTTTTCTCTTTGTTTTTATGAGCTCTTCGCCTTTTATTGTTTTTATCCGTTAGCCAAAAAGTTATTTTGTTTTGATGAAATATTCGATTGACCTTCTTCCTTCCTTCCTCTTTTCCATTATTTCGAATTTTTCTCCAAAGGGCAACGTTTATTTATGTTGGGTGGTCCTTTTTTTAATAAAATATTGGAAAACATCGTTTGTTTACTGGATCACTTTTTTCTAACCGAACCGAAACAAAAATAGTTTTTTTAGTTCTGTTTTTTTGGGTTAAAGGGAGGAGAGGGGGGGGGGGTTGTGAACTTTAGTTAGAACATGTCATTGTTTTTGTGATCTTTGAAGTTTGGTGGATATTAAATTCTGCCAATCTCAAGGTGCCGGGTTCAATTCCCCGTTGATTTCTTTTATTTTAAAGTGGGTAATGAACGTTCCAAAAAAAACTTTCTTGAAAATCTAGATCTTTGAAATCTGTCCTCCATCATCAACCTTTTTACGTAATTTTTTGAGTTTAAATTTTTTTTCATTTCTTGAAGTCATCACTCATTACTTCTATGATCTTCGTTAATGTGATCTTCGAGATCAAAGTTTGATTCAAAATGTAAAAAACATAGTTCAGTGGCTAAATCCCCTGGCTCCAAATTGACCAGAACTAGACTCTAGCAAAACCACCCAGGCCTTACCATTCCTCGAATTTTTAAAATCAAATTATTCTCTACTTTTCCGTGGTCTTTCAAAAACCTTCATTTTTCACAAAAAGTCATCATTGCTTAATTTTAGATTTTGTTTTCGTGATCTTTGAAGCTTGGGCTCTTTTTCGGGATTGTTTTCTCTTTAGAGTCCGCTTTGCATCAGAACTCATAGCCAATTCATCATACAAAAAAATAAACATGACTACCTTTCAATTTTTTTTCTGATGTGAACATCAAGATGGATTAGAGAAACTTAACTGTCAAACTGTGCATAGTCACTCATTCTTTCTTTGAAACCAAAAAAAATTATATATAATTTGGATCTTCCTTTAATTTATGCTTTCGGAAAAGAAAATCACATCGTAAATCAACCGAAAAATTAGACACTTTGTATTTCTCGCGGAGGATACGGTAGATTTATATTATTTTTTTTGTTTTTTCACTTTTCTTTTCGGGAAGACAAAATTTGTATTTCCTAAAATAAAAGTCCACATAGCTTCAAAGAAGAATAATTTATTTATCAAACAGAAAAAGGTAGCTGAAAAAAGTTGGGAGAAAAACAAAAAAAGAACAAGTGTGCACAAAATACCCTATTCTTTTTTTTTTTGGAGAAAAATAACTATAAATTATTTTTTGGTGTTTTCAATATTTCTTTAACCTACTAGTGTGAAACCGCTTGAAAACAACGTTATATATCAAAAAAAAAAAACTCGAAAAATATTATGTTTTTTTCTATGCTTGTGGTATGTATTAACTTAATCGTTGAACATGATGTAATAAAATAAAAAAGGGTACCATATTTGTTTTACATACATTCATACATATCATATGGAATCTTCTCATAATTTGATTATTTCAAATGTGTCATCTTCTCCTTTCTTTCTTCCATGTGCTTTTTTTCAGACAACAAAATAATTCGAAAAAATGCTATGTATGCTCGTAGAAAATATAGGAAAACGCTTGACCGAACATGTCAAACTTATTTATTTTTTTTGTCACGTTTGGTATTGGTTGAAGTTTTCTCAATTTTTTTCGTAAATTTTCTCGATTATCCGGATGAAAGATTATTCGGTTTAAATTCCCCTTTTCCACTTATAAACATCGAAATAAAAATCATTTTATACTTATCAAACTGAGGATCTTTGGAAAAAAATTGTGTTTTTTTCTAAATCGGTGTTTTTATGGGGAAAATAGGCCAAAACTTAGGGTTTGAGTTCCGACTGAGAATTCGGCTCTGTAAGTTAGTCCGATCGAATCAAAAATCCCCTAAAAATTATTATATTTTTGATTTCCTATGAAGCTATTTTTCAGTATAATCCATTTCTCGATCTTTCCTAGAAAATATCCTAATATCAATCTAATTCTAATTCCACTTCGATCTTTTCTAGAACTCTAGAAGCTCAGTTCATCCTCTTTAAAAATTTAATTTCCAATACTTCGTCAATGAAAGGAAAGACAATTTTTGTTTCGATAATTTGATATTTTTTTTGTTCATCCTTCACAATATTTCCCAGAAATTATCAGTTCATTCTATTTAAAAAAAAATCACATTCAAAAATATTTCTTGCTCCACCTCTTTTCCATTTTTTTCATCTCCTTTTTCTTCTTCATTTTCCCTCCCTTCTTGTCTCGAAAAAGTGGGTGGTGCACATTTAGAACACGCCCATCCCTTTTCCTTTTTCCACACTGAAAAAAAAACCATAGGATGAATTGTTAATTTTTTATTTATTCATTTCATTTCAGTTTCCAAAACTTGAAAAATACTTGTTTAAAAATAAGTTTTCTGTAATTGCTTTGGTTCAAAAGTGCCAAGTTAGAAAGGAAAAGTTCTTCTGTTCGTTTAAATGTTTGATGTTTTTTTTCTTCTATTTCTTTTTTTCATTCATTTTCGAGAAAAAAAAGCCAAATTGTTTCAGAATGGACAATGAATCAAATTGTACTGATATTCGAAGTTATTTATGGAAGTCAAAAAATGATTTGACACTTCATCCCATCGCAATCTGTATATTTTTGATCTTATACACATTCATAATCACGTAAGTTTTTTGTTTCTTTTTCCAAAAGTATGTATCTTAAAAAAGCCTATTATTTTTCTCTAAAGACCAATTTAATTATACCAAACCCTAACCCATTTATGTATCAAACATGGTGGTCTTTGCAAAAAATAATTCATCCTATTGAAACACATTTGGTCAATGATCTTTCGAGATATCTCATCAGTTCGGCTTGTTGAAAAATGCAATATGTAAGCCATGGGTTTAAAAGTGCTTCATTTTTTTTGCTGAGGATCATAATGACTTTGGGTGAAAAATGAGAAAAATGAAATGACATGAAAAACAAAGGGATTTGAGAATTATTTTGAAAAGTCTCATTTCTAAAACCATTTTTTTTGTTTCAGACTTGGTGTAGTTGGAAATTCGCTCGTTGTGATCTCTGTATTCAAACATAAATCACTTCAATCAGTTCGGAATATGTTTATCGTATCATTGTCCCTGTCAGATATTCTTGCTTCAATTTTCAGTGGTTCAGTCACACCAATCACTGCCTTTTCCAAAATTTGGCTTTTCGGAACAAATTTGTGCTATTTTGTGCCACTTGTTCAGGTACATTTTTAAATGAAGTCACATTTGAATTAAAAAATTTTCAGGGATTCTCGCTATGCTTCTCAACTCTTACTATGACTGCGATTTCTATCGATCGATTTATTTTGATTGTTTTTCCCACGAAAAAGTGAGTTGAATTAGTGAAAATATGTGAAATCAATAACGAAAATTATTTCAGGCCGATCCAGAAGAATCACGCTCTCCGCATGATATTTTTCAGTGTCTCTGTAGCGTTGGCAATCTCAATACCTCTGTCAATGAAGCAAAAACTAGTGGGATATGGAAGTTTCTGCGGGCAATTTTGCACAGAGGATTGGGGAAACTCAGACTTGCGTTCGGCATATGGTAGGTTTTAGATGTTTGATGTTTCACTCATATTTGTTTGACCTCCCTTCCTTCCTTCCTACTTACAAATGTATCAAAATTAATTATTCAATTGGGGAATTGTGCAAGGTTCAATGAGCTCTTTTTCAGGAACTGTTGTGATGATTATTCAATTCGTCATTCCTTTGATAATTATTGCTTTTTGTTACATCGCAATCAGCCTAAAATTACGTCAGGTAAGAAAAGGAATTCAGAAAATGTGATCATAAAATAATTACAGGGTATTCTTGTGCGTGGCAGTCAAAAAGAGCTGATGTCCGACCAACGAAAAGCAGCATTACAACGAAGAATTCGAACAAATCGAATGCTCATAGCTATGGTATGTTTGGGGTAAAAAAAGAAAACAAGAAAACACAAATGAAATAAGGTTGTTGTTTTTCAACTTACTTTTTTTCGAAGAAGACGACAACTGGGAAGAAAAAAAGAAATATGGTCTGAAATAGATCAATTAGAGATTGTTTTTGGTTCGACGTAAACAAGTATCTTTTTGGTTATTGAGCTTTTGAATTAAGTTTTTGCAGCAATTAGCAAAACCGGATATGTACATGTGACATTTATTAATTTATAAAAGACATTTTTTCTAGGTTGGTGTTTTCTTCTGTTGCTGGCTACCTTCAGTGGTCTTTAATTTTCTTCGAGATTATTCTTGGCTTCCGAATTTTGTTCTAGCTCAAGAATATCTTTTTGGACTTATAACTCACCTAATATCCATGAGGTATGGAAACTTATTTTTTGATCAAGATTATTTGATTTTTGTAGCTCTACAATCTGGAACCCGTGCTTGTACACACTTTGCAATGAGCAATTCCGAGCAGCATTTACAATGATTATTCAATCTGTTAAGAATCTTGGACGGAAAGAAAAGGTACATTATTTTTGTTTTTGTTTTCGTCCATCTTACCCCAGTCTTGTTCCAGTTTCAAAACAATCAAAGCTGTTCGCAATTGCTAAGCTCTGGTTTCAAAGATCAAAGTACAAGAAGATCATTTGTTGCAGTACCCAGCTCTATCTAAATGCTCTGGTTTCTTCTTGTCTATGTGTAAAAAAGAATAATATCGTCATGTGTATTTGTGATTTTTGATTGGTTGTGCAAAAAATGTTTGAATTTAATATTATACTAATTTATTGTTTTTTAACTACAAACAATTTGTCTTGTCTTTTTTTCGAATAAAGTTCATGCATTTTCAAATTGTGTGTTTTTGCGGAGCAAAAATTTATGGGTTTTTTTTTGAATTTTATAATCGGATCAAAGAAATTTTTGAATTAGATATTTATATTAGACATTTTTGTGAATGGGATTCAAAAAGGTAAAAAATCGTGGAGGGGCGATTAAAATTCAGAGGGCTCGGAGGATCATTTCTGGACTATTTTTGCATCCCGGGCCAGGAGTTGTTAATTGTTGTTAATTGGTAACAAGAATCGAACTTCTACTGCCACTGAACTACCTTCCGAGATCATGCGCGCACCAGGAACTGAACCTATGATCTTTGTAAGATTGCCAGCGGCCACCCCTGCCACACCCCCCCCAAATATTTTATAATCGAATTTAACTAATTTTTGAATTGTCTAATATTAGTGCATTGAAGTTCAACTGTTCTAATTTGTATTCTCCAAAACTTTACTTATTCTCTTCCCGGAAATATAAAGAGTTCAATGTATTCTGAAAAAAATATGGATAGAGAAGAAAAAAGAAAAGAAAAACAACTCATTTTAATTCAATTGTGCTTCGTTAGGTGCAAACTACATAATTCAATATACCCCCCCCCCCTTTTTTTGCTGTGCTTTTTTTTTCTCATTTCCGTCGTCTACCGTGTCCTATTTTGCATCCATCCAGATTTGTGTCTTTGTTATGCTATGTATGTGCTATGTGTTTTTGTTTGAAAACATACAAATACAAGAGGATGAGGATGAGTAAAGGTCGTTCGAGGATAATTACAAGGCGCAACTCATTCACTCGAACTCTCACTTAAAAGGGTGTAAAAAATGAAAAGGAGGAAGAAGAGAAGATAACAGACGAATTTGACACCTTTTTGGCTTTCCTTTTCTTACGAAGAACAAGAAGTTGAATAATTTGATGATTTTTAGAGAATCATCGACCAATTTTTCAGAAGATTTTAATTGGAGAAGTAATCCTAATTCGAAGAGCATTTTTTGAATTAGGATAACTTCATAGAACAACCTTTGAAAATGTTTTTGAAAAGCTTGAGAGAAAAGATTGCTATGGAGCGTAGCAGAAACCACGTGAAAAATATGTGGGTAAAATTTTAAGGGGCCGTGTTTTCCGAGATTTTTTTTATGGGCCCACCGATTAAAAATCTTTCAAGCTTTAAAATTATACTTTGAGAAATGATATTTTATTCAAGGCTGGTTTTATTATCCACTTCACCCCTCCTGAAAATCATAACAAAATCTCAGCTCAATGGCTCAGTGGTAGCGTTGGCAGTTAGTGATCTAAAGGTAACGAGTTCGATTCCCGGTGCTGCCAGCTGTCACAAAATGTGCAGCTACCTAATGGCTCTTGCAGACTTGGCACAATTATTTTGATCTACCTTGAACATTTCAGAGAGTTTGAAGTGAATCAGTCCTCTGCGAAATACGGAGGGCTCAAACCATTTATTGCAAATATTCGAAACCCGCCAAATGTCGGCGAGATCCTCAACCTAGTTGTTTGTACTCAAATGGGTGTAAAAAATGAAGAAGGCAAATTTGACACCTTTTTCTCCTTTCCTGCCTTCCCGCGTTTTTGCTTACAAAGAACAACAAGAAAACAGAAGTAGTAAAAATTGAAATATGATGATTTCCAAAGGCTCATCGACCAAATGTTTTCAACACATTTGTAATTAAGAGGTCTTCATTTCTCCCTCAATTCTCACTTTTTTCTCAATTTTTCCATTGAAAATAGAAATGTGATATGTTTCGACATTTTTCGTTGAATAAGAAATGGATTTTTGACTTTTTTTTTTTTCATCCAGCACTTTTGCACACAGAAAAACGAATGGAATTGTCTGGAATAACAAATTTCCCCTGGTAAACACACATACAAAACGAAGAAAAATGAGCTAATTCAAAAGTACGCGAATTTCGTTCGTTCAAAGGTTATTTTGGGATTCCTGTGTTTTTTATATGGAAAATGTGGAGACGAAAGGAAAAAGGGAATTTGAGAAAAAACAACAATTTCAATTCAATTTATGTTTTCATCTTTAATTTCATTATAAATTAATGAATGTCCTTTGGAAAAATTTATGCATAATCTATCTCCGGAAATATAATATTATATTATATAAATTTAATAACTCAAACTTTAGTTTGGAGAAAAATGACCTATGGATATTCCTGGAAAACCAAATATTTGGAATTTTTTATGGAAGGTTGCGTATTTTTAGAAACACGTTTCAGGCTTGACTAATATCCGAGCTCCAAGACTCACGAGTTCTGACGTTGAAGTTCTACAGACCTACACTAGTTGAACATTTTTCACAAATCCTGAAAAGTCAAAGAGCATTAACGTAATATTTTCTTGTTTTTTTTCGCACTTGTGAGTATATAAAAAGACCAATTCTCACGGCATTAACAATCATTTCCGCCTTCGCTATTCACGTACATATGTCTATTTTTGATTTAAAAAGTCAAATTCAACGAGCATTGATGACAGCTGAATCTAAACAAAAAGTTGTGTTTTGTTAAGACAAAGAAAGAAAAAAGGCAATTAATTATGTAGTTCTCCAAAAAAGGGGGATCCAAAAAAAGAAGATAAATTATTGTATACATAAATCAACAAACGACCATTTTCACATGGTAACAGGTAGACAGATTACTCTTCAATCCAATTATCGGAAAAAAATGCCGGCATTTTTCTTTTTAACATTCAATCTGACTTGGGATGAAATAATTGGCACATCGTCTAATCCCATTTTATGTATTTCCGTCAATCAAATTGGTTACTGTAGCTGGTTTTTTTTTCAAAATCTAAAAGAAGCAAATAATTTTTGTTTTGTTGATACTCTGGACTCTTTGAAGTTTGTGGTCTTGAAAATGTAATTAACAAATCCAAAAATATGTATATTTGTACACAAGGAAGCTGGAAGTGACAATTCGAAAAAAAACATGACGAACAAATTTGGAAATTCATAAAACTTGACCACTCTAGTATGAGCTATGAATTTTTAAAATGATTTTCGAAGAAAAATTGTTGAAGTTCATGACGTTCTCATTAACATTAGGGAAATTTGTGTTGAGTTTGATGCCAGCTGCAAACTTTGTGTTTTGTTGATGATAATTATAATTAAGTGTTGACTTTTTAGTCCAGAATAGAAGATGTGGTTATAAATAAATAAATAAATAACATTAGGAGAAATGAAGTCATTTGAAGAAAAATTGAATTTTGGGGGAAAATAATAAGGGGTGATACAGAAAAAAAAATTGTGAGTGGAATTTTGGGGACCAAAAAACTATTCATAATGTTTTCTGGGAAAAGGATCTGACAGATTTTCAGACAAAACGTAAATTGTATTTTAATTTTTTCAAAACTGGTTCAGGATTCTTAAAATATTTTTGATTCGGAAAAACAAAAAATTCAGAACTGAAAAAAATGAATCTCTCAAAAATCAGAACAAAAAATTCCTGCAACTGCCTCAAAATTTTGAAGTTGAGATTTTTTTCAAGTTATGATAAATAAAATAAAGTTTTTTTCTATTCAGAATCTGGAATTTCAAAAAAAAACCCTCAAAGATTTCAAAACCACGTTCCTCTTCTTGGAAAAATGTTCAAATTATACCAGATGCTCTTGGGAAGTCATGTCCTTTTAATCCCCTCTCTGTACAAATACAGCAACTTTTTCCTTCTTTCCTTTTTTGTTGCTCACATTCAGATTATATCTTTTTGAGTACAACAACTACGTTTTGAGTAATTGATACCTGATCAATCTTGAATACAAATCAAATGGTGTTATATTGTATTTTTACAAGATTTATATGTATTGTGCAACAACTGATTCTCGAGATGACTCTTCCTGATAAATAGTGTTCTCCCCCCTTTCCTTCTCCAGATTTTCTACCTTCTTATATCCTACCGTACCTTGTTATTTGGCTCAACACTTATACATATTCATAACATCACTTATATCTATTCATGTTCAAACAATAAATTAATAATTATAATACAGGAGAAATCTCAAGGTCTTGGGACCCCCCTCATTTTTCTTTTGGTTTCTCAGGTTTTTTTGGCTGAATCAAAACGAAAAAAAAACGATAGAAGAAAGAAAGAAAGAAAAAAAACGATTTAGGGTGCCGTCCAAAAAACCAGTTTCGGGTAAAATCGTTCTTCTCTGGGAGAGGGGGGAATACGCTTTTTTTTCTGCTGTTGTATCTTCTTCTTCTGGTGCCGCCCGACAGTTTTCTTTTTTTTTTCTTGCCATTTCCATTTCACCGAACTGAACCGAATTGAACAAAGATAGTAGAAGAGAGATCGAAAAGCGCGCGATGTCTCTGATTCTCTCACACTCTCTCTCTCTCTCTCTTGATTTCACCATGGGTGGTGCCAACGGACTTCGAAATGCTGGTAGCTGGTAGCAAGAAAAAAAAGAAGAAGAAGAGAGAGAGAGAAAAAAACGTTTTGATGATTGACATAGCACTTTCAATTTTTTTTCTTGGGTACTGTAGACTGTGAGAAGAAGAAGAAGAAGAATAAAAAGAGGAACAAACAAAAACGGTTTGGTTCTTGTTGTTGTAAAATTAGAAAAAAAAGTTCCGATTTATCATTGTTGTTGGACTGGACAGTTCGTTGAAGTGACCCAACAAAGAAGACGGTTTTAATTAAACTTTTTTTTTACAACTTAATTTTGAACAAGATGGGAATGTGAGTGAAAATGGGGAACATACAAAGGATGGGGAAAATCGTAAAATCAAAAAGTTCCTGGACCAGAAAATTTTCACAACCCGAAACTTCGGATTTCTAAAGTTCTGAACAAAATTAATTTTGGCTTTGAACATCCAGGAATTTTCAGGCACAAGTTTTATTTATTTTATCAGGTAATCTGAGAGATTCTGAATTTCAGCACAAAATCTCGCATTTGTGATTTTTTTAGCAAGAAAAGGATCTTCAGATTCTCCAGGATTATTCTACATCTAGGAAATTTGGTATTCTGAATTTCAGTTTCAAAAAAATGGTCCGAGAATTTTTGTTTCCCAATAATCTCTAGAGCATCCAGAAAAGCCTTCTTCATTTACTCTGAAAATCTGATATTTTCAGAAAATTTCAGAATAATTGAAAATAGCCTTATCTCCGTTCTTTCTTCTAGACAGAGTTTAATTTGCAGATTTTTTCTCATTTTCAGAGTCACATGGAAAAAAACTGAAAGCTTTTGCGTTGGGGAAAGATCGGATTTGCAAAATCGAGGGATATGAATTTTTGTTCTCTGCAAAGTTCACTTTGTTCAAAGAACAACTCTGAAACTTTCAGATTTCATGAATAAATAATATTTCCCACCCTTCTTTTTCCCCAGCAATAAAAAAATGTAAATAATTCAAAATTTATCGTTGCATAAAAACAAGAAAATAATAAGTGATGAGTACAGAAATTGCATCGTAAAACAACAAAAAAATCCGTTTTTTTCGATCTGAAGAGAACATTCTTAAAGTTTCTTTTTTTGGGGGGCCTTGGGAGATTAGGAAAAAATAACAAAGTGGATAAAATATGGGTTGGTAAAGGTGAAGAAGGGGAAAATTACGATCTAGAAAAAATAAATGTTAGAAGACAAAAAGAACTTGACACATTACGCAAAAAATACTCTCAAGAGAAAGGAAAATGCAGAATACTTTCAAAAAGAAAAATTAAAGGCAAGATGTTTTTTTTATAAATACATACATAAATGGTAGAAGAAGAAGTAGATGAGATAATCACCCGGAGATACAAAGTGTTGGGGGGGAGTAAAATAAAATAAGACAGGCAAAATATGTAAAAGTAAAGGCATTCGTCCCGTAATATGAACAAAAATGATTGGAATTATGTTGGGGGTTTTGTGTTGGCGCGAGATCGCGGAAATTGAAGAGAACATTTGATAAACAAGAAAGAGAGCGCCATTCAGCTCCTATGAAGAATTCTAATTGAAGACAAACATCTTCAAACTACGTGGGATAACAAAAATATATATGGCTGATTATGGGATATAACCAGCAGTTGATGTGTAAACTGGACATGTTCGTCGAGTTGTTCGAAGCATTTCACATAAAAGTGATGTGTTTGATGGTGGTCCCATTGCTCCGCTATTATATCGTTCAGCAAGATATTCTTGAGCTTCAACAGATATACGTCTGCAAAGTAAAATCATCATAATTAATAATTATTATAATATGTTTTAGGAGAAGTCAGGAGAACAATTAAGTGACAACCTTAGTCACCTGCTGTGTATACGCTTCAATGAGAGGAGCATACATATTATGAATACAAAACTTTTAATTACTCGACTATAATAAGGTTATAAAGGTTTATAAAAGGTCATACCTGATTTGTTCGAAAATTTGGAGCAAAACTGTTGTGCATCTCACTTCACCCCATGATCGTAATACTTGATGTCGAACAGTGTTGATCAAACTATTCGTGTCGGCTTGTGGATCAAATAGGGCCAAGAATCGGAATGCGCAATAATCGTATTTATTAAATCCGAGATTGCGAAGCCGCACAACTATATCATTCCATTGCGCCACCAAATTTTGATTGCCAAGAAGAGCAATATAACCAGTCGGCACCCTACAATAATATTATTTAATCATTTTTCACTGGATTATATTTATAATTGCGAGGATCCTCTAATCAAATCCATCTAAACGTGTTGCGCAACACCTTACTATAAACGGCGGCAACAATTTATCGCTGTTATCTCATAGCTATAAAATATCCCCCTTTGGTTTTTCTTATTTTGAATACTCACTCTTGTCCGCTGGAAATTTTGAAAGATAATGGAAGTTCTCCTCGAACCATTGAATTTGTTAGATCAACAATATGAATTGTTGCCCATGAGGCTTGAAGAAGGTTCATTTGATCGTCCATCTATAAAAAATATAATAGATAATAGAGCAATTTATAATCGGAAATGACCACTTCATAATACTAGAAAAGATGAATAGTCGGTCAAAATTATTTGATCTACCGGAAATTGATGTTTGTTTTAGGTGAACTCACACTTAATTTACTGAAATATTGATCAGTTTTTGCCCAGGATACCAAATCTTTCAAATTTTCTTCAGCAACATCCATCGCAAAAATCAGCGGATCAGGTTTACAAACTCTTGCAACCATACTCAATGTTCTTGGAGCTTTTGCCTCATCTGGCAAGCCTTTGCACATTTCGGTAAGTGTAGAATTATAAAATTGATCTACAGTTTTCTCGGTTGGAACTGGGCAAAGTGGAAGAATCGGGGATGATCGATTAGATCCTTGTCCCGAGTCTGCAACAAATTGAAATAAATTAAAGATCACCTCCGAAGGCAGTTTGGACTTACTGGAAGATGTACTTGTAACTTGAGTGCTACTTGACAATGTTGTGATTGGGATCATATGCATATAACTAGCAGCAGTTGTGGCGTGAAATGCGGAATAGTCTTGGAGTTGATGATGGATGAATTGCTCGCTATAATCGAAAGGCTCCTGTTTGACAGCAGACGCGTAGCCAGGGAAATTTTGCGCTCGAAGAACTTGATCATCTATGGATGTTCCAAGAAGTGTTGCCAATGATTCTTGTTGCTCAATATATGGGTTAGGCCGGATAATGAAATCTGAATAGAAAATTGGTTAGTATGAGTATAACAAAAAAATCAATAAAATAATCTTACTTTGCTGATTCGTTGTGCTGCTAGACAATGTTGGACTTTGAAGAAGCGCATCATAATCAGCCTTGATATATTCGGTCTTCACCTTTGCTTGATCGAAGTACTGATGTTGAGCAGTCGGATCAGGAGTGCTGCTTGTCACCTGATGTTCGGTATGGTAAAACGGTTGACCATTTGATGGCACTAGTGCCGCATTTACCCTCATTGCGTTCCGCTGCATTCGATGTGCCCGATCTCTTTTGTAAAACGAGCCAAACTTGTTACGACCACCTCTCATTCGATCCGCACGAACCGCTAAATAATTACTATTAGGTTCCGACACTTTAGTTTTTTTTTTGTTTTGTTTCGAGTTCGTTTGCGGCTGTCATTATCCTCTCTATTCTATTTTTTTTGGCGCATTGTTATGGACCTCTCTTCTACCTGCCAATTGAGTGGTCGGCTGCCCTGTTTGTTGTAGGTATGTTCGCAAAACGCATCCTATAATTATCTGCGCTCCCCCGGCTCATTCCTTTGTACCGTACCCCCTACTCAAGTTTTTTTTCTACACCTTCACATTCCATTTTTTTTGGCTATCCATGAAAATGAGATATGAAATGGGGCCTGGGGGAGAGAAAGGCAGGTATAAAAAATACCGGTTTTCCTTTCTTTCTTTATATATATATATTTCCATATCTCACTTTCAATATCGTTTTTTCTTGCTTTCGAGCGATTTTTTTTGCGCAAGTGCGACAAGATGAAGCAATAAATAAATCCATTGCGCAATTTTTCTAAAGTGAAATCGAAAATTGAAATAAAGAATTTTGGGAAGGTAATCTGCCTAAACTAAATGAGATAATCGGTTTGTTTGCACAACATACGGTAATTATAATTTGATGACAACTCGTCTCATAGATGCTCTTTTGCGCACACCTATGTGATACAATCTATATCGCTAGAGCGGTAAGCGGGAAGGCTTTTGAGATTAGCAGATAAATTATTGTGGAATAAACAGAACAGATATTTGATATATTGGTGACAGGATCAACTTACCTTCCATTTTCATGCCCATTAATATACATTTTTGAAATCGACAACTTGGACAACGTTTTCGACAGGTTCGATCCACGTGGCAATTTGAATCGGCAGAACATTGATATTGCTGGAAACAGAGATTGGGTTGGTGGAAACTTGAGTAATTTTTAAAAAATCTGATTCAAAAAATTCCATTTAAAATATTTGAGAATCAAAATCAAGAGATCAAAAATATTTGCTTACCTTTTTGTTTTGAACTGTGCGTTTGAAGAAACCCTGGAAATACAAAAATTTGTTAATTAATTAATAAAAAATTAGAAACAAACCTAACGTAAAATAAAAAAAATAAAAAATAAATGACTGTCCACCCAAAAAGTCCTTGAGAGAGACCCAGATGACCTTATCACTTTCGATCCCCCCAACTAACTAACTAACCTTGCAACTTTCACACGTTAATAATCCATAGTGATATCCGGAAACACGATCGCCACAAACTGGACAAACTTCAGCATCAAGATTCGGTTTCAATACCATTGTCTCAATCCCGACCATCACAAATTTATTATTGATTTTTTCGTTATTAAAATATTTTTGCGAAGAGCGAGAAAAAATATAGAAACAAACTCTGATTTAGTTCAACTACAACTAAAATGGAGCACGAGTAGGCGAGCAGTTGTGGTATTCGATATAGACACAAAATGTGGGCGTGGCTTCAGGTTGTGGGTTACTGTCCCTCTCTTCCTTCCTTTTTTTTCGGTTTCTTCTTTTTTTCTTCGTTTTTTCTTCTACAACTCCTCCCCCTACTGTTTTGTGTGCGCACGCTCTGACTGTATTTGTCTGCGTCTCTCTACTCTACTACGTGAAGACGATTGGTCGGAGAGGTTGGAGGACCTGAGTTGAAGGTCGGATGGACGGGATACCTGCAAAAAAAAAGTGAGTAAGTGAACGGACGATCGAGCGAGCGAAAGAAGAAAAAAAAGTGAATGAAGAAAGATGAAATGAAAATAAAATACAGCCAAAAAAAATTGCCAAGGGGTTGAGAATGGCAGGGAGGGTAGCAAAAGAAGAACAAGATGAAAAAAATCGTGCGTACCAGGTACCAGATCATCTTTACTGTACATGCCGAATTTTTTTTTTCTGTTCGTTGTTGTAAAATGAAATTAAAACTGAACTGACGCATCTCGATGCTTGTCTCAAGTTTAACATAAAACGAAAATCGAAAGAGAGAAGAGGAAAAAAAAATCACTTAAAATTCAAGACGGACTGAAATAAAAATAAAAATAAACAGAAACAGAAACATTATTGGAACTGGATCTCATGAAAATTGAATGAGATGACAAAGATCAAGTTATGGAGATCAGAGAAAGTGAGATACAAATGAGGGGAGAAAATGAGGATAAAGATGATCACTCAAACTTTCCATGTTTAAGAATGAATATATAGAATTTGAAGGGGAGACTGGGGTTTCGAGGCTGAAAATTGAGATTTTCAGGTTTAACAAATGCTGGAGATGACTTCTGCTAACTCTGGACTTGGAATCTAAATAGAAATGGACATTTTCTGCAATTCAAGATTAGGTTCAACATGATTTTTTAACATTTGAAGATTTTTGAAATGAAAATTATTGTTTTCTGAAATTTAGCTTGAGTCAGAAAATATCTGAGTTTGATAAATTTCCAGAAAATTTTTAAATTTCAAAAAATAATGAAATTTCAGAAGTTCACAAAAATATGTCTAAATTTCTGAAATTAATTTTGAAATCGAATTTCAGTTCAAAAATCAATAAAGTACCTAAAATTCCAAAAACTCGATCTTCTCACCAGAAAAAAAAATCAAACTCCAATTTTCTTTTGAACCGAGATCAAGTTTTATCTTGAAGAGGGAAAATGAAAATGAAGAAACAGAAAAATACACAGTGTGTAATTTTTTGTTACCTCAAATGTCTAGGTTGTATTTTTTCTGTGTATTTTTGCAAGTAAAAAATCAATAATTAATATTTTGAAGAAAACAAACTTTGCAGGAGATCACATCAGAAAATTCTTTTAGTTTCTTCAAATTTTAAAATTTTCTAATGAATCATCAATCAAAAAAAAACGTTTTCTGGAAATAAATTTGTGAAATATTGTTTCCAGTTTCTGGAACCAGAAACAAACAAAGTTTGCAGAAAAAAAAATGAAAATTTCCAATTTTTCTCACCTGGAACCTGAATTGAAGTTACAAAACCTACAGATAAAAATCGATAAAAAATCTAGCAGACTGAAAGATTAGTTTAAAGATCATAAACACTTTGTTCCACAAAAATGAGTGTAAGAAAAAAAAAAGTTGAGGAAGGTGAGAAAAATCAATTCTACCTTGATAATCAATAAACCTAATAAAATTATATTTCAAAATGTTGTTGAAGGGGGGGGGGGTGAAAAAAAGAAGCTAGGCAGGTTATTGCGCGGGCAAGCGACAACGACGCAACAAAACGCAGAAGATGATGAAAAATAAGAAGCAGCAGGCATGGAAGAAGTCGTAAGAAAGGCAAAAAACTGGAACGGACGGGAGAAGTCGCGCGAATCGCTTCTTGCCATTGGAAGAAGAAAAAAAAACGATGAAGAAGAAGAAGAAGAAGAAGACGATGGAAGAAAGTTTGATTTTTGTAAGGAGAAAGAAGATAGAAGACAGTCGCGCCTAGGTAACAATATATAAAGAGAAATAGACGGTAGTACAGATATATATATAAAATGAAGAGACAAAAACACAGAATTTCCTCTCTCTATCTCTCTGTATATGTCGATTGACTGCGCAACAATTGAATGATTTCAATGATGATGCGTGCGCCTTTAACGTTTTACGTTTCTCTCTCTGTTTCTCTATCCCAACTTTGGCAATGTTGCGTTGAAAGCTTGTTCACGTTTGGATTATGGCAAATAAGCGAGAAGAAGATGAGGAAATCGGAAAGAATGAAAAAGAAAGTGAAGTATTTTATAATTTGACTATAAGAAGAGAAAGAGAAAATATAGTCATCAAGGAGGCAAAAATGAAACATTTTTTGGTTGCTAATAAATGTGAATCGTAAGTTTCTAATAGGCCTGAGAAAAAATATTGTTTTTAGAAATGACCAAAAATGAGACATGAATTGTTTTTTAAGTAAACAGCGCTATAAAAAGGGATACTGGAATTTTTCACAAAAATTTCCAGTTTTTATAACTCAATTTCTAGCTAAAGGTCTATCAGTCAAGGAATTTCATAGGGTTATTATAACTTACAATTTTTCGTTTCAAGATTTCATAAGGTTTTAGAATTGTAATGGATTCAAGGGTTTTCAAGCTTAAGGTTTTCTTCGGCCTAACAGTAAGTTTTTTTAGTTAAGGAGCTTATCTTACATGTAGTTAAGGGGTAAGGTGGTTTAGGTATTTTTAGAAAGTTTTCTAGCTTAACATTTTTCACTTAAGAGCTTTCTTAATGGTTTCCCAGCTTACGGTTTTCAGTTAAAGGTTATTTAAGGCTTTTTAAGCGTAAGGTTTTTCTGTTAAGCTCAAAGCTTTTAGTCAAGGCTTTTAGTGATAGATTTTGTAAGTCTTACATTTCTTATTGTTTTTTCAGTTAGGGGTTTCTTAAGGTAGTTAATCTCAAGATTTTGAAAATAGTTTTCTAGCTCAGGGTTTTAATGTTAAGGATTCCCTAAGGTTCTAGCTGAATGTATCATCTTGAAGGTTCATATTGATTGAAATTAAAAATTGAAATTCAATAGAAAAACTGCAAACGCCCTTTCAATCACCTGACATACCAAACATTTCTTGAATATTTTACAGTTTTACTACACACACGCGCCCCAATTGTGAGGTACATGAAATCGAAATAAAAATGTGAATCGGCAACAATTCCTCTCTCTCTCTCATGTTTTTTTGTTGGTAAAATATACCAGACTGCTGACTGTAACAAAACAACACAAGAAAAGAAAAGTATTTTCAGGATGATGATTCAAAAAAAAAGTGCAAATTCGACTGACGACTTCGCAATAACATGAAATTTTTTTTTTGGGGAGACGAGGGGGAAAACCTGTCCTTTTTTGTGTGTTTCGTTCGATTGGGGCGCAAAAAAATTCATCGAAAAAAAATTGTCAACTTATTATATGTCAATTTTTTTCGTCTTGTTTTTTTTCAAAATCGATATTATCGTCGGAAATCTACTTTTTTCGAGACATGACATGACAGGAAGGAAGAAGAATACTACAAGAGTAAGAAAGTAGGAGATAGAAAAAAGAGACCACATGATGATGATGATCGGATCGGATGAGTAGTAAAAAGTGAGTGAACGAGCTATTGCGATAACAATCAACCGATGATTTAAACCCACAACAAAAATGGTTACTTCTTACTATAATCTCTTGTTGACATGTTAACATGAAAAGGGAAGAGAAGGGAAGAAAATATATAGGCCGAGAAGGCGGTAGACGGTAATCTGCAGGAGGTTTTAGGTGCTAATCCCGGTAGTTTGGGGTATTTTATGTGTTCAAGTGGGAGCTCAATGAAGTCAACTGGGGTTTAAATTAGCATACTGTAATTATTTTTGAATCTGAATTTCTTGAAATTCAGATACTGTAAGATCGGGGGAAGATTTTGTAAAAATGATTTCAGGTGATAATTCTTGAGCAGAAAGGATTTAAGATATTGCGACCACTGTATCCTAAAAATGATCTATATTTGGGAACTGCAAAGAAATTAGGTCAAGATTTTCAGATTCTGAAAAATAGACCGAAAATTCTGAAATTCACTTTTTTCTTACAAATGCATAAGCCTACTGTAAGTCAACGTTAAAAATATTTGGGAAGTTCTTTAGGTGTTAATCCTGGATGGCTTAGGTTTGAATAGGAGCTCAAGAAAGTTAAGTACCCAGGCTCAAATTAGCATACTGTAGGCTAATTCCAAGTCGATCTACTTACAGGTTTATACTGGAAGAGTTACAGTAACTACAGCATCTCAAAGAATTAACCAAAAAAGATTCATAGTGTTCCAAAAAAAGTTGAAGTTACGTAAAGATAAGGAAAAAATCATACTCTAGGAATTGTTTGGAAAACAGATCACAAATCTGAAATGCATTTTAAAATGACAAAAATAAATCCATATAGATCTGAAAATCAATGACTTGAGAATAATTCAGGAATCAGATCATCACTTAAAAAAGTATTTTGTAATGCTGGAATTAATTAAAGATTCATGTCTCTCAAAAACTTTCTATAAAATTATTCCCAAAACCAAATCAACGAAAGTTTTGTTTGTTACTGTATTACGTAAAAACTGCTGGCGAAACAAAAAAACATAAACATTTAGTATTTCGATTTCACTTGCAAGCATTTTCGGCGTTGTCTAGGGGTGGAGACTGTCAACGACCACCCTCATCGTATTAATGCAGCTTTCTCGTTTTTTCTTTCGCTTACATAAAGATGATGATGATGATGATGGGAGGAAAGAAAAAAGAAATCGCTGCTTTCATTTTCTTGCTTGCTTGAGGGTGGTGTGAACGATCCTGCCTGCCTGCCTGCCTGCGATGGCAAGGATGAAAAAAGCGAAAAAACGAGAAATGCTGGAGAAGTTGCGCGCTTCTGAAGCGAAAGTTTTTTCATCTTCTTCATGCCCTGCCTGCCATTCTTGTCTGTCTTATAATTGAAGTACATATACACAAAAAACGGAGAAAAAATTTACAGTAGACTAGTTAGGGTGGAAATAGTTTTTGGTTTTTTTTCTTGTTATAAATTTTTTTTTTCTAGAGGAAGAGGGGGAGAACTTGAAGAGCTATTGAACTGTATCCAAGAAGTTCAAGGGGAAGTTCTAGAAAACATAGACAGGGGGGGGGTGAAATGAGAAAACGAAAAATAAGTTTTCTACCTAGAGGTCCAGGAAAAAGTTCTTGTGCTCCAAAAATTTAGAAAGTCCTATTGAGTTCAAGCCACCGCATTCTGAAGCTATAACCTCATAAAATCAAAACGATTTCAAGCTACCGTACTCAAAAATTAAAAATCGTTGTGAATTCAAGAGCTCAAAAAAGTTTTTTGAAATCATTTTTAGATCAAATTGCTATTTCTCCCTAATGTTCCTTTAATAAAAAAAAACATCAACAAAAATATTCACAATTGAGTGTTGAAATAAGGAAACACCATTGAAATTCCTCTCCCATTCATGAATGTGCACCTGCCACAACACAACATACTTTTTTATCTTATTTTTTTCCATCTCCAAAAAAAATAGAATAAATAAATTATTACTCCAAAGAAACAAAACATGCTGATGAATATGTATGAAATAGAGCCAGATTAGAGGCAGACAAGATGGGATGCGGGGTGGATTACTGTAATATGTCAATAATGGGAAAATGAATTGAATAGGAGAAGGGTGTCATAAATATATCAAACATTGTGTAGTTTTGGTTGGATTATGGGAAGATGTTTGGGAAATTATGGATTTATGATATACAAAAAACAAGTGGAACTTCTGGATGAAAATTTGGGGATTTGGAAAGGGAGGGGGGGTAAATTTATAAAATAAAATTTCTGAAACCCCATTTCAAAATTTTTAGTATCAAGCGGTACGGTTTTGAATCTCAAATTAGGGATTTTCAGACCTGCAATTTTCACTTCACCGTTGATCTACTTTTTTTTCTAACAAGTCTCCTCATTCTCGCTAAAAGTCTTGAAACATTGTGTCAAACTAGAGATTCTAAAAAATTCAATCTAATTATTTTTTTTATATTTGGAAATTGTACCATTTATTTTGATAATAAGCTAGAATTATTCTACGTCTGATAAATGTCCAAGTTCTAGAATATCCATAAACTCTAGAAGTTCATTTTTATTAATCTACAGATGACCTTCAGAATTCTATCAACTTCTCACATCAGTGAAGCCCCATAGTATAAATTTTAATAAGCTCAAAAAATTTTCACACCTTCAAATAAAATAAAGCAACCTGTCGACTCCTAATTGACACCTGCCACTGATTTCTCATTACCGTAACCTATTCATCTATTTTCCCTCTTCTCACATTAATTAACTCTCAATGTCATTTCTTTTGTTGAGCTGAGTTAGCTTAACAAATTATTGAAATACTGTAAAAGCTATTCAATATGCAGGTGTCACAAATTTAATAGGAATGAATAGAACTTATGATAAATTAGAGATGGGTAATTAATGAGTGAAGAGCAATATTGGAAATTTTTAGAAGTTTCAGGGGAAAATTATGAAAAAAATAAATAAAACTTATGAAAACTTTAATTCGCGTTACTGATGCAATAGACTAATCTTTTAAAAAGAAAGTTTTCCTTTCATGTGTAAAAAATTCTTTTTGTAAAATTTTGTATTCATAGATTTTCATTCATTTTCTCGACTTCCCAATTATTTATTTTTATTGAATTATCTTTTTTCAAAACCCAAAACATCTTATTATTTGATTTATGCCAAATATGTCATAAATATAAGAAAAAAAATCAAATAATTATAGTGGTCCACAGTCATAAATCCTATTCAATAGGTGCCCAAAAAGTTTGTTGTCGATTGTAAATTACTAATAGTGTGTTTACGGATGGATTATGTATGTAACTATTATTGAATGATGAATAATAGGTCAGGATTAGAATATGTTGGTAATTAATTCCATGTTTTTTGTGTGTGCGAGGGAGGGAGGCTGGTTGCTAATTGTTGCACTTTTGTGTGGGACAAAGAACTGATGATTGATTAACTTTTGGCGGGGATGCTATTATCTTGATTTGTACAAAATTTTTGAACGTTATTTCCTGGCTGCTTTTGGGATATAAAAAAAAACATGAATCTGGTTTCAAACAGACACGTTCTTATCTACTAATCGCCAGCCGTTGTGCAACAGATGGTGTGAAGAAGAAATTTTGAATTAGGAACATTGCAGGAGACAGGTAAGGTAAAATTGAAGATTGGAACGTGGGGAACGTAGAACAAATATTCTGGAACTGTGAAAATTTGGATCTGAAAGGAGCAAAAGGGATTTGGGAGGCTGAAAATCATTGCAGTCAGAGACAAATAAAATTTGCAGTCAGAGACAGTTAAATTTCAGAATTTTGAATCTAATAAAGCTTTTTTAGTGTATATGAAAAGAGTTTAGGTTAAAGGAACACAGTTTTTAAAATACTGAAAACATCAGAAAGATTTTGAACTTTTCAAATTCTGAATTTCAGCAAAAAATTAAACAAAATAAGTTTAAACTTATTTTAAGGATAAATTTTTTTTCTAATTTATAATTCCAGTTTTCTTCTGGGCTCATGAAACCTTTTTCCAAATCTGAAACTTCTAACTAATTCCTGTTCCTCCTGACCAATATCCAAACTACACACAACTTCCAAATTCATACATCTCCCACAGTTTCATCTTATGTTTTTTTTTGCTAACGAAAGAAAAAACCATTGAAACCTCTATTTACTTTTTTTGCAAGCAAATGCACCGGTTTTTTGTTAGTTTTCATTTTGCCATGTCCTTGGGATATATGTAATAATATTCCACAAAAAAAAACTTTTTCGTTCCATCGAAAGCTGTTTTTTCTTCGAAATTTCAAGGTTATTGCGGTTTGGCGCCGAGTTTTCCATGGGTGAAAAAAAAAACGAAAAGGAAGAAGAAGAAAAAACTTTCGCCACGATGGCAAACATATAAATTTCATTTCATTTTAATTACAATCTTCAATGGTCTGTTCTGAAGGTGAAACCGATTACGATGCGATGCGATGTGCCAAAGGAGTACGGTAGATAAGAGACGACGAAAAAACACATGATGAGAAAAATATGAATATATGTGTGATGTGATGTGATGTTATGTGATTTTATTTGAAAGTGAAATGAGGGGTTCTAGAGTTTTAGAGAAGGGGTGAAGGGTTTTAGAAAAAATTTTCAGTGTGTTTGAGGGTCTATAAAATAAAAATTGCATTTAAGCAATTCAAAAATATCTATTTAACCAATTAATCAATAATTTCCAAAAAATACTCATTGAGCAATAGTAGATGCAAAAATAGTTTCCATAATTTTCGGTAATTCTGCCGAATCTTTCAACACAAACGATTTTCCTGACGGTAATTCTTCTAACAACCTGCAAAAAAACCAAACATATGTTTTTGGCGCACTTCATTAACACAAACAATATGTACATACCTTTCTGCCTGTTCACCAAGTGATCCAATAAATACAACAAAACAATTGACAGTCGGCTCTTTGATCATTTCTTCTTTCAGTTCTTTTGGTTGAATGCCATATCTAAGAGATGAAGAGCAATTAGAGTTTTGAAAGAGTGCGGTTACCTTTGTAAATTTGCGTCAGACACCAAAATGACTACCGTCTCATCATAGTCATCTTTTTTTGACAGCTCTTTTACGGCATATCGTACACATTCAACGGTGTTGTCGCCGCTCATACAATACTGGAAATAGAGGGATTTTTGAAATATTAAAAAAATTTTTGTCAGCGTGGTAAAAATTGGTTTCAATAGAAATATTGAAAAATCTTAAGAGACATTATTTATAAAAAAAATCATTACTTTACTCTCCGTGAATAATTTTTCGAAGTATAAACTTCATTTTTCTCAGAATTTGAAGGGCTTGGATTTAGAATTACAAAAGAAAAAAATTCAACTTACCCTAACTTCTGAAAATTGAACAAAATTTTCAAAGTCAAAAATCGTTATTAGAGGGACTTTGTTTGCTTTGTTATTTTTTACTAATTTGAGTTTCTGAATATTTTTTCATCATTACAAAAATTTTTTCAAAAATTCTTTCCCGCCCAAATCAAAATTTTGATTCGGGCGTGAATTCAAATTTTCCAAAAAACAATTTTTTGATTTTATGATTGGAGGGTACGTTAAAAGGGACGAGGAATCCGACAAATCCAAATTCAGTGTGCAACAAAGTCCCTCTAATATCGATTTTTGACTTAGGATAAGTCGAATTTTTTTCTTTTGTAATTTTAAATCCAATTTTTTCACATGTTTCTGATAAAACTTTTATCCCAGGAACAACTATTGATTTTCCAAATTTAAAGATATTCGTGGAATATTTTTCTATCAGCAAATCACGAAAAAATCAATTTTTACTATTAAGTAATGGTCAATTTTTCTAACAGTAAACCCTAGAATCCTCCGAACTCCATTCAAAAATTTACCTGTGTATGAGCCAACATTTTTTTCAAAATGTTCAAACGTTCACGATTATTTTTTGGATAGCTCTCCTTATCGACAAATTTCACAGCAGGTGAATCTCCAGAATGTCCAATAATATCGTACTGAAAAATTATCACAAAGATGCACAAGCTAAACATTTCAACAATCTTCTCACCTCGATTTTATCAGTTTTTCCTTCTAATGATACCATCATCATTAGAGCAGTTTCTAAAGATCTTTGAAGTCGTTTATCATATCCATTAAATCGATACATTGATCCACTAACATCAAAACACAATTTCAACCGCTTGGGTTTTGTTTGCGGCGCACCCGGATCTGGCTCTTTATCAATTCGTCGCCGATAAATATTCTGTTCTCCAGTCACACCTTCAATCAATTTCCCATCATCCAAATCTCCGCTTGTTTGATGTTTTGCCCATTCTCTTTCCTTCTTTTTCGCTTCCAATTGATCAATAACAGCTGATAATTTCTTACTATTTCTCTGAACATTATTCCAAATTTTATCATATTGTTCAGCGTCATATTCAGACATATTGATTTGTCGCAACTTCTTATCATATTCTTGTTTCGCAATTTCTCTGGCTTTTTTCAAAATGTGTCCGGGAACTTGTTTTTTAGCATAATCTGATTGTTGATGAACATCGTGTCCAGCATCTAATCGGAAAGGGCCACCAACTCCGCCAAGTCCAGCTGTATTATATCCACCAGTTCCACCCATCCAGGTATTTCCACCGTGGTGAGGGGTATTGTTTTTATCAACTCTACAAAAATTGGAATAAAAAACCAAAAGTGAAATTATTCTACTCACTTTCCCTTCTTTGGTCGATCCAATTTTGATTTGTCAAACTGACTATCATTTTTCTCAATATCCATCCGAAGTTTCTTTTCATCCTCACCATCTGTCATTCTTTTCCATTCTCCAAACGATTTTGCAATCGAAGACATTCCCAATTCATAAGACGTCACTCCTGAATTCAATTTTAAAAACTCGAATCATGAAATTCATTGCATACCTCCATTCCAATTGATAGTCAAAATTTCATCATCACTCCACGGAACCAAAACAAATCCAGTTTGAGTAAAATATGGGAAAAAATCTGGGATGAAATTTTGAATTGGCACACTTGGAACTAGAACATAGGAAAGTTGTTTGGTTTCAGTGTCCACAGTTTCCAAAAATCCAGCAACATGTTTGATATATACTTCTTTAGGTAATGCATCTTTTGGAACATCAAATTTCGATCTTGATCGAATCACATTATTGCCAAGGAATAAAACTTCTCTAGAAGTATCAATATTTCTTTCAACATTTTCGTCTGAGAAATAAAATGTTCTTTTGGGAATCAATCGATCTTCGATGGGTTTTCGATGACTTCCTTCAATTATATTTGAGCCATCGAGTTGAACTTTTCCTTTGAGAAAATAATATGGATCCGATACCATGAACATCTCATTTTCATTCATTTTTGTTGCAATCGCATCGATCCCACCATCCAAATCACTTTCAAGTTTAGCTAACTCGAACATATCCTCGCCAATTGACAAAGAATAACTTTCATTTTCCTGAAAGAGAGGATTTCTTGAAACTATTATAATAAACATCCCAAAACCTACCGTAGATACCAGCATCCAATGATTTTTATCGATTGGCATTGCTCGTTTGATATTAAAGGGAACTGATCCATTTTGAACACTTGGCACATTATTGACAATGGAAAATATTTCCAGATCATTTCTATCTCGTTCATACAAAAGTGCTGAGCCTTCATTTGATGGAGCCAATCTTGAAGGAGTTCGGTATGCAGAGAAAACTGCAAAACACGATTTTTTTATTCGTCAGATTTTTTTTGTGTCAGTAAACTCACTCGCACTAATTTGATCTCCAATAGTTTGATTACTTTTGACAGTTCCACCAGTTTTGTCAGCCAAATCAATAATTACAGTTTTATCCGATGTTTCTTCGTGTATGAGAATTTGTTCAGAATTCAAATGTCCCAATCGGAATTTTGGAATATATCGCGTTACAGCTGAATGAAAACTAACTGGCCGTGGGATTAGATTTGAGAAGTCGATTTCTTCTGTCTGAAATTTGGGAAAATTTTAATATAACTATACAAAAAATTAACTTACAGTATTAGCCTCCATAAAATTTTTGGTCCAATACAACTTCGGTGGATTGACAGTAGCAACAATCAAATCATCACCAACTCTCAAACCATCTGATACAACATTATCATCACCAATCGGAAGATCCCATTTACAAACTTGTTCAGAAAACATTTCATTTCGTTTACTTGATTTTCCCAATGCCAGTGATCTGTGTGGTAGATGTTTCACATTCTGAAATTTTACTTTTTATCGATTTCTTGTCACTAAAAAATCAAAATACCGTGATTTTCACTGGCTGTGGTTTATTGAAACTAAAGCTTTTTGGAAGCTCGATCCTTTTGAATGACCAATTTCCAATTTTCACTGGATCACCGATCGATGTTCTTTGTGCCAATAAAACGTGTCGCTCTGATTTATGAACTCCTGAAATTTTTTAATTGATATAAGACAAAAAATTGAGAAAAGTTTCATTGAAATTTTTCAAAAAATGAAGAAAAAAATTAGAACTAGCCTAATGGAATTCCATTCTTCTGAAAAACGGCTTCAATCGTTGAAATTGTATCTTCACTGAATGAATCGAAATCGAACACATTTCTGGCAACTTCAGTCAATGGATCATCTGGGAATTCCTGGAAAAAATAGAGTTGGTTTTGGATTTAAAAAGTTTTTCAGACTGCTTCAAGTCACAATTAAAAATTTGATTTGACAAAATTTCAATTATTTCAAAATTCAAAAAAAGAGTTTGAATTCCGAGAGAAGTACACACAAAAATGTGTGTGATAGAGCGAATTTGGATGACCATATTCTATGTTTAACAATAAAATGAGAGCTTTATGAAACTCCGTGAACAAAAAATCTCTTCTTCAAACTCACATTACAATGTCTCACAATATTAACAAGTTCTCTTGTCGAATATGGATATTGTAAAAGTCCTTGATCAGTTTTGGTCCGAAGCTCATTGAAAATTGTGAGAAGTTTGTTGAGAGTCGAACTTGGAACATCTAGAAACATTATAACAAATCAATATTACAAACTATACCAAAATATCACTCACTTGGCCCATATTTTTTGATCATTTCTAATTCACTTTCTCTATTCGGATGATCAATCATATGAATTGCAAATAAATCACCAAGAACTGCGAACAAATTATTTCCAAGGAATGGAAAACCTGGTCGATTTGCCAACATGAGAATTCGAAAATTTGGATGAATCGGAACAATTGACGAATTATTCGCATCTTCTGGTAGAATTGATGCAGCTGGTTTGAGAGTTCTTCCATCTCCTAATACCAAAACACCAGTGTCAAGAAGTGATTTGAGAATTGCGATCACATGGAGAGGCGCTTTATCAGCTTCGTCGATCACTAGAATTTGTCCATTTCGAGCAGCTTTGACGAGCGAACTATCTTCATGGCGAATAATTCCGTTTTCAACGACAGTTTGAATTGTGAGAGTTTGCACTGTTGTATCTCTGGAAAGATGGGAAATTTTTTTTAGAAAAATGGTAAATTTTATTCCGTCTACTTAAATTCAGTAACAATTCTGAAAGAATGATTTAGAAGCTTTTCCATTCATGCCAAAAAATTTATCAGTTCAGAAAATTCAACATTTCTCCCCTGGTGTCAAAATGCTTTCTAACCTGTGAAGTTGCATATATTGCCGTGGACGATTTATGAGATGCAGAAACCTGTCGGTGATTTTATTCTTTCCAACTCCTTGATTTCCAATCAATAATAAGTGACTTCCAAGTTTCATATCACGTGCCATATCTTCCAAAACTTCTCTATGCTGGAATTATATCTTCTATATCATTATAATTATTCAATTTTAAATCATACCTGAGCATTTTCATGAAACAAAACATTCGGAATCAAAGCTTCATCCTCAGCTTTCTCTGTTGGTGCTCGAATCGCAGATAAATATGATCCATCATTTTTCAATCTGATAGATTCATCATTGATAATCCCAATCTCATTCAATTCATGTTCAAAAGTTTCTCTAGTGAGTTGTGGGAGGAATTTGGAGAGGGCAGCTTTTTCGACAAGTTCTTTCAAGTGTCCAGGTTGCATTTGATCACGTTTCGCAATATGAATCAATCTTCTCAATGACAAAGATGTGACGATATTTTTCATCTGTAAATTTTGAATTGGAAGTTTTAAAATTTGAATTGTATGGGAAAATAAAACATACCCCAGTATCTGGTGATTTTCGAAGATTTTCGACAAGTTGAATCAGGCGTTTCACATTTTCTTGATTTGCATTATCGGTCATTCTGAATTTTGATAGTTTTTTTTTTCTATTTACCGTAATTTCAAAAATGAAACTAACTGTAAGATAATGTTCTCCTGCTCTTTCAGTGATAACCATGGAACTGTGTGAAATGGCAACATCGAGAGAATATTTTCATTGATCCATTTGTGCTCTTTTGATTGGGACTCGCCAACAAACAAAAGACGGAATGAATCAGGAATTTTGAAAACACCACTGGAAAAAAAATTGAAATTGTTCCATATTCCAATCCAAGCTTACCGCTTGTTTAGTTCTTCTGTTGACACATTATTCCTTTTCGCTAATCTCTCAAATTCTTCAGCACCAACTAATCGATTACCATTTGGTAGATCAAATCTTCGATGATAGATAAATTGTGCCAACGACATTAAAACACTTGGATGCACCATTTCTACACCATCTAATACACAAACATCACCATTTCTTGCTGCTTTTACAAGTTGACTATCTTCCCAAATTGTATCTCCATTTTCTTTCATATGTCTACGTTGAATCAATTCTCTGGTATTCATATCTTGATGCAAAACCATTGAAGAATATTCGAAATTCAATCTTTTTGATAACTCATTCAAAATTCTTGATTTTCCTGATCCTTTTGGTCCAATCAGCACAAAATCACCTTTTGAAAATGATACAGCCAAATCAGCCAATAATGTTTCCTGTTTCTCAGTTTCTACCCAAGAAGTTGATACTGAACTATGATGTGATGATTTTGGAATTGTAACTTCTACATCTCCAGATATTTTGACCTTCTGATCTTCAACACTGACTATTTTTCTTGGCTTCTCATGAACACTCTGAAAATCGATATTTTGGAACCCCTGTAAAAAATGAAAAATCTTACATACCAACTCAAATTTCTTCTTAAATTGATCGATCAAATCTTTCTCACTTTGTGTCAAAATTTCTTTAGCTGGATAGCACATGTTGACAATTTCACCAGCTGAAAGACTTGGATTCGAATTCCAGATGTTCAAACAATGTTCGACAACTGAAATAGCAATTCTTGGTCTTGAACTTGAAGTTTCGGTGTTGAATGCGTAGATGAGGGAGATCAAATCGTTCAGATCGTTTTGAGCAACGTTTGGTGCAATTTCAGCAGCTTGTGATAGAAATGTCTGAAATTCAGAAGAGGTTAAGGAAGAAGGGCGACGAGAAATCTACTCAACATGAAAACTGCAAGAATTTTTTTCTAGAAAAGTGTAGAAAAATGTTTTTCCAAAAGTTTTGAATTTTCGGAAAACATCCCTTCAATTTTTTTTGGAAGTTAGCCTAACTTTCGAAACTAAATTTTTTGAAAAAATGTTACCTGGAATGAGTATTCTTCAATATTTCTGCATTGAAAACGACTTCTAAATGGTGGATCCAAAGTGTTTCCAGGAAATCGTGGAACCGGAAGACCCAACGCAATCACATGAAAATTCTCCGAAACTCTCTCAATCCCCATTTTCTTCAACGTAGCTTCATCATACTTCTCTTTGAGTTCATCATATTTATCGTGTTTCATCAAAAATCTTCCATCATCCAGCTGCATTTCACTAGAAGAAGACGAAGACATTGACGAAAAAAAGTGGGGAAGAATGAAATGAAAAGAGCAGTTTTTTTTTTATTTTGCTCTCAAAAAATGGTGGAAAAAGGGCATATGTTAATCAAATTGCTCTTTGTTTTTGGTGGTTTTTTATTGGGTTTTTCTGTGCGTGGTTGTGTGCTAAATGGGATGACATCTTACCGATTTTCAAGCAAGTTATTGAGGATTGGTAGGACGTTTCGTTCGGCACGTTCAACTCCATCAATTACGAGAACTCGACCAGATAAAGCAGCTCGAACCGCACACTGGAATTTAGAAATTAACGAGAGATAGTGAGAGAAGGTGGGGTTGGGTAGAAATTTCGAAAGTTCTAAAGTTCTGTTGAAAAATTTTTTGTTGTAAACTTTATTTTATATTTACATTTAGAAAAAAATTGGCGTTCTAATTTTTCAAAGAAAGTTCAGCATCAAATCTTGAAAAACCCTTTTTTCCCAAGCTTTTGACTCACCAGATCTGTATAATATGCGGTTCCATCTTTAATTTCTCTCCTTTGCTTGATATCTGCTTCTGTTGTGTCTCTTGTAATCGATAAATATTCAAATTCTCGATTTGTAGCCTCCTAAACTCCAATGTTTTTCTTCTTCTCTCAAATTAAAAAAAAAACTCACCAAATATCTCAAAACAATCTCTAATCTCAATTTTCCAGGAACACCTAACAAGAAAACATCCTGTTTCAATAAATCTTTTTGAATCAGCCATTTCAAATGAGGTAGAATATCATCTGGCGGCTGTTTGGTTATCCCGTAATATGCAGGGACTAGATCTGGATTTTTTGCATCTCTTCTTGGCACACGAACTGACCCGATTCTCAAATATGTTCCAGCTGCAAAGATTATTGACTTTTTCTCAAATATACAAAAAAAAAAAACAAAAGAAAACTCACCATTTCTCATTTGTCGAGAGACGCCACAAACTACCCGCGTTATCATTTTTTGTATTTATTTACCAGTCAATTTTTCAGGCGCTAAATAAAATGAATGTTCTATGGTTATCAATTTTCTGTGAAAAAAGAAGAAAATATAAAAGGTTTTTTTCAAAAACCTATTGAAAATGATAGAAAACACGGTGATAACAAGATACTATTCATATCAAAATATTAAACAAAACATATCAAAATGAGATCTGGCAAGAAATTGAGTATCATAAAATATGAGATGAAATATATGTACAATCATTATCGATTTTTGATTAACGCTTGAAGAATGAGACGAGGACCAGTGAAGCAACACCAACCAAACCAAATATTATGTACTGGAAAATGTAAATTATTGATTTTTAAAGGGTGAAAAAATGTACCTTTTCTCTTTGGTCACGTGAATCGTTTTCGATTTGAAGGTGATGAAGTATGTTGCCAATTGTGTCTGGAAAAATGTTGAGATTTTTGGTGGACGTGGAATTTTCTGAACTTGGTTTTGACTTTTAGATTCTCTACGGGATCCATATCACCCTGCCCAAAAAGTTCACTATAAATTCAGTATAAAAATATCATTATGAAACCATTTTTTAGCATTTTAGGCTCATTATTCGGCCCTAATTGCTCTTTGAATATCCAGCAACATTGCTCAGATCAACAAGATTTCGCCCTCAAAAATCGCCACTAAATCCACCACTTTTGCTTATTCAACAGAAAAATTCCAGAGTTTTTGAGCCCACATTCATGAGCTCAACTTCCCCTATCTCTACGCAAAATCTCACCCGCTCCCTAAAAAAACATACCAAGTTCTTCTCTCAACATTTTGATTTGCTTAATCGGATCGGTTTCAAACTTTGAATCTTCTCGATCCTGAAAATGCATTTTTATTTGTTGATATTTCAATCGTGCTTCATGAATTTCAACTAACCGCTCCAAATTTGCCAGAGAAAAGCCAATAATCAAGTGAATCTCTATCCTCTTCCGTGTAGAGTGTTCCAGGAATAAAATTCTGCAAAAATAATGTCTAATTTCATCCCATTCCATATAAAATATATAAACTTACATTAACTCCAGTGGATTCCATACATTCGCCGGTTCCAGAAAGATGTTCAGGCATAAACATAACTAGAAATAAGAAAAATAACTATTGCAATGAGTGCAAACAATTCAAAAATGAAGAAACACACCTCTGCAACAACGCTCCGCTCGCCTGTTGTTTAGCAAGGGTCTTGCAACGCGTCCCTTTCATTGTTTGTTTTCTTTGCTTGTCGATTTACGAGGAAGGAAATTCGCCTCTTTTTATTTTTGTTTTGGTTGTTTTTGTTGTCGATATTTTCGTGACTAGGCAGAAATGAGTCGTAAAACCGATCAGGTGAGTGTTTTTTTTGTTAGGTGTGTAAAATACATACAAACAAGTTTTTTTTAGGTTGTTCAAATCTCTGAAACTGCTTTTTGGAGTGATATTAAGGATGAATATATACAAAAATTGGCGAATACGGATCCAAATGATGTTTATCCACCAATTAATCCTGGTGAGTGTTTTTTTTTTTGCGTGAGGAAAATCTAATTGTCTTGTTACATTGAAAATATTATTTTAAAAGATTGGGTAATTTCTAGAGTTACCTTATCCTTTGAAAATTACGGAATCTTTGAAGCAGAGAGATTTTCCCTGGAAATTTATACACTATGAGACAATTCATAAAAGTCTTTAGAGATACTCTAACTTCTGTAGATACTCTAACTCCTGGCATACTTTCTGTTGATTTTTATAACTGTAAACAAGGGAGAAATGTAATTTAACGTGATATTTTTTGATATCTTTCAAAATGAACAGTTCAAAAATTGCATCACTGAAAAAGGAAATATTTTTCGAAAGATAGATTATTTATCATTAAATTGTGAATGTGTTTTGTTTATTTCTTCTAAATTTTCTTCTGGTTTTCTCTGGGTAAAATAATGAATTTTTCATATAATTCCGTGCTTTCAGAATTTCTGAATCTTTCAATTATTTTTCAAATTCATTTTCCTGTTTCGCAAGTTAGGAAAATTTTTTGTTTGCTGTCCTTTCAAAAATTATATTTTCGAAACCCTCCATCCATCCTAAAATCAAAAAACATTTCCAGGTCCAACAAATCCCGATGGAAGTGTGAACTTCGAATGTCATTGTGTTGGACATCTTGTTGCAAGTCCCTGCGGATATGAATTTCGGTACGTTTTCTTATTCATCTTTTGTTTTGTATCTCATATTATTTTCACAGAGAAGCGATAAGTTGTCAAAAAGAATCGACTGAAGAACAAATGGAAAATGGTGCTTGCGGTCAACAATTGATGGCATTCATGGAGTGTGCGATGCGAACACAATGCTTCAAAAGTTAGTTTTGTTTGAAATTTTGATTATTCATACATTTATAAACATTTGTTTCAGCGAATGACGATGAGAAAAAGTGACGATGATAAGAACAATAATAGTAATATTAATAATCATATTTGTTTAGACTAGGCCCTTGTTTTATTTACTTTGTTCATCTTCTTATTTTCCTGCGGGTTTCATGAAGTTTTATCAATTTTTCATTTTCAATTCTCAAGATTTGCTCACTTGGTTTACATACCATTTTATATATTTTTCGATTTTCATCCTCCATTTTCCAATTTTCTCTACAGATGATGCAAGTGCCGGATCATCTATCGGTAACAGGCGCTGATTTGATATCCCTTGAACCCATCAGCAATTTGATGAATCGACTCGAAAGTGCTAGAAGTGCATTGATTGAAAAGATGAGTGTTCCGGAGCATATCACTGTTTATGGAGAAGAGAAGACTGTTATACCGGATGAACGAATTTATCGACAATCGGTGAGTTCTTCTTTTTTTGTTGAAAATAATGAAATGTTTGGTTTGTTTCAGGCATTGCGTATGGAAGTTCCTAGTCATTTGAATGTCTTTCATCTGTCTGAAACATCGGAAAACAATAATATGAAGAGTAAAACTATAGTTAATCAATCGACAGCTTCGTCGAATTTGGAGAATCCATTTGAGGAAGCGAAAATGATGAGAAAACAGTTTGGTTAGTGATTTTAGATTTGAAATTTTTAGAAAATTGTGAATAATCATTGTTTGGGTGTTATTTTTATATTCATTTGAATTTATAATCTATTGCAAAGTCGTTTCAATATATCAAAAATTTAGTTTTAGAATTTCAAAAAGTGGGTCCAAAAATAAAATTCAAAGGCAAATGTGAAACAATAATTAAAGGATTCGTCTTTCTATGAGGTCAGATTAGCTGAATAGTTTAAGCTAAGGTGCTTCTTGAAAGTTCTGTGTTTAGAAAAATTTCTAGGTGCGCGGATACCGATATTTTCGTGAAAAAACAACCCGCTAAAACTTTAAAACTAGTAAAGCAAGCTCGCTCTATTGCACGCATAATTCATATGTGTACTTCTCTCGGAGTTTACATCCAAACATTTATCGATTATTTCGGGTGTCCCTCATCAAGTCTATGCTAATTTATAGTTAGTTGAAAATAGTGATTTGTGATCTGAAATTTCAAAATTAATTTTTTAAACTTCTCTAGAATCTAGTTAATTTCAGTAATAATGGTCGAACGAATTCGTATGCTAGAAACTCAAATAGATGTACAAAAACGACGTGAACGAGTTCTCCTTCTTGCTCTCATCGGAGCTGCTCTTACAATGGCTTGGAATTGTATGAAAAGATAGTCATTCAACATTCACATATTTTTAATTGAACATAACGTGTAATTATTGTCACAAACAAATGTATTTTTTGCATCCTTCATTGCCAAATATTATGTATCCTAGGCTTTACCGATTCTTTCTATATATTTTTATATGTACACATTGTACACATTGCCTTATTTTTGCATTCAGGGCCAAGCATTTTATAAAAACTTTCTTTGTTTCTTTGTACAAAAAAAATTAATAAAAATAAATATTTATGCAGATCTTGTTGGTTGTGAAAATTTATATGTATTCAAAGAGAAACTATTCAGCTATCCATGCAATTTCTTTCTCATTTATTTTCCTTTTTGTTGTTATAATTGGAGTCACTGATCGCTTTCTCCGACAATAGAAAAATATCCAAATAAGTGCAGCAATTACTGAAATTGCAGTTAATCCAATTCCAACTCCCATTATAATATTTGGAACTGTTACAACATTGAATCGAATGTAATCTAATGCATAATCTCTTGTTTCAACTTTAAGTTCCAGCCAAAATTCAGGGATGAATGCGTTTGGAGAGTTACTCATCAATCTGAAATTTTGAAAATTGAAATTCAGATTGAATGAAAAACAAGAGAAAAACTCACATCCAAGAAGGTGAATTAAAAATCGGAACAGTTAATTGCATTCTAAATTGTCCACCCACAGTACTTCCAGTTGTTGGATTTATATAAAATCGACCTGGAGCATGCTTCTCAGCATCTGGCTTCAAACCAATCAATGAATTTGTAACATCATCTGGTGAGCCATAAAAATGTGGAGCGGATAGAATAGCACCAAATGGTACCAATTTATTTTGCCCAGGGAGACATCTTTGAGGAATGACACCAGGTGGGAGAACATAAGTGTTGTTAACGTGTGCACCATCACAACAATTACTGCAAAAGTTGTCGAATTGACTGCAGTCCACAAGAGCGCAGTTTCCGTTTGGTTGTTTGGTGTGGTTTGCACCGCATGGCCAGGTAGGGAAATAATTCTAGAAGAAAAAAACATGATTATAAAATTTTCAAAAAACATTTCTAAAAAAACTCACAACTTGCTCAAAATTTTCATATCGATAACCAGGATTCTTGATAGAATCATAGGTGTCATCAGGAATTATAAAAGTGAGCGTCGGAATTCCGGAAATCGTATCACCTTGTTCTTCATAGGCCAAATCATAAGTTCTGCATACAAATGACTGGAATTGTTTGAGTTTGTCAGTTTTTTTCAAGCCTGGTTTTTGGAAGGATCCATCTCCACTATTTCTAATATCTCGAGTTGATTCACTATTCCACCATGATAAATGTGTTATTCCATCCCATGTTTGAATCAAGGCAGTGCTAAAAAAATCATAATCAATGTTTTTTCCTATCATTTTCATGTTCAACACTCACTTATCTGTGTTATCTTTTCCAGTTTTAATTGTATAATTACCATCACAAGTGTGATTATAATGTGGGAAAAACCCGCCATCAACAATATCTGGAAGAGCAATCGGGTTTCCCAAAATATTCATTACAATTTTTGTGAATTGACTGTTAACAAGATCAACAAGAGGATCAGAGTATCCAACAAATAATGTTCCAGATCCTGAAACTGTTCGAAGTGGTTGCTCTCCTAGAAGAAGGGTCAAGAAATTCATGCCAAGTGTAACTATAGCTGGGCTAGGATTCTGTATTTGCATGAAAACTGTTGTCATATATGATGGATTTGCCATAATGAAAACATCATCGAAATTACAATCTTCACAAGATCTTGACTTGTCAAAAATCTGAAACTTTTTTTGAAACTTTTTTGCAAACTTTAAAAAAAAACTTACCCATGTCTTATTATTTTGATAAAATATTTCCTTATCATTATTCCGGAACTCGACGAAATCTTTGAATTCCGTTTCTCTAAAAAAAATATAAGCCTTTTGAACTTTTTTGGAATTTTCTCTGATAGGCAGCAATTTTTGATTAGTGAGTGTGGAATTAAAGTTTTTTGCGAAGAAAAAAAAAGTAAAAGGTGTTGATAATTCAAAATTTTCACGATTTTTTTCGAAACCTCACAGTTTCGGGTGAGATTGAACGCAAAAGTGAGAGATTCAGAAATATATTTGATCTACCAGAATTTTTTCCAGAAATTTAAGGTCAAAGAATATCCTGAATTCAATTTTCAATGAAACATTTTTTTTGGAATCTTGAGAATTTTGGCCTCATTTTCGAAAAATTTTAAAAGACTTTCAGCAAAATCTGAAATCTTTGTCGGCATGAAAATTTCTCCTTCTCCATTTCTCTCAAAGGTTTTTTGATTGTGATCTTTATGTAATCATTAATTTTCTCTATTTTGCAAGCAATTTTTTGGGTCGTAAAATTCACAGACTAAAAACCATAAATTTCATTATCAAAAACTAATTGAAGCATTCTTATCATCATAAATTCGTGGTTTTCTATGTTCATATAGTTAACAAAATCAAAAGAGAAAAACTCACGCGTAGGTATATGGTCCGATATCGATCAAATTCGGTTTGGCGCCATAATAAAGAACTTCATCGGGATTCGTAACATTCCAAAAGATAGAATTGGAAATATTGGGTAGCCGGAAGACGAGACCAGAAATATGTACCCGTTGGATATTGACCATCGTATTTTTTTCTGAAAAAAACATAAAAAGTAATAAAAAATTTCCAATTGTACATTAAAAAAACTCACTGTAAATAAACTTGTGAATTGACAATATTTTGAAAGATAGCAATTGGAAATGGTATCAATAAAAATAGTCCTAACGCTAACAGAAATACTAAAAAAGCAGCTAAGATAATTGCAAAAACGAGACGCATAGTTAGTAGTAGTGGATAGGAAACGTGTTTCTCCTTCTTTCTCCCGACCAACTAACTGCACACACTTCTTATCATTCGGAGCCCAATCGACCAACTCGTCGCCTCCCTTCGAAACATATTTATTAGGGTGTATGTAATCATACTTCACTGCAATTGCTTGCTACCAATCAAACTTGACAAAAAATGTGTTAGATTATGCATTTTAATTCCAGTATCAAGTGTCAATTTCAGTAGCAAAATGATAATTCGAACATTTGTGCAAGAAATGAGATGGTTCGATTTTGATTGAAAATGAAAGTGAAAAATCGTATGAGAACATTTTTAAATTATATTTGATTAAAACTTGACGAAAATTTATGAACATCTATAGAAATATCGTATATTTTCGATATATTTCAAAAAGTTCATAAGGTTACAATTCAGTTGACACAGGAAGTTCAAAATGCCTCTTGTCAACCTTTCTATTAGAAAATTCAAAAATTATCAAAATGAACTTCCGGAAAGGGTTCTTATTGCACTGGAATTTTTTCAAAGAACAGTTAGAATTTCAGTCAGAGGGTTTTGAATTCATCAAGAATTTTCTGGATTTTTATCTTGATCTACAAAGTCAATACATTCAGTGGATTGCTCATCACGACTCCTTTGTTGAAAATTTCAGATTTGGAAAAAGTCAATTTTTGTACTGGCCCCGTCCACTCCAGCACTGTTTTCTATTCAAATTGAACTGCGAACTTTTATTAAAAGACATTAGCTCGCTAATTAATTTTGTTTCATTGTAACATTTGAATTTCAAATTAATTTTTTCAAAGAAAAAAGCCCTTGATATCTCTAAAATTCTTGAAATTTCAGGATTTTTTTGTTGTATTTCTTGATATTTATACAAAAACCATTGAAAACCGACATTTATATGGTTTTGTTTTTCTGTTTTCATTTCTGATTTGTGATTAAACCAAGGAATTTGAAATATTTTTATCTCTCACTCAACTCGTACAAAACTGAAACATTTTCAAGAAGCTGAACCATCTATTTTCAGCAATGTTTATCTCTTCCTTATCAAATCAAAAATTTCCATTTCCCTGTCTAATCTGAAAAATTTGGTAGTAAAACCACATGTTTCCCACATTTCCCCCACTAATTTGCCCTTTTCCTTCATCAAACATCATTGTTATTCAAAAATGTGTAAAACAATAATACAAAACTCTTAAAATCTTGTTTTCAATATGAACTGTGTATATTTGAACTGATAACAAAACACGTGTTACACTCAAAAAATTATGATTGTTTGTCAAAAATTGGATCATAAAAATTGTCGGGGGCACAAAAATTCTCCGATTTTCCATGTTGCGATATTTTTGTGTCAAGTTTGAGGCGAACTGAGTTGATAAGAAAAAAAAGAAGAGTTGCACAAAAAATAGAAATCAACAATCAAAGAGATGATATTGAAAGATTAATTAGGAGGACTCGAGTGTAGTTTAGAAATGAAATTTTGTTGAATTCCGCGCTGACAAATAATGAATTACAAAGATCAAGAGAAAAATAGATAACACGATCTACAATGTACCCTTGAATTTTAAAATTTCGTTCGCAAGTCCCTAACTTTGAAAGCGAGGTAATGCTGACAAATTTAAGAAAAAATTCTGGAAAAATTTCGAAAACATGTTTTTCAAGCGGAGAAATACAATAATTTGTATTTTCTTGACGTTAATCGTATAGTTTTTCAACATGTTTTTCAATATTCTCACGTTGCTTTTCAGTATATAGGTTTACCCTTGAAGGCCTAAATTTTTATTTTTTTCATAATTCAAGAATGTTTTCCAGTTTCATTTGATCTTGATTTTCAAATGAATTCCAGAACCTTCACGAATTCAAACAATTTTTATTCTCTAAAGAATAGTTTCACCCAATCTGAAAATTTGCTAAAAATAATCTCATAATTTGCAAAAAAAATCCCCAGTTAATTTCCCCAATTAATTAATGCCAAAAATATATATTTGAAGTTCTCGAAAAACCACAAAAAAAATATTTTTCAATACAAAAAATTGAATTTGGAATACGGTAATCGTATGTTTTCCGAAATTTGTTGATATTCTCACGTTCATTTTCACAATCAGTGTTTTCAAAAAATTTTCTTTTATTTTTATTTTGAATTTTTATGTTGAGTTGAGCAGGAGGTCCGTGATTTTCTTGTACACTGTGTAAATTATTATTTAAAAAAAATATTTTTCTAGTGAGTCAAAATGCGGAGAGCGTAAAAAATAGTCTAAAAATGTTTAACATTTTTTTCTGAAACTCAGGATTTAAAAATCCCTAGTAAATCAAAAGATTCATAAAACAGAGAACAAAAGTTCTCGAAAACATGTTTTTCAATGCGGGGTAATACAAAAAATTATATTTTGAATACGGTAATCGTATTTTTTCTTTATGTTTTCGAAATTCTCACGTGCCCTTCAAGTTTCCAATCAACGTCATTCATTTCTTGAAAATTAAAAAAAAAAACATCATTTTCCAGGCGGAGCAATACAAAACTTGTATTATTCTGACGTACATTTTCAGTATATATCGAAGTCCCGAATTTCATTTGCCATTCTCATTAATTTTTTGCAGTTCCATATTCCTATTCACATACATAATTGCTCAATTTCCTCTTGTTTTTTCTCTTCTTCTCAAATTCAGATAACTTGAAAAATGTGCTTTCCCATTCGCAAACTGATAATAAATGTCATCGTATCAATGAACACGTTGTGCGATCAGACGATTTTTGTTTTGTGTTCCCGGAAAATATCATTGATCAACTTGAATAATCCTTGGGTGGGAGAAAAAATTGGTAGAATAGAATAGAAATAGTTTAGTTTTTGGTCAACGTATTAGTGATAGTGCGAGAAATAAATTATCATAAAGTTTTCCGAAAACGTGAAAGATAAGGAACATATTTGAATTTGACGGTGAAGGGGGACTTCTGAACTCAACACTTTTGTTAGAACAATTTGGAAATTCTGAAATCCAGATTTAGTATTGGAATCACAAAAACCACCCTGGAGCCGAATTATAAGCTCTGAAAGTTCTAAAGAAAAAATATATACATTTTCATATGTTTATACTGTTCAAAAAATGTCAATTTTTCTCTGAAAATAATTTCAGGGTAAATAAAGTATGCTGATCATTTTCGGATAATCAATTTTTCGATAAAAAATATTGTGAATTGATGATTTTCACGTGTCACTTGCAATTATTGATCCTTATCTCCTAGAACTTGGCTCCGAGGTCCACTGGGAGTCAAGAATTTCTGAAAACATGCATCGAATCCTTGTCAATAGATGTTATTGTATCACACTAAGCCTCTTTCTCTCTTTCTCTCTATAATTAAATTTCCAAGAGCATATATATGAAAGAGTGCATAAACCTTTAATTATCACCTGGCAAGCCGGTCGAAACCTATCTGTTGCTAGGAAACCTTGTCTCCAGCCCCTTTCGAACGTTTTTATTTTATTAATTCTTTTTTCCATACTCATTTTTACGAAATACAATTTTCATTTTCATTTTCAAGCCACATTTTCATTTTCATTTTCTTTTTTTTTTTCGATTTTCAAACCAAGCATAAAATATTCATTAAACAATAAATTGAAGAACTTGTTCAGCCATAGTTGTTGAATCTCGAAACACAAACGATGATTCACACGCAGTTTTATCAAAGATAACATGTCCACGCGCTAGTTTTTCTTGCATTTTTTCTCCCTGTGCAATTGGACACCAACCATCATTCAACCCATAATAAAAGTATATCAAATCCTTGTGAAACAGCAAATTTTCATCAAGATTGTTGATTTTTTCAAGCTCATCATTGAATAAATGCAAAACATTTCGAAAAACATGCATATGCAGCAATTCAGTTATTGAATCAACAAGTTCAGGGTATGACTAAAATGATATCATTTTTCATTGGCGCGAGACTTTATGACGTCATAATTGACTTACCTGATCAGGTGTTAATTTCATGTTAATTATATTTTTCTTTGTTGACTCGGGCAGCAAATCAATCCAGAAGGAGAGTGATTTTGCTAACCAATCATTCGTTGTCAATGTCTGCAAAAATTTTTTTTTAATATTTTTTTTTCTTTGTTTTTTTTTCTATTTTATTGTGAATTTTTGGTGATTCATTGTAATGAATAGCTAATTTAGGCCACGCCCAATTTTTTTAAATCTGAAAAAAAATTTCATACCGATATAAACTTCCGCAATCGTATTCCATTGGGAGTTTCAGATATTCTCTCGATTGCTGGGAAAAGGCAAACAGCTTTTCGCAAATGAAAATCATCTTTGATATACGGCAAAATGCTGAAAATTCTTGAAGGGTTGGTTTGAATTCAGAACTTTGGAATATTTTAAGGATCATTTTTTTCTGCGGAAAATATATACGAAATTTTTTCCAGAATTTCAGTTCCGCCTAAATTAAAGTATAGAGAAACCTTTAAACAAAGAAAACAAAAATGTATTTTGGAAACCTTTTGGATTTAATTAAAAGCTTTCTCATTTCTCTTTTTTCTTTATACTTTACATAATTTTCCCCTTGTTCATCAAATTTCTCCCAATGTTACCTTAGCAACATATATGCTCCCATTCCATGTCCAAGCATATAAACACGTTGACCTCTTGGGAGATATTCTTTGACAAAATCTAATTTATGTTGCACTTGCTCACCCAAACTAAATCGATCTAAAACAAACAAAGAAAAAACTCGTGTGATTGGGTTAAACATCAGATATTCTCTTGGGAAACTAACCAGTTACTCGATGTGTTGAAGATCCTCTTAATTCTGGTGGAAGTAAAACATGATTCAAATTGGAAACAGTGTAGAAAATAAATTGTATTTTTCGATCGCCTAAACGTTCTTCTCTTCCAATCAGATTTCGGATAACTCGTCTTCCGAAATCGGAATATAATCCATCGTTTCCTGGATTTCCGGGAATCATGAATATTATTATTCGATCCTCGCTTTCTCCTTTGTTTTCTCGCACCAGATTCTCTGGTGACAACGAAAGTCCCATGATCTGTGAAAACATTATTTTTTTATTTGAGAGAACCAATATATGTTTTTTGATAAAAACATTATTTGATAAGATTTCCAAAAAAAAAAACATTTAGAATGTTCTTTTTTTATTTTTACAACAACAAATGTGTCTAAACCAAACTAAAAATTTTGAGTTCCTAGCAAAAAAATTCATTTTTCACATTGACTGATTTTCGAGTTTCAAAAACTGTTTCTGAAAAAAAGTTTGCTGAAATTACGGCAAATAATATGATTTTTAACAACACCAAAAAAATCAGAATTTTCTGATTTCACGCTCATAGATGTTTGATCTTCATCTGAATTTTAAGAAAATAAATTATTCATCTGTTCTTTAAATTCGTTCTCAAAAATCTCCCATGTTTGATAAAAATCTTTATAAAATAAAAACATTTCGAACGTCCCACTAGATCAAATCATTTCATTTTTTCGGTATCACAAAAAATTTTCTCAATTTTTTTTTTCCAAAATCAAAACATATTTTCTAGCAATTCGAATCATGATGAAATATTTTTGATGATTTTGAGTCATTCAATTTCGAAAAGTTCACGCTTATTTCTGTTGAATTTCTACAAACTTCTGACTTCCTGGTTAGAAAACAAGTCTCTCTTTCCCAAATTTTTATCAACAAAAAAATCTGAACTCACCGACATTCTTGTCCATTTTCCGCTAACTTGAACCCATTCAACTTTTCTCTGAATATCCAACATGTTCAAACTTCCTCGAACTCTTCCCGTAGCTCGATCAAAAGGATTCGAAGCCGCTTCCATATTTCTTTCCAATACGTTTTTTCTCCAGGAAAAAAAAAATAAAATAGCGGTGGGCGGTTTGCGCGTTTTTTGAAAAATGAGTATGAAATTGAATGGTCCCAGGCGTGTCAGCGGCGTTTGAAATACGCTTGGGGTTTTGTCGAGCCAAGCCACCACGTCTTTTTCTTTTGATATCTCAAGTGTTTGAACTTTTGGTTGGTGTGGTGTTTTTGGCGAAAACGAGCCGCACAATGAGATTTTTGATGGATGTGAACGCGGTTGTTCAAAAATAGAACGAATTTGTGTTGGTGAGAAAGGGGAAAATAAATGTTTGGGAGATTTTTTTGGTGTTGGAAAACAACTTTAATTGTATTAGATGAAATCATTCTGGTGGTTTTTGGTGTAACAAAAACAACTGGAGGCAATATAGAATAAATTTGGGAAATACTGGATGATATTACTGTGGTCCTACTCAGGCTTGTGCGGAAACGGAAAACGCTTTTTCCGATTTTCCGACTTTTTGGGAAAATTTCGGAAAAAATACGAGTCGGAAAATTTTCCGGCCGAAAAACTCGGAAAACTTTTGGTCGGAAAATTTTTCCGACGAATATTTTCGGAAAAACTTATTTTCCGAAAATTTTCCGAGACTAATAATTTTCCGAAAAAGTGAAAAAATAGGCGATTTTCAGGAATTTTTGCTAATTTTATCACGAAATAATTTTGGTAGTTGTGAAAAATATAGTAAGTTGTTAGTAATATTCAACAAAAGTGACAAAATACCGTGAAAACTGCTGAATTTGTTGAAACTACTTCAACACAACTCAAAAACCAGCAAAAATTCCTATTATTTCTTCATTGAAATTTTTTCCGAAATTTTCCGTTTTTCCGAAAAATTAAGTCGGAAAAATCAGTCGGAAAACTTTTTTCCGAAAATAAAAAGTCGGAAAATAACTTCGGAAAACTTTTTCCGACCGGACGGATTCGGAAAAACACGGTTTTCCGAAATTTTCCGAAAACCTATTTTCCGCACAAGCCTGGTCCTACTGTAATTTGATTAAAATTCTGAAAAAAAAACTCATTTTTTTCATAGAAGCTGGGATGAATATCAAGGCCACAAAAAATTCCAAAAAAAAATCCACAAAAAATCAATTTCCCCATTCCCCCAATTTTTTTTTTCAAATTTCGAAAACCCATTCTCCCTATCTTTTCATTTTCGCACTTTCCTATCTCTAACATTTCATTCGCTTTCTCTCGTGGCCTCAATAGCTCAGTTGGGAGAGCGTTAGACTGAAGATCTAAAGGTCACCAGTTCGATCCTGGTTTGGGGCAGTCTTTTTTGCATTTTTTTTTGTATTTTGTATTTTTTTTATTTTTTGGTAAAAAGCATACAATAATTTTCAGGACTTGGGTATGATCGAAAAAACGTTTCACATGCGGATTTTTTATATTGTTCCGCTTGCATTCATTGCGTTTCTAACCGTCGTTGACTTTTATTACAACATCAAACTTCAGGTAACTCCCAAAACAAAAAAAGTATTATTATAGAACATTGAACATTTTTCAGGATGACCCAATTGCTTGTCGTATTCATGCTTTTGCATTGTACTTGGTCTCTGTGAAAATTTCGGAACATTGTTTCCAAAAATGGTCGGTCCCTATTATTGTCTTCCAACATCTCAATCTTTATCTCTTCTATCAAACTTGGATTAGTCACGATTTGGTAAAGCTTCAAAAGAATCACAGTGAGTTTGGGAAAAAAGGATGGGCTAAGAATCTGAAATCTTCTAATCAACTAATTTTCCATTTTCAGTGGAACTCACCGAAGAATTCTACAAAACGTTCTCCCTTCTCTTTGCTCCGGCTCTCCAAATTTTCGGTTATTTCAAAATGATGAAAGCCTTAATCACAAAAGGCATTCATTTGTCAACTGATGATTGGCCAATTCACAGAGGATATGTAAAACATTTGGGAATCTGCAAATTTTTCGCAATGACTGATATGATGGTTTTGTTGTCAATGACTGCTATTCGTTATCCAAACATCTATCCTGGAGTTAGTGTAAGAATTTTACTTATTTGGAATTCATTTTTTCAAAAAAAAAAATAAACAAAAAAATTCCAGGCTCACCCAATCGATGCAACACTTCTCAACTACACAACAATGATCTGCTGTCTTTTCGGAATTACTGGAATGATTTCATATTCTCTTCCAAACTATTACATCTACATGGTTTTCCGTATCTTCGATGGCTTCTACATTTTCTACATTGCCTTCACTTCTTCAACTGAACAACATAGATTCTTTGAAAATGGAAGCTTCTTGGATGGACTTATTGATATTGCCAAGTTTTTGATTTTTGATTTGATTGGAAATCCAAAGTGTATTCCATCGATTATGCGTCTCTCGGTTACCCCATTCTTGATTCTTCTTAACAAGAAATTCCACTACATGAAGTGAGTTTTTTCAAGGAACTTATACTAAGTTAAACTACCTTTGGTATTCCGTAACCCTTTTCCAACTTCTTTTTTTTCCAGTGATTTGGGAAGTGTCACCCACTTGAACCCTCTCAGATATTTCTACAAATATCGTACTCGCCGCAATCCAAGTCTTCAACGTCAACGCTATGTTATGGAAATGGAGATTCGTGATCTCTCACCACAACCACCAGAGTATCCAAATTTGCATCCAGATGAGGACTAAACCTTTTTTTCTTGGAAAACACTTTTTTGTAATTGATCTCTTTTCCCATTCCTACTTTTCTGCATACGAAAAACTTACATTAGTTATCCCAAAAAAATTTCCAATCCCATTTTTCCTGAATTCATACAAATCTGTGACGCTTTATTGATTTCGAAATAATTTGTGATAGCATAACTTTTCCATATCATTTCCCCTACAAAACTTAACTTGAAAACTAATTTTTTTATTCCAAAACTTTTCGTGAACTGATACTGATTTTTCCTGTAATCTGTGACGCTTTATTGAATTCGACATAATTTTTTTTCGAACTTTGTGATAGCATAACTTTTCCATATCATTTTCCCCATACTTAACTTGAAATTGAAAAACGAAATATTTTTTTTATCCCATAACTTTTACAAACTTTTTCCTGCAATCTGTGACGCTTAATTGAATTCGACATAATTTTTTTGTGAAATTTGTGATAGAATAACTTTTCCATATCTATTTCCTATATTTTCCTGCATAACTTCAACGTTTTATCAATTTCTAAATAATCTTTTCTAACCCATTTATTCCCCAAGACTTCCCCTAACTTGAAAAATAAATCTTCTTGTAGTCGATTATTGTGTTTTGAAAAAAATGAAATTAAAAAAAATCAAAAACTGATCATTTTTCTGCATACAAAAATGGGAAATGTTCATCAATTTCAACTATTGTGATTCTGACTTCCCCTAACTTCCAAATTTCATATAATCGTTTATTATGTATTCAAAAAACACGTTGAAATTAAGCATGGTGTAAAGCATATAATTACATACATCTCAAAAATTTTCAAATTCAATAGAATAAAGAATTACTTCACAAAAAAAAAAGAAAAATATCACATTTCGCGAAATGTAGAAATTGTAGCCAAGAACAGAAAAAATGTGGGGTTAAATGACATCCGAATCGATGAAAATCACAGCTCGATTATTCTGAAAATAAAATTCTTGAAATTTTTGATTGATGCTTGTTTGAAAAATATTTGGAAAACGTGGCACTTTACTTCACTTTCAAGCTCACTCACAAGCGTCTTACCTTCTTTCTGAAGACAATACATATGTAATTACAGAGAAAAAAACATTGATGAACAAAAGAAAGTTTCAAATTTTTTTTTAGAATCACAAAAGCAAAACAAACACGCACCTTGTTTGCATCATATTAATACCTCTGGTTGTGATGCGACCAGCAATCGAGATAATGTTTCTTTACACGATTTCGATCTTGATGGTTTTTCTGTTATCATTATCGGTGGACCTGGTCCCGGACTTTCGGATTTTGGCTTTCGGCGGCAAAAATATGATCGCATTGTTGAAGCGAATGGTTGAGAGTATTTCATGTAGATTACTATATTGAAGCTGAAAATGGAACTATGAATTTTGAATTATGAGTCAGGATTTGAGGTTCAGGCTTTCTGATTTTTGAAAATATAGCTGATAATAAATTCACTAATAGAAATTGGGGGAAAAACTTCTACAAGTGATCTAGATTCCCAGACTTATCCCAGAATCGTCCAAGAATCTTTTAGACTTTTCAAGACCTCACAAATCATTTATCGCCTCCCTGCCTCAAACCTCAAAGTTAGCGCATCTCTCATTTTCAAACAAAAAACTTTTTTGAATTCAAAAATGTTTTCCAGCCCTTGGCCTTAAAGCGATATATTGATTTTTTTTTCTAAATTTTCCCCGATCTTTTTTACCCCAAAATCCCTACCTGGAATTAAAAACAACAAGGAAATTGGATAAATCGACAATGTAATTAATTTTCGCCTCCAAAAAGCCAGAAAGCATATCTTCAAAAATATTGATAATCAAAGCAATGGTGTTGCAAGAAATGAAAAGCAAGACAACAAGAATCTGAAAAAAAAAATTTCTGAGTTATCCTAAATTCTTTCAAATTACCAAGGACATGGTATCATCAGTATTCGCATCAGTTTTTCCAAAAACTGAAAATCCAATAATAAACGAGTTCAACACAATGAGTAAAGCCAATGGACCAACAGCAATGAAAACCGAATACATATATTTGTAATAAATTTGTTGATAAAGCTCATTGAATCGAAATGAGAGAGGACATGTTTCTTGACTCATTCCTTTCCATTCATCCTGCCAACAATCGATTGCACGGCCTTCGAAGAAGTGGGGAACATTGTAGAGGATACAGAAGACAAGGACGATCATGGCGAGGAATCTGGCAGTGTTTTTTCGGCTGAACACACGACGTACTTTTTCCGGAGTGCAGACCTGAAAAAAAATTGATTTGGGTTCTGTTTTTATGTAATTTTTCCTCAAGAATTCAGCAATCACGGTGTGTTATTTATTATCTGAATGCTAGAGTTCAAAACACCTTGAGTAGATCAATAATATTTTTCTATAATTTTTTTTGACTTCAGGTAAGTTCTAGCAACTCAAATATTCAAGTTGAAAGTTTGAGCTTCGTGGGTATTTGCTCAAAAATTGTGTGATCAGAATTTTTTAAACAAACCTGAACAAAACAATCAATACCAGCACACATTGTAAAATACACTGAACTGGTTTGTGCAATTGTTCCCATCGGAAATACGATCGGTGAAAAAGCCTGAAATTGTTTTTTCTTTTCAAAATTTTTATCAACAATTTTCTTACCCCAATTATCCTTGTCGCCGTCAATGAAAATGGTTTATACGATTCCAGAGAGAATAAAAATATGCCAGTTAGCACAACTCCCGCATCTGAGCAAGCTAGTAAACATAAGTAAAAGTTTGTTGTGCATTGCATTTCTGAAAATATTTTTTTTGAGAATTTTAGAATCAGAATTATGAATAAATACCTGGTCGACTATAAACAAAAGCTGATATTGCATTTCCAAAAATGCCAAAAAGTCCAACAATCGGAAGAATGACTCCAAGAACCATGAAATTGAATTGAATGTAGTAGGGATCTTTGGGAGGCTGACATAATCCACACTGAAAATTAGAATTGAGATTTTTAGGTTTGGAGGTTTGGAGCGTGAATATTTTGTATTTCTTTAATCATAAAAAGTTTTCTCCAAAAAATTTGATTTTTTTTAATATTGATTCTAGATTCTACAGGGTTATTTTTGGTTTTGACAAATAATTTTAGATTTTATAAAATCCAAGATTTCTCGTGAACCTCCCAAACAATATTGCATTAAAATAATTTTTGTACATAACTTGATTTTTTAAGTCACAAGTTATCGTAACTCTCACTTCGCTACGAAGTTATCGTAACTCTCACTTCGCTACGAATTAAAATGTTAGCTAACGATTTTTAGACAAAGCGATTGTAATCCGAATTTTTTTCATTCCAAGAACTTCTCTGAAAATATTTGTTTTTCCCTCCCTCTCCCCTTCTCTCTCATTTTCAGTGAAATAAAACAAAGATTGTAGTTCAAACTTTGTTTCAATTTTCCATCCAAAATTAAATAACAACAAAACACAATTCAATTAGTCCCCAACACATTTCAAAAAAAATCCGATTAAACTTACATGAAAATAACAATCACTGCTGAAATGAACTCTTTCAAGTTCAACAATATGATCTTGCACCAATTCGGAGATGAATAAAAATACAGATGTATTCGCATCGCATCCTTCAGGAACCAATGCTGTTAAATTTGCTAGTAGTTCTGACATTTTCAATTTTCCATCAGTGCAAATCTTTAAAAATAGAAAAATGTTTTGACAAGCTCTTGAATTGAATTCAATCAAATATTCAAATGAATAAAAATGTCGCGAAAAAATACATGGAAAAAAGGGAGCAAGAAAAAAACGTGAGCATCTTTTTTTTTCTGGCCAGAATTCATTCATTCATTCATTCATTCAGGTTTGGTTCTGGTTTGAGATTGTTTTATTACTTTTGAGTTTTTGCTCGGCTTGGCAGAAAAAAAAAAACGAACGAACGATTCAAAAACTGCTCTTCAAAATTTTTTATATTAGGGGTATGCTGAATGAATGAGGAAAGAAGGAGAAGAAGCAAAAAAAAATGGCAGCAAAAAATGGAGGAAAAATAAAAGGAAGCTTTTTCTTTTGAAACTATTCACTTTCCGGGTCTCTTTCTTGATTTCTTATTCTATCAGAAACAGCGAAGATCATAAGGAAAAAGGAATAGAAGCTGCTTATGGTTCCAGCTTTTTTTCTAAAGAAACCTTTTCATGATCTATTATTTTTTCTGTGTTGATGATGAGTTTTGATGCAAGGTTTCCTCAAAAAATATGGGAGTTCCTAAAAATCCCTAAACAAAAAAATTCTGACCTATGACATCAAAAACAAATAAAATTTCAAAAAATTCACAACAAAAACACATCACATTATCTTTGGTTTGACACCCACGGTCAAGCTAAAATTGAAAAAAGCAAGATAAAAATAGAAAAGATGAGCAAACTTATGTGTCTGTCAAAAATGGGAGAAAATATGTTTTTTTTTATTGGGAGCTGACGAATTTTTTTTTGTTGATATATAAAATAAATATGTACAACAACTATAACTAGTTTATGGAATTCTGAAAAAAAATTTGATGTTCAGGATCAGAAATTTTCAAAATTGGAATCTGGGAGAAACTTCTATACATAAATCAGAGCTTGCAATTCATCACCGAAAATATTTTTGATCTACCAGAAAAATTTGTAGATAAAAAAAGTAGATCAAAATTGTGGACATATTGGCCAGCCAGTTCTTTAGGATGTCTATCCAGGTTTTTCCAAAATGCTCTTTGATACATACTAGTTAAACAAACTCATAGTATTTTCATAAATAATGCACTTCCTTATCTCAAATTACACCTAGATTTTGATAGTTTGCTCTCTCCTGGGTACAATTTTACGTCACAGATTTGAACCCTAACAGAAGCCAGAAACAAAAAAGATCCACCTTTCTCATTTCATTCACATCAGCCATAGAAAAAAAATGAAAAATGAATAAATAAAATAAATTTCATACCAAAAATTCTCGAAGCAATAAGAAAAAAAGAAGTTTGTCAAGTGATTGTCCCCAACCCAAAAAAACATTTAATCGGTTTCAACAACAACAAAAATCGCAAGCGGCAACTATTAAATTTGTTGAAAAATGTGGGGCGTCAACAAGCGCTAGCGACTCGCTAAAAATTTCACACAACATGAAAAAAAGTGTGGAAAAATTATCTGATTTTCCGTGAAGTCACATCATTTGAAAAAAAAATAGCGCAAAAAAAAACATTTTTGGGATGACGGAGAAAAATGGGTGTGTAGATAGATAGAATTGTTGGCGAAAAAAAAGAGGTCCGCGCGGAAGGAAGTTTGCGGCGTCCAAAAATGACTTGATTTTGGTTCGACAAGCATTTGTAAAATGATTTGGATGACGTAAATTTTTCTTTTTTTGGGTTGGTGCTTGAAAATTCAGATAAAACCCGAAAAATTCTCACATTTTTTTATAATGGGCCTATGAACATTAATATTTTGTGATTAGTAAGGGAGACCGTAGACTTTTATCGGATCTTTTGATCTTTTATATTAAAAAATTTGGTTTTCTGGGATCTAAAAATTTAGAATCCATAAGGAAAAGCCCAAAAGTGTTTGTTTTGTCTTCTCTAAAAAATCGTTCACACCAAAAGATTACCTCAACGAAAAATTGAACAATAACAACGAAAAAACCGTGAGAAACTCTAGAAAGCCTCCAGGGCAATTAGTCTGCAACCAAAAGCTCTTGGTTTGCAACCAAGCAAAACGAATCATAATAAAAATGAATCATGACGTCGATTTGGACGTGACTGGTTGGGATTGCGAAGTTTTATAGACTTTTTATTTGCGAATTCATTGCAACCAACACACACACACACATGGTCCTTCTCTCTACTACATACAGAAACTAATTGCACTTGTTTTTTTGAATTTTATTCTATTTTATTTTCTTGTGCCGAGTTTCCGGATAATTAGAATCAGGAAAAAAGAAAAACTCATAGAAACTTCGATTGCAAAAAATTAAAAATTAAAAACTTCAAAAATCAAAGTTCCTTAATGCTCCTCAATATCCCTTAAGAATCAATAAAACGTAAAGGTTCTTACTATAAAAACTGAAATCAATCTTTTTTGTGGAATTTCAAAGATCACAGACTCCCATTTCCAAAGTCAAAATGTTTTCAAAAGTCTGAGGACACAAAAAACAAAATGACAAAAATAAACAAATATGTGTGCCACTGCGCCCACTCACTTTTAAAAAAGGAGCTGCGAAGTTTACACCCATTTCGTTTCAGAAGGAAGATGAAGCAAGAAGAACGCAGAGACCAAAAATTGAATAAAAACAATTTGGACAACGACGAAAAAATAGCCTACTTTTTGACAATTTATTTTATTCGAGGATAGTATTTTTTCACTCGGCTTGCTTAAGTTTTAGACGACGAGATTGAGAAAGATGGATGATTTCACTTGATTACCGATTTTTTTGGGGTGGTGTCTAGAAAAAAGATGGGTGTTTCGATGTTGAGAAATCGGTTTTTTTTTCGGAGATCAAAACAAAAAACCAAAACATAAAAATATCTCTACTTTTTTCTGATCATTTCGAAAATAAAAAATACCGAATAATTCATGAAAAAATCTACGCCAGGTTGGTTTTTCAAAGATCATTCGAATTTTTGGAGCAGACTTTCTTTAGGATTGAATCAGGCCGGCCTAAGCTTTTGCTTAATTTTAAAAGCCTGAAGCGGGCCTAAAATTTAACTCTTGTCTAGAGTATACTTGCCTAGAGTTTAGACTTGAACCTTTAACCTTAGACTTTAAGCCTGATGATAGAAATTTAGTGACGGGCTATATTTTGAACTTAAATTTGGAAAAGCCCTGTCTTGAACTTAAGATGTGGATTTGAAAGTCCGGCATCAGCCCACAGTTTTATCCTTAACCTAGATTTTAAAAGAGCAAAGCCCTTGAAAGCCCAGTATTTTCTCCAATCTTAAAAAAACAAACCAGGCTTCCTAGCCCAAGGAACACGTCTGCTCTTCAGTTTGTCAATGATCTTTCAACAAAAAAATTGGAATTCAATCTCTTTTCATAAATCTTTGGTCAATCTCCAGGATTAGCGAAAAATGATATTTTCCCATATGAAAAAGTTCGTTTATGACCATCATAAAACGTGAAAAATGAGAACAATGTTAGTTCTGAAAAAGGCTTTTCTTGGTGGCAAAAGTTAATGAATCGAATGAACAATTATGTACAGTAATAGGTTTGTACTTTTCAAATTTTCTGATGATGTTTGAATTTGAATCGTTGATTGAAAAAGAAAAGCCCTCATTAGATAAATTTGTTGCGTTTTTTTGAAACTCGTTAGTTAGTGAAAATGAAAGCGAAAACGACAGATGTTGACAAAAAAATTCTGGAAAAAAATCATAAAAAATCATGAAATGAATAATTTGTGATGTGATGTGTTGGGCGGACTCACACATGTGGTTCAGACAAGAAGAAAAATAGTTTACAAATTCTTTTCTAGCAGCTTTTTCATTCATTTTTGTTGAAAAGAGCAAATGCAATGCAAAACTTGGAAACAGATGTGAATATGTTTATTTTTTGCGTCGATCTTCCTTCCGGAGATCAAACTTTTTTTGCTCCTTTTTTTATTTGGAATAAAAAGAAAACATCCAATTAGACCGAATGATGTGAGTTTGAAAATTCTAATTAAAATATGAGGAGGAAAAATAAATAAGTGTTTTGTTTTGTTTATAAGCAAAAAATCTGACGTACTATGATCCAGAATTTTTTGAAAATTTTTTTTTTCCGATTACGAAACATAAAAAAAGGACAGCTAAAAAGAGGTGCAAAGAATCGAGTTCAAGGAAGAAAAATTGGGAAATTAAATGTAAATGAGATGCAAAGAGACATTCTTAATTTCAGCAAATATTTCCTTGAACTTTAGACAAGTGTCAAAAACTAAAACTAATTTCAAGCCCTTCGGATAGCAGAACTGAAATAGAATGATAGAGATTCTGCGTGGTCTGGTCTGATTATATAATTCACAACGAAAACTGAATTTTTTTCAGGAAAGGAAGAAGAATACGGCGACAAAAACACTTGAGGTGATACTTGATTTTTCTCTGTTTTTTCTTAGTGTTTGCAACAAAAACGAAAACGGGGAAATGTGTTGGATCCTTTTTTTTCAAAAATCATGTGGCTACAGTAGTCTTGCACTTTAGAAGATTGAGCAACATTTTTGAGATTTCAGGAAAGTTCAAAAACTCAAAGTTTAATGGAGAATCCAGAAAAATTTGTGTAAATTTTTTGAAATTTTCAGAATTTTCAGATTTTGAAAATTACTTCCATTTTTTTTTTGAAAAAAAAATTTATACTTCAATTAATGAGCTCAAATTTTGAATAAAAACTTTCATCTACAATTTCATTTGAATCAGAAAACATTTTTTATCTCTTCAGAAATCATGTGAGAATCCTGGCTACAGTAATCCTGCACTTTGGAAGATTGAGAGAATGTTTGGAAGTTCAGAAAAGATCAAAGTTTCAAAGTTCATTTAGAGTTTGTAAACATTTCAATAATCAAAACATTTGAGTGCAAAAACAACTCTAAAAAAAGAATTTCAAATGGAAGCTTTCAAAAAATTCAGAATTTGAAAGTTTTTTATACGAATCAAAAAGTTCACAGATAAATCTTATGCTTCAGATAACAATTTAAAAAATTATCAAAAAAAAAACCTTTTTTTTCTTCTCTACGTCACTGATTTTTTGAATCAAACAAACTTTTTTCAATTTTTCAAAAAGACAAAAAACTCAAAAATAGAAATTGATGTTCCTTTCCTCTTCCCAAAGGAATTCAACAAAAAAGGAGAAACCAAAAACTTATTCAACACACAGAAAATCAACATTGTTTCGTCTTAAAATGAAAAAAGACAAGAGTTGACAAGTACAAATTGGGAGGATTCTCCAAAGAATTTGCCAACCAAAAAAAAAAGACCTACCGTACACCGCACCTCACTAAAATTGAGTTATCGAACACATTTTTGTCATAAAGTGGATGTTTTTGTCTTTTTTTGGGGTGGATATTTTGTTAATGGAGTGGGAGCACCCATGAGAAACTAAACTAACTAACCGAAATGAAAAGAAAGTAAAGTGAAAGAAAAAACCAAAGAAGACTGATTGTGAAAGAGAAAAAACAACAAACTACTTGAAAAAAGTCTAATTTTTCACACGTTTTTTTTAAATTTTTATAACGTATGGTGACAGTTTATGTAGTCCCATCGTGAAAGCAAAGATAGTACAAGTTACAAAACGGGTATGAATAAAATAGTGAAGAACTTTTAAGTTTAAGTTTAAAAAAATAAAAAAAAACTGTGAAACACACATTTTCGAGAGAAAAACGAAAAGTTGAATAATCGACATTAAAAATAAAAACAGTTTACGTTGAACAAAGGGCAAAGTGGAGTGTCGTAGTGATTTATAACATAATATGCATGCATGCAGTATAGAAAATAGGGAGGAAGCAGAGAAACAGACAAAAAAAACAGTTTCCACCTATTTCCTTAAAAATGCCTTCGTTCGTTAAGTTTTATTGTAGTGAGTTGCTAGGTGGAAGTTCGAATTTTATTTATTTTTATTTTTATTTTGTTGCAAGTTATTATATTTAATGCATTTGAGCAGGTAATTCGAGGGTCTCAAGCACAGTTTCAAAAAAAGAAAAAATATATGTTTTCATCCAGTTAACAAAAAATCAATAATTTTCAGAAAAAAAGTTAGAAAAAAATGTCTCTATTTTTTGATCTCCGAGAACCACTACCCCCTGTGGTTATTGACTCACATTCAGAAAAAAGCTTTTTGTTTTCGCTAGTTTTTCTCTCGAAAAAGGTTAATTTTAGACTAGAGCAATTAAACAAGATTTTTTTCCTAGAAAACGAAAGAAAATTCTGTGAAAAAGTTATAGGGTCATAAAATGATGTTCATATTCACATCGAGAAATTTGAAACCTCAAAGATTCAAATTTCCGGTCAAAACAGAAACAAATGTATAAGAAAGCGAAACTTTTCGAGAAAACAGCTGATAGATCAAAAAAAAAGTACAGTAATATGAGCTTTGGAAAAAAGCAAACATCAGAATAGCAAATCCCAAAAAATCACACTTTTTCACTCCAATAAAATAAACAGAAACGTTTTTTCTTCAGAAGAAGGAAGAAAAACCGATCAGATTTCATTACAAGATTTGATGAGAGAATAAAATGAAATCTCGGAAGTTATTTATTTGCAAACATTTTTTCGCTTTACTCTTCTCTTCAGAAATATTATTTATGGTTCCCTAGACACATTTGACCCAAAAACACACGAATTGAGGAAAAAAATAAAAGAACTCGGAACAGAGGAACGCAAAACGATTTTTCATTTTTTTTAGTTGTCAAAGCGAAGAGCTATTGTGACAAATTGATGTTTAAGAGACGTTTTTTGTAAGAAGAAAAATCCTGTGGTACAAAAAATTTTCAAATTTGCTAATTTTTGGCTGGTTGGTAGCCCCTTAGCTATAGAACATATTCCCAGAGTAAAATAAGAAAAAAATGTTTTTGGTGGATGGTGGACACCAATGTATGTCAAAACTTCAATAAATCATTACTCTACTCTCCGTGAATAATTTTTCGATGTATAAACGTCATTCTGCTCAGAATTTGAAGGGCTTCAATTTAGAAATACAAAATAAAAAAATTCGACTTACCCTAACTTTTGAAAATTGAAAAAAATTTTCAAAGTCAAAAATCGATATTAGGGGGACTTTGTTGCTCGCTGAATTTGGATTTATCGGATTCCTCGTCCCTTTTTACGTACCCTCCAATCATAAAATCAAAATTAACCCTCCCGCCTCATGGGTGCCCAGATCATTTTTTGCTCCCCACTTGCGTTTTTTCCCGAGTTTTTTGGGTGGATTACTATCTGGCAGACTTTTTGCGCCCGTCACGACGGTCGGTGAACACAACATTTTTTTTATTTTTGCTAATTTGAGTTTCTAAACATTTTTTATCATTTAAAATGTATATTATCACAATTTATTCTTCACCCACTCATATTGTCGCCAATGGTGACACCAAATATTGAACCATCACCATTTTGTTCGAAACTTGGTGTATTTATGTAATCGAACATTTTAAACAACATGCTATATTTTATTTTTGATAAAAGTGGCCCCCAGACCAAATCTTTCTCGAAAAACTTCGAATGAGCGATGAACTTCTCGAATTGCGTGAAACAACGTAGCAGAATATGGAATAGTCAGAAATTCGATTGTAACAAAACTTTTATCAAAAATAAAATATAGGATGTTGTTTAAAATGTTCAATTACATAAATACACCAAATTTTGAACAAAATGGTGATGGTTCAATATTTGGTGTCACCATTGGCGACAATATGAGTGGGTGAAGAATAAATTGTGATAATATACATTTTAAATGATAAAAAATGTTTAGAAACTCAAATTAGCAAAAATAAAAAAAATGTTGTGTTCACCGACCGTCGTGACGGGCGCAAAAAGTCTGCCAGATAGTGATCCACCCAAAAAACTCGGGAAAAAAACGCGAGTGGGGAGCAAAAAATGATCTGGGCACCCATGAGGCGGGAGGGTTAATTTTGATTTTATGATTGGAGGGTACGTAAAAAGGGACGAGGAATCCGATAAATCCAAATTCAGCGAGCAACAAAGTCCCCCTAATATCGATTTTTGACTTTGAAAATTTTTTTCAATTTTCAAAAGTTAGGGTAAGTCGAATTTTTTTCTTTTGTATTTCTAGATTGAAGCCCTTCAAATTCTGAGCAGAATGACGTTTATACATCGAAAAATTATTCACGGAGAGTAAAGTAATGATTTATTGAAGTTTTGACATACATTGGTGTCCACCATCCACCAAAAACATTTTTTTGTTATTTTACTCCGGGAATATGTTCTATAGCTAAGGGGCTACCAACCAGCCAAAAATTAGCAAATTTGAAAATTTTTTGTACCACGCGTACTATAGGAATTCACATTTTTATAAATAATGTCTCTTAATTGATAAATGACAATCGCACCAGTTTTTTGAGATTGATTGGTTTCTGGAATGTAGGGAGATCTTTGATAACTGAACTTGAAGGTTCACGTCATTTGAAGAGAAAAAAAATATGGGATTGGTAAAAATATTTGAAGACACTAATCTTGATGTTGATCATTGAAACCCGATGACCTGACAACCTCTCTTTAAAAAAGGACCATTGAAATTTCACTGCACTTTTCATCTCAAAATGTCACTAGAAAAATATAACATTTTCAAAGGTTTGAATTGATATTTTTAAAAATAGAAAAATTCCGCTTTCTGATTGAAGACTGAGAGTTTCAAAAAAAAAAATAGAAAGTGCGTTAACAAAAAAAACGCGTGAGGTTGGCTTCAAAACAAAATTTCGAAAATTCAATTTGAGTAACATTACTATTGGTTTTGAAAAAAAATAAGAACAACACAGAAAATGAGCGAAAACTTTTAAAAGAACACCCACCCATATTATGAAAAGTCGAGAGACGAGAATATTCCATTCCCATTTTTCTCTTTTTCCAAAAGTCTTGAATAATTAACCTCGATAAAAAAAGGCTCTCATATTTTTTTGTAATTATTTTATTATATCTCCTCTCATGTTTTGTCCCCTAAACGTCATAATAGTTTCGAGAAAAAAAAACTTTTTTTCTGGCGACCGATATAAATAATTAAAATTTGTCTTGGTTGTCTTGCTATGTTTTTTGCTTTCTTCAAGAATGTCATAAGGAGTTGAAAAAAAAACGCATACGATTTCTTTTTGTTTATTTTTCTAGTATTTCGAAATGGTTCGAGTTGATCGAGGTTTGGCTTATTTCTAGAAAACATTTTGAAATAGAATCAAGAATTTTCGCCGGTAGAGAAAAATGAAATTTTTTTGATCTACCCGAGGAGCGCCCACCGGGAATCGAACCGGTGACCTTGAGATTGCCAGCAGCCAACACTGCCACTGAACTACCTCACATCTAGAATATCCAGAAAATCAGAATTTTTGTCCACCCAAAAAAAATCGATAACAAATTTCAGACTCTGAAATTAATTTATAGGGCTCCAAAATGTTTAAAGAAAAACTTCAAAGTTTTTTTTTTCAGACCTAAAACGTTGCTATTTTTATCGCAACAAAATCGTTGGAGATGTACATAAACCTCAAACCTCAACATATTCCCAAAAAATCCAAGAAAATTCAGACAACGAGCAAAAAATTGATATCATTCGTAAGTTAAAGACCAAAAAAATAGAAAAAAATATACATAATAGGATCAATTTTTTTAGCATATAATCCACATTTTCGTAGACAAAGGTCCAGAAGAGAGAGCCGTCATAAATCTCGAAGAATAAGGTATTCAATTAATTTATTTTCCAGGAACAAGGAAAAATATGGAAAAATGACTAGCTTATTTGTTTTTTTTTACAGTTGGAGTCGAGAAGCTGATAGAGTTCGAACAATTTCACCAAGAAGTGAACCAGATCAAGAATTTCCTAGAAGTTTTGTGGAAAGACCTAGGAGTTTTTCAGAAAATCAGATTTTTGAGAGTAGTAAGTTTTTGAAAAAAATCTGGGAAAAAATCTGGAATTTATTTTCAGAACCTCCGCTTCAACCAAAAAAGAAAATTGTGAAGAAGAAGAAAAAGAAAAAGCCTACAATTGAACCAATTGAACAATACGATGATCCCAGAATATTCTACCCAAGAAAAACATCTCAAGAACCTGTGAAGCCTAGATCTACTTCCAGATCTAGATCTAGATCGAAACCCAAACCCAAAACCAAACCGAAAAATGAGAATTTAATCCGACAACAAAGAGTAAGTAAAAGTAAGAAAAATCACACATTCCCCTTGTCAATCATATATTTTCAAAACCAAAATCAAAAAACAAATTTTGTTGTTTTTTTTTTTGCTTGACAGCCGATGGATCCAAAGATAATAATGATGAGCAAAAAAACGTGTGAGATATTTCGAGAGTAGAGTTGATGTAGTTTTTTGATAAGACAAAGTTTTAGTTTGTTGATTTTTTCAGGGACCAAGGGAATTTATAGCAAGTAATGTACAAAAATAAAGCAAATTCAGAATTTTTGTAAATTTATTCGAGAATCTTTTACCTTTGATAATATTATGTAAAAATAGTAATAACCTATATAAATCCGAATTTCCAGACTTGAATTTATAAATTCTAATACTGAGATCCAGATTCAATTTCAGGATAAACGATATGCAGCCCAAAAGCTGGAACAGAAAAAGCGAACACCTTCAAAAAACCTGCGAAAATCAAAATCTGAATCAAATTTGAGATCAGGACAAAAACCACCAGTTAAAGATTCTCTGATGAAAAAATCAGAAGCGGTAATAGTTTCTCCTAGATCCCAATATTTTTCATTTTTTTTCAGAAACATAAAAAGAAGCCGCATCAAAATCCTCCAAGATGGCGTGACATTGGTGATAGAAATCGACGTGAGAAAAATGTGAATAAATTGTCGCATTCGTATTTGTCTGATTATTATTTTTGAAAAAAAAATTGAGATGATATTTTGGGTAATAAAATTGTTTCTATTTTTAGCTTCAGGCTACAACGTTTTGTTTTGTTCCGGATGTAACAATGACAAATAAAACAGCTGAATACAAGTTGTCATAACAACAAAAAAAAGAGTATGGGATTTTTTATGGAAGGAATTTTTGGTGATATTTTGATTTTTTAAGGGTTTCGTTTTTTATCTGAACTTTTTGAAGGTTTTAATTTTTCAAAATTTATTTGAAATATTTTTACCCCGTATATTTTTGTCAAATATTTCTCCTCCTACAAAACAAATTCATATCAGATGTTCTCAAAATCCACTTTCTTTCTCAGAATCCAGGACAAAAAACAAAAACAAAATAACATCATAAAAAATTGCTCGAAATTTCTATTCTGCAAAATGTTCCATACATTCTTTCGGAAATAAATAATCTTCCAAAAAATAATCGTTTTTCACTCATTCATGTTGTTCTTTTTGTGGTGCAACAAAAAGAGCAAAAAAGTATATGAAAATCGTTTTTGCAAATTTCAAGCAGTGCGGGGAAAATTGTGTGTTGTTCCAGTGAACTTCTAGGGAAAAAATTAATTTCCGTTAACTCACATTCACATTATCAAGAATTGGCTTTTCAGATATTTTTATTTTCATGCAGATTGGTTTCGGTGGTTGGCTGGTTTTGAAGAATATTAGTTCTAAAAATCTTCAAAACTGAAACATTCAAGATCAAAAACACATTTAAACTGAAATTCAGAATATAGCGATTGTTTCATTCTTCATGAAATCTCAAAAAATGTATGTAGTTTGAACCCTACAATCTTGTGAAATCTCTGAAACTTGAAAAACATTTCTCGATTTGCTGTGTTTCATATAACCGGCAATGTCCAATCCTAAATACGGTGTTCAAAGTAAAAAATATAACAAAAAATGCGAAAATATATCGTCCAAAGTCTAGCTGTCTGCGTCTCTCGAATATACACACTATTTCTCTGTTTCGTGTCTGCGTGTCTCGAACAGACACACTGTTTCTCTGTTCTGTATTTCGAATATAAGGTGAGCTTTGGACGATATATTCTTGCATTTTTGCTTTATTTTTTACTTTGGACATCGCATTTTTTAATTTTTTTCAAAATCTTCAACTTTCTGAAATTTCTTCAAGTTCTTCCAATTCCATTCCAAAAAAACTCAACATTCTATCTAGTTTGTAGCCTTGCGAAATCTAAAAAGGTACCAACCACCCATAAAAAGTTATGAAAATAATACGAATCTTACGCCAATAGGAAATGTATTGGCTACTTTACTTCCGGTCACATTTTGCCCTCTTCTACTCAATTTCACTCATAGTTTTTTTGGCCGTGCTCCCTTCTGCTTCATAACATTTATTTTTTTGGGAGCAAAAACGTTGCTCGGAGACACTTTTTTTTCCAATTTTTTTTTTCAAAGAAAATGAAAATGCGTGGTTTTTTTTGTGTTGAATAGTAGTGGTTTTTGAACAATTTTTTTTTGTTTGACTCATGATTTTTTTTGTCTGTGGGGTGGAAATTGGGGGGGGGTGGTCTCTTCATTTCACATTATCTCTAATGAACTTATGACAAGTATTTTTGATTTTTGCAGCTTTTTATGTGAAATATTATAGGGTAATTCAAGTAGAAAAATTATGTTAAAAATATTTTTTTCACAAAAAAATTATTTTCAAAAAATTTCATGTTTTTCCGCAGAAACAATAAAAAATCTTGAAAAAACAAAAAAATTGTTATTGATTCCTAAAACTCATGAACTTCCTGTTGAACTTTTTTACAAAATCTAATATGCAAAGCTCGTAAACAGTCACAATTATGTTCCATTAACTTTCTCAAATTTTTTTCGGTAGATAAAAAATATTCTTCTCTAAATCTCTTATATTTCCAAACTCTGGAACAATTTCAAATTCTGTTCTTTCAGGGCATATAACATAACATGTTTAATGGGTTGCGATCTATCAACACCTCGATTCAACAATACAAGTGCATTTGGAAAAGTTCATCCTGTTGAGGTATTTATTTTTTTTCTGCAAAACATTTTCAAGCAATTTCATTTCAGTCCATAAATCCCACGCCTATAAAACCGGTGGAAATAAAAAGTATAAAAAGCGCACCAACCCTCAATCGACAAAGTTCACTTCAACCTTCAACAGAAAATCATAAGGTGACTATTTTTTTTTTGCATATCACATCATATATAATTAGTTTTTCGAGTTAGTCAGACTGAGAAAAATCTCATTTTTTTGTTATATTCGTTTTTTCTTTTTCTTTCTAGCCTCCCTATTGATTTCGCGTGTTGCCAGGCGAAATCTTTTTTTTTTTGCTTTTTTCCAGGAAGAAAAATCGGGAAAAATGTCTAATCCTATTTTTGAAAAAAAAATGTTCTTGTTTTGTTGGTTGGATGTAAATATTTATTTTTTTTTCTAGCGTCCATTGACAAGATCATCGTCTATTGGCTCAATGTTGGAGAATCGACCACCGAGTGGGATTTCAAAGTAGGTTACCTTTTTTGAAACATTTATTTTTCAAAAAATTGAATTTGGAGAATTTAGGGAAAACAAAAATTTACGGAGATATAGGATTTTGAAAAAACAAGGAATCCTTATTAGAGATCAGTAATTAACATAACTCGAAGCACTTAAAGCATTTTTTCCTAATTTCAAATTCTCGGTGAGTCAGCGTAAATCAAAGACAATTCTCATGTTTTTCTCATTGAGAGTGTGAATTTAAGTTTTTTGAAAAGAATTTTTTCTTGAGTTACCCTCATTTTTTCCAGAAGTTTTTCCAGAAGCTTTCCCCATTTGAATATCAAAAAAAAAGCAATTATCTTTTTCCCCCAATTGAAGAATTTTTAAAAAAAATCGCACCATATAAATTCTCAGAAGTAATTATTTTGCAGTGCGTCATATTCTCGTGTCTACCGCTCAAAAAATATACTCAACCGACGATATACAATTGATACAAGTAGATCAAAATCAAATCAACCGGTTGTTTCATTATGTGCAAAGAAAATAGGAATTATTGAATATCCTGATGGGAATCCTGAAAGAAAACCATGCGATGTTTATTGGCACAATGTTGTTTATAATGATCTCAATAAATTGATCACTTCCCCTAATTCGAAAGTCAATAAGTTTCCAGGTACTTGAACAGTTTTTTTTTCATTTTTTCCAAGTTTTTCACTTCGAGTTTTCTAGGCATGACAGAATTGGCGAAAAAAATCTCGTTGACTCACGCAATATCATCAATGCAGAAATTGTTTCCTGATGAATATGCGTTTTATCCAAAATCATGGTTTCTGCCAGCTCATTTGAATGATTTTCACGCGTATTTTCATGGGAGAAATCGAAAGGAGAATAGGGAGAGGGAGGAGATGTGGTTTATTGTGAAGCCAGATGAAGGTGCACAAGGAACGGGTATTTATTTGATCAATAATCCTGATCAGATTCGAGATCCTGCACAGAAACAACTTGTACAAGTAAGTCTAGGGTTTACAAAATTTTATTGAGTTGAAGAAGTAATAATTTAAAAATCGCTTGAACTTCCAGTAATGTTCTCAGAGTCAAAGTTCTGATTTTTCCGGTTCAAAAAATTTGAAATTTTACGGATTTTCCGGTTCTAAAAACCCTTTCCGGTGGTTTTTCAAAATCCTGGTTCATAACACAACGCCCCCACAGTTTCATAATTAAAATCAAAAATAATATAATCTCTGTTTCAAAACTATCTCACACAGTTAGCTTAACTTCAGAAAAACATCTGAAAAAGGCTCGACTCAAAACATTAGAAAATTTTCCAGGAATACGTTGCTGATCCTCTTCTAATGAGTGATCAATTAAAATTCGATTTCCGAGTATATGGAGTTATCAAAAGTATCAACCCACTTTCAATATATGTGGCTAGAGAGGGAATGGCGCGATTCTGCACAGAAAAATATGAGAAACCCGACTCTTCAAACTTCAAAAACCTATATGCACATCTCACAAATTATTCATTAAACAAAGCAAACGATTCATATGTGCACAGTCATTCACTAAAAGATCAAATTAGAGGTGAACAATTTTCCTCTTGAAAAAAATTTAGAGTTGTATTTTCAGGGAGCAAACGATTATTGTCTACAGTATTTCATCAACTGGAGAGTCGTGGAGTGAAAACAAAAAAATTGTGGCATGATATAAAATTGATTTTGGTGAAGACAACGTTGGCGATGCTGCCAGAAATTATGTTGCATTATGAACATCATTTTTATGATAATGCTGGACCACAATGCTTTCAGGTAAGTGAAAAAATCTGAAAAATATTATTTTGGAATATAGTCAATAAACAATTTCAAGCTAGGTAGTTGAGATCCTTTAAAAACTCGTGGCCGCTTAAGATTTCAATATCAGACTTACCATAACTCCCGTTTATCCCCACATCATCTATCTTTTTCCAGATCATGGGCTTCGACATTCTGATATGTGAAGATGGCCGTCCAATTCTTCTCGAAGTCAATTCCGCCCCATCTCTCACTGCAGATCACATTGTCCCATTTCCCGGAAAATCTTTAGCCGATGGTGGACAACGTGTTAGAAGTGTTGTTGATGAAGTCATCAAAGTTCCATTGGTCCGAGACACACTTCTACTAGTTTTAGGGCTTCTCGATGAAGAATATGCGCAGTATGTATTTTTTTTATAAAAAAAAATAATAATCATCATCATTCGAAAAAAAAGTTGTTTCAGAACCACTGAAGAAACCAAATCATTGGATGATTTTCAAACAATCAAACAAAAACGAAAGCCACATTTGAGCGAGATTTTTCCGACGAGATACGGTGCACATAGTGGTCATTTATTATTTTTAGATAAGGCAATGTATATTTATATGCAATTTGTACAATTGAGAAATAATGTGAATATTACGAATGCGGGGTTGAAACAATTTGTGAGGAAGTGTAATTTGACTGATGTTCTTCCGATTAATGAAGTTGATCCAAAGATTGAAGAGATTAATTATTATTTTACTGGAGATCGACATACAAGTTTTAATGGTAAGGGGAATTTTGAGAAGATGTAATTTAAAAATTAAAAAATTTTCAGGTTTACCATTCCACGCATTTTTGATGTTCCTATTCTTTGTTGCTGATCGAAAATTCTACCTTGAAACTGACACAATGTCAAAAGTCCAAAGATTATTATCATTCTGTGATATGAGTCTCCGACATTATGGAGTAAGATCTGCTCGATTGCGAAGAGCTGAAGTTGACTCAATCAAAGATGGCGTTGGGTAAATTTTCAGTTTCGTTCTGATTCCAAATAAACTTATTTTAATTCTAGAAATGTGGAAATCTACATGCTACCTGGAAGAATGCAAAATCGTCAAAAAATTGTTCGAAAGAAACCATTGTTTATGGATGCCAATGCGAATCATTTGCCAAAAATTATTGAAAAATCTGCTAGATAGGTATTGTTTAATAATTTATATTTTTATTTATTTTTATTTCAATATGCATGTTAATAAATTATTTTTCAAACTTTTTTCAAGTCATCAAAAAAAATAGAAATTCAAAAAAAAATGCAAAAAAGACTGCCCCAAACCAGGATCGAACTGGTGACCTTTAGATCTTCAGTCTAACGCTCTCCCAACTGAGCTATTGAGGCCATGAGAGACAAGGAATGAAATGTCAGAGATAGGACAGCGAACAAATGATGATAGAAAAAAAAGTTCCCGGGTGATGTGTGTTGCTTTTTTTGTTGATGATACAAAGGGGGGAAAACTTTGATTATTTTATATTTGTTTTTTTTCTCCTGTAACTAGAGTGTAGTTTTAATAGAGCTCAATTTGTGTTCTGTTTTTTTTTCTAAACTTTGAAATTGAGCAGCTGAAAAATGTGTTTCCGTTGGTAAACCACACAAAAAGGCTATTAGCTGAAAGTGGAGTTCAAAAGTTAGAACAAATAAATCCCCTCCATTTTTCAGAAACTATTAGCTTAATGTTTGGTGTGGCCCATTTAAAAAAGCAGGAAAAACGCGTTCGAAAATTCATCAAATCCATGCTTGAAATATTGCTGACCTCCCATGCATAAATCACCCTTCCATCTCTTCCTACAAAAAAATGTTCTCAAAAAAAGATGAAAAGAATTTTGTATTGCCTTAAATATAAATGTAGTTGGTTATCAAAAATGTATTGAACTTGAGTTGAGCTAAGTTGCAAATTTTTTTGTTTTATGGAAAAATACATAATAACCACCCAGAAAAACTCTCAAATTTCATTAATTTCAGGCAATTAAATATTTTTAATAACTAACTGCGATATGTTTTTGTGTGCAAACAGTTTTATTCGTGCTCATCCATCCCATTTTATTTTATTTCATTTCAATTTTTCTTATATTCGATTTTTTTTTTTGGTGATTATGATTCCATGGTTACCACAACTACAACTGCAAATTCTCACTCCCACGACGATTTTTTTCCGTTTTCTTTGTGTTGGTTTATGTTTTTTCTACCTATTTTTTGGTTGCTATCGTCATTCTTGTCAAAAACGTGTCAAGTTTGAGTTGGTGTGTAATGTTGCAAAATGTGTGAACTGAACTCTAGTTGATTGATGGGAACTAAATGTTCAGAAAATTTTTTAAAGTTTACTGTAGTTTTTTTTTAATTTTTAAAAATAGTAGATCGAAAATTGTCGAAATTTTGTGGGATAGATTAAAAAATATTCTGAATCTGAACAAAATTTCAAAATTTGAAAGAAAAAAGTTCTGAATCTTAACTGAAAAGTGGGACTAATTCAAAAAAAATGGTTAACAAATCAAATTTTAGCATGGATTTTCAAAATTCACCCAGAAAATCTGATGTTAAACACCGATCTTCAGTTTTCCAGTTTTGTTTTCTCGAATCTCTCTCGTCAAATTTTGTTCTTTGAAATTCTGACGTTCAAAAACGTTTTTATGCCGATTTCAAATTCCCATTTCCAAAAAAAACATATATCAATCTCCCACGAATAAGCACGATGAAAGAATATCCGTGCTGAATTAATTAGAAAAAAAGTTATTGAATATTCAATGTACATTCCATTCCATTCCTTTTCCCAAAAAAATCTGAATTGATAAAAAATATCGTGGAATATACAATAAAGTCAGTTAAAATATTCTTTTTGCATATTTCTTTTTTTTTTGGGAAAAAAATTTATTTTGAACATAACACAACACAACAATTTTTGATGTTTCATTTAGTTGTCTCAAGTTTCATCAACATTTTCCTACCTACCTAGTTTTATTTTTTTCTAATAGCTTTCAAGCTAAATGAGATCAATCTTTTACTTTGGCCAATACCAAGAAAACGGCGAAAAAACAGAAGAGTAATTAGGTTTTTTTTATTTTTCGTTCTGTTTTGTTTTTTGCTCCCACTTTTGCGCTTGCTCTTGAACAATTGAAAAACTTTTGAGAATTTTAGAATTGGTTGAAAGTTTTCAGGAGTGTTGAGCACTTTTACAGAAAATCTAAATTTTCAAAAATCGGAAAATCATTTGAAACTCTTTTGATATTTTTTAAGCCTGAAAGCACTATGAGAAGTGTGAGATTCAGGTTATTTTCTCAATAGGCGCCAAAAATAAACCTAAATTTTGAAATTCCGATTTTTCCGTCATATCTCATTTCCTTTTTAACGCAAAAAAATTCCCGAAAAAACCAGGATCCATCAATTTTGAGTCACACATAATTTGCTATCATTTCATTTTACATATTTCCTTCCCTCCCATAATATCAATATATTTTATTCAATTTTATTTTCTGTCTAATTTCCTGTTGATATATTTTCTGAGTCTGCGTGGATTAGAAAGAATAGAATTAGTTTTTTTTTGTTTTATATTGCTTTTGCTTTTTTTGCTTTCCGGGTGGTTTGAGAGTGTGACGTAAGTTTTTTTCAAGTCAATCAAATTTTTCACGGATTTCTTCTATGCTTCATAGATAATTCTGATGATCTCCAAATGTAAAAACAAAAAAAAATCGAAATCCGCTTAGCGGTAATCCAATGTTTTTTTTTGATGACTTACAGTATCGAAATTTTTATGACCTATTTATTTTTAAATGAAAAATATTTTGATTTTTTTCTATTTTTTTTCTAAAAAATGTTTATTTTTCGAGAATGTTTTTGTTCAATCGTAAACTATCCTAGAATAATAATATTTTTGTTTTTGTCAAGTTGCAAAACGCAGTCAGGAAAAGAAAGTCATTTTTGACGAAAAACGCTCATAACAAGCCAATTAGTCGAGCCACAAATGAACAGGAGCCTAAAATTGGAGCTGGAGGAGCAACAAAAAAAAAAAGAAAAGGCGTGAATGTAAACGAGCTTTAAACATACATGCATACATACATTATGTGCATGTTTGTCGTATTTTTTTGGGGGTTACATATTTTCAGATTTTTTTCGGTTTTTGGTTTTCTAGTTTTTTTTTGGTCTGGGGAAAGGGATTTCAGAATCGATTAGAATTCTAACCAAAACTGTTTTATTTTTGGAGTCCTCAAAAAGGAACTTTTGAGCTATCTTTGATCTATCCCTAATCTAAATAAAACTTGATGCTGCCCAGATTGCTCAGGTTAACATTTCATAGATTTTCGTGGGGGGTTCACAGTTATTTACTTTGCTGATCTCCAGAATCCCAGTTAGACATCTGAAGTTTCATCAGCTCTCGAAAAATGCGCGGGAAAATATTCGGGAACTAAATTACACTGTGTTTTCAGATTATTGTTTCAGAAGATTTTTTATTGCTTTGGTTTGTGGTTTCCGAGTTAATCAGTTTCGGCGACATATTTCACGTTGTGTAATTTACTACCGCGAGTTCCTAAGCACCATATTTTTTTCAATTTTTTCTGGTAGATCAAAAATATTTTCACTGAAATTCTCACTTGTCCCTTGAATTTTGTCAAAGTCAATCAAAACCGCGAGAAAATTCTCAAATTTTCTCTGATTTTTGGTTTCTCAGTTTTCCAGTTTTGCCAATTTTTGCATATTTTTTTTGGTTTGAGAAAAAAGGGATTTGAGAATTGATTAGAATGCTGGCCAGATTGTTGAGATTAGTGCTCATGAATGAATTTTTCTCGCATTTCTCTTTCTGTTCTCACATGACTTTTTGTGCTCTGTGCCAAAAAAATTTTCCATCGAAATTAGTAGTTTCTTTTTTTTTTCTTTTCTGCCGTGTCCTTTACTGAAAAAAATCGCATTTGAGAAATAAGAAAAAATATTATAATTATATTGCTTTTGGTTTTTGGTTGAGATTCATTCTTTTTACTTTTTTGCTGCAATAAGAAGCAGCTGAAAAATTGTATTTCCGACCGGTCAGTTTCAAATTAAAAAAAAAATGTTTTTGAATTTGTTGATGATATAATTAATTCAGTTTCGAGATTTCGAAGATCCTTTTTTGAAGGGCTTTGGAGGATGGAATTAGGGGAATTCAAACAAAAAACATTTCAAAGTTTTGAAAAATCTGAAGTCTTTTATTTTATTACATATTTTTCCTATGCAGAAACATAGAAACATATCGAGAAAACAAAATATACAGTGTTCCTATTTTTGAGTGGAGACAACACGAAATTGAGAGAGCGCAGACAGAAAAGATTTTTCGCACAAAAATACAAGAAACTAATTTTTTTTCTGTCTGCGCTCTCTCAATTTCGTCTTGTATCCATGTAAACTGTTTATTTTGTTTTTTCGACATGTTTTTTTAAAAATGTTTTTTATTTCAAAATATTATTCTGCATTCGCATATTTGAATGCTGGATTTTTATGCTGAAATTTTCTGAGCTTTAAAATAGTGGCAAATATTTGACTTACATATTTTTATGATCAATAAAATGATTCAGAATATGTTTAAACATGTTTTGAAACATCAAAATCACTTTGAGGGTCACTTTGAAACCCTGGATATTTGATTCTCAACGTACGTTCCTTAAAAAAATTTTAACATCGAAAATCAATACAGAAATTTTTTCCATCTCCACATTCATTTCGTTCATTATTTTAATCGTTAAATAATTTTTAATGTCTCTATACGCAGGAGAATAAAAGACCGACAAAAATTCAGAAAACTGTAGCTTCAAAATTCCCTTATCCATTAGACCCAGGTCAATTCTCGAAAAGTGTCTAGAAAATTTCTTGAAGTTCGCCTCCCACGTCATTATTCTTAACTTATGACGAATTAATCACACATATCTTATTATCCAGTATTATTTTCATTTTTTCCACTTCCACATTTTCTGCAGGACTACCAAATTTCACACATTCATAGTATTTTTTCCATTCATCTTTTTCAGTTCTCTAATTTTATATCCCAATTCAACCCAATTGACGAAAAAAAACCGCCTTCGCATTTCATTTTTTCTCAATTATTTAATTTGCAATTCAAGAACCTCAATATACAAACAAGAAGGAAAGAAAGACAGAAAAAATATACGTACGTTTTTCATTCGTTCTTTCTCCATGGACTTTTTCTTCATTGGTAAGAAAGCACGAGTTTGTTTCAAATGTGTACATATACTTGAATATTCATCCATTTTTATTCATTCTTTCTTCCTTGGAATCAAATTCCACATTGTTCTTTGATTCTGATCTTTAATGTAACATTTTTTTGTTTTTTGAAAATTTGAATTTTTTTGCTTTCAAAATCCTTGACAGGATTCCCAGAAAAATAATTATACTTTTAAGTAAAATGTTCTGACAGAGAATGAAATTGAAAAAAATATTCGAAAAATTTTTATTTTAAAGCAACACCCTCGTATAATAAGGCCATTGCGAATTGCTTTCAAAGACCAAAATATATAAAATTAACCTATCCAGCTATACTCACAAGAAATATGAAAAAGAAATACTCAAAAACGATCAAGTTTGACCGATTTTGAAAAAAACAATTATTTTTTTTTGAAAATCGCCTGCAGATTGTGCAGATCCGCAATTTCATGAAATTTGTGCAAACACTGTGACGACAATTGTGTGCTACAGTACCCCTTTCAACTTTTTCTCAACAAAAAGTGAATTGTTTCACTGAAAACAATGAAATAAATTATAACAATGATTTCTGAACATCCTTAACTATCTCTACTTTCATTTTTGACAATGATATTTCAGTTTTATATTGCATTTTCCGGTCAAAAACTGAAAAAACACAATTTCCATTGAAAAATTTAGTTTTCGTCTGAAATATTGAATCTTAGTGTTTATACTTCTTTAATTTATTTTTTTCATACCCAGAAAACAGTTTTTCCCATGCAAATTGTCATTTTCCGAAAAAAAAAAACGGAGAAATTTTGCGAAAAAATAAAAAGAAAACAACGAGACTCCGCGTTGACGCTAGCCCGCGTTGTTTGAATTTGAGTTTTTTCAATTTTTCAATTGGTTTCAATATTTCGGGTAATACTTAATGAAACGTTTTGAATTTTTTCTCCGAACTAGAAAACAGTAAAACTAAGCCAAATCTGAGATTTGAGAACATTTGGGCATTTTTCAAGAAAGTGCCTATTATACGAGGGTGTTGCTTTAAAAAATAGTGTTAAGATAAGTTACCCAAACCGTTGTGAGCCAGTGTTTCTAGACGTAGCTTTTCGACAGTTAAGCTCTCTAGGCTCTGCTCCTAGATGCGGGTTCTGAACAATTACGAGTTTAGGCTTGGCTACTTGAGAGCTACAATCTCTAGGCTTGGATCTGATGATCTTTGAGTAAAAGTTTAGAATACAATTCCATTCCTAGAAACATAGTCCTAGCCGTAATGTGTTGAAAAAACAACATTTGAAAGTTTTAGCTGAACTAATGCTGGTAGAACAATTCTGGTTTTCTTTCATTGAAGTCAAATTTTTTGAAAAACCCCTTTCTCTTTTTCAAAATTCGAATTTTTCGATTTCAAAACCCTTGGCAGGATTCCAAAACTATTTTTTCTGACTTTGTATAAACATTTGTATTCTGCTCGATAGATCAGATTTCCGGAAACATATGACTTTGCTCTTTTTTTTGCTCCACAACCCACTCTTCCTTCCAACAGCCAGAAAAAAAAACCTGTGAAACGTCGGCCACCAATATTTTTCACACTCTCTTCTCTCTCCTAATTTTTTTCTTCTCATCTTTTTTTTCTTTCTCATTTTTTCCTACTTTTCAAAAGCGAAAAGAGAAGAGAAGAGCAGACATGTATTAGACATTGCTAGTTGCTATTTCGTCCTCCCATGTGGTCTAGTGGTTAGGATTCGTGGTTTTCACCCACGCGGCCCGGGTTCGATTCCCGGCATGGGAAGCTAACTTTTTTTCTTTTTTTTGAGCGATTCCTTTGAACTTGAAAACTTTTCTAGTCCCATGTGAACAATTCGTTTTGACAAACTTTTTTTTTTGAAAGCAGCTAGCATATTTTCCGTTTCCAGTTTTCTCAAAATTCAAAACGAATTTGACCTTCAGAAAAATGAATTTTTTTTCGAAATGTCGTTCCAAATCTCTATTAACGCTTCTTGAAAAAACGTTCCAGATGATTAAGTTTGAGCGCCATGAAAAATTGGGGAGAAAAATATATTGAAACCCAACCAGCCGAAAAGAGTAAAAAATTCCTTCATTTTTTGTGTGTGTTTACATTTTTCTTGAGATGTGTTCTGATTTTTTTTCGAAAACGAGCATCTAAAATCTTGAAAAAAACATGATCATGAACATGCTAAAATAAGTATAGATAATCAACAAGCTGTCTCTCTTGGTTACAGCTTTTCGGGTGCTTTTTCTTTGATATTATAAGATATGCTTTTCTATGTTAACGAAAAGAAAAAAAAACAAGATTAAATTTTTTTTTTGATTTGGTTAGTTGTTGAAATTGGATATGTATGAGTTTCAAAGAAAGAAAAAATCCTTCTTGAACATCCGGTTCCTAAAATGGAATAATTGATGAAATTTAATTCTTTTTAATTGAAAAGTTTTACCGAAGACTTTTTTTGGGATGTTTTTGCAGTGTGTATTTTTTTTGGAATAGAGATTGGAGTTTTGTTTTGTAGTTTGTGTAAGATGTCTATATTCCATAGATGATTTAGTTGGCTGAAAATTTTGAGAGCTTTGTGAGAAATTTATGATTCAAAAAATTAACAAGCAGAGTTTCTGGATTTTTTCAGAACACATTCTAAATTTTCTATGATTTTTTGTGTGAATTCAGGATTCATGTTCTGAAACTCTTTTTCACTTTAGAATATCATTTGAAAAAAATTAAAATTATATTTTAATAAAAACGTAATAATTTCTCTGCGTCTCCCTATCTCTAACCAATTACTTTTTGACAAGTTATATTCTTATCAAATTTTCTTCCGGTAGTTTTGAGTTCATGTCTGATAATTTTGATTAGATTTCTAAAATGTCATTTCTTCTCTCAAAATTATATAATCAGAGTTTCTAAATTTGGTTTTCGATACGAGTAGGTCTAAAATGCTCGGAAAATTTTTCAAAGTGAGTTGTTTTTCTCAGGCTGGGCTTCTGTATTCTAAAAATCTTTATTTTCAAATTTTATTTCATTTTTCCCCTTCCTCTTTTCTCTTTCCAAAAATTCCCCAACGCGAATAAAATTCGAGCAAACGCATTATATTATAATTCCTTTCATGGAGAAAAGAAAGCATAAAAAATAGGGAAAAGATACTTTCATATGAGATATTATTCTTATTCTTATTATTTTCAAGAATGTACTATTTTATATCTAAAAAACGTTGATTTTCAAGCTCTTGTTAGAAGAAAAAACGAGAAAAAGATTGAATTTGAACGGAGACGAAATTTGATTTTCCATTTTCAACCCTCATATATGTTTTTTCTTCTTCTCAACTCGAGTTTTCATTTCTTTTCTCATTCACCATATTTTTTCTTGAACCGCAAATTTTTTTTTCTGATTTAATTGAATTTCTATGACGTCCTTGCCTGCTCGCCTCCCGCAAAAAGAGCTCAAAAAATCTAAATCTTCTCTGAAAGTTCAATCAAGTGGAAATTATATTCTCTCTTTTTTATGAAGAAGTTGCTATAGTGAATAACTCATAAAAATATTTTTTTTCAAACTAACAAAGCGTTGATTTTTTATCTCAATTTTAAGATTTTGAAAACTAAAAATTTGTTTGAGGATTTGTAAACAAAAAATTTTTCAACAAACCTCTAACACTTGAAACATTAATCTCAAAAAATATATATGCTTCTTACTTTTACTTTTACACAGTGTGTAAAAGTATGAAGAACGAAAAAATTCACTTATATTTATAATATAATATAAACTCATTTCTTCTTCTTCGCGCATCTCTTTCTTTCTTGTCTGCATTTTTCCAAGCTTCTTCATAAGTTCATCGAACATCTCGCCAAAAAAAGTGCAAATTCAGAGTAGTCCAAGATTTTCTGTCTCATCTTATCTTCCTTTCCCATTTTTACGTCATAAAGGTGGGATTATATGAATCCACTACCCCAAGGGATTTTCCCATTTTTTCTTGTTAAAATTTCGAAATGTTTTTTTTTCTTGAAATTTTTTTTGTGCTTACGTATGCAACTAGAAAAGCTTCTTAATTAATGAATACATTTTTATGTTTTTTTTTCAGTTGGGGAAAGGGGAAAACTGTTCAAGAATTCTGGTGTTTTCGAATTTAGTACAATTGTTCCAGGAATAGTAGTTGGAGAGTTTAAAGGGAGGGGGGGGGGGGTTGAAAAAATTCCTAGGGATTTTAGTGTTCTCAAGTTGCTTTAACTTCAAAAATAGGGTTGAAGTTTTCTCTAGTTTTTTTTTTGAAAATAGCGAATTTAAACTTAGAACTTGAAATTTAGCCTAACTTCTAGCCTTTCTCAAAAATTTGATGCTTTTTTTCAACTTATAAAAAATTCCAACAAGCTGTTCCGATGCTACTAAATTTTTTGAAAGAAAATTTCTGAACTATTTTTTAATCTGAAATCTTGTTGTACAACAACGTGATCAGTCGAACATCTTTCAATTTTTCCCGGTCAAAAAACTTGTCAACTCAAAAACCAACCAACCCATTTTCTCATTTACCATTCAACATGTCACTATCATTTCAAACGCTTTTCTCTAATTAGAAAAAAAACGCAGCCGACTTTTTGAAGCGCCAAACGAACCACAAACGAAAGAAACAAAAAAAAGTGATGATGATGATGATGGCCTGAGCCTTTCCTTTTTGCTCACTTTTTCTCGATTCAATTTGCTCTGATTCGTGTGTTGTTCTAACTACCAGTTTCTATTTTCAAACTGCAATATTTTGTGTGAAACTACATCAAAAAAACTATTCTAAAAATATCTCGAAAAAATGTCGGATGAAGAAGAACCGTGGGAAAATCGACGTACTTTTATCAACAAACGAAAATGTGTGAGTTTCATTGAGATAGACTAACTAACAAAATTTGATTCTTTGTGTTTTTTCTGTGACACCAAAAGGCGAGAAAATATATGAATGCAGTAGTGCGTGGTATCCTTCTGAATTATTCGTGAAATGTTATTTTTTTCTGTCAGCCGCGCGGCACCAATTCGTTGTTCGTTCCTTTTTCTCGTTCGCTGAATCGGCTATAAATCTCGCATTTTTTTCCTGAAAAAAATTGTGAACTTTTTCGACTTTTCTCCGCCCCCCATCGCATATTTATTTCATTATTCTAGTTTTTTTTTTTCTTCAAATCTTATATGTATTGGGGAGATGGAAAAATGGATGGAGTTCTATTTTTGGGTTGATCTTTGAGATTTTATTTTTTTTTTTGGGTAAAGCTTGGAGGCAACTAGTTAACGGCGCTCATGAAATTTTAGGTTATTGTTTTCTAGAAAAAAATTCCGATTATTCATTGGTAAAATTGATATCACCAGTGTCATTTTGAACTCCCAACATCAATATTTTGAACAACACGACTTCTGGGAACTCAAAAAAATACCTTTGAATTTCGAAAAAACGTCGAGAAAAATAAAAACCCTAGCCTTTTGTCTGTAACACATCCGGAATTCCTGAACCTTTCGAACTCCAAGCCCAAAAATTTCACCAATTTCTGCTCAAATTCCTGTTCTCCCATTGATGACACACACATGACTGATAAATCTCAAAGTCCTCTTTAATATTTTCCGCATCTATGCTCGTTGTTGTTATTTCCGCAAGATGTTTGATTCACTTTTTTTGTGTCGTTTGCTTCCAAAAAGGAATATATTTCCCCACACACACACATCAAAATCACCACAAAAACCCCCATATTTTTGCGAATATACCTTGTTATTTTTTCCTCGCCGTTTTTATTCTGTCAATCAAACGATGATTGTAAAGGTTTTATGCTTTCAAATTTGAATATGTGTTTTTTTTGCTTTTTTTTTTGAGAAAGAGAGACTCTGGAAGAAAATTTTTCTGGTTGTAAACCACTCAAAAAAACACAGTGATGTAAGATGCTCAAGAATTAAATAGATAAGGTTTGAAATGAGTTCGAAAATCAATTTTTGCCATGCTCGCAATGTTTTTTTTTGTTTATATTTCGAGAAAAATTCGAAAAATGTCATCTTTCGTTTCTGATTTATTTTTGAAAAAATTCAATTGATATCAGATTACATTTCTGTTTATGATTTTTAACACATTTTTTTGTATCAGTTATAGAATTTGTCTGATTTTATACACACAAAACATAGCGTTTGGCTATCCCGCTTTATGTCAGACACTTTCTAGCTAAAAATGTTTATACCGATTTTTAGGCCCATCCCATTCAATATTCACCAAGAAAATCTCATTCTGAAAACCGATCCATCAAAAAAAAAAAAAAAGAATAACTAATAAAAAATAGTGTGCTGGAACGCGTCATTTTTAAACATACACATATATGTACATAGGTTTTTTGTCTTCAGGTGTATCAAATTTCGTTCTCTTCTCCTTCCTCAAGATTTTTTTGATCTACGCATGGACTTCTATAATTTTTTCGTGTTTCAGACAACGAGTATGTCGTTGGCGGAAGAACTTGAACGATTATCCGGTGAAAATGGTGGCACAAAAAAGGATTTGAGTGAGTTTTCTTCTCGCGCGGGGTCATAGATTATTTTTTCGAATATAATAAAGTTTGTCGAATTCCCATGAGTTCATATGTATAGCACACGAGCTATGATTGAGACATTTTTTGTGTCTTGTTTTTTTCGACATTTTTTGCCAAAAAGTTCATCTAGGGAGGGAGGGAAAAGTTCTGTTTTTGCTGAACAAGAGCAAAAAATATACATTTTTTTCATTTTATGGTAAATACGCTAATTGAATAAAATTGGATAAATTTATAGAGGGGGACAAAGATAATTAACTTTACCAGAGAGAAAAAATGAGGGTGTTGACTTGTTTTTCCTCTCCTCTCCTCTCACATTCATTTTTTAGATGGCCAAAAAAGGGAGCTGTGCTGTTTTGATTGTAAGCACTTGACACTACGAACAAACTTAGATAATTCAATTTTCCTAAAAAGAGTTGTCAAAACAAAAACAACAACGGGTAAAGAACAAAACAACACAACGAGTTGATTTCAGATGGTTGGAGATTGTCGAGTTCGGCGCCGGAAGTGAGGGTTCAGAAGGCGAGACTTGTTGCAAAAGATGGAAAGACACTTCTCAATAATATACAATTACCCGAACGATTCAAACAAACTTACAAGTAATTTTCAAAAACTTTTTTCAAACTCGAATTTTCTGATCTTCAAAGTGAACGGGATTTTCAGCGTAAATTTCAAATTCAGACTTCACGGAATAAAATTTGAAGTTGGAAAATAATATAGATTTTTCACTCAAACCTCAGAACTTCGAATTCTAAAAATTTAACGATGAAGATGAATTTTGAAGTTCTAATCTTCAATTTTTCGATAAGTAATTCAATTTTGATAAATAAAAACAATTATTGTTTTCCGAAAACAAAAATTATTTCTAGTTCTAGAAATAACTTACATAACTTAATGATTGTAAATTGAATTTCCCTAATTTTCCGACTATATTAACTCACATATTTTCAACATTTCCTGGGGATTTTTAAAATCAGAAGCTTCCCTGGTTTCTAAGCTTCACAGTCGTCTGAAAATTCACATTTCCCTGAAAAACGCTCAAAATTTTTTCACCGTCTGTTTAGATGGAAATATTTCAGAAATTGGTTTCATCTGATAATTGAATGCAATTGGCGAACAATTTGTTTGATATTTTTGTTTGGTTTTATTCTTTCTTGGTCCGTCTTTGCTCTCATTTATTATTTTATTTCACGGCTCAAAAATGTGAAAAAGGTGAGTTCTCCTTTTCTCAAGCTAACATTATTTTTTTCAAATTTTTTCAAATTTTCAGGATGAATCGTGTATTGCAAATGTGGACACATTGATCAGCGCGTTTCTTTTCAGGTTTGTGTTTTACTAGTCTCTTTTTCGTTCACAAATGGCCGAGGAAGACACAAAATTTGATTTGTGACGTAGCCACGTTTCTCTTTTTATCTTTCTGAACAGAACGTTCTGAAAAATGAATATGAAAAAAGTGATCAAAGAATAAAAATTGTTTTTGTGTGAATAGGTTGACGTGAGTATAAAAAAAGAAAAAAAGAAGATTAGTGATTGAGAAAATGTATTATTCTCTTTTGAATAAACAAGTTATTTGAGGGGAAGATGAAGAAGAAAAAAATGATGAAAGGTTAGTAACTAGAAATTCTAGGGAATATGATATTTTGAGAGCAATAAGAGTTGAATTTTTGATTTCAGAAGAAAAATATGTAATATTTATAAATACCTAAAAAAGTTGGATTCTTACTTGACTTTTGGAAACTTAAATTACAAACTGAAATTCGACCCAGATTCAAAATCAACTCTATGTTTACAGTATGGAATCTCAACATACAATCGGTTACGGTCTCCGATATATGACAGAACAATGTCCCTCGGCATATTTGACTTTATGTGTCCAATGTGTTGTTGGTGTTTTCCTCCAAACAATTCTTGCGGGTATCGTAATTGCCAAAATTCTTCGACCCAAAAAACGAAAGCAAGAGATGCGATTTTCTCGAATGGCAGTTATTGGTCCACTCGATGACAATGATAAACGACCTACTCTTATGATCAGATTGGCGGATATTCAAGAAAAATTATTTTTGGCTGAATCGCATGTGAGATTGTATATGGCAAGTAGCCGGATAAATAGTGTAAGTATTTTTGATTGTTGAAGTCTTGGAAATTCAGAAAAAAAACATTTTCAGCGAGGTGATCGTGAATTAGTCGGCGTCAAAGACATGAACGTTGGTTATGATAGTGGATGGGATCGAGTTCTTCTACTATGGCCAATTATTGTTCGACATGTGATTGATGAAGACAGTCCGCTTCACGGTCTAACGAGAGAAACAATCTTGGTTTGTTTGAGATTTGAGTTTTGGATAATGAATTGTCTTTTTTTGCAGAAACAAGAATTCGAGTTGATTATGACTGTTGAAGGAATTGTTGAGGCGACGGGAATGACATTCCAAGCAAGAACATCTTTCCTACCCGATGAAATTCTCTGGGGTTATCGGTAAGAGTTAGGGGAACATTTGGGGTGTTGAGGATGGTGAAGCCGAGCTTCGACTTGAAAAATTCTAGGTTTTTAAAATCTCGCAGTCAGCCAAAAATTAGATCTCACTTCATTGAAAATCTACTTCAAAATTCCCTGATCCCCAAACAAAATTAAGTTTTCCAGATTCAAGCCAATGGTATTGATGAATGAGAAAAATTCCCAATTCGAAGTTCACTACTCACTTTTCGATCAAACTGACCGGTAATTTTCCAAAAAAGTTTTCTAAAATATTTCATATCTATTCAAAATTTTTTCTAGATGCTCTGATTTCGATGTGCAAACAATGGAGACTGAAGAAACTGAAGATAATGAAAATGAGCACCATCATCATAATCACTATGCATCTGGTTTCCTCTAAACTTCTCGAGAAAAAAACAAAACCTATATTTACTCAACCTCCAAAAAACGTGTTTTATTTGGCAAATTTTTTCATTTATTTTTTTCCTAGAATTTTGGATAAGAAAAAGTTCAATGGGTTACTGTAGATTAGTCATACATCGATGAACTTTTTCTCTTTATATTGCTATCCAAATTGTCATAATTATGATTTGATCAAAAAATTTTGATTGACATAGTGAATCGAATCATTTCTGAACTTGGGGGGTTTTTCAAAAAAAATTATATTTTTTCTCAAAATCATATAACAATAATAAAAGTATATTCATGTTTATTCAAATAATTAAAAATATACAGTTTAAGCGTGTCATCCCTTTAATAACCCATTTTTTGTACTTTGTATAACTTGCCTAGTATTTTTTATTCGAAATGATATAGTCGTAGTCCGGTTGGTTGTGATTTTTTGAAATATCACGTGTCTTCTTCTTCTTCTTTTTTGAATTTCTATTTTTCAAATGACAGTATTTTTGTATCCGGTGACAAAACTGTTTTGTATTATTGTTTTCATTGTATTTTTCTGATTCATTTAAAAATAATATTTGTCTTCAGAGAGAAATAAAATAAATTTGTGGTAGTTCAACTGCTGGTAGTGATTTTTTTTGTAATTTCTGCACATATTTAATGAAATAAAGATTTTATGTATTCTGCAGCTTTAAAAAAATGAAAATAAACATCATCAAAAGACAGTTTGTTTAAAATTAATATTGAATTTCTAACATATAAAAATGAACAGTATAACAATTATATCAAAAATCTCAATGCTTATAATATTTTTTATTTTTCCTTTATTTGTTTTTTGCTCGGAATATGCAAGACTTCCAAAAACAATACTGCCATTAGAATATTATTTGAAATTAACAGTTCATTTTGATGGATATGGTTATAAACCACCAGCTGATAAAAATTACACAATTGATGGAATAGTTAGTGTTATTCTGAATATAACTGAACCAATTAATAAAATTGCGATAAATTCAAGACGACTTAATTTCACCAAAGAAAATTGTAATATTGTTTTTCGGAATAGGAATATCAACATTACAACAATAGAATTTGATTTACAAAATGAACAAGCTATTTTTATGTTGAACCAAACTTTGGAACCATTGAAAAAATCAGAACCAAGAAAACAATATCTAAATCTCACAATCGCATATTCTGGTGAAATTTTAGATGATAGAAAGGGAATTTTTAGATCACATTATAGAGAGGAGAATGGAAAAGTAAAGTGAGTATTTTTTTGAACACCAGTTCAATAATCTTCATCACATTAGACCAGCTATTGCAACTCACTTCGAAGAAATAAATGCTCATCAAGCAGTTCCATGTTTTGATGAACCTTGGATGAAAGCAATTTGGAAAGTTGAAATAACTCATCCTGTTGGAAGTATTGCACTTTCAAACACAGCTGAACATTCAATCAAATCAGTTGATAACAATCTGAAAACTACAGTTTTTCATCCAACACCAATAATGTCATCATATTTATTGGCTTTTGTTATTTCTGATCTTGAATATATCAGTGATTATTCAGAATCTGGAACATTAGTTAGAGCTTTTGCACCGAATCATCAATTAAAATTAGTAGAACTCGGGTTGAAAACTGCTGTAAATGCTTTGAATTTTTTCGAAAAAAAAATATGGAATAAAATATGAATTATCCAAAATTGATCTAGTTCCGTTGGATATTTTTGTGTCTGGCGCGATGGAAAATTGGGGTTTGGTGATTTTCCGGTGAGATTATTGAAAAAAAAATAAGTTTTTCTTTCAAATAATCTTTCCAAATGTAGATCTGACTTTTTGATTGGCGAGAATGAGAATATACCAAATTTTGTTCAACATGAATTAGCTCATCAGTGGTTTGGAAATTTAGTTACAATGGAATGGTTTTCTGAAATTTGGTTGAATGAAGGATTTGCAACATTGTTTGATTTCTTACAACCATTTAGAAATCTTGTGAGTTCAATATTCAGAACAATTAATTGGAAGATTTTTTTTGAAGTTATCACTCAGAGAATACCATTTGTTACACGAAAATGGTTGGCGACTAGATAGACCGGTAGTAATAAAAACCTCGGAAAAGAAATATATTAACGCTAATGGTTATACAAGTCATTACAAATCTGCGCAAATTTTATACATGTTATGGAAAATTATTGGGGAAGAAAAGTTTGAAGAAGGAGTCACGAAATATCTCAAAGAAAATTTATATAAATCTGTAAACTCCACAATATTTTATCCATATTTGGCTGATTTTATGCCTCCAGGAAGTCCAAGCATCGAAGATTTTATGAATCCATGGTTAGAACAAGTCGGAATTCCATTAGTTATTGTAAAAGAATTCAATTCTACACATAATAAGATCACTCAAGATAGGTTTGATAATGGAGTTTTGGAAAGTTATCAATTCCCAACCCCAAAATGGAATTATTCATGGTATATTCCACTTTGGTATGGAAACAATAGGGATCCTCAAGAAATTGAGAAAATGATTTGGCTTAAACCCGGAATACCAGAATATCTTTCAAATTCTGAAGTATACATTTCTAATGGATTGTTTTGTTTAAGTACTTCTGATTATTACATGCAATTTGATGATAGGGAAACCTTTTCTTCAAAATTTTTTTGGAATACAGCTTTAGGAATCCAAACATTTGAAGATCTCAAACATTTTATTCAAAGTCTACCAAATGATTTCTCACACAAAAAATTGACGAACCATCTTTTCTATTTGGTATGGAAATTGGATGTGGAAGTTTGTTCAAATATAACAGAACTTGAAAATTTTGAACTTGTTCGAGATGAAAAACATATGTAAGTTTGTCGAAGTCTTATAAAAATCAATTAGTTTTCCAGCCGTTGGGTGTTATTGGAAGACAACAATGGGAACGATATTTTGAGAAATCTCCAAACAAAATTCAGAGCACGAATAACAAACGAAACCATTTCGAAATATTTTGATTTAATTGTCAAAGATGAGAATTTGGCATTTGAAATCGGAAAAGATACTGTGGGAGATGCAAAAAAAATATTTCGAGAGCGATGCAAAAATCATAAAAATGAACGTATTCGAATAATTTACAAACAATTGAAAAAATTGGATGATTGGAGAGAAAAACATACAAATGATGTATTAGAAATTGTCAAAGTTGTGTTTGATTTTATAGAGAGAAATAGATAATGAATGGAACTTAATTTTTTCAATAGTTTTTCCCATTTCTTTTCATTGTTATGTATGACATTGTAAGGGTTAAATGAAAATTGTTGATTCAAATATGATTATTGGAAAACATTTTATCTCGTGCAGGAAAAATAAATTTCAGAAGAAACTTTTAGTGAAGCAATTTATATTCGATAAAGTAAAATTATGAAAATTCTGTGCTTCAGAATAGGACTTTTATTCCGATTTTCCGAATCGAATTACTCTGAACATCGGGAATATAAAAAGCTAATTTTGCGTTTCCCCATTTAATCAGATTGTTCCAGATTGTTCATAGAATTGTATACTTTTTGAACAACCATGCAAAAATCACAAAAATTGAGACATATGTTTATTTATTAAACAGAATCTCAAATTTCGAAAAAATTATATATTTATTGAACACCAACAGTTGCATTTTCAGAAATGATTCAAAAATGTCTTTATTGCCTGATTTTGGTTCAGTTCATTTTCTCTGAAGTGACTCGTCTGCCAGAAACAATTATACCAGTCAAGTATTCTTTGAAGTTAACAGTTTATCTAGATGGATATATAAATCTGCCAACTGATAAAAATCAAACTTTTGAAGGTGTCGTGGAGATTGATCTAAATATCAAGGAAAATGTATTACAAATCACTTTTAATTCATTTGAATTAACTTTTGAAAAAGAAGATTGTGAACTATTTGATGATTCAGGAAGAATTGATATTTCTGATTTGAAAAAAACGCAAGAACTTTCTACAATATATTTCAACGGTACAATTTCTGGAGATGCTATTATCAAAATAAAATATACAGGCAATTTCTCAAAGGTACCTTTTGGCTTATACAGAGATCGAGTAGTTTATTCAAAACCGACTTTAATAAGTCAATCATTCCCCTTGACTCACATGATCGTACCATGTTTCAATGAACCTTGGATGAAAGCTGTTTGGGAAGTTGAGATAACTCATCCTGTTGGAAGTGTTGCTCTTTCTAATACTCCAGAAAAACAAATCGTTTATTCTTCACTCGAAAATTTCAAAACTACACAGTTCTATGCGACACCAATCATGTCACCGTATCAATTAGCAATTATTATCTCAGATTACAAATATACAAGTGGTTATTCAGATTCAGGAACTTTGGTGCGAGTATTCGCTCCATTAAATAAACTAAACAAAACGAATCATGCTCTTCAAGTTGCGATAAATTCACTAAACAAATTTGAGATAACATTCGATATTAATTATCCACTTTCAAAATTAGATTTGTTTCCGGTCAAAACATTTCCAGCGTCGGCCATGGAAAATTGGGGTCTAGTTATTTTCCAGTATGTTTTTATTCTATTTTAATTTCTGTATTTTATGAAACAACAACTCTAACTCTATAAAATGAAACTTTTTGTGAACTTTTGGTCTTTTCAGGGAATCGTCTTTGATTGGATACGATTTGAAATCTATGGAAGAAGTTGTGATTCATGTAGTTGCTCATCAATGGTTTGGAAATCTTGTGACAATGGCTTGGTATAATGATTATTGGTTGAATGAAGCATTTGCAACGATATATGAGACAGATTCTGAAAATGTGAGTTTCAAAAAAACGCTATTAATATATTAACATACATATGTATGTATTCGAGGATTTTTCGCTGAAATATTTTCAGAAACAACTTTATGATTACTATGAATCTTACTCAAGCGACGCCGTTGATTCTCCACTCAGATATTTGAATACAAATAATATGTGGATCCAGTTTACACAGCCAAATGATCAAACAGTTTATGTCAAAGGTTCTTTAGTTTTAAATATGTTGAAAAAGGTTATTGGAACTTGGAGATTCAGAAAAGGAATTCGAAGATACTTGAAAGAGAATTCTTACAAATCAGTGAACACCCAGATTCTCAAAAGTTATTTTGCTGATTCAATGCCAGAAAATAGTCCAAATATTGATGATTTTTTGGATCCATGGGTAGAACAAGTGGGACATCCATTGATTATTGTTAAACATTTTAATAAAACACATGATATTTTAAGTCAGCAAAGATTTGATAATAATCAACTGGACGTTTATGATCAAAAGTTTGCGACACCAAAATGGAATTATACTTGGTATATTCCTCTTTGGTATAAAAATGATGTCGGAGACAAGGAACGATTGATATGGTTGAAACCAGGAGAATTGAAATTAATTGAAGTTAACCAAACTACAACAATCACAAACCCACTATGTAGATTTAATGTAACTGGCTCGAATATCGAATCACTAGTGATAAATTAATTTTCTATTTTTTTTAAATTTTTCTGTAAATTAAGAAATTAGTGATAAATTAATTTTTCATCACAATTTCAGGTATTTTTTTTTTTTGAAGGACCGATTTCTTCTGAATAATCCTGAATTGAATTGGTATCACTTGAGTTGTTTCAATTTTCAAAAAAAATTGAAAATTATCTCGAAAAATTAAGTTGACTCTTTGTTTGGTCTAAAAATAACTTCAAAGGCATGTTTTCAATTTTTCCTGTCGATTTTTCTATTGTTCATGTTCCGAAACATGGAAAAAACACACACACACAACTAATTGGAAAGTCTCAATATAAAAACTGTTCCGGAATGTTTTTTTTTCATTTGAAATGAACTGTGTTTTTATAATAGTTTCTATTATTCTTATCATCACCGTTATTATTCCAGTTGCAATATGTGATTCCAATGTTTCTTTGTAGGTTCTTCTTCTCGAATTCTAAAATCTAAATTTTTCAATTTCAATTTCAGAATGGGTTCATCAGTATCGCCAAATGGAAATGAAAAAATGTTAACCACATCAAAACCTGTTAAAAAACCGATAGAAGTATGTTTTATTTCTGAAACTCGCTCAATTAGTGACAAGACTTTTTCCAGAGGCAATGTAAGTATAAGTTGAACCTCAAAACTAACAGATTGGAAAGAAAGTGTTCAGTTGTTATAAATCTGAAAATGCCCAAGGCTTCATCAACTTTATCTAATTATTTACCATCGATTTTTATTTTCGGTCTTTTGTATTTGGTTAACTGATTTGGTTTTTGATTTCTAAATGAAACTTAAAGGTTTTCGAGTTTCTGACCGATAAATGTTGCTCTGCTTATCCAGAAACTCTTCATATGCCTTAAAAAAAACATATTTTCACTAACAATAAAATAACAATTTATGTATTTGTATTTGTATTAGAATGCAAAATTATCTCCATTCATGTGTGTAACTTCGTATAACATAATTGAACGGACATTTATCATTCTTTTCCAAATCATAATAAAATAATCGACCATCTGGCTGTTTTCTGTATGTCACATCAATATCACCATTCATCCACTTTTTCATTTTTGGGACTTGACTCTTATCAAACCCATCGAACAAAACATATTTTGATGCTCTCAAAGCTTGAAAAAATGAAATATTAACATTTCCTTCGAAGTATTGTAGATGGCGTTGTTCTCTAAAGATGTATTCAATGAGTGGGTGTGTGCATCTATAAATATCGCCAAAATGTCTATCACTACTCAAATCACGAAGTTCTTTCTCGTATCTTTTGACGGTTTTAAGCAACACTTTATCGATGTTGGGCGGATCGTCAACATGGCAGTTGGAAAATATGATGACTGTGAAGAAAACAACGAAAATGATGTGAAACTGCATGATTTTGTTCCCATATGATTTAATTTGGTTTTTATGAAAAATCTTTGAGACTTATCATAATCAAATTATAAAATTATGAATTCCGTCAGTTCCCATCGCTTTTTCACAGGCCAAGAAAATTTGAATGAGCTTTTAACAAAATTGAAAGAAAAACAAAGTTTTCATGCGATCTGAACAAAATAAATCTGAAGCAAAGAAAAAAAATATTCATTTATGGAAAACCACAATTGACAAAAATTAAGTTTCACTCATCGACTTCTTTTTTTTTCTCAATAAAATCAAACACAATTTTGACAATTTCTAATACATCATTTGTATGTTTTTCTCTCCAATCATCCAATTTTTTCAATTGTTTGTAAATTATTCGAATACGTTCATTTTCATGGTTTTTGCATCGCTCGCGGAATATTTCTTTAGCTTCTCCGATAGTATCTTTTCCGATTTGAAAGGCCAAATTCTCATCTTTGACAATCAAATCGAAATATATTGAAATGGTTTCATTTGTAATTCGTGCTCTATATTTTGATAAGTTCTCGATTAAAATCGCGTTCCCATTTTGTTTTTCTAATAACACCGACAGCCTGTAAAATTATTCGTTTTCTATAATACATATCTCGCTAAACTAACATGCGTTTTTCATCTTGAACCACTTTATATTTTTGAGTTTCTGTTATATTCATGTAAACTTCCACATCCAATTTCCATAACAAAATAAAAAGATGATTGAGCAGTTTTATGAGAGAAAAATCATTTGGTAGAATTTGAATGAAATGTTTCAATTCTTCGAATGTTTGAATTCCCAAAGCTGTATTCCAGAAAAAATTCAAAGAAAAAGTTTCCCAATTCTCGCTCTGCATTATGGGGTCAGAAATGCCCAAACGGAACAATCCTCTTGAAAATCTGATATCCTGATTAGGAAGATATTCTGGTATTCCGGGTTTGAGCCAAATCATTTTTTCAATTTTTTCAAAATCACTATTGTTTCTATACCAAAGTGGAATATACCATGAATAATTCCATTTTGGTGTTGGGAATTGATAACTTTCTAAAACTCCATTATCAAATCTCTCTTGAGTAATCTTATTATGTGTAGAATTGAATTGTTTCACAATGACTAATGGAATTCCAACTTGTTCTAACCATGGATTCATAAAATCTTCGATGCTTGGACTTTCTGGAGGCATAAAATCAGCTAAATATGGATAAAATATTGTGGAGTTTACAGATTTATATAAATTTTCTTTTAGATATTTTGTAACTCCTTCTTCAAATTTTTCTTCTCCAATTATTTTCCATAACATATATAAAATTTGCGATGATTTGTAATGACTTGTAAAGCCATCCATGTCAATGTATTTCTTTTCCAATGTTTTTATAACTACTGGCCTATCTTGCCGCCAACCTTTTCTATGAAGATCACCATACATTGTGTACGAAAACTAATAAAAATGTAATTAATTGTTCTGGACACAAAACTCACCAAATTTCTAAATGGTTGTAAGAAATCAAACAATGTTGCAAATCCTTCATTTAACCAAATTTCTGAAAACCATTCAGTTGTAACTATATTTCCAAACCACTGATGAGCTATTTCATGTTGAACAATACTTTCGATATTTTCATTTTCCCCAATCAAACAATCAGAGCTGGAATTGAGAAAAAATATATAAACAGTACGTACACCTAAATTTTTCTCGATTGGCTTACCGAAAAGTGACCAAACCCCAATTTTCCATTGCGCCAGACTGGAATTGATCCAAAGGAACCAAATCAATTTTGGATAATTCATATTTTATTCCATATTTTTTTTCGAAAAAATTCAAAGCATTTACAGCAGTTTTCAACCCGAATTCCACTAGTTTCAATTGATGATTTGGTGCAAAAGCTCTAACTAATGTTCCAGATTCTGAATAATCACTTATATATTCAAGATCAGAAATAACAAAAGCCAATAAATATGATGACATTATTGGTGTTGGGTGGAAAATTGTGGTTTTCAGATTGTTATCAACTGATTTAATTGAATGTTCAGCTGTATTTGAAAGTGCAATACTTCCAACAGGATGAGTTATTTCAACTCTCCAAATTGCTTTCATCCAAGGTTCATCAAAACATGGAACTGCTTGATGAGCATTTATTTCTTCGAAGTGAGTTGCAATAACCGGTCTGGAGTGATGTAAATTTTTGAAATTGTTATTCAGAATAATTGACTCACTTTTCGTTTTCGTTCTCATCTTTATAAGTCAACCTGAACATGCCCTTTTTATCATCAAGAATTACACCAGAATATGCGATTGTGAGATTAAGATAATGTTTTCTTGGTTCTGATTTTTTCAATGGTTCCAAAGTTTGATCCAATATAAAAATAGCTTGCTCGTTTTGTATATCAAATTCTAATGATGTAATGTTGATATTCCGATTTCGAAAAACTAATTTACAGTTTTCTTTGGTAAAATTAAGTCGTCTTGAATTTATCGCAATTCTATCAATTGCTTCAGTTATATTCAGAATAACACTAACTATTCCATCGATTGTGTAATTTTTATCAGCTGGTGGTTTATAACCATATCCATCAAAATGAACTGTTAGTTTTAGATAATATTCTAATGGTAGTACTGTTTTTGGGAGTCTTGCATATTCCGAGCAAAAAACGAATAAAGGAAATATGAAAAATATTATAAGCATCGAGATTTTTGATATAATTGTTATACTGTTCATTTTTATATGTCAGAAATTTGATATCAATTTCAAATAAACTGTTTTTCATGATGTTTATGTACATTTGAAACAAGAGAAAATCGCAACATTTCTATATGAAATAAATCAATCAGTTCATATTATGAGGAAAAAAGCTATTTTCAAAAAATAACTGTACATTTTTAATGAAAAAACACATTTTTGAAACACACAAAATAAGAAGGAAGTTGACATGCTTCCGGTTTAATTTCAAAAAAAAAAAATAAACTTGACTTCTTGCACTTTTTCTGAAATTAAAATTTTCGGAATGGGAGTTTTCAAGAGACCAATTTTTCGGAAGTTGAAATATTTGTTTTCATTTGTTAGGGTGTTAAAAATGGTTGTTTTTCTGGAAAAAAATGAAAAAACCAATTTTGGGTTGTTTATGTACATCTACATTTTAAAAACTAATTCTGGGATGTTTACACTAACATCGATTTCAGTTCCGTTTTTGAGATTGTGGTAGGTTTAAGCCAACAATTCGTTGATATATATTAACTTTGTGGTTTTTTTTTACATTAAAAATCTATTTTAGGGATGTTTACACTTACTATTCGAACAAACTTCCTTGCTTTAATCTGATTTCCTAAACATTTTTCTTGCCAAATCAGAGAACATCACGAAAAAAATGTGCTTTTCAAACTTTCTCGTATCCAGGAGCTCTTTTCTTAATTACTAGGATAATTAAATTCTAGCCAGAGAAAAGGAACAACAAGATTTCCAGAACTATTTTTTCTCTTACTTCTTCCTGGAACATTTTTATCTGAAAAAGAGATTTTTGAACCCAAGTGGCAATAAATTATCCTATTTTTTGCTCGAAAAATCATTAATCTTTTTTCGGACAAGAACAATTAGTTTGGCAGCAATTTTTTTCAACTTTTCTTTCTTGCCTGACAAATTATACTAATGGGAATTTTGTTGAGAAGAAGAAGAAGAAGAATATTCTGTTTTTTATTTCATTTTTATTCCTTTTCTCTTTCTTTCAACCTTTTTTGCAAAGCTCGGTGACTTTTTCTTGATTTCTCTATCTTTTCAAGAGAAGGAATGACCAAAGATGTTTGGTGGGATAAACTGAATCTCACGAGAATTCCGTTTTCAAGTGATTTGTCTCCAAAAAACGACAGTTTTTGTTGCTCTTTGACAAAAAATTCATTGTCTTTCTCTAGTATTCATTTTTTGGGTAGTTTTTCTTCTCTTTTTTGGCCCCGAACACATTTATTATAAAAGTTCGAGTGTTTCAATGTGTTCAGATGAAAAATTGAGATAAAAGTTGGTTGCACTTGAGCTTCAAGCAACACATTTTATTTTATTCTGTTTTATTTTCATTTTCAATATTGGGAAATGTTCAAAGGGGAGCTTTTTTTTCATAAATGAAGTAAATTTAAAAAAAAATGAAGCCAACTCACAGAACGTAAAAACTTTTTTTTTTAATCATATCATATTTTGATATTAAAAAATTTGAATTTATAGATTTTTCATAGGTAAATTGAATACGGCAGTTACTTTGTGGTTCTCAAATTTTAAAGCCAAGTTATGCTAACTACATTTTTGAGTTTGGAGCTTTTTGTGATGTCCAAAGTAAAAAATATAGCAATAAATACGAGAATATATAGTCCAAAGCTTGCCTTATATTCGAAATACAGAACAGAGAAACAGTGTGTGTATTCGAAAGACACAGACACGAAACAGAGAAATAGTATGTATATTCGAGAGACGCAGACAGCTAGACTTTGGACGATATATTTTCGCATTTTTAAAAAAAATATTTTTTACATTGGACACCGCATTAGTGGCTCACATATTTTTCTTCTCAAAATCAATATTTTTCTAAAATCCTACAACTTTCATCCTAAAATCATACTCTCAATTCAATTTTCATTTCTCATCATTCAATTTGGTGCTCAGTTAACCATAATTCTCCTCCTCCAATTTCAGAAACTTTTTTCTCTCATTTTCTTTTTTTCTGATGTTTGAGCTTTTTCCTGTTTGGGCGGTCAAATAAATTAAAGGACGTTGTTTGATTTTTCCCAATCTATTATAAGAAACTTGGTATTTTGTTTTTTTTTGAAGAAAAAGTGAAATGGGACAAAAATGGTCGAGGAATCATTTGGTGCATCGGATTTTGACGCCACATCAGATTCGGAAGAATAATGAATCGTATCGAGAAACAGAAGCCCTGGTGAAGAAGTTTAGACAGAAAGAGGTGGGTTTTTTTCGAATGACAACAAAATTAGTTGAAATAATTTTTGATTATATTGACTGTTTGAAACTTTTGAAAAATAATTTTCTGAAAACCTCAATTCAGAAATATCTGCGAAGTTGTTCGAAACCGATTCATATTTTGAATTTTTTTGAAATTCACCTTGGCTAAGGTCGTGTGCTCAAATGTACCATAAATCTTTCTGATATCTTTCCAGAATCTCAAATTTCATTCCTAAAATTCTCCCATCTTATATCAGTCCAAAATCTCTACTTTTTTCTTTGCACTTCAACCAAATCAAGACCAAAAACTAACCGATAAAAAATCTCTGCATAAAACAAATGCGATTCTTTTTCTGGTTTTTATGTTCGAACGAAAAAAAAAGTACAAAACGTTTGGTTTGTTCGAGGTATTCTCAAGGGTATACTGAATTTACCGAGAAGAAAAAATATTTGTTTCAATATTTCTAATTGGACACAAAAAAGAAAGAGATCAGGGAGATGTTGTGAACTGAACTATATGAGTTCCTATAACTCATGTTAGAACTAGTAAAAATTACTGCTCAGCTTACTTTGATTCACAATTCAAAACCTCAGAACCACTAAATCTAATATGAAAAAAAAGAAAACGATTCTTTGACCTTGCTGAAAATGCCAACCAAAACTCATATTTTTTCTTCATTTTATTTGACTGACATATAGATGATATTTTATGAACTGACAATGTTCTTTAAAATGTTTTCTTCTGAAAATTGCGTTTTTTTCGAGTTTTATGTGTATTACACTAAATGAATGAATAGTTATTTGAAAATATTTTGAAAGTGATGAAAACTATTCTAGGTCAATTATATTGTCTTTGATAATATTTTTTGGAATTTCAAATCCCAGGATTTTCATTTTCAAACTCAAAATCATGTAGATTTTTCATTTGAGCTTCTGAAACTTCTAGCTTCCAATTTGTAATCAAATTTCATTTTTTTTTTCAAAAAATTCAATCAGGACATGACGTTTTTCAAGTTGTCTGAAATTGCCTATTTTGCCAAGTTTCAATTTATCTCAAGTCCAAAAGTTCAGCTTCTCAAGTTTCTCTTTGTTTTTCTACACCCATCTGAATTTCAATTTTCATTTTCATTTTTATTTTTTCTCTGTTCATTTCCCTCTGTTTTTTTTCACTCCAACCTTTTTTTCCAAAAAAAAAACTCACACGAAGAAAACGCAACAACAAAAAAAAAACACACACAAACACATGTTGAAAGTTTGTATGAAAAATGTTTCCCCAAAGAAACGATGAACTAGATAAATCCACGTGTATTTTTATATCAGATCAAGTGTTCTTTTTCTTCCAGAGCAAAAAAACGGGAAAAGTTGAATTTTGATTTCTAATGCAAAAACAGCACGCGCAAATTGGATGAATGTGTCGAAAGAGCTTAAAGTGCTCCCAAGTGACCTATTTATTTCGGTCAACTCAGCCTGGCGCCTTTTCATCACTTTTTTTTCGCGCACCCACCTAGATTTGTTTCAGACCCTCTGTTTTATCCCTAAAGGGTGGTATAGTCATCATTCATTTTCATTTTTTTTTTGAAAGAAAATGATGGCTGAAAGTTAGTGAGCAAACGAACCAGAGATTAGAAAGGTTAACTTTTTCGTGGAATTTTTTTGCTCATTTTGTTTGTTGAACTTTTCAAAAAAATTTGGGTCAAAAGTTATGTAGACAGGAAATTTGAATCTGTTCTGTATGCTTGACTGCAACATAACCTTTAAGAACATAAACTACATTTCTGCACTTTTAAAAATTCTAGAAAATTTGAAATTTGATTCTAGCCAATTTGGAAATAACCAGTTTTGATTTCTATGCGACCTTATTTTCAAAATTTAATTATGATTTACCCAACTTAAATTTAAGATCTGATTTTCATCGTGATCCAATTTTTGGATTATAATTTTCCTTTTTTAACTTTTAAACTGCTCAATCTCTAACCTAATTCTGTTTTCTAGACACCCACATCTTCTTAACAATGTGTTTTTTCTCCAAAAAACAATCTTCAAGTGATAAATATTCAATATTCTCTCTATCGGTAAGTAACTAACCAAAAAACCTCCCAGCAAAAAGTCACATTTCCAAGCAAGAATTGATAGATTTTTGAAAAAGGCGTCGACAGACTCCGCCCACAAACGAAATGCACATTATTTGACTGACACCACCACCAAAAAAGCAAGAAAAAAAACGTTTTTTCTTGCTTTTTCTTTTTCCTGTTGTTTATGTTAATATTCTTATTCAAAATGAAATGAAATCTGGAATCAATCCGGCTCAAAATTTTGCTGAATATTCATTGAAACCAGTTGAGACTTCTGGTAATGGTAATTCTAATCGTTCAGATACGAGAAGAAAAAGTTCGGTTCTTGCGGATGTTTCTAGAACTTTTGCGAAAATGTCAAAGGTAGGGGTTTTGAAAAAAGCTGTGAACACTTTGTTGAAATTCTGATATCATTTTTTTCAAAATTCAATTTATCCAGTTTGTGTTCTTTGTTCAATCTATTGAATTATTTTTATTCAATTTTATTATCAAAAATCAGAAAAACAAAAACATCCAGAAAAAAAGATCAAACTACAGCTCAAAAAAAGTTTGTCAGGTTTCTGCTGTCCATCATTCAAACCTTTTCCAGAAAAAGGTCAATTTGTGTTTCTTTTTCTCTAAAAAAAAGTTCAAGTATGACAAATTTCTGAAAATGAAAAAACACTCCAAAAATTCCTTCCAAGAAAAGGGTCAGTTAATAAAATAAAGTAGTTTTTCTCCCATTCGCCCCCTAAAAAAAGAACCAAAAAAAGTTCAAACATGACAATTTTCCCCGGGGAAATGTAAAGTTAAGTTTTTTTTCTGGCCAGAAAAAAATCATTGAATGTGATGTGCTTTTTTTCTAGGATGTTGGTCGAGCATTGGGAGAAGATCCACCGGAAAAACCAGATCCAACCAGCGATGAAATTCAACATTCAGTCAGACATTTTTGTGAACAAACTACTTTTCATGGTGTTAATATGGTAATTAATTAGAGCAATTAGAAAAAAAACGTGAAATTTTTCTGCAGATTTATAGCACAGGAATCTATTGGGTCAGAGGATTGTGGATTTCAGTTTGTTTGATGTCTGTGGTATTTTTAATGATCTCATTTTCCCAAGTTTATGCAAAATATTCAAGAAGAGAGAAAATTGTGAATGTTGAGGTTAGCCTAACTTAAAGCCTAAAACGTCAGAAAATATTATCGATTTTTTCAGCTGCAATTTGAGGCTGCTCCATTCCCAGCAATCACAGTTTGCAATTTGAACCCGTTCAAAAATCATTTAGCTCGAAGTGTACCAGAAATAAGTGAAACGGTGAGCAGACTTTTTGAATTTTTTTGCTATGAATTTTTGATGTGACAGATTTATTTTTTGGAAAAAAAAACTTTTCTGAGAAATTTCGTTTTCAGCTTGACGCATTTCATCAAGCTGTTATGTTTAGTAATGACGCACAATTTGATTCAGAGAGGAATGAACGGGGAAAAAGAAGTTCAGAGGATGGAATTAAGCGTGAGTTAATTAAAAGCGGTTGCAAGAGCTGATGGGTTTTGAGAACAAGACCACACACGAAGCTTAGGAATATTTCTGCTTCCATGATCTTTTTTGAATGAAAGATAATTTATATTTTGAAAGTTTCAAAAATTCTGGAAAATGTGAAATATTTTTTGATGTAGCAGTCAAATCAAAAATCCAATTGAATTGAAAAAAAACCATTTTTTTTCAGAATCCTTCAAATATTTGCAATATGAGCCAGTTTACTCTGATTGCACATGTTTAGACAACAAAGAAGAATGTATAGGTAATTTCCAAGTTACACAAAAACAAATTTTCCTAATCAAATTACAAATTTAGTGCAATTATCGGTTCCGAAAGATTTGAAATCTGCATGTATATGTAATTATGATCGACAAGACGGAACAGCGTGGCCTTGTTATAGAGCAGAGTATGTTTCAATAACTCGATTAAAAATTATGCAAATTTTTTGCAGAGCTTGGAAAGAATCAATTTGCCCCGAATGCAATGATATTGGATATTGTAATGTTCCAAATACAACAGGAATTGATGACTCACCGTGTTACTGTCAATCTAATAAGGGTTACTGTATTTTCAAGCCAGAAAAACGTTTGAGAAGAATGTGGGAATTTCGGGGAAAAAAGATTCCGGAGAAGGGAAGCCCGTTGAGAAAAGAGTATATGGAACAATTGTTGCAATTGGGTTACGGTAACATGACTGATCAAGTGGCTATTACTACACAGGCAAGAGAAAAGTGAGTGGAATATTTATGTTTTTTTTTTGAAAAAATAAAGGGTGCATATGTAAATGAGACAGGCAATTAATCAGGTGTTTCAAAATATATACATTTTTCCCGAAAAAAAAAATTTTCAGGATGATTCTCAAAATGTCAGCATTAGTGCCAGAACGAAGAGCAGCTTTGGGGTATGGGAAATCAGAGTTGATCAAAATGTGCTCATTTAATGGACATCAATGTAATATTGAGAAAGAGTTCAAGTAAGTTTGAGAAAAAAGTGGATGAAATATACAAGATTGGAAAGAAATATGCTGGATGAACTTTGTTGGTTGATCTGTTTTTTGGAACTATTTTGAAAATACCTCGGCAAAACCTAAAAGAAATCTAAAGTTATTTCAAAATTCATATATCCCATTTTCAGACTACACATCGATGCATCATTCGGAAACTGCTACACTTTCAATGCAAATCCAAAACAAACAATTCTGAGCAGCAGAGCTGGTCCAAGTTATGGTCTCCGTCTAATGTTATTTGTAAATTCCTCAGATTATTTGCCAACCACAGAAGCTACTGGTGTTCGAATTGCTATTCATGGCCAACAAGAATGCCCATTCCCTGATACTTTTGGATATTCAGCGCCAACTGGAGCAATCTCATCGTTTGGAATTGGATTGGTAGGGATTTCTGATTGTGAATGTAATTTCAGAACTAAAAACCAAATTTTTCAGCGAGAAGTCAATCGACTTACAAAATATGGAAATTGCTATGAACACGAGTTTCCTGGGCCAAGCAGTATTTATAGAGAATATAAATATGAGCCAGAGGTTTGTTTTTGTTTTTTAATTTCTAAAAGTAATTCAGAATGAGAAAAAAATATTTCTAGGGTTGTCATCGCTCATGTTATCAACAACAGATTATCAGAGCCTGTAAATGCGCAGATTCAAGGTTTCCAAAAGGCAGAAGCACTGTTCCATATTGTGATAGCAGTGATAAAGAGATTTGTAAGAATATTTTCATTTTCAAAGAAATCTTCAACTTTTTTCTGATTTTCAGTGGAATGTATGATGCAGCAAGCAGCAAAGCTATCAAAGAAACATCATATTTGTAAATGTATGCATCCCTGTCATCAAAATCAATATACAACAACATATTCAGCTGCAAAATGGCCGAGTGGAAGTTTGAAAGCTCAATGTCCAGAGAGTGTGACTACGAACTGTAATCAATATTTGAGGTGAGTGGATTTTTGGGATTTTTTTTTTGAATTTTTTAAAGGCTTGGAAGTTTGTTCTAGAATTCTAGGATCCCGAAAAAAATCTGAAAGGACTGGAGGATGTTCTGAAGTTTCTAGAACCTCGGAACTAAATCTAGGATGCCACGAAACTGTCACTATATATTCAGAAGGCTGGGAGAGTTGTAAAAGGTTTTATAGAAAATCTGTAATATGTTTCTGGAATTTCCCAATTATTCTAAAAATCCTAGGAAATTTTTCTGAAATTTTCAGTAGGTTGAAACATGTTTAAGATGGCTTTGAAAGTTTTTCTAATTGTTCAGAAGACAGCAAAGCTTCTTGAAAAAGGCCTAGGATGTTTTTATGAGAAGAATAAAAGTCCCGAGACAAAATCTTGAATTTCTGAATTTAAAAATCTTCTAAATTCCACCCCAATTCTCAAACAAAATACAAATTTTCAGTGAACACGCTGCAATGATTGAAATCTACTATGAACAGATGAATTATGAAATATTACGCGAATACGAATCCTATTCAATATTCAATCTGATTTCTGATATGGGTGGCCAAGCTGGTTTATTTTTAGGTGCAAGTATAATGAGTTGTGTCGAGTTTATATTCTTCATATTGCGAATAATCGGAGCAATTTGTAAACCGAATCGAAAACAAAAGGAGAAATTGTTGAAAAGTGATGATGATTTAGAAAAAAGTGCTCAAACTTGATGACTGATTTTTTTTGATTATTTATTTTATGTATAGTGTGTAATTGAAAATGTGTCTTTAAAACTGATCTGGAAAAAACTTCAATAATGAATTTTATAAAATATTTTATTTTCGACTGTTCTGTTTTGAGAGAATTTTTTACAGAAAAAAACAATTGATTATTTGACAAAAAAAAGGTACATGAAAATCTGGAAAGAAAAAAACAGGAAAAAGTTAATTATAATTTCTAGTAAATTTTTTTGTAGATTTAAAATTCAGAATCAAAAACAAGACTTTTTCATACTAGATACGAAAAAGAGAATTGGGCAGAGAGAAAAAGAGCAATGGAAAAAAAACAAACTATGTATAAAACAAGAAAAAATCAAGGGTACCCGCTTGAATTGTATGATTTTCTGCGAGTTTGAGCCACCCGGGGGCACAAACGCTGCAATTTTTTGTGTTGAGTGGGAGAAAGAGGACAGCAATTTTGAAATAACATGATTATTGTTGGTTACCATTTGTTGAAAGATTATATGGCAATCTGTAAGAATTTTGATTTTTTTTAATTTTTCATTTTGAAAAAAAAAAGTTACCTCAAATTCTCTGGAAGTCTTCTGAAGAATCGGTGCTCTAGCGCTTCTTTCAACTTCAATCTTGAACTTTGCTCATAAGTGAGCATATTTTCAATGAGCTCAAACAACTCATTGTGTTCTGGTTCAAGGCAAGTCATTGATCTCTGAAAAATGGAATTTTTTTGGAATAGCTGCATAAAAAGCTCGAGAACATACTCTTAATGGCACACAATTCTTCTTCACCCAAGTATGTCCAGCCGAATTTGTCCCCCAATCAAGTTTCGCATTGATAATGCAATCGCACTTTGCTCTCTTCATCATACGAGCTGGAATCGAGCCCAAAACGCGTTCCATCATCGCAAGATGCTCATTATTATCGTGAGTTTGAAACAGAGTTGAACCAGTATAAAGTTCGTACAAAATACAACCGATACTCCAAACATCGCATGGTTGTGACCAGCCAAGTTCCATAATCACTTCTGGAGCACGATAGTGTCTTGTCGAAACAATTGTGGAATGATGTTCAGTGTCAAATGTTGCCGATCCGAAATCAATCAATCGAACATGTGTGTTTTTCAAAATTCGATACTTCTGCAAATGTTTTTCTTGAAATTTTTTGGAAAAAACGGAGAAAACTCACCGGTCTATCAGGATCCAACGTATACGAACTGTCAATGAACAAAATATTCTCCGGTTTCAAATCAGTATGAGTGAGATGATTTTCGTGCAAAAATTTGACCGCATTACAGAGTTGATAGGCGATATGAAGTGTGTGAGCCATTGGGTATGGTCGATAATCATTGTTTTTCTGAAACAGGAGAAATTTTATTGATTTTTTTTGAATTTTGAAAAAAAAACCGCGTTGCAACCGCACGCGCTTAAAGATATTGATAAATTTTGATCGAACTCACCAAAAAATCAAAAATGCTCAAACCCATCAAATTGAAAAGCAGACAAACGTGTCCATGATAATCGAACCATGATTCGAGATGAATTACCCAGCTGAAAAAATTCAGAATTTTCAAAATATTTTATTCATGTATATATTTTTATCCCACAGCTGGTGTCATTTTGATTTATTGTTTGTTCTTTTATCACTACTGCATAATTCACTATATACATTTTCTTTCTTTTCATCTTTTGAATTCGACTCATCGATCTTTCAATTCAAAATATCAAAAACGAGGAACAGAGAGATATGCTTTACACTATAGCGAGCCAGAGAAACTCAAAATCGATATGATATTTCGTTTTCGTCTAACATGTTTTTTGTTGAGAAACACAACAGAGAAAAAAGGATAGAAGAAGTTTCCGAGATGAATGAAATTTTTTTTCTTCGTCGGAACAGCATGAACAGTTGTTACCCACACAAAAATTTTGGGGAAGAAAAATGAATAGGTGTTTTTTTTTTGAAACCCAACTCACTTTTGGTCATTCGGATCTTGCTCTTTGAGCTTGTTCAAAACCTTGATTTCCAATTTGGCAGCATCACGATATTTGTTGACATTTTTGATGATTTTCAATGCCATAACCTTGTTATTTTTCGTGTTTTTCACACGAGCCACTTTACCAAATGTACCTTCTCCGAGTGTATCTTGGATACAAACTGAAATAAAAAAACCGATTATTTATTTTCTGAAACTCTAGATTTCAGGAAAAACTCACATTGTTTGACCAAATCTCCTTTGGAGTAGATCAAATGTCCATCAGAATCATCTTGAATAGCAGGAGCATGATTTGTGCCACCAGATGTTTCGCGAGCTTTTACTCGTTGATTTGTCTTCTGAAAAAAAAATAAAAATTGAAACATGAAACTTTTTATTGTTCTTTTTATGTTGATCAAAAACTTCCGGTGTTCCCCCAGGAAAGAAAAAGAGCAAGTACAAACCTGCGCAATCGGTTTGATTTTTCGAGCCTTGTCACCACACGCAATAATTTTATCAACTTTTGCAGACACCGATGCGGGAAGTTGTAGTTGCGCAAGTAGACTTTGAGCAGCTGCTGATTTCGGTTTGGGTATTGTTGTCGCAGCAGATGTTGGTGTTTTCATATTAACAACAGGTTTATTTGAAGATGAGTTAGAGCTATCATCTACAGGTGTTTGTGGAGTTGAAAATGCGGCTGAAACGGCGTTCACTGTTTTCTTGGCTTTTTGCTCATCCGTTTGCTCTTTGCCGATATCAATTCCAGATTTTGAAACAGCAAGTATTCCAGTTTCAGTTTTCTTTTTCCGAAGTGATAATTTCTTTTCAATCAGTCGTTTTTCATCTTCAACTGGTTGTTGTGCATTACTTGTAGATGGTCCACCGATAGGCGATCCGATTGCACAAATTGTAGTTCCACTTTTAGAGCCGTATGCTTTTCGTAAAGCTTTTGGTCCTGGAGCAACAGCTGGAGCAGCACCAGCAGCTGATGAAGTTGATTGCTGATTAGTATCATTACTGGGTAGAAATTCAATTCCTTCCGATTTCTTCACTGGTTCTGCTGGTTTCTTCGGAATTGGATCGACTTTTTTGACTTCAGCTGGTTTCGTTGTCGAATTTTGCTTGTTCAGCGGCGGCTTTTGATCTTTAACAAGAGCTGGGGCTGGTGCAACTTTTCCAGCTGCAATTTTAGTGGTTGAAGTGATCGATGGAACTCGGAAGATTGCTTTTTCGGTTGATTGATTCCTCTTGAGCTCGGTCAATTTTCCAGATATTTGTTTGGTTGGCGGTGGTGCAACATTTTCATCTGGTTTTTTTATCTCTTCAGGCTTCAAAGTTTTCGGAGCCCCAGTTGGTGGTGTCAATGGTCGAGATAACCCTTTCCAATGATTATAGGATTTATAAAGATGTGGATCGGACACACATTTCCTCAAACTCGCCAATAATTGAGTGTTTCTTCGTCGAGAAACATAATTCTTATATTTCCGTTTTCTCGGAATCACTACAAGTGGTAGCTTCCGAAGGGCCAATGCGTTTGGCTGGGGAAGTGAGAATTTCTGGACTGGCATTTCAGGAGTCAGAAAAACTGCAGCTGATTGTATTTGTGGAGCGTTTGAAAGAACAGCTCTTTGTGGAAGACGATGTGAAATATAGTGTCGCCTTGAGGATTGTGGTGATAATAAATTATTGGATGTTGATGGTTCACGTGAGGTATTATTGTTGGGTGTTGATCTAGCGGTTAATGAATATGGTGATACCGAAAGAAATGGTCGATTTGGTGAAACTGAAGAAGCTGATGTTGTTACCGTCGATGTGACGGCAACGTGTGGAGAACACGTCTCCGAATTTGGAATGTCGGGAATAATTGAAAAATGATAGAATGGAGAAAAAAAGTGAATACTAAACGGTTGTAATAATAATTAGAGCAAAAAAACTGCGTGTAGTAGTAGTACAGATGACAGCAGGTGGGTGAAAAAAAGTCAAGAAGATGTTCTTTTTTTGCCCGTCAAAAACACAACAAAGCAGCTAAGAAATTATAGGTATTGCTTGCGGGCACAGAAATATTGGCGGTGGGGGGGGAAGAGAGAGAGTGTCAATGAGCAAGTATTGATGAGACAAGACGACGGGAGGGAAAGACATACTAGTCCCGAGCAGCCAAGAGCCGCCCACAAGTCTTCTTCTTCACTTTACAACTCATTTCTCTATTCGACTCATCCGAAGAATTGAGAACAACTATTGAGGGAATGAAAAAAGAAGAAGAAGATGATGTAGCACAGCAATTTTAAACTATCATCTTCCCGCTCATTTTTTCTGTATTTTTAGTCGCTTCTCTTTTATCGACATATCAGTTTGTCTTATAATAAATATGATTAAAGGGGACAAGAAAAAATGAATGAATCACAGATCACAGAAAAGAAATAAAAAAAATGAATTGAGGGGACACCGGAAGAAAATCTAATGTTTTCATTTTTTGTATATTTTTTTGTCATGAGGATAAATTACGAAATATATAAATATAAACTAACCGGGCATGGTGTTCTGCTACGACTTCGTCGATTTGTTTTTGGACCAGATGGTGCGTATGGCTTTTTGATTCCCTTGTTTTTGCGGCTGGAAAAAATATACACGTTTATTGGATTTCATGAAATTCATATCACTTCATTTTACATGTGTTCAGAAAAAAGTTTTTGAAAAGTTCAAAAATGAATTGAACACTGTGTAATAATTTTTTTGTGTTATACTGTAACATTTTATTTTGCACAGGAGATGATAGATTTAGTTTTTGATGAAAATTAATATTAGAAAGGAGAGACCAAGAATTCTCAAAAAATTAATTTTTGAAAAAATTCAGATCATGGAATCAAAGGACAGGTCTAACTTGTGAAAAGCAAAACCACCAGTAAGATCTGAAAAACGATTCCCTATGTCATTTTAAGCCCTCACAAGTTGGAGAAATTTGAATTTTCACAGTCAGGAGCTCTTAAACTACACAACTCACAAAAAAATATTTACTGAAACCTTACTACTCTGTTTAATTTCAGAACAACTATGTACTAACCTGTCTATATCTTCCATCACACTTGAATATAATAAATCCGAAAAGATCATGAATGAATGTCTCATTTTTTGACCACAAAATCAGTGTAATAGATTTGTCAAATTCAAGACAAGTTGAAAGATTGAATTTTTGTTTCTAGGAATTATGAAAAATGTCTCTGTTTCCTAATTGAATTATAAAAATGGTCAATTTACGTCAAACATATCATTTCGTTCAAAAATATTCATTTTGTTCAATATATGGATTATTCTATGAAACTATTCTGAATATTGGAGTTCCTAGTGATAAAAAATCAACAATGTTTCAACGTTTGAAATATGAGCAGCATATTAATCCGCTGTATATATTGTAAAATTTTGTTATTTTGGTCTAGATCAATATTCAGTATATCTCTAACTCATTGTATACTTTGAATTTCCTAATTTTCTAGCAAGTAATGCCTCAAAATGTTAATATTGATTGTAATTACCCTCGTTATTTTGAGGACAGTAATTCTATGAAAATCTAAAGGTTTCTGATACGTTCAGAAACCACCTGATTCAGACAATATTTGAATTTTAGATCATAATAACTTGTTTTCACGGGTCAAACTTTTAATTTTATGATTCGACAAATGTTTTTTTTATTTTTCAAAATTAAATTCTGAAAACTCTAGTTTTAACTATCATTAATTTTATGTCAAAACTTTAGCAGGTTCTTTATTTTAACAAGAAAATTCTTCAAAATATTGTGCACTTCATGAATGATAAATCAATGAATTATAATTTTTATCTTTGGTTTTTACAATACCTCAAAGAAAAAACTCACATTGGACTCTCGATTCTTCTTCGTTTTGTTCCACGTGCAGCAGGCCCGTTTTCGTTTTGCGTTAAACGCACACTTGGTTTCACATTTCTACTTGGATATCTATTCCGCTCACTTGTATCGGTCCTAAATTCACAAATATGATCTATGCTTTCAAAATTCTAGCAAACCTTTGTCCAGATCTATGTGAAGCATCAAGTGAACCATTTGTCAATGTTGTTCCAGTTCTGGTACGTGTGCGAGTTCTGCTGCGTGTGGTAACCATCTTCCTCTGAAGAAAAAATGATGATTTTAAAACAGCATAAAAAAGCATATATCATTTCGGATTTCAAAGAAAAATCAATACAAACAGAAAAGGCAACATTTAATTGACATTACTTTGAAAAAGAGAAAAATAAAAAGAAGTGATAAAATGAGATAATGAACGATATTGGCAGACAATATAAATATGTATCGCATCTTTTTTTACAACACTCCACGCGACACTGCGCTCCACACTGCATTTTGGAAAAAAAAGGGGAAGGGGGTAGGCAAAAAATATTCGTTTATCTCATAAAACAGAGATGATTTTTGAGGAAGAAGAAAAGTTTTTTAGTTTTATGTTAGATTTAGAAGAATTATTATAATTATAATACGGAAATATTCAATCATCATTTGATTTTTTCATTAACAAAAAACATTACTTTTCATAGTCATACAATTCTCAAAATAGCAATGTTATGGGAGAAAAAATGATTTTTTTGGTACAAAAAATATAAAATTTTCAAGCGCGAACACATAATAAATGAGCAAAAAGTATAATATAAAATGATTTTTTCTCGTCAAAATGAAATTATTCATGGGGAAAAATTGGTCGCGGCTCATGATTTTGCTCTTTTTCAGACAAATTTCTTTCTCAACTGTGAATTAACTCAAATTTGAATTCAAAACTAACAGATTTTTTGGCGTCAAAAAATAATGACTGGGATAGAAAATAGGTAATTATGGCGGGAAAGAGGAAAAGGATAAAAAAGTGTGGCATGTGTTGATGTGGAAAAATGTTGTGCGGTATAAGGTGTTTTTGGCAATGCGCCAGTTTGGATAAATTGAATAATAAAAACAAAAAATAACGCGTGACATGTTTACATATGTACAAAGTATTTGGTTGAGACAAACTGTTTAGAAAGGGATTATGGGTTTTGAATGTTGAGATTATGAAATAAAAAATTAAAATAAGACTTTAGCTAACAATTTCAGGAAAAAGTAGAACTCAAAAATTGAACTTTTTTTAAATTATGATATATATTTTTTATATTTTCATTGTTATCTCAAGAGCTTTTAAAAAAAAATGGAAAATTAACTGCACAGAAAACCTCTCGACAGTTATAAATAATAATAAATAAATAATCTGAAAAGAAAGAAAACTCTTCTTTCTGAAATCTGAAAATAAACTAAAAAATAAATATATTACAAAAAATAATTCACCATAATAATTATGTGCAAATTGGAAATAATCTGGAAAAAAACAAAACTCTTCTTTCTAAAATCTGAAAATAAACTAAAAAATAAAAAAATAAATATTCTACAAAAAATAAATCACTAATGCCAAGTAAGAACAAATTGCAAAGAACAAATATGGGTGAAAATAACCTTACACCACATAATACACACAGTAAACCATGTGGTCTAGAAATTTAGTGCATTTCTCTACACTCTTCCGCGCTCTCTCTCGCTCTCATATACTATCTCGCCCGGTCTTCCTTTTGCGCGGTCAGCATTGTCTGATATTTGCTAGTTTTCAGAGTTTTTCATGGGTATTTTTGAATTTTTTTTATTGAAATTTTTTCAGGAGTTTTCGCGAAATCACAACTTTATTTTAAAAATGCGACAAACCGAAGGAATTCATGAACTTACCTGGAATTTGTCCAACATAAATATGATCAATTATGGCGGGATATCGAGTCCGGAATTCTCATTCGCTGGAAAAAATTGGTGAGTTTTTTTTAACAATGACATTATTTCCACTTCATGAATTGAAATATTTTTCATTTTAGCCTGAAAAAAACACTTCGGGAGCAATATTTTACGGTTCCAAGGCTTTTTTTCGCAAAAAATACTTTTCTCTACGTTAAAATAAGTTTCTGTACTCACAAGAAATTGATCTCAATGTGATCACCTGAAAAAGTTCTATTTCATGTTCAAATAGTGGGGAGGTATGAAAAAACAAATAGGGATTTTGTGAGTAACAATTTCTTTCATGAGAATCCGGAATTTGCAATTTCGGAATTTGCAAAAAACTTTCAAAAAGTAAAAAACCTTCAGTTTTCAAAAATTCGTAATTCAATTCAAACTCAACGAAAAACCTCGACCAAAAGCACATTTTGAAGCTCAAGTGGTTCTTTGGACCGCTTTAAAATATTTTTATCAAAAAAAAAATTCTCATGAAACAATTGTTACTTACAAACAAATATTTGTGTTCTCTTCAAAAAACAAATGATGAAAATTATTGAAAAAATATAATCGAGAAAAATTATCTAACAAAAATAAATACATCATTTTGTTTCAGGTTGATGGAAGCTGTAGTTATGAATCGAGAAACTCTACAATTGAATCTCCATATGAAAAAAGCACAAGAAAACGATCGCCAAAATTACGTCATATTAAGTAAAGAAAATTGGAAATTCGAAACACCTGGATTGACCATCCGAAATGCAACCCAATCTTCTTTGTTTTGCGGGCAAAAAATATCCGGAAGTATTTCTCCTTTTAACATCGATTTCAACACAGTCAAAGAAAATGCCGAAACTCCTGCAACTATTAGTGTTGTATTAATGTTTAAATCATACGATTTTTCGATCGAACAAGAAGGCGATGATCATCTAGACTCTTATGGTACAACATTTTTCCTTAACCAACAGGTATTTTTTATTAATTTTAAATCGAAAAATCATATCAAATTTCAAACCAGATACAAAAAAAGTAACAAAAAATTTAATAATTTGAAATTGAGCAGATCTAAAAAAATTTCCCCGTGATTTTTGTGTTTTTTTTTTCATTTTTTAAAAAAGAAAAAATAATTTTCAAATACTCTTACGATACATTTGCCTACTGCAGAATAGCTTCCCATTTTTCTGTGCTCGATCAACTAAATTTTCAACTAAAAAAAAGCAAAAGGTGCACTTTTATAAAATTTATAACATGAATTCACGAAGTGGGATAACGGAGGCTTAAAATCCTTTAAAACTTTTGAAATCAATTTGAGAACGCTCAAATTTTTCGAAATAAAAATTAAATAGAAAAAATAAAAACGTTGTAAGATTTTTTTTTCGTAATATTTACATTAATATAATTGTGTTTCAGTTCGGCATTGATCACATTGGAAATTACATGGATTGGCAGTTGGGATCCGACTCAGTTAAACATGTTATCATTCAGCCATATCCTTTCTTATTCATGTTAACGATTTTACACGACGAGTCATATAAATTGGAAAAATTTTTCGGGTTGCAGTGGATTGAATATATGTTGGATTTGGCAAGACGATGGAGAGTGGCTGAATTGAAAAATAAGATGACACAGTTCGTCTTGAAGAGGCATGCTTACTTTGATTACATGAGAGTTGTCAAGATTTTGCAAGAGCATGATTTGGAAGATTTGGTGGTTAGTGTTTTTGTTCAATTTGTTCTGTTTTTTCCCACAAAATATAAATTATTTTAGGACCAAGTAATGCAAGGCGTAACGGAGATCTACCGGTTCGGCAACTTGCGTGAGAACGAATATTTCCAAAGAATTAGTGATGATAATAAGTTGAAAGTTTTGCGTCGAATGCTTGATTTGTTGGCTGAAAAACGGCGAATTGTATAATCTTTTTCTTGTAAATGTCCATAATTTTTGTAAAGTCATGTCGTTTTCTTTTGTTGAAAATTTGTCTGTTTTCTGGTTGTTTTTTTTTGTCACAGTCTAACTGTCCTCATTTAATGCTGTTGTCCCTTTTACACCCATTCATTTGTTACGTGTTTTTGTTGTTTTTCCTGTTTATTTAACCTTCCACTCAAAAATAATCACCGGTTTTTTTACTTTGAAAAAAAGTGATTTTAAAAGAAATTCTCCTGTGCCATGATCTTACATGTTAAAATGTTTTACCGGTTTCTGATGAATAATTTATTTTTTGTGTTTTTTTGGCTTAAAGGTGGAATCCGAGGAAAATACAAGTTTGATTCATTCGCGGGTTCTTACTACCCTTTGGAAATGTCCGTTTACTGAACAAAATTGCGAAAAAACAGCATCGGAGGAAAAAAACGGAGAGAAACAAAAAAGTACATATGTATTGGCGGTGGGGCAAACGCGCTCCAGCGAACAGGCGGAAAATAAATCTGGAGTTTGTTTTTCTTCGATTTTTCAGCCTATAGATAGAAAGTTGAAGAGAGATAGAGAAATGAGAGCAGGAAACAGACTGGGAATGAAAAAAAGTGCAGAAAGGTTGCAAAAATGAAGTCCGTTTTTTGTCAAATTTCATATATGTTATGAATGCAATCCATGGACATTTGGAATCATATAGAAGTTAGATTGAATGATTTCTCGGAATTTTTGAGAGAAATTTTTTGTGTCAAAGGAATATTACGTCTTACAAATGATAAATTCTAAAGGTGAACTCTGACATAAAAATCGATATATTTTAACGAGTTTCGATTCACTCGAATAGTTGTGAATCGAAACCTGGTTGAAAAATCGATTGACAAATTTCATGAAAATTGAAATTGACAGAGAAGCACAGCTCCAAACTACTGTACATCTGGACTTTCGAGCCATTTTATTGTTTTTTCGAACTTCGAAATCTTTTAACTAACTACCTGAATGTGAGAAGCTTCCAGAAAAAATCCTTCGAAGATTCTACTAATTAGATCATGATATTTCAAATGAGCATAACTTATATAGACCTTTGAAAAACATTCCCCATTCCACCATAAAATGCACTTTTTGAAACCATCGTGGTTGTTATCAAATAATCCGAACCAAGAAACTACTGAAAACAACTTCACATGTTTTACGTCATTGTTATCAGCTCTGAAAGTGCATTTCAGTAAACCATCTATAAAATGAAAACAATCTGATTTATTATCAAATCATAAAAATGAAACACGTGTCTAATTTACTTATTTTCTTCCTGGTATTTCAAACTTCCTCAAGTCTTCCCTTCGATATCTTCGGTAAAAATTCAAATATAACATCTACAACCCCAAAATCAACATATGCCACCAAAACACACCTTCATCAAATAACTAGAAAACCTCCAAAACCACAATGTCATCCTTTCAATATATTTTGTGTTCCTTGTAAGATTGGAGTGAATATGGCTAGAACAGCTATGGATCATGTTGTTTTCATACACAAGGTTAGTGTTTGGTAAATTTTTGTTAGAAAACATATGAATTTAAATAAAAATAATTTCAGGGTGTGGAATCGCTATGCTCAAATATTCTGGGAAGACATAAAGTTTGCGATTCAATTATCAAACTCACCATGTTTTATTTGGACCATACTCCAACAGATCGTGTAAGTTTTTGAGTTTACTGGAGTTATTTTAACTTGAATGATATTTTTCAGATTTGCAAGCGATTTTTCTTGTGTGGAAACAAAGGAATATGGGATTGGTGGTTAGACGCAAATCATTCCAAAAATTGTTTCAATTTGAGCTCCCAACATTTGACGGTCTTACAGGTAATTAATTTATTTCTATCTTACCAATCAATATTTTTTTTACTACAGATTCTTAACACACCGTCTAACAATACATCTGAACAATTCTACAATGTGAAAAACAATGTTGCTAGTTTCATTGAAAATAATCTTGAAGTTTCGATATCAGAACTACCCGAAAATATTGATCATCAAATTGCTGATTTTATATTTTCAGCCATCAAAGCAGCAGAACTTTTGGATAATCAGGAAGAATAATTTTATTAAAATCGATTAATTATTTTGGTTAGATGAAAATTGATATTTTTGGCCAAAGTATAAGTGAAAAGTAATGAATAAATAAAACTTGAAAAATGGAAACAGTGATTAAATGTCATCGAATTCCAAGCGGAATAAGGGCGAGATTCGTTTTTCTTGTTTTCCAAAACACAAATCCTGACAATTTTGTTGGAAAAGAATTGGCTGTTCTTCCATTTCTTCATTCATTGAGCAACGTGGATAATCATAAGGGACACATTCAGATGAACCTTTCTGGAATTTGGAAAGTTTGATAATCAAAGATTAGTACCTAGAGATTCACTCTAGCAAGGAGCCGCGTCTTGAGAGTTTCGGTTTCAAGTAGCCGCGCCTATGGAACCTAGTTGTCAAGAAGGCGCGCCTAGAAAGTTCAATATAGCAAGGAGGTGCTGTTTGAGAGTTCAATTGTCAAAATATTTTTGTTATAAACTCACCGGTCTGTACCATCTCTTCACAAGTTTCGGCTCATCACCATCGGCACATTTTTGTCTAGTAATTTGGCAACATCTTCGATTTTGTTCACCTAGAAAAATTGATCATTTGCTCTCAATTCACCGCTTTGCTATCATGATTTGAAATCGGCAACTTTAAAGTGTTTCATCAATCATTCAAAATACACAATGAAACATCTTCGCCATAAGAAAAAGATAGAGAGAGAGAGAGAGAGAATATGTAGAGCGAGAAAAGAAAAAAAAAACCCCGCGAAAACCTACAATCTGGATTGAAATCAATTGAAATTGGTTCATCATCCATTTTTTGCACAATCTCATTTGTCATATATAATTGTGAAGTGATATCTGACGCGTGTTTTCTCGAGTTTGGAATATAACCAGTTCTTGGTTTCCAATATTGTTGTGGTCCAGATGTTGTTGTTGACAGCAATGTTGATTGAAGTTCAAATTGTTTGACAGCAAATCGATGACGATAAGCATCAACAAGTATTTTTGCGAGTTTACGGTTTCTTCTCATCGAATTTTTGATATATGTTTCATCGAGTGGTGTGTTTGAATCAAGACTTTGTTCAATTTTCTTGATTAGATTGCTTACTGAATATTCGGATGATGGTTTATATCTTCTAGATCCTCGGAAAGCAGAACTCGCTACAATTGGCATCTTTGTTTCTTCCCCAACTTCTTCAGTTTTTGTTGTTGCAGTCAAAGCAACTTCAGAAGTTGTAGATATTTCAGGAACAATAGTTGTAGACCCTTTAATCAATGTTAATAAACACAAATAAAATGAATGTGTAATTAGCTAAATTTAAACTTACTTTCCAGTTTATATTCTTGATTAGTTATTTGCCTTGAAGTTACATCAATTTGTGAAGAAACGTTTGCAATCTTGTTTTGATCCAGAAAATTGTCCAGTTTCAAAAGTTGTTCAGTTTCAGTTATAAATTTTCTTTTGAGATCAGATTGCTGAAAAAACATGGAATTTTGAATTCACAATTTTTTTAAGGTTCTACCAAATTTGTGTTTTCCGAAGCTAATCCAATCTTGAGCATTTGTTGTTCCACCAAATTCTTCGTCAAATCGGCTTGTTGTAATTGAAGTCTGACCTATGAGACAATTTAAATGAAATTCGAAACAATAATTGTTTCCTCTCTTTTCTTTCACCAATTAAAATTTCCGGAACTTTTTCCTTTTTTTCTTTTTAAAATCTTCACCTAGCATATCCCAAAACATCTATCCCAAAAGCCTTAAAATAATAGTACGCTCATAAATCATGAAACTACACAAAAGAGGGAAGAAAAAGATAGTAATCTGTTGAGGTGTCGATGCCATTAAATTAGTTGGTGTTTGATGAGCTAAAGGTGGTCAAAGGAATGTGAAACATTTTATGGTGGATTCGATTTTTTCATTGGTTTTTTTTGGACAGCCGGCTGTTTTTTTGAATTAGGAAAAAGGAATAAGGATAAGGACTCGAATGGAATGGAATGGAATGTTACTTAATGGTTTTGATGGGTATCTTGAGTGACAAATAATGAGGTTTTGCAATTGAAAAAAAGTGCATAGGAATTTGGATAATTAGAATCACATGATAGAATAGTTCAAAAGTCGTTTGAAAGTATACTGTAGGAGAAAAGATATTTGAATGGTTTCCAGATATTTTTAGAAGATTTTCAAAAAGTATAACGTTTTTCGAAAAATATATATTGAAAATAGAAATCTTGTCCTTAAGTTTGCTTTGTATTTTTTTCAAGGAATTTCTGAATTTCCCTATAGAATCTGAATGTTTTGTACATTTTAGAATTTTGAAGCGCAAAAGAAATACACTAATTCTAAAACTTGATTTCAAACTTCAAAACTCAAATATGCTCACAGAATTTTCAAATATATGTATATAAAATCATCCCGCAACTCACTTTCTGAAGTTCACACTCATTCCGATCACAAAATCTAGTCTCATACAAATGTGGGCACAATCTTTGCATGAATTTTCCATCTTCATTGAGTTCTGGTAATGGAGGTTTCAAGACATCACGATTTCGCACAATTAGACCATTTTGACAACCTCCAAAACATTCCGACCAACTTCCCCATTGCGATACAATACATTCTGAAAAAAACACTTTTGAAAAGGGAGTTAGGGTATCCCTGGAATGTAAAATACTTCGAGGAATTAATTCAAGCGCCCCGAGCTTCTTATAAAGAATCCCCAGGGGTTTTACTGATTCTGAAAAAATCCAAATTAAAAAATACCCCAACTTACCACTTTGATAAGAGATATGTATAAGAAAACCAAAAATATATAACACAATCATATTCGAATTGAAAACAAGTGAGTATCTTCTATTGAGGATCAGTGGTATCCATCCACTTATTTTTTTTTCGTCATGCATTTTTCGCGCCTCCAGAACAACGCCCCGCCCTATCTTCTCAACGCAATCTTGTTTTTTGTTCGGCTGCTTCCAAGTTACGGTTATTTTTCGGAACGCTCCATTTGTGTTCTCATTCTCATTTCAGAGGAAAAAAATTAATGTTTCAATCATAATTAATTGTTGACATTCCATTCACGCCTTTTTATCTTGAAAACAGAAAAAAATTCATTCCGCGGAATTTAATAAAAAACAATGGAATGTTGTTGGAAGAAAGCAAGAAAATCCCGTAAAATGTTTTGAAATGTTTGTGAAAAAATAAAATTAAAACACAAATAAATTAGCCTCTAAACCTATTTTGTCCAGTTTTATGAATTAGAGTTAAAACTATAATTGAAGATATTGCAGATATCAAGAAGATCACATCAAACCATCGATGATAGAAGTTGAATTGTAGATCTCCGAGGATTCTTGTCAAAATAATTCGGTATTCGAGTGGAACATTCATTCTCATTAATAATACACTTGATACAAAATACATTCCCTGAAAAAATATTATTTCAAGGGAGAAGGTGTTCATTTCTAACTTACCATAACTTGGGCCAACCCAAGAACAATTATATTTGAAGATCTTGGATTAGATATCGAAACAAAGAACTTGGTCATCGTTATGAGTAAACCTGAAAAATTATTTTTGTATTTTTCACAATTTTTCTTCTCCTCCAAAATACCTCTAATAGAAGTGATTGCAATAACTCCAACAAAAAAGAATGAAATATATTGCGACCAATAACGAACGTCAAGTTCAATTCCAATATGATTCACTCCAATTTCAATCATTCTTGTAACTGGATCGACCTTCAAATCAAAAAGCTAATTATTATTATATCGGTCGGTTATATCAAAAGATATTCTTTTTTTGTTTTTTGTTTTTATCATAACACAATAGAACAAAAACACCTTTCTTTCGAAATCCGTGCGATTAAAAATCTTAAGAAAAAAAACTGACTTTTCCAACACGATCAAAGACAATATTGATAAATGAGATGAAGATCTTCCAAATACAGTAAACTGAGAAAAAGTGGCCGAGGATGTTGAAATAAATTCCGATGAATGTTTTACTGAATTCCACTCGATTTAACATGTTTCGAAGTTCGACAAGTTCAATGAACAGATAGCTGCTCAATGTTTCCAGCGGTTTGATCTCATCTTCAAGGCGGCTGAAAATTATGAGGTGTGATTATTTTCTCTGGGATATTTTGATGATAGTTTATACTTGAAGTTTTTCAAATTTCTATTTTACTTCGAGTAAACTGTTCCTCATCTAAAAAAGTTCCCTATCTGAAAATCTACAACCACACCTAAAATTTGACCTTGTTTTGGCTGCTTGCAAATCAGATGTGTTTTTGTTGTAAAAATGAAATCGAAAACTTATTTCGAAATTAATTTATTTCGAAATGGATTCAAAATTTGAAAATCTTTCGAAACATTTTTGAAAGTTTTCCAACCCCAGAAAAATTTGTTTTTCTCACATTCTCAAAAAAACTTCCCTGTTTTTTTTTTCCCCAAAACAAAACACTTACCAAATTTGTGCTTGAATATTCGATTCATTTCCGCCATCCGAAAAATTCGACCACAACTTTGACAAAAAACTCGGCTCACTTGATTTCTTTTCAATATTCATTCTTTGCAATTCCAATTTATGTCGAGCAACTTTTCGTTTTTTAATAACAATCATATCCATCGAATGTGTCAATCGTTTTTCCATTTGTTGAACTTGATGATCTTCAACAGGTCTCATAAATATTGTCATATATGTGTATGGAGCATTTACAGCTCCGAAACCCGATAAAATTGCCATCACAGTTACACCAATCACACCAATTCTTGAAATCACTTGTTCAATTGTAAATATTCCATTATGCGGACTCAAAATCGGGAAAGGATCTCCAATTTTCCAGAAAAAATATATAAATATGAACCAGCAAATGAGACATAAAGGAAAATGAAGTCTAGGTTTCACTAGAAAAATTGTATTGAAGAGAAAACTTATGAGGTCGATGAACTCACCGAATGTCAATCCTTGGATTAATAAATATGACATGTATATTGGAATTATGACAACTAATGTGAATAAAATGAGTGTGAGACAAGTTGTCCAGCATTGTGAACGACTTCTGAAATTTTGAAACTGTGAAGTTTGGTTTTGATAGATTTAGTGCAACTTACGATGTGTACATAACATCAGCAATTTCAAAAATAATTAATTCGAATAGAGAGCAGGATAATGAAAATGTGATGGAGAATAGAAATTGGACAGTTCTGAAAAAAACGAGGTTTTGGTTTTGAGAATATGAATTTCAAAGTTGAATGGTCTTTTTAAAATTGTTTGTGGAAGCCTTGGAAGACTACTTTCAGAATTTCGAACGGGATTTAAAACAAAAAATCGGGAAGTCTTGAGGTCAAAATTATTTTTTGTCGAATTTCAGTAGATCAACAAATTCTGTTGATTCTGCTTCTACGAAAGGTTTTGTCAGCTCTTAAAATCAGAACCAACTTCTTCAAATAGTTTCAAACATCAATTTTGTGTATGGAAGCTTATCAGAAATTCCAAAACCCTTCTTCCACCAAGCCCTTCCCCGAAATCTCACTTATTATGAACTTCATAATTCTTAAACAATTGTTTTGTATAAAACAACCAGCCAGCAAAGAAGAAAAATATCAATGATGCAAATACTAACCAAGCATCAAATGAACCGATCTCCATAGGAGAGTTCTGATTCTGTCTCAAACTGAAAATCAACCTTGTTAGATAATCGTTAATCTGGAAAAATATATTGCAATGATTTTAATAACATTTTTGTTGAAGGGAAAAAACAAAAGAGTTTTAAAGAAAACTTTATCTACGGAATTTCATTCATTCATGGTGCAGTAATATGTTATGTTAAGTTATGTTATTTGAAAAAGTGGAAATGTTAATTGATTAATATAAATGTAGAATAAAATGTTGATAAATGAAAAAAATACATATTCAAAATACAGGGTACAAGTTTTAGGGGGTGAAATACAAGTGATTTGTGTTGGGCTAACGACTAATGGAATTTGTTGGGCGCGGTGAATAGATCAAGGGTGAGTCGACAAAAATATAAATAATATGCTGGGAGAATGTGGGGGGAACAATAATTCATTTGGAATGTTCGAGAAGTTGAGATGACGAATTTTGAGAGCCTGGTTGGAGTGATTTTCTACGCTCTTGCAATGCCTCTTTCTCTTTTTCCTCCTCTTCATTTTCATCATCTTCTTCATTTTCAGTAGTTTGTACATTTTCAGGTGCATCGATTTTTGTTTCAGCTGCTGCTTCGGCTTCAGTTTCAGTTTCAGCTTCAGTTTGAGTTTCCTCTGACGAAGAGGAATCATTTGAAAAACCTTCATTGGCTTTTGCATTTTGAGCTTCTTGCTGGAAAAAATGAAATTGGGACTTGAGATAACTTTGTGGAAAGTTTTAATATTTCAAAAGATTTCAGAGCCCTACCTCTTTTCTAATGAATTCCTCATTTTTCAAATAAGCCATCTCGATACATTCAGCTGCAAGAATTTTATCATCTTCAAGTTCATCCATCTGCAAAACTTGAAGTGGTGTCAATCCTTCATACTCTCCTGGTTCAAATCGAGATAAAGGTTCTTTCCTAGCTGGTTTACTTCTTGGCGCCTCAACATTTGGTCTTGTTTCTTCCCCATCACTTGATCTCGAAGCTCCTCCATTCGACCCATTCAATCCTTCAACCAAACTAATCGTTTCATAAACTTGATGTCTAGTTTGACGAGCTGCACGAAGTCTAATCAATGCACGAAATGGTGCACGACAAATCGGGCAATTATTCAATTTGTATCGCAAAGTATCAGCACAATTGCTGCAGAGACACAAATGACGGCATGGAAGAATAACAGTATCTCTGACTTCTGACATACAAATAATGCATTCAAGTCCACTATCATCACCATCATGCTCCTTATTTTCAATCCCAAAGATTTCTTGAAGAAGAAATACAACTCCATCGACCGACACTTTTTGTCGAAGTGGTTTCACAGCAAGAACCGTATTTGGATCATTTGTTGGATCCAATGTACACAATGTTGTTTGCATTTGAACATTTTCTGTTCCCAATGTACGCATCGCAATAACAAGTGGGAAATAGAAACCAGAAGTGTATTGAAGCTACAAAAAATATTTTTATTATGAGAGCTCTTTTATTTTTTATGCACAAACCTGTGAAAGATCAAATGGTGTTGCATCAACAATATGATGACAGAAGATTTGATTTGCTCCTGGACTGAAATCATAATCTTCCGATGTATATTGACGATTGTTACGATGAACAATTCTGAAATAAATAATTTTAATAGGAAACTACTCGGCCGAAAAACGACATAGCTCGGGGCGACTCGCTACACTTTTTGTCGAGACTCGTTTTGCAGCGAGTTGCCCCAAGCGCGCCTCAAAAGTGGCGAGTTCCGGGCAACTTGCCGCAAATTTAGCGTGTTCCGGGCGAGTTGCTGAATAACGGGGCGAAAACAGGGCAAGTCGCTACAATCTCGAGCGAGTCGCCCCACGCTTGCCCGAAGTGCCTCGGGCCAGTCGCCCGAAACGTGTAGCGACTCCGCCCCGATCGGTAGCGACCTCGCCGTTTTCTGACCGAGTAAAACTTCCATGAAAAACTCACGTTGGCTGTCCATTAACATATGCTTCTTTAGCAAACATATGAACAGTAATAATACAATCAACATCACAATCAAATGTGAAACACAAGACATAAACATCTTCCTCAAATCCTCCTTTGAAGTTCTTTGGTCTGAAAGATTTTTTCTGGATATTAGAAGTACACAATCAAAAGATGTACCTTGAGAATCGGACAGTCTCCTTACGACAATTAACTTTGAGATTAAGTGGACGGATCTCGTCACTTCCTGGTGGCCCAATTGGATGTGGGAATTGAATTGCTCTTGTGCCAAGTTGATCTAAGTCAGAATTATCTCCAAAGAGATAAGATTCAGGCTTTGCGAGTTCGAATTTGCAGCCACACATGAGGAAATGAGTTCCGAAATATGGACCTGAAAAAGGTTTCAATTATGTGAAAATTATTCTCTCATAAAAATTTTACCGTTTGAGTTAGAATAAGTCAATTGTTGTTCTGGATCAGCTTGTGCTGCAACATCGCGACGATTTCTGTTGCGATTTCGAACTCGTCGATTCTGGACATAACTCGCGACCTGTCCCATTTTGGTTTACCCTGGAAAAAAAAATAAATTGAAAATGACAAAGAATTTGACCTAGCAATGGGCGGAAAACGATATTAATTAATTAATTAATTAATGAAATTTGTAGGGGTTTTCGTAACATAATACAACAACAAAGTGTAAGTAAATGAGTCAATCAATCGATATTATTTATATTTCTATATGATGTATGGTGGGATGAATGGGAAAGAAGAAGGAGAAGAAGGACAAGGAGAAGAATAGAAAAGAAAGCAAATTACAGGGTAGTAAGAGGATAAATAGTGTGCGAAAATCAGAGAGTACAGACAGTTTGCAAAAAGGGAAACGAGAAAGATGATGAAAAATAGCATATGCAGAGAGAAGTGCACACAAAACATTATATATTCCGAAATATTGCAGATTTGGAAGGGGAAGGGGGGGGGGAGAAAAGAGAGCTTGGATACTTTAGAAGAAACAAATTTTTTTGAAGAGAACTTGGAACTGGAAACTAAAAACAAGGGAACTTATAAAAATTTCAGAATCAATACATTTTTGTTTTTGGAAAAACATTTTGAAACAATAATGAATATCTGTAACTAAAATTAGACAAAATATTCACAGAAATGTTGACCCTGCACTCATAACAGTAAAAAAAACAAGGTCCCTGTTTCTGTGTGTCTGCGACCTCCTACAATGTAGTCAACTACTAATATGTTCGATTGATAACACCATTTATTTTTTTTCTTCTCGCGCTTTGTTTTCTATATTTTTATTCAAAATGTCGCAAAGTTATCCGGCATTTATTGGATTTCATTCAATTGGAAATTGTTTTGGCTACGTGAAATCGAACAATTCAATCAATAATGATAGTTTCAATGTAAAAGAGGTAATTTTTTGATTGTTAGAAGCAAAAAAATAAATTTCTATGTGCATTTAGAGCGTTGGCAGCGGATTTTTGGGGAATTTTCGTATGCGGAGCTGTGAAAATCCAAATATTTATTGCGATCTTCAAGTTTTTGGGAGAACTCCGTTTACAAATGTGTATGTCAATTCGGTGTTTGCAGATGTATCGGGATTTCATGAGAAACAAGAGGTAGGCCTGGGAACTGGAATTCTGGGGGACCAGGAAATGAGGCTTGATTTTCAGCCTGACAATCATCCTCCTGAAATTTCTCTAATTCCAGGTCATCCTAGAAAAAATCACAACAACAACATTTTGCTCCTACATTGATGTGGCGCCGAAAACCGATGATGATTATTCAGTTATCGTAAGTTGTTTTTTTCCGGTTTCAATTTTTTTCTCAAAAAATTTTCAAACCCATGTTTGGTGAGCCACAAAGTGAGCCAGAGAAATACGGAAGTGGTAGGCGTAGACACATGTAAATTGCATTTTATAGACAAATGAACTTATCCTATGTACATAATTTTGCGGAGCGGAGAATCTTATAGGATTTGAAAATGAAATGAAATGAGAATAGAATAGTGGAGAATAATTTTTTGGAAAAGGGGCGTGCTCAAAAAGAGGCGTGGCCAAGTCGGCTAAAAAGCCAAAGCCATCAAAAAAAAATAACGAATATGTACGTGCCGGAATGAAATGAGAAAAATTGATGAAAAGTTCAACAACTAACATTTATATATATATATTTGGAAAAAGGACATCAACTATACGAAAAAATGAATCATAGAACGCTTCGTTGCGGGTGTTTCAGAAAAATGACAGAATTTTTTGGTTTGGCTGAAATTTAGAACAGACTTATGTCCTAGTTACTGGAAGTGGGACTTTGAAATCAGGGGCTGAAGGTTAGGAGATCTATTTTCGTATAATCTTGATATCTTTGGGGACTCCTGAAGTTCATAAGAGATTCTTGAACATAAAAATAATATGCTTGACTTGAGGGAACTCGAAATATGAAATTTTGACTTGAGGAGATCTCTTCTATGCTTCACCCATTTTTACAAACGAAAAAAAACCAAGAAAAATGTATTTCGTACTAGTGGAAAATGTATTCTCTCACCAGAGAACATTCAGAAAAAAAAACTAATTTTTTTTTCAATACGGTACTTTTTTGCAGGCTCAATCACAAGCTGGAATCGAGATGAATTTTCTAAATCAAATTCGATTGGTTTCAAATAACATGATTATTCCGTATTTTGTGTCACCGGGAGTTCATGTGCAATTGAGAATTTGTAAGAGAACAAAAATGTTTTGGTCAACAAATAAAACTAATAATGATATTATTTTGCAGTAAACATAATCCCGCAGACTAATAATCCGGTTATTTTGAACAACGAGACAGAGCTTCATGTTCAAACAGTATTAGAGAGCAGTGATTCGAAAACAAAAAATCAAATTGCACAAAATGTTTCGAAGGTATGCACAATTTCTTTGAAAAAAAAACAGACTGAAATTTCAGATAGTTCAAACTTTAAGTTCTGACGGGTTCATTTCAAACTACGTCATTGAATTAGAATCAAAATCATTGTCAGCAAGAATTTTGCCGAGGAAAATTGTCGATTCTTGGATCAAACAACAAAGTCAAGAATTAGATGAGAATACAATTTATATTGCTGGCGAGAAAAACAGTTTGTATACGAAACATGGAATTGTTGAAGTGAGAACGAATAGTTCAGAAGATGGAATTTATGAATTCTATTATCTTCATCGAACTTCCGAAAGGAAATTGGATGAGAAATTCAACTACGCATTACATCATATGTTTGATTCTCTAAAGGTTAGTGAAAGTAGTGGGAAAATGATTTTGTGTTTTGATTTTAGAGCATTAACTAAACTAAACTAATATCAGAAAATAAATAAACTTTTTTTTGCAGAATTCAGAAAAGTTTTGTTGCATAGATGGTAGTGGAAATCTATCACCTTATACAACAATTGAAATTCAAGCTGTTGATCAAAATCGTCTTCGTTATTTACACTCGGTTGATGTTCTTATCGATAAACAAACACTTGAATGGATTCACAAATATCAAATAACAGCTCAACTTTTGAAATCAATCTCATCAAAAATCAAAACCAATCCAATTGTGTTGCCCTTGACTGGAAAAAGCATTGAAGTATCGATTGAGGGAAAAGACTTTGAAGTGAAATTGATGGCGGTTACTAAGAACATAAAGGTTTATGAGAATGTGTGCTTTTTGATGGATTTGAATTGTGAAATACATTTGAAAGAGCAACAATCGGAGAGTGAAGAGAAAAAGGAAACGGGGAATTTTGACAATTATGGACTCAATACTTTTGATGATGTTGTTCATATTGGGTGAGCCTAGTTGGAATGGAAAAAACAATTATCAATAAAACAATTTTTTTTAGAAGTCATTCCAAACATCTCTCGGATATTGCATCAAGTTGTTCAATCGAAGGAAATCATTCACTTTTGTTGGGAAATTCTGGATCCGGAAAATCATATTTTATCAAGAGATTGGCTCGAAGACTTGCTCATAGTACGAGAATAAATTATTGCAAATTAATTCAGTGCTCAAGTTTCAAAGGTGAGTGAAATGGGGGACTTTGAATTGGATAGAGGAATCGGGCCGATCAGAATAGTATCCAGAAAGCCTTTCTACAATTCCCCTGATTCCAGGAAAATCATCTGACGCACTTGAAAAAACCTTAACCGAAACATTTTTGGAATTGGAACTCAGAAAACCTAGCGTTCTCTTCCTTGATGATTTTGACAGTATTCTACCAAAAATTGATCAGGAGCAAAGACAAATCCCACTTGAAAAAGTCGTTTCAGGTAAGTTATTATTTTCTACATTTTTTTCAAAAAAAATGAAGCCAGCCAGACATGTCTGTCTGACATGAATTATAATAAATCACGAGATTTTGTTCAGTTAGATGAGAATTCGTGAGAGTTTTGCACTTTTGAGTGAAAAACAATTTTGGCTATTTTGAGCACTTACTGAAAAAAAATTGAGAGAAGGTTTTTTTTTATTAATCCTAGTGCCTACGCATATTAATTAGTATACACTACGAAATGAGATTTGCAAAAAAACTTATTGACGCAAATTCGAAATTTCGTCAATTCGAAAAGGAAAAAAACTACTGTAGAATTATGGGTTTTTTATGGTGTGAACAAATGGAATAGGGGCCATCTGCTGTTAAGATTTTAGTTTTTTTCTCAAAAAGCGACCAGAATATATGTATATCCAGGGGGAATTCAAAAAATTCATAATTGCAGTGTTCTGTCAAAAATTGCGAAAAACAAAAATCAACGTAATTATTGTTGCTCAACGCCTGTCAACATTGAATGATGATTTTGTGGAGAGTGCAATTCGAGCTAGACCAATTGTTCCGAATCGATTCGAGTTGACTAGTTTGACTTTGGTGAGTTTGGGAGGAAAATTTGCGAGAAAATCTTTTTGAACGAAGGGAGGGAAAAATATTTTGCAATCTGAAATCTTATGAATTTTCAGATTTCAGAAAAATTCTGGTTTTCTGATATACTGTGGACTTTTTATAATTTTAATTTTGAGAATTTTTAAGTAATTTTCTAGAAGTATGATTTTATTCGAAACTAAATCCTTGAACTTAAAAAAAATTCAGAATTCTCAAAAGCTTTTCATAATTTTCGAAATATTTTATGTTTTCTCAAGTATATCAACTTAAAAAAAACATTCATTCATTATTAAAAAGCAAGACAATTTTGGCAAAAAGAAACAATTGAAAAATCACTACATGGCAAAAATTCAGCAGAAAAATATCACACAATTATCAAATTCTAATTTCTGTAGAAGAGGTAGTTCCATCAGAATAGACTCGTTTGACAATTCCTTCAGCATCCGAAATTTGACCGTAAAATTCTACACTTCTTCGCGACAACCAGGAATGCTTGTTGCAGAATACAATGTGATATCTGTAAAAAAATAATTCCAGCTCATTCTTCTCTCAAAAAAACCATACTTTCCAGTCCGAGTTAGTGTAACTTGATCTCTTTCATGAACTAGTTTTGCAGTGATTTTCAACCATGGATAAACCATTTCCATATTATCCAAATTTGGATCATTCTCCTCATTATTGTTTGTAGCTTCACCCTAAATAGAACAAATTATTCTGTGGCCTGTCAGATGTTCGAACCAACCTCAAAAAAGACGCCGAAATATACATCACCATCTGTTGAATAATACCAGCTGAGTGTTTTTGGCGCAGTCACATTCAATGTTATATGACGCGTTTTTCTACCAGGGATGTGGAATGATTCAAGGGTCTCAAGAATTTTCTCATTAGTCGGTTTCCAATAATCAGTTGGATCGACTTTCTGCGCTCCAGTAAATTGAATTTCTTTGTCATTTCCTCCAAGACTTGTTGGAATATCATCAACATGAATATCTTCGTTTAGGGTTTTCATAAAATGACTATCGTGTAATCTAAATTTATCAGAAAATCCAGCGGGCATCATTGATTTTGCCAATTTATAAGGGACATGAATCCATCTAGCAATATTCACCATATCAACTGGCACAACTAATTCCGGATAATTTTCAAAATGGAATAATTGTGAATAATATGCGAGAGTTCCACTGGTCACAAATACCATTGTAAATGGATTAATCTCATAACCATTCATATCTACGATGTGACGAAGAGAACTCAATTTTCCTGTTTTTGCTTCCTGTTTCATGACCTGTCGAAGCATATATTCAAATTGTAAAAATTGATATTTACAAGCCTCTGATGATTGAATAGAATGAGCAATACTCTAAAAAAAAATTTTTTTTTCTAGTTTTTCCTCGAATTTTTTGTACCTCTACAGTAATTGTTGCGTACTCAATGTACCAAAGAAGACGATTATGATCATCGCATTTGTCCAAAATTTCACCACGTGGCATTAATCGTTTTTGAAATATTGGATTTTTGTCAAAATTTGGGATATTATCTGAATCCAAATCCATTGCTTTTCGATATCTCAAATGATTATTCAGAGCCTTGGCTGCACTTGAGATAACTTCTTTTTCTTTTTTGTGAGTTCTTTCTGCAGACATGACGAAGCGATAGATGTTGAAATCAGTGTCGAACTGGAATTTTTTTTGTTGGATACTTGGTTTCAAAACCAAAAATCATATCTGTAAATTTTCGGTCTCGCTTAATTTTTTTTTGCTGAAAATTAATGTGTTCGGAAAAAAAGACCACCAGAACACTTGATAAGAATTTTGCAGAGGGAAAATAAAAGAAAAAAACGGTTTCACTAGGGAACTTTTTTTCAACTCTGAAACAGTTTCAGACATTTTCAGCAATTTTTGAAATTGGAAATGATAAAAATACTAATTTTGAGCATTTTCAGGGAGTCGATTTAGTTCAACTCTTGAAATTTATAACACAATTTTTAAGAATAGTAAAATTTGGCACAAAAAAAACCAAGCCTGTTTTTCCGATTTTTTTTCAAAAATTAGGGTTTTTGGAAAATATTTTTATCTTCATTCTTTGTTTTTTGAAAACTCCCTCATTTTTCAAAATTTTTAAATTTCGGGACGTTTCTATGCATCAAAAATCTGAAACTTTTCATTAAGATTTTTAACCAAAACACCGTGTAATTTACTATTTAAAATCCCTACGCCTCGAAATTTTCTGGTAGATCAAAAATACTTTCATCTGAGATTCTTACTTATCTCTCGAAATTCGTCTGTTTCAAATCCACCCCTAATTTTGTATCAAGTCTCAAATTTTACGGAAATCGTTTTTGGATTTCATGTAACTCACATTTGGATGGATAGGTTGAGTCAACTTCAAACGAACTTCATTGACAATTTTCAAAGCCTCATCAGTGAGTGGAAGACCAAAAGGAGTATATGTAGTTTTAGTCATTTTACCTGCAAAAAAAAGCAATCTTCAAAAGAAAAAAAAAGAAGAAACAAGATATTATTGGATATACAACATTAAATACAAAGATAAAAATAAATAGTGCAAGTGTTTGAAGAGATTTAGAGATGACCTCATTTAGTTGAAAGAAAGAAGTAATAGTAGTACGTTGACACCACTATACATTGAAAAAAAAGACCACATATTATGTATGTGTGTACAAGAAGATTTGACGGGAATGAAAAAGACAACCCCCCCCCCTACTCCCACATGGGGTTGAATGATTTTCCAACTACATAGCTATCCGAATCTGGATTCTCCTCGCTGTTTTCTCTCTCTCTCACCAGTTTTTTGACCAAATAAGCATGACCGGTTTCTGCCTTTCTTGAAAAAAGATAATTGTGGTATTTTGTGTGACGTCACATGGTGTGTCTGTGTGGTCAAAATGAAGGACGTTGTACTTTCTGATCGCAAAGTTTTTAGGTTTATCTTTTTTACTAACTTGTGTTAGATCAATTTAGTTTCGAAAATACTTAAAGACCTGTTTTTTTTTGGAAGTTGAGAGACAGTAGAAAATTTAATTAAACAAAATTTGACTAATTGGATTAGAGAAAGTGTAATAAAAAGTTCTGGACTTTTTTTATTCAATAATCGAAAAGTACCAGAAGTGAATAAAAATGAAAGTAAAAAAATCAAAAACCAAACCCCAAAAACATTTCAAAGAGAATAAAAATGAATTCATAAATCCAATTAAAAAAGGATAGAAAATAAATCTCGAAAAAACAATAAACCAAGGTGTTTTGAGAGAACAAGAAAACAATTTTGAAAAAAAAAGTGAAAAAGCTTGAACCGGCCAATGGAACCGGTTTGTTATGATGATTCGTTCGTAATTGTCCTTTTTTCAACCTACCACAAATTACGATGCGTCATATGAGTTTTTTTTTGGCGGTTGTGTGGTTCATTGACATCAAGAACTTAATGTTAGGAAGAGTGCAGAAAAATGAATTGCTGACAATTTATTTTTTGTATTAAAAAATGAACATTCACAAAAATGATTTTCTGAAAACATTTTTTAGACCTCAGAGAATCTTTTAATAAAAAAATCAATATATTAAAATCAGTCAGGCCTAATCTCAGATTCACCTTGTTTTTTTTTGGTTCATTGGTTCATCATCTAAAAACAGAAAATTCGAAAAAAAAATCCCCGATAAAATCAAAACCAACCCCTTCATTTTTCTAGGAAGATCGTCAAGATTTGTTCAACGATTGGGTCAACGATAAATATTGCGATTTGTCAGAAATTGCACAAAAATCCGATGGCTACTCAATTACAGAAATTCAAAAATTATCGACAACTATCAATGTTGAATGTGCGATAAGAGGTATGAAAAATAGAAATAAATGAGAGACAAAAAAAACAATTCTGAAAACGAGTTCGATTAAATCTACTGAAATTTTCCCTTACTTTTTTCAGGGACATCACATGTTGAAAAGTGCGATATTCAAAAAGCGTTGGAAATTTTTGTTGAAGGCAAAATTGGGAAAGATGAGAAAGATGAAGTGTTAGTGAAATAATTGAATTAGATCTGAAATTAGTTTTTGAAAAATTTTAGATTGCCATCATTGGATGATGTTGGAGGAATGTTTGAGCAGAAGAAAATGCTCGAGCAGGTTATTATTTGGCCGAAAAAGGTGGGTTATTTTTGTTTTTTTGTGAAAAATATTATATGATTGTTAGCTCATTTAATCATGCTTGAATTTGATTGATCAAAAATTATGAACCAAAAAACAAGAGAAAAAATAGAAAAAAAAACAAAAATTTAGATCTCAAATGAATTTTTTTTTTGAAATTTTCATTTTCACACAAGCAGTAGGATTTTTAATATTACAGAACCTCGGAAAAAATCAAAAATAGGGTGTCCAAAAGTTATCATAAATCTTGAATTTTCTAAATTTTCAAAGTTTGCATCTCAATTTCAATTATTCCTGGATGTTTCATTTTCTATGAATCCCTTACTCCTAATTTTCAACCTTCAAAATCTATTTTTCCAGTACCCCAAACTTTTCGAATCCGTCGGCGTGCCGGTTTCAAAAGGCGTCTTGCTTTATGGCCCCAGTGGCTGCGGAAAAACCCTCCTGGCTAATGCAATGATCTCCCATTCAAAATTCAGTGTTGTAAATGTGAAAGGTCCCGAACTATTATCAAAATACATTGGAGCTAGTGAAGAAAATGTGCGGCTTGTTTTTGAGAAGTAAGCTTTTCCCTCTCTCTCACAGAACTTTTCAAAAAAAAAATACATTTCCAGGGCTCGTTCCTGCGCTCCTTGTATATTATTCTTCGATGAGCTTGATTCTCTCGCGCCAAAACGTGGAAGTGATTCGACTGGTGTGACAGATCGAGTTGTGAATCAATTATTGACTGAACTCGATGGTGCTGAAGGTGGAATGAAAGGTGTTTTGGTGTTAGGATGTACTAGTCGAATTGATTTGATTGATGAGGCTTTGCTACGTCCTGGAAGATTTGATCATCATGTGAAGTGCACATTTCCAACGGAGGTGAAAATTGGGATTTTCAGAATTGGTTTTGAAAACTGAACTGGGCCAATTCCTCTTTGATAATCTATTTTTTTTACAAAAAATGTGCCTCCTAATTCCAATCGAAAATCCAAAAAAATGTTTTGTTTTTCAGAAAGAGCGCCTGGATATTCTGGAAACTATGAAGAAAAATGTTGAAGTATCGGATGATGTTGATCTTTTAGGAATTGCTCAGATTACCAACGGCTGGTCTGGAGCAGATTTGCAAACTTTGATGACAAATGCACAATTTTATATGAGCAGAAAAAGTGCAGCAGGTTTGAATTTTCATTTTTTTTCTCCTAACCAAAAGCAAAAACTAAATAATTTCTCTTCAGAAGATGGCTTGGAAGATGATTTAGTTGTCGTAACTTCTGAAGCAATAAACGCCGTCTTCAATGATTCCTTCCCAAAATCCCGTCCTTCCCCAGTCGACACACGAATTGGACAAAAAGTAACACTTGCCTAACGACACTCCGCTGATGACACAAACAACTAAAAAGAAACGGGTCTCGTTGGGAATCCCTTTCACATTTGCCTATAGATTTATATTTAATTTGAATTTTTCTGCTTTATTTTTGAGCAGGCAGGAAATTAACGCTATGTTTTGTTTTTGAGAAGAAGCTGTATATAAATAAATCGATTTATTCTTTCTTTTTTTTCAAAATGCTCAGGATTTGCATAATATTTTCTATATTTTTAGTTTCACATGTTTTTTTAACTGGTGAGTTTTTTAAAATTAATTTTTTAAAAGAAATTATGAATGAGTTTTTCAGATCCAGGAAAAGGCTTCAACCCCACAAAATGTGAAGTTTGCCAAGTTGTAGCGCTAGAATGGGGTGCAAAAGCCTCCAGAATACACAGTGTAAGTTTTTTTCTAAAAATGTTGAATTTTATGAAAATTAAAAAAAAATTCCAGAGAACTGAAACAGAATTCGAAGATCTCTTTGATAATTTTTGCCATAATTTTAATGAATACAAGGTGAGGAAAATATTGATAAGAAGAAGAAGAAAATTGATAATTTTTTAGGTACATAAAGAAAAAACGGGTATTGAGAGATTTGCCAGAGGACCATCGAAAACAATCGAGACATTGAAAGAGATGCGAGCCAAAGGTGTGAAGGTGAGTATTTTGGGAAAGGTTTTGCTTTGCAATTAGTTAGGAAAGCGTAATTTTTACTAGATTTTCCTATTCTACAAACAGAAAATATGTAAATCCCCCTGGCTAACCTAACGCTACGAAAAACAATTTTAAAAACTCACACTCCTTTCTATACAGAATCTTTTCAAACTTGAAAAGATTCTAACATTAATTTTTATTGAAAAAATTCACAAACTCTTCAAAGATATAAGTTATTGACAAACATATACTGGATAATGAATCAGGTGATGAAACTTTGGCGAATTTCTCCGTAGGCTTCCAAAACAATCACAAACATAAGATAATCAATCCTATCAATATCAAGAAACCAAATGAAAGACACATCAGACTACGCATATCTCGTTTTACTTTACGAGTTGGTGGTCCTAGAAACATAGAATACATCATGAGCATCTAAATGTGTAAATCTTACTTCTTTGCCTTGCTTCTCTTGCTTGAGATTCAATTTGAATAGTAGAAATTGGTGGTTCTTCTTCTGGGATAACAATTGATGAACTTCGTGAGACTGGTAATTGCGGAGCAAATACTTCAAAATACGATGGAGGTGGTTCAGAAGGAATGGCTTCGGAGTAACTAGGAAGTAGATCAATGTTTAATGGTCTCACAGACATTTATTGATTTTTGTGAATAATTCGTCTTATCTTTTTTTATTGTTGAAAAACGGTGTTTCGAGTCACAAGAGTCTTTGGTTTTTTTATATGAGTGAGAATAATTGATCGTTACCCGCAACTATGCAACTTTTATCGGTTTATTTATTCACATTCAGGAGAACTTGTGCTTAGTCGATACTGTGCTTCTTTAAGTTATCTCAATTCAAGCTGAGACTCGTTAAGGCAGACATCTATATTTTTTGGTTTTCATTTTAAAAAAATTAGAAATAAACGTTCCTTATCTTGTTAAAAAAGATGACGTTGATCAAAAATTCGCTTCTCTTTTTTTCGTATTCATTCAGAACACAAAAATTATTTGCAAAAAAAAACTATAAAGATATGAATTATTGATAAAAATATACCGGATAGTGATGAAATTTTGGCAAAAACCAAAACCATCACGAACCCATTAATATAATAATTGATATACATATAAAGCACAAAGTTGACAAACATAATAGAGAACAACAATTGCTTAACTGATTTTGCTTTGAACTTCGTGCAGAAGTTTGTAAACCTGGAAAAATGAGATACACAATGAACATCTGGATATGTCTCACTCCTTATTTCTCTTCCTCGAGGTTCAATCTGAATTGTATAAATTGGTGCAATTTGTTGTTCATGTTCCGGGATAACAATTGGAAAACATCGTGATACTGGTAATTGAGAAGATGTTAGTTCGGAATATGATGGAGGAGGTTCAGAAGAAATGGCGTCAAAGTAACTAGGAAGTGAATCAATATTTGGTGACTTCACAGACATTTATTTTTGAGTGGTTTTCAGAAAAAAACAAGTTGGAAATGATTGTTTCTTATCTTTTATTGTCAGAAAACCAAGTTTCGAGTCACATGCTTTTAGTTTTTTATATGAGTGAGAATAATTAACTTTTTCTTTTTTCCGGATTCGATCAGAACACAAAATTTTTTACAAAGAACTATAAAGATATGAATTATTGATAAAAATATATCAGATAGTAAATAAGGTGATGCAATTTTGGCAAAATTCCTAATAGGCTTCCAAAACAATTACAAGCCAAGTGTTAGAAATACTGTACATATCAACCAAAAATTGAATACAATTTTCATCAGTCAGTGTTTTTGAGAATATATGTTTCTTACTGTGATCCTTCAAGTTATCCTAAGTCAAGCTGATGCTCGTTTTTTGCGGATTTGTTTTTTTTTTCAAATTGCAGATTTGTTTTCTCACAAGGAAACGCTGATCCTTTAGAGTTAATTCGACATTTTTATAGCTAGAAGTCAATGTGTTGTTTTGGTAATCCCTAAAAAGTGTTGAAAATAAATTGAAATCCATTAAACATCATCTCTTTCCCAATTTCATTTCAATCGCAACATTTTGGAAAGAGGGGGGAAAATGGTGTAGTTACCAATAATAATTATTTTTATTATTGAATGAATGAATACACAAACATATTCAATTTGGCGAAATAATGGACATACCTAGTGTCAAAACTGAACTGGTTTACAGGCTACTGTCATTTTTGAACAAACGAAGTGTTGCGGAATGAATGGCCTGGAAAAAAAAACACATACTGGTGCAATAGTCAATTAAAAACAATTTGACCGAAATGTGTTTTCGGTTGAGTTGAACAATTGAAATTATTATAAAGTAGACATGGGTTTTAATGGATCATTAGAATGTACCGCATTTTACTGGTTATAGCTTTTATTCAGTCAGAAACTTAATTGATGAAAATGAAATGGACATTTGAAGAGATTTGTGAATTTTGTCCGGATTTCAGAAAACTGGTCATTGTTTTTAAAAACTAGTTGGAAATTTTGTGGTGTGGCAAATTAGAAAAAATATATTGGAACTACATAATTTTGAAAAAAAAACGAGCAAAAGTATAATCAGACTGGATTTTTTTTTGAATAGGTGTTAAACCAAATTTAAAAGCTGTATAATTTGAGAACGGCTACTGTGAATGGAATTTGGAGCCGAGGTCTGATGGAGAAAAATAGGAAAAATTATTTTTCAAAGTTAAATTTCAGAAATGTTTCTTTTAAAGAAGAACATTTTCTGAAAAAAAAATTCAGCTAGAATGAATCATTTTTTTAAATTTCAAATTATCTTTAAAAATCTAATATCAGAAAGTTTTGATAAGTCAAACGTTGTGGTATTCTTAGGTTTTTTATGTGTCAAATTAGGCAATCTTGTATAAAATTCTACTGTTTCTGGTATCCGAGAGCTCAAAACTTGGATCTTAAAAATAAATTTGAATGTTTTTTCCAATTCTAATGATTCTATAAATCGGATGAAATATTTCTGATGCCTTTGAGATTTTTGAAAAAATATAAAAACTTCCAAAAATGCATATTTTCCATAAAATTTGAAACATCCCTCATTTTCCAACTTTTCCAAACAACAAATCATCCCCCAATTTCATCCTTGTAAATAAACTGTCCAATTAGCAATATGTTTTCTTTTTCAACAAACATATCCGCTACGCTGCGCTGCGACAAGCTTAATTATATATGTGAAATTTTAAATGTACTTTTCTTCGCTTTCAAACATATCCATTTTGGTAATTTTTAGGTGAAAGTCGAAAGTACATAATGTAAACAAACCGGTAAAAAGTGACCGCGTCCGTCGCGCACTTAACTTAATTACCATCGCCTAATTTTCGCCGTATTTCAGGTTGAAATCGGTCTACCGTATGAAATGTGGGATGCTCCTTCAGCCGAGGTTTGTAACTTAATGCAACTTTTGATGATGAAAAATAAGGTCCCTTTTAGATAACACTACTTCGACAAGGTTGCGAGATTCTCATGGAAAATTACGAAGATATTGTTGAAGAGTGGTTTATTTCGAAAACAAGTGTTGATTATCTCACGGTAATAATTTTATTGGAGAATAACAAAAACAATCAACAGATCTCACGATAATTTGTATTTTTTTTTACAGAAGTTGTTATGTTTGGAAAATGCGTTGAAAAGCGATGAGAAGAGTTGTATTGTACAGAAGAAGGAGAATTTGGAATTATGAAATTTTAAAGTTTTTTGTGGAATAAAGAACTTTAAAAAGCTTTTTTGGTCTGAAAAATCTGAAATTCTCGAAAAAACTGAATCATCACGATGTTAATCCAGATCCATTTTTTTTTCTTCAAAACCCGCCGAGAAATCAAATTTTTATTCCGTGTTCTCAATAGCAATAGAAAAAAAAACCGAAATTGCGTGTGATCTGTTGATTTGTTGTGATAACCTTTTGCTTTTTTAAGAGTTTTGAACTTTATTGCCTTCCCCACTAGTAAAAATAGAAAAATGAAAAATATCTGCCAGTACAAAACAATACAGTACGATTCGATTATTTTGTTGATGCTGATCCAGTAAGTCAAACAAACAAAAAAGAATTGTCGATGCGATGCTCACAAAAAAAAACACAACAAAGACTTTTTTTTTTGGAAAAACAACCACCAACGTGAAGATTACCACGGTTTCAGAGACAAGTTTTGTGCATTATTTTTTTCTCGCTGCTCTTCTGTACACCAAACGCTCGTTTTGTTCAGATAAGCACCAAATAACAAATATTTGTTTTTATTTTGAAAATATTTTACAATAGGCGATGAGCCAAGATGTTTTGGCGGTTCATGCTGCTCTCAATCATGTTTGCCCACCTTTTTCACTGAACTCTGAAATCTCTCAACTTTTCCCATACTATTTCAAAAATTTTGCCGCCGCCGTCGCGCAAAAATATTCAAATATGTTTATATATTATTTTGTTCTATTCAAAAATGTTTGGAAAAAAAAATATCGGAGAGAAAAAAAAGATGAAAATTATTATAATGTCACGATTGTTGGTATTACACCCCTAAGGCTCTTTTCGTTTAGACTTTTACATATTTTTTGCAAATGTGCCGAGAAAAGAACGGCAGATGTTTGTTGTTCCAATTGAAATATTTCGCAAAATACTTACCGCACGAAGACAAATGATCAAAGAGGTTGATTGAATGGTTCGACGAGTTGCACTTTCAATGTGTTTTTTTTCTTTTTTTTTCGTTTTCTTTCTATCAATGTCTCTTAATCGGAAACGAGTATTTATTGGTGAATGAACGCCGAAACAAATGGATGAGTATGGGAAGACAAAAAAAAACTGAATGAAATATTGAGTAACATTTTTTTATAGGTTGAGAGAGGAACAAAATGAAAGTGTTCGCAATTCAAAAAAAAAAAGCTTTTCTAACTACAAGGCTTGTCAAACTTCGATGAAAATTATTACTTCCCAATCGGCCCAGGTTCAACTGATTTCAAAATTGAACCTGGGCTATCAATTTTTTTCCTTCAGAGATCGAAGGAATTAGGCCAAGTTCAGAAAAAATACAATTATTTTTCGACATTGGAATATCTTCAATTTCTGAAAATCTCTCTGAAATCCAACAGAAAATTTGAAATTTTCAGATGTCTAGATTGAACTGGGCAAGACTCCCAGCACAAGAAAATTCCTAGTCCAATTATCCTTGATCGGTTCAGGGAGCTTTTTCGAAAATCAGAGATTTTTCTCGGCTTCTGATTCAGAATATCTTGAATTTCTAGATGTTTCCAAATTTTTTCCATTCCAATTCCAAAGTATTTTTTTATGATTCCTAACCCCTAACCCAAATTTTTCTCCTACAAACAAAATAATGTTTCGCAAAAAGTGATCAGAAGCTCAGAAGAACATCATGAAAACATGCACCATTCCGAAACTCAAATATTTGCAAACTCCTTCTTCTTACGAATGAAACATGTTTGTTTTCAAGCGGTCAAACATGCATATATTATTATAATAATATAATAATAATAATGCTAGGGTTGTTAAATTTTTTCGGCAAAAAAGATGCTCCTCGAACCGTATTGTTTTTGTTTTTTCTTTCTCCCAATTTTTTTGCTCAAAAAATTTCGAGAAAAAAGATGAGCTGTAGGCTGAGTAAATATTTTCGATTGAAGAAACAGTATATTTTTTTAGTAGTTTATTTACAGTATTCAAGACAAAAAAATGACAACACAATGTGTATTTGAACATCTAACATTTTATGATGAAAGTCATTTGGTACCAAAAAAAACATGGGACAAAAAATGGAAAAATGGGGAAAAAATGGTGTGACAAAGAGGGAAATGGTTCATTTCTCTGAGATTATGCAAAAATGGAATCATTATCATTTTGGAACATTGTTTTCAATGAGGTAGAATTTCAGGAAAAATGTGTGGAGGGGTCGAATCATATTACCGGGGGGAAGAATTATGAAAAATGTGTGGATTAGAAAAAAAATGAAGGACTTCGGTGTCACGAAGATCTTACTCTTGACAGAGCCTCCGATACAAACAGACCTTCGTTTTTGTAAAGATCATAGTATCACAAAAAACGATTCTATAAATTACGCAGACTATGTACATGAAAAAAAGCTCCTAATAAGTATTGAGGAGGTTAGCAAAAGTATTTCACGAAGAGACAAAAAAATGGCATAAACGTCATGCAAAAAAAAAAGACATTTTGGGAAAAAAGGGTTTTCAACCATTTTAAGAAGTCTCTACTTTGAACAATGATGGATCAATTTGTGGGATACTTGGACTTTGCGTCCCATTTCCACATAGCGGTTGATTTGGTGGAAGTCCAGCGGCTGCCAAACCGGCAGGCCCTAGAAGTGCAACATAGTGTTTCCAAATCATATCCATACTCATTGGAGGGGTACTTGGAGCAACTCTGGAAAGAATATTTCAGAATTGGTATATATATTTTTTGCTTCTTACCTATTTGGCCGGCCTTCTCGGAGAGTCCAATTTCTAACTTTGGCATTATTTTTCAAATGACTTAGAATAAGTTTAGCTTTGCTCAATTGACTTTCAGTTGATAAAACATCCCATTTGAAATATCTCATTGTTGCTTCGACAACCAAACGAATCTGAAAAAAATCTTATGAAATCAGTTTGAAAAATATCTTTCCCTTGTCTTTAAAGATATACACATTTTCTGCCCATTCAATCCAATTGATTTTAAATGCCCTGGGTTTGCACTTTGTTTCTGTTTCTCCCGACAAGTTTCAATCAATCCACTGACCTTCGAAACAAAACCGCCAAGTGTTTTTTTTTGTGTGACTACAGTACTTACCTTTGGCAACTGTCGGCTTAGAAGATGATCAGCAGTTTCGCCGTGAAATGTGCGAAGGGAGATTTGAACATTTCGAAGTTCATCATCAGTCACTGATTCGCGAAGAATTTGCCAAGCAAACACCTGAAACAAATTTTTATATTATTTTGTTTTTCATCTTTGTTGTAAAGTTTTTCCCCCTTTTTTGTCATTCCATGGAAAAAAACAGTCTTCCTCCCTCCAATTTTTTTTTTTCAACAAAAACAACATATAACAACAAAAAAAATAGGGCTGACACAGGGAAGAATCCTGTTTTTAAACTGATAGAAAAATTGTTCGACCCCAGGAGTTGTTTTTGTCTTCTTGTGTCGTTGCGACACCAGGCGAAAAAAAAATTCGGATTTTTTTCCGGTTTTGAAACGTTGTTGTTTTCACGGGACGACAGACAAACAACTAGACAATTTATTCTAGGAGTAAGGATGGCAACAACAACACAAATATTGTTAGGCCCCCCTCCTGGTTTACACGTACAGTAACCCGAGGAGTCAGCTGTTGTTGTTATGTGTTCAACATGCTAATTGCGCAATCGCTTGCTCGCGGGCACGCCGTAGAGCGAAGTATTTTTTGTTGACACACGGAGCAACTCGTCTCGTCTCGTCTTGTTTCGTTTCCCCCTCGTTTCGTTTAGTTTGACTGTTTTGCTTGCACACACTCCAAAGCTGACTGGTCAGAGCCGCCGCAACCGCACCTTGGAAATATGCCAACAACACAGTTATGCAATCAAATATTTGCTTTTCTCGATTTTGGCAACATACATAAAATTGTTTTTGAACTACCAAAAATAATGTGAATCATCGTGTTTTTTTCAAAAGTGATGACAAAAGTGCAATTTTTGGAATTTGATTTGATAGAAAAAAATTAGGTTAATTGAAAAGTTCTAGTTTCAAGTTTAAAGCCTTTTTGTTGAGTTGGACTAAACTTTACGTAAGCCTCAAATCAGAAATAAAAGTTCAATCTGTACGCGAAAATATTGGATTTTTGAAATTTACAAGAAAGATGAAAACTTTTCTCATTAAGTCAAATATTTCGGAAAAACCCTAGACTTAAGCTAAATACAAACAAAATCAAAATGACGTGACGTGTTTCTGCCATTGATCAAAAGTTTTCTCTCCTTCTCTCTCCCTCTCTCACTTTTTCCATCTGATTTGTCTTCTGCTTTCACAGGATACCGGTTCGTAACCGTTTGTTTAACAAATATTTGCTTTTCGATAAATAATATGGTCTGACGTGCTCATTGAGCAATAACATTACGAGATTTTGAAAAAAAATTGAAATTTTTTTTGGGAAATTTAAAGATTGATTCGCTTTGAGTTGATCAAACTGGTATTTTATCTACATATCAAATCGAATCAGATTCCTTGTTATCAATCATCAACCAACCCCAACTTATTCAGCCTGCCTGAATGAAGACCGACCGTTCGACATGTCATGTAGAAACGATTTTGTCGCGTGTTCAAAAACGGATATACTGTATAATGCCCTTTTCTCTCGCTTTCTCTCAACACATTGTTGTTGTGACAAAAAAAAATTCTAGACTGACTGGAAGAGTCACTCTTGAAAAATCTATATATCAATGTCAATAAATAAGGTTAGGGGTGCCATTGTTGATCAAACAAAAAATAAAATTCAATATGTTTTTTTTATTGCACAAAAATAGATTTTTGTGAAAACAACATGTTTTGGTTGGTGTTTTTTTCGAAACCCCTCAACGTTTTTTTTCGCACACTTTATCTTGAGGTCACCCTCACACAATGGCCATAAAAAATGGTTGGCGCAACATTTGAACGTTTCACACACACACTCACTCACACAAAAAATGGCTGGCTGTGTACGCGTTCGCCTTGCCTCATTTCTCTTTTTTTTCCACCCGCCTGTGAGCGCCCGTCGCGCCAAGATAACATCAATTTAAAACGATTTAGACGACAAAAAATGACTGCAGTTTTTTTTTGAGAGACACACACAAAAAAATGTACTTTTACATATACGTTTCGAAATTGTGATGAGACATACCTTTGGTTGAGTGCTTTGAAAACTTCGCGCTGCTTTTTCGGCTGCTCGTTTTACAGCTCCTTCTGGAAATGGACCATCTTGCAAGGTTTTCTCATCCTGGAAAAATTTAAAAAATAAAGATCTATGTAGCTAAAAGTTACCTCTGTCTCTTTCGGTGAAGCATTCCGATTACTTGGCTGACTTTCATTTTCAAACATTTCTTCAGTGTCTTCTTCACCTTCCATATCCAAATCACCATCAGAATCTTCTTTCAGTTCAGTCTGAAAATATTCAAAAATTGGAATCGAGCCAAGAAATAACTAGAAACCTTCAATGAGCTTGTCTTCTCTGATGTTGAATTTGTTGCAGAAGGTGTGAAAGATTGTGGAGGAGCTTCTGATATAACAGTCTGCGGGGGTGATGTGAATATAGAAGTTAATCTGAAACATAGAACAAATTAGTGGAATTCTCATTCTGAAGTTTACCGTTGATCTGGAAGTCTTCTTGCAAGAAGTTCAATAACAATACTCAATTTCAAATCTATATCGTTTAATCGGATATTCAAAGAATTCAGCATTGTTTTTGTATCATTGTCGAAAAATGAAATAGGTATCTGTGCCATCTAGAAAAATATTCTGGAGTTGGGGAGAAAAAAAAAGAAGAAGAAGAAAAAAAAAGAAGTCGAAAAAATATATAATTTAATTCGAGGAAGGTATCGGCAAAATACATATAGAAACGGACAGGCGAGTCGAAACGGTGGGAGGAGCGTCGCCCTCCGGAGTTGGCGGAAACTATGATACCGTACTCTCTCTTTCTCTCCCACCTTTTCCACTCTCCGAAATGACACGCCCATTTTTCGTATCTCTTTTCTCTGTTTTTCAATTTCAAAACACTTGAATGCAACATATGTGTTCGGGTTAAGTGAAGAGGTGAAAAAGAAATGAACAGTAACAAAAAATGGTTGAAAAAAAAAGGAGAAACTGTAAGAAAACGAACACAATAACAACAACAACATTGTTGGTAAACAATAAAATGATCTTATTGACTTTTTCAACCTGAATATTTGCAGAATTGAAGAAGCATGTGGGTGAGTGAGTGAGTGTAAACTGATTTTGTTGCAAATTGAAGATGGTAACAAAATAAAATTGAAAAAAAAGAAGCAACAAAAAAACCTGTATTTAATTTGAGTTTGGTTCATTTTCCGACGTTCTGTCTGTCTCAACTTTTTGTTGTTATTTTGTTTTATTTTTTTTTTGAAAATATTTCAAATATCAAAACAGTTGGACGAAAAAAACGAAATGAATCATCATATGATTGACAATTTAAAAATCATTGCTGAAAATCGTTTTTTGATATATAAGAATGTGTGAAAAGTTGTTGAGTTCTGCTTCCTATAATCAAAAAATCAGGAAAATCTAAAATTTCAAAAAAACTTTGAAACATCAGAATTCCAGAAAGCTCAAACTCAAACGCTTTAAGGAAGATTATTTTTGAGAAATTCAGATGGTTTCCTCGTTACTGACATTGAGTACTGTCTGAAAAAATGCTGAAAAATATAGCTATTTTCGGAAAAAATATAGGGTTTTTCAGGAAGTAGAGGGTTTTCAGAAAATACAGGGTTTTTCGAGAAAACTCATTATATTAGTGTTAAAGAAAAGAAAGTGTTTGAATAATCTTTCAGATTGCAGGAAAAATATCCAAAAAATTTCTAGAAACATTTTTCATGTCCATCATGTGTTCTGTGATCAAAGAAAAAAATGCTTTAAAATAAACGCAACGACTAAATTGGTGGTTTAAAACTTATATCAACCTTTAATTTTTACTCAAACACAAAAAAACTCAAGTTTTTCTCCAATCTGCAAAAAAATATTCTCAAACTTCTCGAAAATGAAGAAAAAATTGTTTAAAAATTCAAGATTAGTCGTTTGCGAACTAGTGGATTATAAAATATATTTGTCATTTTGTGGTGTCATTTTATAAACAATACAAGAAAAAATTGAAAAACGTTTTTTTTTCTTTCTTTCAAAAATGTGAATTTTTAAGATTGTTGGATTTGGACATAGAATCCTCGATAAACAGCTTGATTGTCAGTTGTGAATCGTGCACGGAGGGTTGTTGCAGTGGTTTGGAATGTTGAAGAATACACATCAACTCCAGTGAAGCTAAAATTATTTTTATTTTTGAAACAAAAAATTTTTGATCTTAATTAATTACCTTTCAATTTCAACATCATCGGCATAGAATCGAAGATAGTCTTTTTCAACTTCGAGTTCATAGAAAACAGTCACTGTCAAAACGTTGCCCTAGAAAATTTTGTTTTGGAAAAAAATACGAAAAGATAATTTTTACCGGGTTGGCATTTGTATAAGTGTATGTTGAATCTTGGAAATTGCAGTAAAGTGCTGATTGCCAGTCATATGCAGTTGTCCAAGCAGTAGTACAAGCAACTCCTGGGTTTACTGAACATGGTCCATTGTAATTGCTTGGTTCTTGGAAATACGTATATCCAGGAGAAGTGCTGTTAGCGATTGCTCCCAATGGGCACCCTGAAAATATGCTACATAGAAAAAAAAAACAAAATTATAGAACCCTCACAATAATTTGTAACTGATTTGTCATTGAAGAAGAACGGGTTGACAAATTGAGCAACTGCTGTCAAATCAGTCGAAGCAAGGTTTCTGAAGTTGTACCAACGTGAAACATCGTTGAGTGGAGTCTGAAAACAACTTGAAAATAATTTAAATAACTAAATTTTGAAAATACATACAACGTCAGCGAGATTATATGAAATAACACCAAGATTCACACCCTTTGCCAAAAACGCGTTTTTGACAGTGTCATCCAAAGTAGCAGCCGATGGCCTGAAATGAAATCACTCTGTTAAAATAAATAAATAAAATTGCAACAAAAAAGCAAACCAGTCAGCTGTGAAAAGAAGAATAGTTCTTTGAACATTAGTTCTTGTTGCTGAAATTGAATCATCAACATTGAAGGCAGTTGTGAGAAGTGTCTTAAGTGCTCTAGAAATATAAATATTCATGACAATTGTGTGAATCATATCTTACGAGTTAATATCTCCATCTACCGAAATTCCAGCTTGTGGCAATGAAGCTTTGAGTGAAGCAGCAGTAAGTCCCCAAATCTTCAAAATATAAAATTAAAAATAGGAAGTATGAATCCTATTAACTCACAGTTCCTTGGATTGAAGAATATGGTGAATATGGAGTGACTGTCGCCAAAGCCAATCTTGATTGCGAAAATGTTGAATTCGATGATGTGATTGCGAGTTGATCAACAAATTGTCCAACCAGAGTGTTCAACTAGAAAAACACAACAATATTTGCTTTCAAAAAAACTACGATCTTACAGCTGTTAAACCAGTCAAACCATTTGGATTCTTCGGATTCACAACAATCAAAATATCATGTGAGATAAGTTGTGGATCTCTGGTGAATGTTCCTGGAATATAAGTTCTAGTTGATGGTGCGACAGTTGTTGTTCCGGGTGTTGTAGGAACTGCCAATCCTCCAGCTGCTTGAACGGTACCATAATAAATATCTGCAAAAAAAAATATGATTTTAAAAGTTTCTGAAAATAGATTTACTTCCTGATGTGGTGATTGTTTGTGTGTATTTAACAAAAATTCTTGGTGTTGAACTCTGGAAGTTGGCTGTGACAGGAGATGGGCTGCTACCTGGTTTTACACTGAAAACATTGCATTTTTTGAAATATAGAAAATTTTTTTTAAAAATTGATAAGGTTTGAACATACGTAGCAATAACTGTGGCAGTTTCATTAGTTCCGTCATAAATTGTTAAAGCTGCAGTTGAATCAGTAACAGTGTTCCAAGTAATTGAGATGCTCTAGAAATCAATAACAATTATCATATAGCAAATTCATTACTCACACTCCATCCAACAGTATCATCACCACTGTAGGCAATAAATCCACATGGCACCAAATAACAAGCATTGAAACTACTTGTATCAAATGCATTGTTTAATGAAGCTGATTTACCAGTTGTTTCGGTTGTTTGAAAACAGTTACATGCTGATTGAACTCCTATAAAAATTGATTATTTCTAATTTTTCCTAATCATATGTCATACCAGTAGTGAAAATGAGAAGTAGTAGTATCCCAGTTTTGAACAACATTCTGCAAAAAAAAATTGAAAATTGTATCAAAGTAATTGAGAAAAAGTAAAAGAATGAGTTTGAAAAACGGCGGAGGGTGGAGACCAAAAACGCTTATCTTTTGAAGAATTTCGATTCCATTTGCTCTCATTTCGGCAATAAAACCTTTTCTCTGTTGATGCCATCGTTTTGATAAAATGAAAATGATTGCACAATCGGTCATATCAAACATTTTTGCAATCAATTGTATAACACTCATAGTATAAAAAAGTGCATTAAAATTAAATGTTTCTGAAAGCAAACAATTGTTTCAATCAAAAATATCAATTCAAAAATTGGATGCATATTTTCAAAAAAAAAGGAATTTTTGAAACAGGAAGAAATGTGATGTTACTTCAGGTTATAAGCCGTTTATCAGTATTTTTTTATCAAAGGCTTGGTTCACTTTGAGAAAATATTTCCAATGAATGTTTAATAGCGTATTAAAAATTGACGTGTTCTTTTCAACAATTTCATGAGTCAAAGGGACTTTTACGGAATGTGAAAGAATTTGTTATGCAAATACATTTAGTGGAAAATAAAAACAAAGTGAAGTTAATAAATGTTTTGTTCTCACGTCTAGTCTTGATGTTGAACATGCATACACAGTTTCTGGAAATGGATCTTCAAATGAATTCCAAATCTCCGTAAACTAATGATTGATAAGAGATTTTCATAAATTGTTTCAGATTTTCTTCAAAAAATCTCAATTTCAGAAAAATATACAATTATACTTATTTTAACATCAATAGTAATTATGAATAAAAAACTTTACCCAATATTTTTCAATGAAGCTCAAATCTCACCTGTTAGTTTTGTCCCCCCCCCAAACCTCAAAATAAACTAACTTGACTGGCCCGCTTCCGTGAGAAGTTGTTGATCTCTTCGAATGTCCTGTCCAAACGAAACATCTTCTTGTTCGAAAGCCTGAAACTTCTACATTCTTTTTCTCGAAATTTTTGCCTATTCTTAAACTTACATCAGAAAATGACAATTGTGGATTTCATGGGACCGCTGCATTCTGTGACTGTTGTCTCTAAAAAATAAGAAAATTGAAAAATGTACCAAATAACATTTTCTGCTCTGAAAAAAAAACCAGAAAAATGATTCAGTTCGAAAAAAAAAGTTCAATCGATAATTTCTTTTCAAATAAAAAACATATATACATATATATCTCTCTCTCTTTCTCTAACCCTCTCTCCATTTCCCACACTCTCTCATCTACCCTGCAAAACAACAAAATAAACACGCTAAACAACGTGCACGCGGAGTATCGTTGTTTTTCTTCTGTTTTTTTTGCACGACATTTTTATTTTTTGCTTTTTTCTGGTTTGTGAGTGGTTTTTTTCAGCGCAGAAAAAGTTATTAATTGGGTGGTTTGGGACATTTTTTAATTTTCTTATTTTTTCAGAGACAACAGTCACAGAGTCACAGCGGTCCCATAAAATCCACAATTGTCATTTTCTGATGTAAGTTTAAGAATAGGCAAAAATTTTGAGAAAAAAAATGTAGAAGTTTCAGGCTTTCGAACAAGAAGATGTTTCGTTTGGACAGGACATTCGAAGAGATCAACAACTTCTCACGGAAGCGGGCCAGTCAAGTTAGTTTATTTTGAGGTTTGAGGGGGAGGGGGGGGGGGAGAAGCAAAACTAACAGGTGAGATTTGAGCTTCATTGAAAAATATTGGGTAAAGTTTTTTATTCATAATTACTATTAATGTTAGAGGAAAGTTGTTTATAAATTACTATGTTTGAATCACTAGATGAAGCTTTGAATTACACTTGATGGTATAGGATCAGCTTCCAGATTTTATTGAAAAACAAACTATGAAATATTTCATAGGTAGAAAGATTTTTTTCTATTCTTGATTATCTAGGTCACGTGAAATTCTGATAAATATATATTTATCAAAAGTGCCTCGTTTCTTATCTACACGCGTGGTGTAGTGAAGAAGAGCTGTGTCTTCTATTCAACCCGCCTAATTTTGAGGGTTCGAGTCCCACTGCTCGCTGTTTTGTCCCTATATCCGGTAACGCATATTTTCGGAAAAAATATCCGCCGTTGTCACAAAAATCCGGAAAAAAATATTGCTATACAAATTGTAAAATGGGCGATTTTATTGAATGGTAGAAAAGAGCTCACTTGTGAAACTTCAAAGAATTCTGAATTTGATACAATTATTATTTTGGATTCTCACAAATTGATCATTTTCGATGAATGGTTTTTTGCATAGAAAAATGTTTTAATTTAACCCGATTCAATATATTCTTGCGCGTTGAGGCTGATTTACAGCTACAGAATTTGTTGATAAAACTTGATTTCTGATCATTTGATTCTCTATGAATAACTGTCTGACAATTAAATGTTGCAGGACTGACAAAATAATTCTTGTTATTAGTGTATTCGTAAAACTCTGAAACCAAAAAATTGAACTCAAAAAAAAATGAAAATAATCCCCAAAAAATCTCATTTTCTGAACCAAATATTGTACTTGAAAATATATTCACGTTCAAAACAAGTAGAAAGGGCTGCATTTTCACCATTAGTTAGTAGTACTACTCTTTCTCATCTAGCTTTTTTTTGGTTTTCATATATTTTTTTGCTCTTTTTTTTTCAAAAATTATCAGCTATGAAGAAAAATACAGATAATTTTTGTGATCATAATTCTAGCCTAATTTTTAAGTTTTTTTAACAACGTGGAATTTTCCTTTGTGTTTTGTCATATTACGAGATTTTTTGAATAAGAGTTCAATAAAATCAATATTTTTTGAAAAAAATTACATTTCCAAATTCTTAACAAGATATATTGATTTTTTTAACCCAACTTATTCATTTTCATTTAAAAAATTGTATCGCGGTCAAAGAATAGAGGCCCCAAAACAATACATTGGTCTTGTCATCGATCTCAAATTTTCTGTGAGTAAATTTTGTGAGTAGATTCAAAAAAATAAGTTGTGCTCAGTTGAAAGAGCATGTTCTAATTAGTACAATTCTTAAAGGATTTTTTTTCTGGAAGCTTTCTCAAAAATTAGTTCAAAATTTTTAAAATTCGAAAAAAACAGTGAAAAATGGCTTGAAAGTCCAGATATACAGTAGTTTGGAGCTGTGTTTCTCTGTCAATTCCGATTTTATCAGAGTTGCCAATTATTAGGTATTTTTTCGAATAATTTCAGGTTTCCAAAATGAGTTGATATTTAAAAAATTTTGCAACCCGTGACTTCAATAAATTAACCCTCCTGAGAAACGTCTAGCATTCAGTTTCTCACAATTTAAACTCAAAACTGATTGTATGTCATGAACCCTCGAAGTATGAAATTTTGCTCGAATATGCTCTTCCGCCGCTGAATTTTTATATTTTGATGAAGATGGCTGAAACTATTTATGAAAAATATGAAAGCAAAAACTCGATAACTAGTTGAAAATTTTCACTTGTCGAGTTAGTATTTTTGGTCCACTGTAATTATTGCTTCAAAAAATATGAATTTCATGGTAATTTTATGGAATATTTAGACAAACAAAACGGGATATTTTGCAAAATTCCAAAAAAAATTGATCTAAAAAAATCTATTTTTGGATCATGATGCTAAAGTGAAACCAAGATCAGCAACAATTCCAAATCCTATCGGCTCTGAAAATTTGTCATTTAAATTTCGTTTCAAATTTGCAATTCATCAGCTCGAATTGCGACCTTCCAATTTATATTTTAATCAAAAATTTTTACAGAAGATGTTTTTTAACTTGGAATTGAAGTTTTATATGAAAATCAGGTTCTTGACCCATTGATTACAATTCTGAAATTCTTGTAATTTATTTCGAAAACAGTTTTTGCATCATTGTTGGGAGCATACATCATTAAGTTGTTTCAATTATTTTCAAACTAGATTTTTCTTGCATAAAAATTAGAAACGTCGTCGTTTTTATCATGCGACGCATAAGTGCGCGAAGCTTGTCCACATCTTTAATGCGCTTCCGTTCGCCCTTCCGGTATCTCCGATTAATCACACAACAAATTTCTCTCCATTTTACACCAATCCCACTAATTTTCTCTACACCTTTGCCTGTCTCAATGAATTTTATAAATGTGAGTTTTAGTGTCACCAATACATATACATTCCATAAAAATTCAATATCAGTCTTTTTTCTGTGCATTGCAAATGGGAGAGAGAGTTGAGTTGATTGAATACGGTTTGAGAGGGAGACAGTGTGATAATGATTTATCGTCATCGATAACAGCAAAAAAAAGACAAATGTTTGAGAAGAGAACATAATTGAATTTGAATAGAACACAGACATTGGGAAAGAAAATAGTTTTTTTGAATGCTCGCGGAGACACGAAAAAATACTGGGGCAAATATATATTCAGCAACATTTACCTCTACTTATTCACTCACCGATAACTGATTCTTGTAGGTTTACAGATTTTATTTTTTCGGAAATGCTCCTCCTTTTGTTATCTTTTTAATACCCTCTTAAAAAGTTGGCAACTAAAAAATTGCTGTTCCTCAATTAGAAATCATCTGCCACCCTTCGAATGTCTCAAATTTCCTATTGTTAGTATTTCTTCGCGCATTAAATAATTATCTTATAATATACATATAAACAACAAATCTTCCATGATTTCCCAAAACTAAAATCTAACACCTTCCGGCTCTCACTATTGTTTATATACAAATTTGATGTTATCTGTCAGTAAACTTTGTTCGCACATTTCCACGAGTTGTTCGCACTATGTTTTATTTTTGCACCCCCCTAAAACAATCGAACATTTTTTGTGTTGGGAAGATTTTCAAGATAACTCTAGTGTGATTGTAAAACAAGACGAGGTTTTTCATCATTACATTTTGTCTGTATCACATTTTATCAGTTTGAGAATTCTTATTTTTCAAGTCAAGTGAGAGTATTATTCTCTATCTTTCTAAAAACTAACATTTTCTGAAAAGCGAAGAAAATTTGGCGAAATTTAAAATGGTTTTGACGTTACCACTAATGAAACCACGTATGTTTTCAGAGCTGAAAAATGTTTAACTTCCAGCATTTCTAGACTACGATAGGAGAGAGATTTAGAGAAAAATATATTTGATCTACTAGAAAAATTTAGAGATTAGGCAGTTCATTTTGGTATTGACATCACGTAGGTTTTAGAGAATTTTCGAGCTGAAAGGGATTTTACACATCGTGTAAACAATTTCCAGCATTTTTTTAAAAATCTATTTTTGATCTATCTGAAATATTTCTAAACAATTTCAAAAGTTCACACATTGCCACGAGCGAGAAAATGTGTTTGTTTATGGTGTTTATGTTGTTCACACCAAAATCTGTGAAAAATCACACCTAGTTCGCACAATTTCTCTCACCAAACGTGTTATTGTCAGCTCGTGTCAATATCCGTATGTGCTAAAATATTTGCAAAAATCATGCAAAAATGTTTACAAATACATATTATATAACAAATAATAACAAATGATAACCATGACTGACAGCTCCATTTGGGTTAGGTGCGCAATGCATTAATGATAAGATACTACTGTAGGTTTTGATTTGCTCATTATTCGTTCTTCTTCTTCTTTATTTTTTCATTTATTTATTTTTTTGAAACTTCTTTAGGTAATTATCGAGGTCAATTATTTATATGGGCGGTTTATAGTTTTGAAATTGTGTAACACCGATACATAATTAGCTCGTTATTGATGTTTTACGACTTAATCGTAAAGGATTAATCGTATTTTCTACCTACCTTTTTTTGTCGATTGACTGTTGAGTTTCTGATAGTTGGAATTTGAAATTTCGAAATTGTTTTGTGGAACTGGAATATAATTTGTGAAATCAAGATGGGCCTATTTTTTTTCTAAAAACCCATCAAATAATTTTCAGAGAATTCCAGAATCTTTTTTTTGCTGAAACAAAACCAGTTTTTAATATTTTCGTTTCTAAAAATCTCTGCCAGAAAATATCCTACAATATTTTTCCCCCGCAACTCTCTCCTTGTTACAGAAATATCTTTATCTTGATTTTTGATCTATCCTGCAATTAAAAATCTATTTTTTCACCCGCAAAACGTTCAAAAAACATCCGGAAACTAAACATATTAATAGAATTAAACTACTAATCTTTAATTTTTAAACACTTTTTTTGTAGACAGATTTATTTCCCATAAATAATTAACGAGATTTTTTTCATATTTCATATTCTGCTGTTTCAAATCAAATCAAATTCTCATATTAGTTAGTTAGTTCCAAATTTTTCTCAACCTCATTTTCAAAATTTTCCTAATTCGATCTGACATTTTATTCAGGGAAGGCAACACAAAAAACAGTTTCACACATTTTCTTCTTTCTCACCTCTTCATTCTGACTATTGGTTTGCTCCGCCCACATTTTTCTATTCTCGTTTGCTGTCAACACCTTTTTTATTGTTACCACAATTTTCACAGTCATTCATAGTAACTCGATACAGTTCATCATCTCATGATCTGATAGATCTACTAATTTTTTTCATAAAAATAATTTCATATGGCAAGCCATTTGTATACATTTTCTGTTCCACATTTCATTTTGTACCGTACATTTTGTGTCATTATCATGATTGATATTATTGGGCGTGTGCTTTTAAGCTTGTCTTTCTCTCAATATTTCACTCAATGTTATTTTATCGAGGCGCTAATAAACCGATTAAGTGTCCAAAATTTGACAAATGATTAGTGTGCATTTTTGGCTGGTGCTATGCTATTCAGTCGGCTCGACAATACATAAACTTCTTATGTTTTCGTATTAGGAAATAAGTTGCATGTGTTTACCGCTTAATCCGTATTATATGTTATTAACCTTTTTAGCCTATTACATCGAGTCTCTCTCTCTCTTTTTTCATTGCTCATATTAAGTAGGAGTATTAAAATTATAATCTTTAAGGGGTGAAGGTTCCTGTTTTGAGGTAGAAATTCCGAGATTCCGGGAAAATATGATTCAGAATTTTTAAAACTTGGTTAGAAATTTGAGTTTTTCTGCTCCCTCGTTTGATTGTGACTTTTTATTAGCCCAAAATTTTTTGAATTTTAGGAGAAGATCAAAAATGATTTTCTGTGAATCTCGTTGAATTTCGTAGATTTTAGTTTCATCTAAAAATTTATGCCAAGTTTTTTGAAGAGGGCTTCAGGCTGCGCCTATTCAGGCTTGGGTTGTTTTTTGAAAAATTTGAAAGACTGTGCTGACCAAAAATTGGTTCCTAAATTCCGGCTCAAGTTCTGAAAAAAAAAAAAGATTTTTCAAGATTTTTCTAAAAACTACTCTTCTCTTTGTGTTTTTGAAATTCTGAGATTAATTTTTTTTAAACTGAATTTTTGGCCCAAGTTCTCTAATATTCAAATTATAAATTTTACAGCTGAAAAAAAAACATCAAGTTTGTTATTAGACCCCGTGATATATTCAAAAGTTGTTTTCCCAATTCCAATCCTCCCTACAATTTCCATAATTTTTCAGGTATGACAACATACGGTGCTTTCACAGCTTACGCGATTCCTTCAACAGCAAATCCAGCTCAGTTTACATATCCGCAAATGGCAATGTTTGGTAATTCCCAATACAGTGCAGGTGAGCCCATAATTATTATGTCCCGTGTGTTTTTCAAACTCACATGGGAAACCAAAAAAGATACTCATTATATGAGGATTAAAAACAGCCATCCTTTCCCTCCTCCTCCTACCTTCTATGTAGTTCTCCTCATCGCCCTAAAATATCCACCACCCACCAAAGCGCTCTCATTTTTTTCATTATTTTGAAAATCTTCCCTTTTCCCTCTTTTTTTACAGTATACTCTTGTCCTCGAACTATATTATAATCGCATTTGAATTTACATATTCTGCGGTTGGAGAGACGAAAAAAATGAGAGTGTGTTGTAGAAGTTAGTAAAACTACCAGGGATAGATAGAAAAAAATCAATTTTATTTTCACTACAACCAAATATGGTTTGGTTTGATATTTCAGCAATGATTCCACGAAAAAATCGAAGAGAAAGAACCACTTATAGTCGACAACAGTTGGAGATTTTGGAGAATTTGTTCGCTGAAACACAGTATCCTGATGTTTTTGCTAGAGAACGGGTTGCTGGACAGATTAATTTGCAAGAAAGTCGAATTCAGGTTTGGTTCAAGAATCGACGAGCAAAGTTTCGACAACAGGAGAAACAAAAACCAAGATCGGATAAGAAAAGTGAGTTTTATTTTTAATTTTTGGAAACATTAGATCAGAATTTTTAATCCAAAGAAAAAAGTAGATCTTAAAATATAACGAAAAACGTTTCAGATTCAATGATCAGTGCAGGAACACCACCAGCAAATCTGAAAACGAATAGTATTTCACCACTCTATCAACCACAAATAAGCAGCGAACCGGAGAGTTGGTAAGTGAATAGTTTTATTATCAACTTGACAAACAATCGGATTAAATTGTCTAATCAATATTGTATTTTTAGTGACACGAAGGTGATGCCAATGAGAACACCAAAAAGTATTTCACCAGTTGAGACGCCGGCGAGTGGCGAGAGTTCAACGACTACTTCTACTGCTGATAATTCTTGGACTAATGAATCTATTGTGAGTTTGAATGGGGTAAAGGATTTAGAAAACTATAGATATTTTGGAAAATTTGTTAGTTTCAATAGATTTGTGTTGAATTTCTGGATAATTATGAAAAATGTTTTTTCATAAACATTTTTAGATACAGTTTGAAAATAGGTTCCTTGAATTTATTTTTCAGGTTTCAAAAATTAGTTTACGTATTCATTTTTTTCAATCTTGAAATTTCATAACAACATTTTTTAAACCTGGTATTTTCTCTTCAAAACTCAGATTCTTAAATTTAATTTTAACAATTAAAACCAAAAATTGAATTTTCTCACAAAATTTCTGGTTCGAAAATATTCAGTCTCTATTTTCTATCAAAAATTTTTGATTCTCTAACAAGAGTTCAAAATGATTCAGCTAAATTTAATCCAATTAACAATATGATGACTAAAGTGAAGTTATCAAAAATCGGATATGCGTTGTATCTTTAAAATATAAAAGCGCAAAGATTTTGTTCAGAATTCTTATTGAAGATTGGCTTCAAAATTGTTTTTTTCAATTTCATTCATTTAAAATTGATATTTCAAATTTCAAATCAAATCGGTTTTCAATTTTAATTCAAGAAATTCATGATCATTTTTTTCCAGCAAGCAAACTCGACATCAACATCAACCGCAGTTCCATCAACAACAAATCCATCATTAACCGTATCAATCGCAAATCCAACAGTTTACAATTCCTATCCAATTTATCCAGGTTGTTATACATTTGACTATACTTATGCAAACGCCCAATATAATTCATATGCAGCAAATCCATATTCAGCTAACCCATATTTTTTCCAAAATGGAACTCTATAGGAACCTTTTCCAAATATATAATATTTGCATTTTCCCTTTCCATTCCCATCCCATCCCCCCATATTTTTGTGTCAAATTCTGTATATTTTTTGATTTCTATTGTATCCTTTTAATATTATTTCAATCATGTTCTCTTTTGAATAAATAAATAAATCGAATCGATATTTTTGCTCTTCTCTCTATACAGTACTCAACAATGGTGATAACAATAAAAATGTCATTATCAGATTAGCTGGAGCCCGTTATTTGTATACACTTGGTTGGTCGGGGAGTGAGAAAAAAAGTGTTCTTTTTTGTATGTGTAGTGTCTCGTTTTTTTGTGTCTCAATGGGGTGTCGCGGTATTTTGAATACCGAAGAGCTAATTGGGGGTACTTTGAGGATATAGATACTATTATGGGCAATTCAAGCGTGTAATATTTGTTCATGTTTTGTCGGGAAACCGTTTAAAGTATTGAATTGTTTTGTAGGGAAGGGAAATAAATTGGTGTGAGTTTCTTTGAGTGATGAGTTTTACTTTGTTAAAATTGTAAATTTAAATATTGAAAATATAAAATCTGGGATCAAAAGTTGAACTTTGCCAAAATCCGTGTTCCATAAAGTAGTGACAGATTTTTGAATTGTGAAAAAATATTTTAATAAAATGTGAGGATACAGTTTTTGTTATGTCCATTGAAAATGATCCATTTTTTAACGAATTGTAGAAAATATTTTCATAGAAAAAACGGTTAAAAATTTCCAATATCAAATTGTTGTCTGTGCTCTCATCATTTCACGCTGTCTCTAAATGAATTATTTTTTGTTTTTGTGAGTTTTCTAATTTCTAAAATCATAAAGAAAATAGTGTTTTTGGCGATTTTTTGATGAAAAGTTGAAATAAAAACCCTCAAATTCATTATACAAAATCCAGACCGAACTTCTTCATACCAAAGCTAATATGCCTGTCTGAAAAATGTTGTATTGGGTCAAATTTGGGTCAAAAAAAATCTGAAAATATTTGTATATTTTGTCTATTTTCAGGTTCAGGTTCAATCTTCTCTATTTTTCGGTCCTCACTAACCTTTCTCGATTCAAACTCAAAATTCATTTTTCTGTGTTTTCCTTGATTACAATTTCATCCGTAGTTCACAATTAACATCTTCAAATAAGTCTTATTGATTTCATATTTGAAAAAAATTGAAGTTCCAAAATCTTTTAACATCATCGTTTGTTATCCTTTGCTAGCTCACTAATTTCTTTTAAAAACATTCTCATTCCTAAACAAATGAGCCTAAATTTTTATAAACATTCTTTCAAAATTGTTTTCTCAAATTCCTGTACCCAAAATTGTTTTCACCAATTTTTTGACTTTCGAAAAAAGTCACATGAGAAGATAGACACTTTGTCTCCTTTATCAAATAGTATACTGTAGGCACGTCAAAAAAAAGCCAAACCACGCTTATCAATTTCTTTCTATTGGTAGCTATTTTTTACGACTAAAAATGAATACAGTAATTATATAAAGTGCACCTGCCAAAAGCATGTCATTTGTATGTAATCGATAAGTATCGAGTAATTAGAACATGGTAATCAAGATCGTGTTATGGAAAAGGAAAAGGAAAGGGATAGGCTTGTGTATCGGGGTAGAAGACAGGTGAATGAAACTTACGTAATTTGATTGGTCTCGGAAGCATTCAAAAGGATACCGATTACCAAATTTAGATTGATGGTTGGGAAACTGCTTCAGGAACTGTGCGTTAATTCTTCATTTCATAAATTGTTTCCACAAAATTCGCGGCTTATGACCCCTGATAATAATTATTAGTAGTATCAAATTACCTTCTTGTATATGTTGACAGATGACTATAAATCGTTTTTAATGAAAGAGTGTTTTTAGGATTATAGAGGTCGATGTGTTTCACAACGAAAAAAAAGTGAGCCAAACTAATTATGTATTTGTATTAAAAGGTTGGATATCTAAATGACAGGTGCTCATCCTATTTTGACGATGAGCAAAATTAGAGATTTGTATCTTTTTGAGCGGGATATGAGGGTAAAAATATTAAATTATAGGTTTCGATGGATTTGGATGTTATGTAAGAACGAGCATCATTATATATCGATATACATTTCAAAAACATTTCGGCATTTTTTCGTGTCTTGTTATCATGTTTAGAATATTTTGAAGTTCGAAAAAACGTGGAGAAATTTTTGTGAGAATTTGATTGTTTCAAAAGCTTCTGGAATTACATTTTTTTTTTTTGAAAATATTAAAGTTTATAAAGTTTTCAGGAAACAAATCAACAAGATTCTGAAAAAAAAAACTTTACTTTTTGGGGAAAAAACTATTGAATAAACAGAACAAAAAGTTGAATTTTCAAGTGTTTTTAGGAAAAAAATCCAGTTACAAAAATGAAAAATGGATCTTCATGTGAGTGTTCTGGAAAAAAATCTCTCGATTCTCTATAATTCTCACTACACAAACCCACAAATAAAAATGATCCACACAAATTCTACAAGTTTGTTTACACAATAACAGTAACGATCGTGAAAATCAACAGGAAAATAGTCACAGTAACCCGGAATTAGTTGCTCAATATGTCAGTTATCTCATCATTATTACTTTATTTGCATTGAACAACTTGCTATTTTTGTATATCACAGAGGAGAGGAGCACAAATTGCATCACATAGTCAATTAACACCTCAAGAAGCACTATAAACTTTATCAGCGTCATCAGAAGAAAAAAAAAGAAACATAAGCTAATCCCAAAAAAATATTCTAGAAAGAAAACGATATTGTTCTCATAGTTGGATTAGTAAAACTTACTTTATACATAAAAAAAAAGTTTGATTGATTATTGTATTGTCAGGTGTGAACAAGTCTTTTGTTGAATTTTATTGTTGCGCTCGTCATTTTTCTGACAAGGACCAGATTAAAAACATCTGCATATACAAAAGAGACATGTCTTGTCTTTGGCTCTTTTTTTGTTGAGCGGTTTCGGTTTATTTGCTTTTAGGAATGAACCTCTTAAAGGATTATCATATGATTCCAGAGACTTTTATTAAATTTTTTTTGACACCTTGAGGTATTACTTCCTGTTTTTTCGCACATTTTTGAAGATATGAAAGGCCGCATCTTAAGTCTCATCATTGTCACATTTCGCACCTCATTAGCCTAGCGGAACATTTGGAAAATATGATAAAAAAGATTTAGAAAAGGTAACACGGCTTTGGCTTAGGCTTAGACTTATATTTTTGTGGATCAGATCAGGATAAGACTTTGTTTTTAAAATGCTCTTTATAAAATTGGAATATCTATGTAATCCGAGGTCTTGGTTTCACTGGACTATTTTTGATTTGATATTAAAAATTGTTTTCTTGTGCTATTTTTTTGTACTGTCGTTAAAAAATGTTCAATTTTTATCCAAAATTCACCTAAAACTTTTGTTTATACTACGATTTCCTGCCACCTTTCGCACCTCGAGATAAAAACCGCCGCCTTGAAATTTCAAATAGCTCCCGTCTTTGTTTTATTTCACACTTGGTTATCAATTGACTGCCAGATTTTGCGGTCTTTTTTGAGAGGAGGGTGTGAAATTTTAATTATGGGATATGGATTTCAAGATAATTTTTTGAGATTCCGGAAATTTTGAATGAAAATTTTGAGATGCATAATTTTCTGGTATAAATGACGTCATGAATTTTTGAGGAACTGTGATTTTTGGTAGCTGATCTGAAATTATATAGGAACTTGTAGATCTGAATTTGGTATTTGACCTGAAGGAAATAGATTGTTAGTTTTTTTGTCTTGAAGAATTTGGAAAAAAAAGTGTTGAAGTCAAAAAATTCAGAATACTGGATACTGAATCAGTTTTGGAATTTTTTAATTCTGAAACTTTTGCTCAAAATTCAGAATCTATAAATCCAATTCATCCAAACAAACAATGTCCCGGAAATTCTGAAAAATCACATGTTTTGAAAAAAATTTCTTATTTTCACATTCAATTATCCTGGGAGAAAAATTACTAAATTTATATTTCCAACAAAATAACAACTAAAATTCTTCATTTTTTCCTCATCCCACTTCAAAACTTTCTGAAATTTTTAAGCAGATGTACATATGTATTACATACACAGTACCCCCCCCCCTCTCATAGTCGGCATATTTTCTTGAAAAACAACCTGTCACCCTCTCTCCCACCCATCCCCTTTTCTTCCAAGCTCCGCCCCCTTCCAACTTACGGTAGAATATCCTTATTCAAATATTAATTGTGTTTTTTGTATTATTAATCCATCACCACTTTTTATTTTATTTTTCTATTTTTTTCCATTTTCAATCAGAAATATGTTCTCATAGCATTTCATTTCAATAAAAGTGATTACCGTACTTTTTATTTTGATTTCGACTCATTCACTAATCCTTTTTATTTTTATTAATAATAATTTCTCTCATCATTTTTATATTAACAAAATCTTTGTTGTTATTATTATTATTATTATTTATTTTCATTTATTTTCTGTGAGGCGAAAAGAGAGAAGAATTGAGTGAAGCCTTTAATTTGAAGAAGTCTTACGGTAGGAGGATTCTAAGGTTTCCACGTATTTTTGCGAAGATGAAAATGAATGTTGTTTGGTTTTGCAAAAATATCTGGAATACTTTTTTCAACCTATCTCTCTTGCTCATTAATTTTGACTCACAAGCAGATTTTCTTTTTCCAATAAAAAAAAAGAAAAATTCTTAACAAAAGTGCAACAAACCTAACTAATCCTTAATTCGTTTTGTCTACAATTTTCTGTCTGATAATCTGATATCTCTTCATCTCTAATCTCATCCAATTACAGCCGCAGTTATCACATCTCCGCCCATTTTTTCGAATTTCGCACTTGTGTCATCATGGTCAACCCGACGCCTTTTTACACATCGTTTTCGACATTCAGTACACCAATTTCATACGCAGCCTATCCTCAATTATTCACCACAACCGCCGCCGCCGCAGCAACCACTGTTCCAACACAACCACAACTATCAACAATTCCGGCAACAACATCCAATCATTCGGCGTCTTCCATTTCAAACAACAGGTATTATCTTTTTGAAGATTTTAAGACCAATTCGAGATTAGGGAAGAGATTACGCTAAGACGCGGGAGGATAGAGGATCATCCTAATATTTTGACAAAATATTTATCTCCATTTTTCTTTTTTTCAGTGATGGTGGACGCCGCGGTGGAAGAAGAGAAAGAACATCGTTCAATCGAATGCAGTTAGAAGAACTTGAGAAAGTATTTCGTGAGACACAATATCCTGATTTATATCGGAGAGAGGCACTTGCGAAGTTGATTCATTTGCCAGAAGGTCGCGTCCAGGTGATCACGGTATTTCATTTTCACAATTTTTGATTAAAAAACTCTTGAAAGAAAACTTTTCAATTCAATTTTAAGCTAGATTTGTCAGCCTATCAAAATTAAATTGATCTACTTTTTCTATCCTTAAATATTTTCAGGTCTGGTTCAAGAATCGACGAGCAAAGGATCGTGCCCAGAAAAAGTTAACAGATAGACATTCAATGAGAACACCATCAGGATATTCCAGATCACCAATCGACTCGCCGCCACCAGAGCCAAAGGATATTAAGCTTACCATGCCAATGATTCCCATTCCCGGAACCGATGAGTTCAATCTCCGCAACGAGGTGAAATATCAACAAGTCACCACACTCCACCAACAAGTCGCTCAACTCAAAGGCGTCACCCTTGAAGAGCAGCAAAAATTCCTGGCCGAAGTCAAATACGATCCAACACCTCTGGTGCCACAAGTTCAATCAGCCGCTGCAACTTCAGTAACCGCAGCAACAAGTAAGGAATATTGTGCTAGTGCTGGTGGTGTTGAAAACAATCCACTTACCCAATTCCAAACAGTTTCAGCATGGCCATATACATCGGCAAATTACCCGTATTTTAATAGTTATTTCCCGTCGAATTATTATTATCCTGGTTATGGTAATGATTATACACCAAATAATGCTGCTTATTGTGGAGGTCATTTGTAAACGACTTCTTTAAATTTTAAAAATATATATTTTTTATTGAATTGTACATCCCCATCCCATTGATCTCTCTCATTCTTAACCATGATTTCATTTTTTAGTGTGTCACCATTTTTTTAACCATTTTCGGCATAAAAGGAAATAAATAAAAGGAAATACTTAATTGCGTGATAAAATGCTGCTTGAAATATTTTATTTGCTTTCTCAGACTGTCGGTATTTTTGGTGGGAGCACAAAAAAGGGGAGAAGGGATTTACGTAATCCACTCGAACAAACCGCGCGGGACCAAGACCAACACCCACTTCATTAAAGTGTGCCTTCTTTTCTTTTCTTTTTTTCTTATACAGACAGAAAAACAGTATTGAGGAAGGATTAGGCAGAAATGAAGGTGTAATACGACATTGTTTCATGTGATTTCTTTTATTCAATTTTCTTGTTGGGATTCGCGGTTTTTTTGCGGATTCGTTTTGAATGGCTTCAGGCTTCAGAGTATGTCACGTTTATGACATTTGTGTTTTGGAAATTGCAGACAGAATTTATTTTATTTCTGATTGGGAAAAAGATTGGAGTGTTTTTCGATCTATGGATTCTTTAATTTTTTATGAATCACAACTGAATTTTCGAAGTGAAAATAATTTTGAATTCCTAATATAGTCAAGTGAAATTGATGAAGCCTAAATTCCATTCTAGATTTTTTGTAAAGGTAATTCTGACAAGTATGAAAAAAACTATCGATCCTAAAATTGTTTTGTTTCAAAATAAAAATCCGAAAATATTTTAAGCAAAAAACTTCAAAGGTTTCATTGTCACGAACCTAGCAGCTCAATAAATTTCAAAAATTGATCCGATTTTTCAAATTCCGAGTGAGAAATCTTGTGTTTTTTTAATTGACAATATCTGAAACATAGCTTCACTCTTCAGGTCCTTTTCAAATGAGTCAAAAAATCTTCAGGTTTTGTTCTACTGGTGCACTTTATATAACATTCTGAAATTTAAAAAATCCTGAAATTTAAGTCCAATAGTTTTTGACTAATAAAGTTCATCAAAACTGAAACCAAAGTTCATTATTATTCCACAAATCTCATATTGTTTCGTCTCGACATTTCTCAACAATTCCTAATACTTTTCTTCAAAACCCATTTCGGCATCCACTTATCTCAGAACTTTCATCACCTATTTCATGAAAAATCCACTTTCTTCGTCTATCGATAATCTAATCCGTCTATTGTCTGAAAACAAAAGCCGGAGATTACTGTAGTTTTTTTTTCATATTTTTTATCTGACATATACTCACTCATCCACCAGAAAAAAAGGGAAAAGAAAAAGTTATTCTGGGGGGTGTTAAGCAAACAAATCGGAATTAAAGCAAAGGTGTTATGTCACAACACGAACCTATCATATTGCAGCAAATTGTGTATGTATAATAAAATATCAGGTTATGTGATCTACACCGCAATCCCGGTCAATAATGTTTGATTGATACTTGACCGGTGTGTTTTTCTCGTATTATTTTTTGATATGAGGTACAAAACATGTTGGAGAAAATTCAAAATCTGTGTAGATGTTACGCAATAAGTGACACCTTGTGTAACTTCCTTCCTGAAAGATTTACTATTTGCTCATAATATGAAGAATAACCGATGAAACGCTTTTCTGACTTGTGAATTCTAATTTTTCAGAAAATTGTGTAATTTCCAAGCAATACTTCTAAAATTTGTTTCTGGAACAAAAGAAATTACATAAAATTATGTTTTTCATATGAAAGTATCTGGAAAAATACTTCTGAAAAATTCTGAAAAGATTTTCAAAAGTTTCTATATGATAAATCTAATTTGCTACAGAGCTTCCATGTGAAATCCAGGATGACGTGAAAAAAAAATATGTCACCATTCCCCACACAAAAAAATAGCCAATAATTGTTATGTGACATGACTAAAACTCCAGAACTTCAATAAATAAGTTTATGTACAGCCAAAACCGAAAACCCAAAAAATATATTATGCAATAATTGACACCTTGTATAACTTCCGTCCTTCATTGTCTTCACTTTTGCTTCAGTTTTTTATTTGCTCTCCAGAATAACCAATTTGTCAGTTTCGCAGCTTGTGTAAGTCCAAAGAATCCCAAAACTCCAGCAAAATATGCCAAAATGAAATGGGTGTTTGAAAATAATTCGAGAAGTGGATATAGCCAGTAACCATCGAAAAATCGAACGTAAAATATTCTGAAAAAAAACATGTTTCTATATTTTTATAATATCAATGGCTATAGCTTACATGACGAAATAAACGGCAACCAAAGTTGCAGAAACTTTCAAAGCAGATCGATTTGTTGGAGGGGATCTGAAAAACAGATTTCAAAATTTTTCCAAGCAAAAATCATACCTTTGATGAAAATAAGCATCTGCATATACAAAAACAACTGGCAATGTGTGAGTTACATGATTAAGCCATCCAGGGATTAATTTTGCCACCCAATCTGGCATAACCAACGCTGGCTCAATTGCATAAAGACCCCAGAATAATCCGCAAGTTATCTGGAAAAATTAAGAAATTGAGTTTTAAAAAATTTGGCTAGGAAAAATGGAAATTCTGAATTGAATCTTGAGAACTTCAAATCTCTAAATTCTAAATATTTAGAAGAAAAAAAACTTTAAATCTCTAGAAAATAAAACACGAGTTTTCAAACTCAAAATCATACATTTTTGAAAGAAACTTATTTGAAAAATATTATCGATTTCTAGATGTTACAATTGTTCGATTTTTTGATGTAGTCATCTAGGAAATCTGCCTTTATCCATAGATTTTTGAAAACTTGAAAATGTCCGATTCAAACAAAATATTTCTTCATCAGATGTTTAAAAAAAACATTTTTCACAAGTTTAGCTAACTCTAATTCTTTCAGTTAACTTAAATTCTTCAGCGCATAATTTTATTAGAAATATTTCAAAATAAAAGCTCACCAACGCGATTGGAAACACCGAAGTGAAAAACAAATAATCAACAAGATTTCTAACTCTTTGACATCCTGTGTAGCTCAACAAAACCAACACCGAATAAATTGTATCCAAAATCTGAAATCAAACAGACTTCATCTAACTCCAGGAAAAATATTATACTCACAAAATTCAAATTGGTCAACATAATAAGTTTATAAATATACCAATCATGTCCCAATCTTGGTTGAAATTTGACATCAAAGTACACTGAAGTCACCCAAATAACCGAAAAAATCAACGAAAATATAAAAGATATAGCAGACATTTTACGAAAATAATAAAAAATGTTTTTTTTTGCAAAAGTTGTTTGCTTTTATTTCGACCAATCAATATTTTTTCCAAGGTTACTATATATATTTCTATTATTTTTCTAGTTTCGTTTTGACCTCCCCGCTCAAGCGAACACATTTTTTTGTTCATTGACAAATTATTTTTCTCGACCCAGGCCCTGTGATATTATTTCTCTCGCTTTCTCTCTATTATTATTTTTTGGCTGCCAACACACACGGGAGAAAATGCGTCAGCTGCGGGAGGTTGACACATGTGTGGTACACCTCGCCCGTTGTGTATGGCGCATTGTTTGCGGGACTCTCTTGTTCTTGTTGTTTTTTCTGTTTTTTCTAGTGACTATTGATTAATTAGTGATACTTTTCTTGAAAAAATAAACAAGTTATGCTAATTTTCAGAATGCTTTCTCGATCCTTGACAACTGTTAGCCGTATGGCTCCACAGGCTTTGGCATCTCGCCAATATAGTATCACTGCACCAAGACCACCAACCGAAATCTCGCAAAAATTGAAGGTCACAATTATTCCAGGAGATGGTGTTGGACCAGAATTGATTTATACTGTTCAAGATATTGTTAAACAAACTGGTATTCCAATTGAATTTGAAGGTGAATTTTTGGGGAATGGGAAAGTTTCTAGAAATCAATTCCGAGCGATCCCGCCTGTCATTTTGAGCCTCTATAAATTAGATTTGTATCATAGGCCTTTGCGATTTTCATATTCAAAAATTTTCTGAAACTCATTTTCTAGAAAATCTTTGAATCAGAATAAAATCCCTCAAATAATTATGCAGATAAAGGAAATCAATACAAAAATCCTCCCTAATTTTTCATCCCAAAATCCCACCGTTTTCCAGAGGTTTTCTTGTCGGAAGTTCACTACACTCGCTCGGCTTCAATTGAAAATGCTGTCAAATCAATCTCCAAAAACAACAATGTTGCTTTGAAAGGTGCGATTGAAGAATCGGCTGTTTTGCACACCGAAGGAGAACTTCAAGGATTGAATATGAGATTGAGAAAGGCTCTTGACTTGTTTGCCAATGTTGTTCATATCAAGGTATGTTTTCTACATATGCTGGAAATTATCTTCAGAATTTAAAAAAAAACCAAAAATTCCAGACTTTGGATGGAATCAAAACCAGACATGGAAAGAAACTTGATTTCGTAATTGTTCGTGAACAAACCGAAGGTGAATATTCAAGCTTGGAACATCAATTAGTGCCAGGAGTCATTGAATGTCTTAAAATCTCCACTAGACCAAAATGCGAAAGAATCGCCAAATTCGCTTTTGATTACGCCACTAAAACTGGAAGAAAGAAGGTTACCGCTGTTCACAAAGCGAATATTATGAAACTTGGAGATGGTTTGTTCTTGAAAACTTGTCAAGATGTTGCTAAACAATATCCAAAAATTGAATTTGAATCAATGATTATTGACAACACTTGTATGCAACTTGTTTCGAGACCAGAACAATTTGATGTTATGGTTATGCCAAATCTTTATGGAAATATCATTGACAACTTGGCTGCTGGGTAAGGATTTTTGGAAATCTAAGAAAACATTTTGAGTTATCATAAGTCATAAAAGTATTTCTAGAATTCTCCAGAAGCTTATGAAAAATTTTCCAGACTCGTTGGTGGAGCAGGTGTCGTCCCAGGACAATCAGTCGGCCGTGACTTCGTAATTTACGAGCCAGGAAGTCGTCACTCTTTCCAAGAAGCCATGGGAAGATCCATCGCCAACCCAACCGCCATGATTTTGTGCACCGCCAACATGTTGAACCATTTGCATCTCGACGCCTGGGGAAACTCTCTTCGACAAGCTGTTCAAGATGTTGTCAAGGAGGGAAAAGTTCGCACTCGTGATGTTGGAGGGTATGTTTTATTTTATTAGAAACGCAAACATATATGTTTATGTATTTTTTATTTCAGCTATGCCACCACTGTTGACTTTGCCGACGCTGTCATTGACAAATTCCGCATCTAAACTAAACTCTTCTCAAAAATCGTCGTGTATTATAAGATAACCCCTATCCATACCCTAGTTAATTTAGTGCCTTATGTATACATATTTTTTTCACCGTAATGTGTCTTGGCATTGCCTCCTTCCTCCTTTCCCCATCTTTCGACAACGAGAAAAAAGAATAGTAGTCTCCGAACCAGCTTATCTGTGACCCATCGAAAATGTATTTCACCTGGCCTGCGTACACAAAACGTTTTCTACATACGCTCTTTTCTTTTTTCTCTGGTGTTTTTTTGGTTTTCCACTTTTCTTGTGCGCACTTTTTGCGTTTCATAATCATTTTTTTTATGACTCATATGCTAATTGTGACGACTAGCATGCTTTATTTTTTTTTGTATAGTTTCCCATAGTTTTTCTCCCGTTTTTTTATATAAAAATGCTCCACGAACGCAGGTTTTCAAAAAAATCAATAAATAAATTCTTTCTTAAAAAATTCTTGTTAAAAAGTCCAAATCGGTTCCTTTCTTCCGCATATACTTTTTTCTCCCCCTTTCTTCATTATTGACAGGGATGTCTGCTTCTCTGACCATATGTGTGTATTTGTGCGTATGTGTGTGCAGAGAAGCAGAGTCAGAACATTTATCGGTCTTTGGTTTTGAAAAGTTGATTCTTTTTCTCTCGTTGTATTATTGTATCATTCATTTCTGAAATGGTGTTTTGTTGCAGAGGAGAGGTCCGTCGAATTTCGGGCCCCATCATGAGAAATGATGCGATCCGTTTCGATAGACGATGAGGATCAATTTGAAGATGCTGAAGAGAATCCAAGCAGCTCCACTTCGCAGCCCGTTTTTGTAAGTTGATTTTTGTCATTTGAAATTTCAATTATCAAAAAAAATCCCTTCAGCGGACACCATCGCGACCAACGATGTTAAACGTTGCACAAAATCAAAATGAATGGACAAATCGAGCAACGCCTATGAATATCAAAATGCGTAATAGCCAATATTCAGTCTCTTCAAGACCAACAAGTTCATATACACCTGGTGTAAGTATTTTTTATATGTTGGGTTTTGAAATCTTGCTGATCCAGTGATAATTATCGATTTTTTTCCAGTCAAATGTTCGAGATTCGGCACATAGAGATCGATTATCCAATCTGAGGCGTAGAATGAATATGGAATTTGGAAATCGAGAATTGGTTGGCAACTTTGTAGTCCCAGATTTTGAAGTTGATGATGCGATGAGTACGATGAGTGAAGCTCCAAGTTTGCAATCTTGGCAACATCGAATGATGAAGCGTAACGATACTGTTGTAGTAAATGCTTCGGATACCATGAGCACTTGCGCTATGTCAATTCCATCATCAGCATTCTCGGATAATTATGAGCATTTCAAATCGCCACAACCACCATTGCTCAGCTCGACACCAAATGTTGCTGAAAGAGTGAGATCGCAAACAGATCCAACGCCACCAAGAGTTCAGCCACCACCAGTGCCTTCTAGAGAACATGTGACGCCTCCGAAACGAATTCCACCTCCACTTCCACCAAGAACACCGTCGATGAGATTGCCTGATCCGATTGCAATCGAAGTTGAGACTAGGATACGAGATTCAGAGAATCGAAGGCTGCCAACAGTCACGGAAGATCCTGTGGTTCCAACTAGACAACACCATCAATCAAAATCAACTGACGCAAACTTGTCAAATATTGAGAATAGCACAAAAGGCCATAAAAAGTCCAATTCTTTAGATCGTGGTCTCACATTGGCCAAAACTATTAAAAGTGGGCCATTTCCACCGGCGTCAAATAAATCGAATTCGCTGACAAGACGAGAAGCTGATGGTGAAGAAGAAGCTCGAAATGCTGACGCTGAAAATGTTATTAGAGAAATTACAACTAGTTTAGCAAATGCATGCGTTGAAAATGTAGGTTTTTTATCTTTCTTTAAAATTCATGAAAATTCATCAAATTCAAATATTTCAGGATAAATTAGAGACAATTGTGTCAGCTGCAAGTTCAACTATTTCATCACCATCTTCATCTTCAAACTCACACGAACCAAAACTTCATTTCACAATCGCTCCAAAAGAAGGAGAAGAACTACCATGCACTTCGAAATCAGTTTTGAATTATGAGGCGGCGCCAATTGCGAATAGAGTGAGTTTTAATAAGCCACAATTTGAAAACAAAAATGATCCCATTCAGTATTCGCGGAGCATGTCAAATGATGAATTGAAGAACAAAGATCATCTTTCATCATCGTTTGATCCGATCACTTTGGATGTTGAAAGACGATTGAGTATGAAAAGAAGTGGACAGAATTCGGATGATCGAACAAGTATCAGTGATGATAATACATCGCATATCTCAGTGGCTAGATCGGGAATTGGTCATGCTAAATCCTTTGCTAGAAATTCTGTGATGTATGCTAGTGGAGTAATCAGAGGTGCTTTCAAAAGAGTGAGAAATGGTAGACATAGTGAAGCAAGTACAAATCAGAGTGGAAGAGATGCTGAAAGTAGTGATGAAGAGATCAATGATGAAGGACACTCTTCAATTGGATCGATTGTTAGGCCAAGGAAAAGTAAAAAAGGACCATTTGATTTTGAACATCTCAAAGTTGAACAAGAATTGGATAATGAACATACTGGCGCGGTTTGGTGTATCAAATTCAGTATTTGTGGAAGATTGATGGCTACAGCTGGACAAGATTCGATTCTACGTGTTTGGGTGGTTCGAAGTCATTTGAAATATTTTTCGGAGATGAGAGATAAATATTCAGCGAATGTTGATATTACAACTGATCCGATGAATGCGATGGATAATATTGATCAATTTCGCCCGCCAAGTTCAATGGATAGCGCAGTGAACAGTGATTCATTATCCGGTGAAGATTCCAACAATTTATTCTGCTCCAAACCATTTGCGTTGCTCAAAGGTCACACTGCCGATATTTTGGATCTCTCATGGTCCAAAAATTATTTCATTTTATCATCTGGAATGGATCGAACTGTCAAATTATGGCATTTATCAAGAAATGAATGTCTTTGCTGCTTTCAACACATTGATTTTGTCACATGCGTCGCATTTTTGCCGAAAGATGATCGATATTTCTTATCGGGTTCTCTTGATGGAAAATTGAGATTATGGCATATTCCGGATAAGAAGGTGGCTGTTTGGAATGAGGTTCAAGTCAAATTTATCACCGCAATCACTTTTGTGAAGAATGGAAAGTTTGCAGTTGTTGGAACTTATAATGGCAGATGTTATTTTTATACCACAGATGTGAGTTTTTTTTCGAATATGTCTCATCAAAGCCTTCGCTCGAAAAAAAACCAGTTCTGTTTCACTCATTATTGATTATTTTTTCAGCAACTCAAATATCATACAGTTGTCGATGTTCGTTCAACACGCGGTAAAAATGCCAAAGGTCATAAAGTAACCGGTTTAGCTGTTCATGGTGATAAACTTCTCGTAACATCAAACGACTCCAGAATTCGAATGTATGATATCCGAGACAAGGCATTGACTTGCAAATTCAGAGGCGTGCAAAATGATCATTCACAAATTCGCGCCGCATTTTCACCCGACGGTCGACATATTATCTGTGGATCTGAGGATAAATTTGTATATCTTTGGAGAAGCTGCGATATGCCATCATCGCTTTCAGTTCGCAAAGATCGGAATTCAATGTGGGAAAGAGTGCGAACTCATAATGCGGCTGTTTCGGTCGCTGTTTTTGCGCCAAGACCTCAAGTTTTCTTCTCAATGTTGGATAAGCGAGACAAGAAAAATAAGAGTGAACATCTAGATTTTGAACATATCCCACAATCTGATTCGATTACTTCAAATGGGAATATAACCGTGGCAGGACATGTGAGTTCAATAATTTTGTTTTTGAAATTTTTTTTTGAATTTTCAGGCAATTGTCAGTGCAGATCTTCAAGGTGTGATCAAAGTTATGATAAATCGCCCAAAACAATGCAAAGTTGCACCAGCTGGATTCTCAAAAACATCTCGCTCATCAACTTCATAGATTTATTTATACATATATTTATTGTTCCCTTCCACCCCCCGTGTTAGATAATGTCATAGTGTTTTTTTTGGTTGTTAGAATTTACCCCTCCCAATTTTTATCATATTCTAATGGTCTCGATTCTTTCATTTCGCGTAATTCTTCCACTTCTGCAGCTTTTTTCTTCTATCTATAGGGTAACAAATATTCATACTTTTTGTGATTTCAATGGGTAGTAGTTGCAATTTCACATCTTTTTTATTTGTTTTTTGACGGGATTCTTAATTTACGATTTTATGATTTGCTGAAAATATATTCTATTTTATTTTATTTTATTGATTGATTTTTTGTTTGTTGTTCAACCTGTTGTGAAACAGTGTTATATTTTATATTTTTTTTCAAATTTTTTGTTCTGGGATTCTGGGATTCTGTAATACTTTTCAATTTTTGCAGAATGAGAACCGTTATTCTCATCGCATCACTCATCGCTGTTTGCGTCGGAAGCTCATTGGAAATCCTCTCCTCGCCATCATCTGTCAAATTTCCAAGCACTTCTGGATCAACCTTGAAGACAACCGATCTTTCGACCCTCAATGAATATATTCTTGGACTCTCAAGCAAACCAGTGTCTGGATTCGATGTTGAAGTTGATATTTTCTCGAGACCACGTGCTCTTGCGCTGATCACTGTTGATGGAATTGATAGTTTGAACTTGGGAGAGACCTATAATGTTGATGCTGTGAGTTTTTTTGAAATTGAAAAACATACTCTTCAGCACAGTTTATTTTGAAATCCACCAAAAATAAATCAAAATTAAATGTTTCAGGATGGAATCGAGACATCTGGATTAGAACAAGATTTGGCTTTGACCTTCGGAAATGATCGTCAATCAGTTCAAGTCACCGCTGGAGGAATCACTGGATCTCAACTCGCCCTCAATGCTAAACAACAAACCGTTGAAACTTCAGCCTTCAAAACCAAGAGCACTCAATTGCTCCGTGAACTCGAAGCTGTTTCTCAATTGTCTGCTGCTATCAAAGCATCTGGAGCTAAACTCGATAACAATGCTGATGTTTTCCGCGTCATTATCACTGGATTATCCGCGATTACCGATGAAACTGAAAGACAAGCTGCTATCAGCGACATTCAAACAGTTATCAATGAATTGAACGCCGCTCTCAACTCTGCTTATGGAAGTCAAGCTGTTGTTGAAGTTGTTACTAGCGCTGGATTGTTGAATAACAATAGCTCATCATCGGAAGATATCCCAAGTCACAAGATTTCAAAGAGAGAAGCTGCTGTTGACGCAAATCCACTTGAGGCCGGCAGAAGAACTTACAATGTTGCCGTTGCTGTTTCAAGCGATTATCCAGCCATTTTCGCTATCTTCCTCGGACTTGTCGTTATTCTCACCTTGGTAAGTTCAATTTAAACTGTAATTTTTTTTTGAAAACATCCAAAGAAACGAACTTTTTCCAGGCTTTGATCTACATTGTCGTTGGAATGTTGTCAATGGACCCAGGAAAGGATTCAATCATCTACCGTATGACAACCACTCGTATGAAGAAGGATTAGAGTTTCTTCACATGTTTTCATCACATTCCATAGTTTTTACAACAAAACTATCAACCCTTTTCACTTGAACTGATTGATTTTTGTTAGTATATTTTTCAAATATAAATATTTTGCGATCCAAAAATTTTTTAGATGCGTGAATTTGGAAAATCACATGGTTTTTCCAATTTTTCATCTAAAAAAGCTGTAATATTTTCTCAACGTTTTTTATGAAATGTAGCGAAAAATGTGAGTTTTTTTGGTTTGTAAACATGACCGTCTCCAAACCGAAATTTTGGTTTGGAGACATGACCGTCTCTAAACCGAAAGCAAAAAGAATGGAGACCAGTTTCACAAATTCCAGCAGCTCTATATTTGTTAGAGCTTCAAGGTTATCATCGAATTTTAGGTTCTCAAATTCAATTGATCTATGAAATTTCCTTTATCACTTAAAAAATTGTCTTGTTAACCAGAATTTTTTTGATTTTCAATAAAATCCTTTCTCGGTCCAGAGAACACAAAAATAAAAATTTATTCTACACATTACCATGATCAAATTACAAATCACAAATCAATTCTTTTTTTGTGCCTTCTTCTTATCTTTGTTGATAAAACTGTTGACTAGGGAAAGCCAAAGATATGAAGAATAGACGACAAGCATACAAACAACAATGAAAAGCAAGCGGAATGGCAAAGCGAGCTTGCCAAGAATTGGATAGGCCCAGAAACCAGCAGTGTAGTAAACGTAGTGAATGCTGGAATTATTTTTAATTTTAGAGGGTAATGCTATTGAAGAAAAATTAGATAGAAAACTCACTCAATAAGATAAAGAGTGACAAATATTCCAATTCCTTTCAAAACCGCGGTTTTCGAAAATTTCTGATGATCCCAGAAGAACAAATCGAGATGTGTTGTGATAATTGGAAGGGTGTGTAAACCATGATTGAACCATTTCATCGCAAGAATTTTTCCGACCCATCTCATCTTTCGCTAATGTTCCTGGGTCAGCTAAATATAATGCCCAGAACAGAACAGTGACTGATACTCCAATTGGTCCAATTAATGCTCGAGCTATATAATCGTAAATTGGATGACGTTTTTTATCGAAGAAAAGGGCGAGGATAATTCCAACAAAGTGATAGATGAGTTGAGAATACTGAAAATTTTTTATTGAATTATCAGATGCAAATTTCAAAATTTCTTACCAAATCAATCAATGTCAACCAAACAAACTTCGAGAAAAACTGATTCGGAATTGGCAAAAGTTCACCACTCACAAGAAAATAATCCTCATAACAAGTCCATGCGTATAAACCAAACGCAGCAAGATGAAAAAGGACTTTCATCTGAAAAAGGTAAAAAATAAAAACTATTTGTTTATCGAAAAATAAATAAGTGACAAAAAAGAAGAACGTGTCTGTCTACTTGCTATCTCACCTTTGATCGATATTTTTTGTTCATGCTAGAGTTTAGCCTACAACTTATATGTTTTATCTGCGAAAAAATAAGTGATAGAGAGCAAAGTTTTTATATAAAAAATGAAATAATATGATTTGTTAAGCAATAATACATTTATCACGCATGCGGAAATAAGTTGTTTCCTTTCTGATTTTTTTTCCGATTAATATCTGTTTTTCCAGTAGTTTATAATACTTTGGAAAAACATTCAACCACAAATGACACACATAAATTGTTATCATTGTGGCGGAAATAAAAGCAATTCGGAAGGGTGGTGAGAGTTCTCCGAGAATTGGATATGCCCAGGAACCACTGACATAATAGACATAGTGAACTCTGAAAAATGAGGTTTCAGAGGATTTGAAAAAAGTTTGGATAAACTAACATGAAACAGTAGATAATTGCGAATAATCCGAGACCTTTTACAACTTTGCAATTTTTGAATGTTTGATGATTCCAGAAATATAAATCGAGGTGGGCTGCAATGGAAGGAAGTGTGTGCTGAAAATTAACAATTTTTAGGAGATAGTTTGAATGAAGGAAAACTAAAATTGTGCTCGTTTTGTTTTGTTTAATTTTGGTCTGGAATCTCTTTATTTCACAAAGTTTTTCATTGTAATTTTCTCACGATTATTTTAGACCTTAAATTCATGAAACCTTACCAATCTATGATTATATCACGGCATAGATAACAACTTTTTCCCCATCTCATCATTCACACTATTCGGGTCTGCCAGTGTCAAACCCCAATACAAAACAGCCACCGCAACTCCAAGTGGTCCAATAATTGTTCTTGCGAAATAATCAAAAACTGAATTTCTCCGAACTCCAGAGATCGACAGCAAAAATGCAATCAAATGATAAATTGCTTGAAGATACTATAAAAAATACATTTTCTCAATTATATATGAAAAAAAGAAAAGACTCACGAGGTCAACGTTCGTTAGAAAAACAAATCTTGACCAAAAATTATTTTTAATCGGCAATTTATCACCTTTCACCAATTGAGAATCTTGGTAGCATGTGAAAACGCAGAGTAAAAATGTGGCCAGGTGAAATATAGACTTGTTCGACATTTTTGTCTGAATGTGTGTGATATCAATCTGGAAAAAATGATCAACTGTTATCAATGATAATACACTTTACTGCTACAGATAAATTTATTTGGCATAAAAGACTACAAGACCAATTTTTTTTGTTGTTGTTGAAAAAACCACATGTTCAACTAATATAAAGCGTTTTAAAAATGTAAGGAAAGGGGGAATACAACATGATACGATTATCGAAAAATTATGGGAAGAAAAAGAAAAAGAACAATAAAAAGCAATCAATATCTGTATAATCACAACAGTCATTTTTTTATAATGCGCGACTCCAAAGCTCATATGCATAAATCTAATGCGCATTTTAACCAGTTAAACATCTGCAAACAATGTAACTCGTTTGAAAATTGACTACATTTTGAAATGAAAACATGTTTTCTAAAGGGTATGAAATTAGAAATAAAGAGAAGTTTTTTAAAAAGTTCTGTGAGAAAATTAAAGGAGGGAGATCCAAAAAGAAATCTGTGCATACAAAACGATTATAATTTATAGAGAAGATATGTTGCCCTCATCTTCATCGTCAACAAGAATTCCAGATGTTGGAAGACCGTTTGACATGGCAACTTGTGCAGCCTGTGGAGCGTTTCCATTTTCAGAGTGGCTGAAAAAATATTGATTGAATTTTAATTTTCTGTTTTCAATCTGAAAACCCACGTTTCATTTGATTGATCTTCATCATCATTGTTGTTTTTCAAATCTTCATCGACACCTGATTTGATTACAGTAGTTGTAGTTGTTGTGGTGACCTTAATTTTTAATTACAAATTAGGATCATTTATGTGTATCAATAAAAAATAAAAGAAACTAACAGTTTTCTCGGTGAAATGTTCATCTCTTGGCTGATAATATGATTGTGTCATTTGATAATCGGATGGTTCATCGTGAATGATCAATGAATCTGTTGATCCATTATCATCGGTATTTTGTTGATTGACTAATTGATCAGTGACTACAGTTACAGTTTGACTAAAGTGTGAAGTTCCGTCATCACTGGTGTATTCGGCGATGGTTTGTTTGATGTGTTGAGTTCCGTCGTCCCATTCTTGAGTTTCGGTTTGCACTTTGTGCTCATCATCTGATTCTTGCTCATTCTCCTCATCGTTCGGCTGATAGATTGATTGAGTCATTTGATCAGTGTTCGAATCATAGTTCAATTCATAAGCTTCTGGATCTTTGGCAAATTCATTTTCTTCAATTTTATTTACCAAATCAATGATTGCTGGGGCTTCAGAAAGTGCTTCCTCAATGAGAGACGCAGCTTCATTTGCAGCATCATTTTCAATTCGATTTTCAAATGAAATATGTTCACTGTGAACTGATTGAACTGGGCTTTGAGCAGCTGGGCTCACTGGAGCAGATTGCACCGGACTTGCCGCATGATCTTTGTGAGACGATGGAACTGGGCTGTGAGCTTGTTCTGCGTGTGATTCATGAATGGATTGAACTGGACTTGAAGCAACTTCTTCATGTGACTCTTGCTCGTGGATCGATTGAACTGGGCTTGCTGGAACATCTTCGTGGACGGATTGCACTGGGCTTTGTGCCGCTGGGCTCACTGGAGCAGATTGCTCAGATTGTACTGGACTTGCAGAAACATGTTCAAGAACATTTTCAGATTCAACCAAGCTTTGTGGTCTTTCCTCATCTTCGAAAGGATGTTCAATTCCAGAATCATCGTGTGTAATTGTGACTGATGGAACTGGGCTTGAATTTACTTCATGAACAGAGCGAGTTTCTTCTTCATGAACAGATTGGGCTGGACTTGCTGGTTGTTCGATGAATGATTGAACCGAGCTAACGATAACGCTATTTTCAATTGAGCTGTGTTCGTGAATTGATTGAGCTGGACTTGCAGCTGCAATCTCATCTTGAACTGATGAAACTGGGCTAGCTTGTTCAAGAACTGTTTCATCGTGGACTGATTGAACTGGACTGACAGCATCATTTTCGTGAGAAGTTTCAACATGTACTGGACTTGCTGAATGTTCGAAATTGCTGTGAACAGAAGGTGCTGGACTAGCAGCAACTTCTTGATGAACTGGACTTGCAGCAATAGGTTCGTCATTAACTGATTGAGCTCTAGAATCTTCTGAAGGTGCTGGACTAGCAGCAACTTCTTGATGGACAGATCCAACTGGACTTGCAGCAATAGGTTCTTCATGAACTGGTTCAGCTGGGCTGTGTGCAACTTGTTCGTGGAGAGATTGTACTGGACTCAGTGCAGCCTCTTCATGAATCGATTGGACTGGGCTTGGAGCAGATTCTTCGTGGAAGGATTGCATTGGACTTGGAGCAATTTCTTCGTGAACAGATTGCACTGGACTTGGAGCAACTTCTTCGTGGAAGGATTGTACTGGACTTGGAGCAACCTCTTCATGAACTGATTGCACTGGACTTGGAGCAACTTCTTCATGAACAGATTGAACTGTACTTGGAGCAACTTCTTCATGAACAGATTGGGCTGGACATGCAACATATGCTTCATGAACAGAATGTGCAACACTTGAGATATGATCTTCGTGAATCGATTGAACTGGGCTTGGAGCAATTTCTTCGTGAACAGATTGCACTGGACTTTGTGCAACTTGCTCATGCAAGGATTGTACTGGGCTTGGAGCACCTCCTTCATGAACAGATTGAACTGGACTTGGAGCAATTTCTTCGTGAACAGATTGAACTGTACTTGGAGCAACTTCTTCATGAACAGATTGGGCTGGACATGCAACATATGCTTCATGAACAGAATGTGCAACACTTGAGATATGATCTTCGTGAATCGATTGAACTGGGCTTGACGATGTAACATCTTGATGTTCCGATTCAATAGGTTTAACAAACTGCTCTTCAACTGAACTTGTGATTTGTTCCGAATATGGTGAAATAACTTCCTCGTGAGGAATGTGAACTGATTGAATTGGGCTGTGACGAACTGAACCAGCGGTTTCACTGAGTTCTGGACTCTCAACGTGATCAGCGTGTTGTTCTTCTGGAACAGCTTGACTAGCGGAAACATTTATCGATTGGATCGGGCTTTCTACGCTTTCGTGACGAACATATTCAGAAGATTCGATCTCATTTGGTGGACTGGTTACTTGAACAACGATTTCATCGTGATTTTGATTTTCTTGATGTTCAGTTGGTTCATCTTCAACTTCACGTTTCTGAATAACATGCTCTTCTTCTTCAGTATTTTGATAATAATCAACTTTCAATTCTGGAATTTCTCTTGGTTGTTCAGTTTCATCATCAGCAAATGCTCTTTGAACTTCATCATCTTCTTCAGCATATTCTGGCTCAGATTCACTTTCAGTTTCATCGCGATCTTGATTTTTAGGAATATGAATCTCATCATCAGTGGCACCAGACTTAACACTTTCATGATCGTCTTGTTGTTGAATCGGTTCATCAGCGAATGCTTCATTCACATGTGCACCATATTCTTCTTGATGTTCAGATGCTGCAGGTGTTGCAATGCGATTCTCGAGTGTTGGACTATCTGGGAATTCAATATCTTTATTTTCCTCATTTGGCGATGCAAGATCAAATGTTTTTTGGGTTTCCAAAACTGGTGAAGACGGTGGAGTTGGTGTATGTTGAGCAACCGGTTTTTCAGAAACCAATTGAGTTGCTGCAACTGCGGCTGCGCCAGCAGCAACCGCGGCAGCTCCAGCTCCAAGCATCGCATGCCCAGTGACAGTTGGCAACGGAGTTCTCTCAACAGGTTTGCTAGATGTGGTTGTTGTAGTAGTCGTGGTAGTAGTTACACGTTTAGTAGCCGGTCTCCCACGAGCTGGTGATTTTCTGCAAAAAAAATTTGATTTTTTTTTGAAGAGAAAAAGAAATCGAGTCTAGATTTACCCTTTTCCAGTTGGTGGAAGTTTTGTGAATCCAGCTTGAGCAGCTTGAGGTTTTATCGGCTTGATCTTTTGGCCATTGATTGGGGGGAGTCTAGGATTTGAATCTGGAAAATAGTTGGTTTTGGTGTTGTTTTTTGTGCGAGGAAGGCAAATGGGCAGCTGATGTTGGGCCTGAACTGAATTTTTTCTCTACTAAACTTCTAGGTTAGAGATCTAGATCTAGATCAATAAAAATTATCATATATCTCGCCAAAAAAAACTACCCAAATGCCTTTAAAAATTTCCATACCACGTCGTTTTCTAGTCGTTGGTGGACAACTAGTTCTGCTATCTCCACTAGCATTCAATTTGTTTCCAACATGTGGAGTCGCCTTGCGCCCTCTCATATTCAAAATGCTTCTGAAAATCAAACAATATTTCAAATTGCTGTGCAAATGCCATGCTTTTAGCCTTTGATGGTGGTTTGGTGTTTTGTGCACCACCAAAACACCATCAAAAACAAATGTGATATTGCTCATAAAAACTTGGGATAGGACAAAAAGCAAATGGCCAAAAAGCTTTCACTATAATGTCTTATCCAAAATGTTTTTTTGAAAATGAAAATGAAAATGAAAATGATGTTGAACTCAAAATAAAAAAACATAACCATGATTGAAAAAAGGGTTAGAAAATGTGCGCGAAACAAACAAAGGAACAGGATGAATTGAATAGATCACAATCACAGAAGAGGTAGAAGTTGTTTGGAATTGGATTTTCGACTATTTAGAAAGCATAAATATAAAGGACATTAATGACATATTAGTACCTTAGTGGGTCTTTCAAAGTATTCCCAGGAGCTGAAGCAGTCAGACTAGGTAGCGATCTGAATAGAATAGAAATAAACACATAATGAGTCAGTTGCACAACAAAACATTTCTATTAATTATTTGTCTTTTTTTTTCTTTTTCAAAATTAAATAAAATCAAATTCTTTTTTCTCTTCTCTGATGTAAGTAAGTTAGAACAAAACCTTGCCAAAATCAAATTAGTTAACTATAAATAAACTGAACAATATTTACATCTACCGAAAAATAGATTTCATTCATTCAATTCTCATTTTCTAAAAAAAAATATTTCTTTTTGCTGAAAGTTACCTTCTTCTGAAAAACCACGATGTTTGTGGTGGTGGTGGTTGGCGAGCAACCGAATGTGGACCAAATGAGATTTCACGGAATCTTTCGAGACGTTGAAGTTGTTTTTTGATGTTGTCTTTGTAGGCAATCAATGTTGGATCATCCAACTGAAAATAAAATCATTTTTTTTTGAGAAGATTCTTTTGAGAGCGTATGGAATTTACTTTATGAAGATAGTTGAATCGTTTTGCATTCGCAGACAATCGTTTGTATGGATCACGTGTGTCATAATCGAGTGGATCTGTGTTCTTTTGCTCGATGTCTTGCACGAAATCTTTATCTTCGAAACTGTTGGAAAATCTGCGTTGTCTGCCTCCTTTTTGAGCTGCTCGACCTGAAAAAGAGAATTTGTTGGGGAATTTTTGAAATGATTTAGAAGAACTTGGCTGGGGTCAGGGTAACCGTAATTTTTCTCCAAGTTTCAAGTGTTGGAAATTCAGAATCGGATCATTTTTACTAAATTTTTAATTCATCAAAAAAATTATACAAAACAATAAGTGGAATTTTTAAAGGGACACCGCTCATTTTTTTAAATGTCTGGAAATTTATCTGAAATTTTCTAGCTTCCCACTTTCATAAAATCTACAATTCCTCACTTCTGCTTAAACTACGACTTGGTTTTCCTCTCCGATATGATTCGGGACTTTGTCCAGTCCGAATTCTACGACAAATTTCAACTTTTTCAGCAGCATCAAGTTTTTTGCGCAACTCTGCCATTTTCATTAATTGAGCTTCTCGATTTTTCAACATCATATCCATCATAGCGTGATGTCTTGCGTAAACTTCATCACCGTGTAGATTCAATGTTGATTCGAGCTGAAAAATATATTCATTTTATTTTTATATTTCTCAAGGTCACTACAAAACGTAATCCTTTGCAATTACGGTATTATTTATTTATTTATTGTTTCCCTCATAATAACAACTATGTTTTCAATGTTCTTTTTCTGCCCCCTTTTTCGCTCAATCTACAGTACTCTTGTTTGCATTTCGAAGAGAAAACGTTCAATTATGATGACATATTCCCTTGGGTGTCACAAGAGGCAAAAAATGGGCCCCGAGAAGAAGAAAAAACCTTCTTCGCGGCTTCATTTGTCTTCAAGGCGTTTTTTTTAGTTGGAAAAGAAAAAAATGGAGGCAAAGCTGTTCCTCCGAAAATTGTGGCTCTGTGTTGATTGAAAGTACTTTTTTTTGTGTTGGAGAGGATTCTGAACATTGAACGAAGAACGAAGGCAATTTGAGCGAGTTTTAGAAGATACAAAAATAAATTGGGGAAAAATCTTAAGGATTTTTGAACTTTGAGATTTTCAGAGCTTATTAATTTTTTCTTGAAAAATAATTAAATTTTTCAACCAATTTTTCAAGTAAAATTAAATGAGCTCATATATATGTTTTCAGAAATTTCAATCAACTTTTTTGAATGCTCGTATTCATTTTCTGAAAAAAAACAGATTTTCAAACTTCAAGTCTTTTTTTCCAGAAATCCTCAAGGCTCATTAATCCTCTCTCCCTCAAAAAAGTACAATTTTCTGAAACCTTGGAAACATTGAAAGGTTTATGAGCTTTTTGTAGGCGAAACTTTTTTTTTTAGAATATGTATGAGCTCAGAATTTTTGAAATGGTTTTGTTTTTTGTCCAAAAAGTTCAACTAACCAAGCCCATTTTTTGCAGATGTTTTTGCATATGTGGCAAAGCGAAATATTGTCGCAAATGTATATCATAGAGAGGATTGTAGTTGTCCAGTAAACTGTCCGCCATTGTGAATATGTTTTGAATAAATATATATCTTACCTGGAAAAAAATTAGGATTGGATAACTTACAAGATGTTAGATTCAAAACAAGAAACAAAATTTGGGAACACGAACAAATTCTTATCAAATATCGATACAGATGAATGAATCATAAATGTTTTTGTTACAAAAAATGCAAAAAAAAGAGGCTGTGAAAAATATATCTAATATTTTTGGTCGGTGCCAGGGTGTTACAGATTATTGCTAGGGGCAACCATTGAACTTTTTTGGGTAAATAGATTCATATTTTTTCATAAATTCAATATTCCAAAAGAGTTCAGAAAGAAAAAGTAAAAAAGAACAGGAAATCAGTTTTTGCATATTTATATTTGAAACTCAATTGTCACTCACAAATCAAATCAAATAAAAAAGAAAAAAAGAAGAAATGAACTTTCACTTCATTTTTCGAAGCTGAACTTCATATAAATTATGAGGTTTTCATTTCACTTCCTCATGAAAAAAAAGAACACCACGGAAAAAAAACAATACATCAATTTTTCTAGGGTCGGTTCAATTAATGTTGGAGTCTTTCTTTCTCGAAGACAAAATGGGCGGAGTTTTTTGAAAGGAAAGAGGAAAATGAAGAAGAAGAAGAAAAAAATAAGTAGAAGATGAAGAGAAGAGGAAAAATAAAATGAATGGGGCTTCTTTATTTAGGATGGAATGGGACCGGACGGACAGAAGAAAAAGGGTGGGTGATATTGGCAAATACATAAATGAATTAATGTTTTTCATGAGCTAGAGCTCTTTCTATTTTCTCCTCATTCATTTCCTCTTTTTTGGGTTATTAAAAACAAGAGAAGAGAATGTTCGATTCAATTACAACTAAATTGTTATGTCCTTGGATTTTTGTTAACAACACCGTAATAAAGTTGGTTGAGGTGAGGTGGTAAAAAAGTTGGATGAATCATTGATGTTTTCAGAAATAATGAATGAACAAACATGTCTGGAGGATACTGTAAGGAAAAAAGTTGATTGGCTTAGTTTGGAAATGAAGACAGAGAGTTTCAGAGGAAGAAGTAAGAAAAAAAAGTGCGCAGTGGATTATTTTATGAAAAAAAAAGAGCTTTGAACAAATTCAGATTCTGGACTAATTGAAATTCTGAAGTTAAATTCGATTTTCAAAAATTTCCCCTATGAAAATCTCCAGGTGATTCTCTATATATGTTAATTTTAAAACTCCTGTGGAGTTAGCCTAAGTAAGAGCATATTCATTGTGAAATCCAATGATAAGTTTTCCATATTTTGAATGTGAATCAAAATGAAAAAGTGTTGACCCAATTTTTTTTTGAAAACCTAACCAGAGGGACTCTTATAATTTTTTTGACCCTAGATATTTTTATTTGTAAACCCTTAATCTAGCTTTCTCCAAATTCTAAGCAATGAATATCTAAATGCCTTGTAATCCATCATTTCCCTAGCCTTAAAAATCACAACTTTCTATCAGCTGCTTCCAAAATCCTCTAGAGACTTTTCATATCTCAAAAATGATGCTCTCCTCGCACCTTCTTCGATTTTCAAACAAGAAAAAATCGACCAATTCTTCTTCTTCCAGGAAAAAGAAAATCCATTAAAGGATGCCAAAACGCAACAGGAAAAACGAGAAAAAGAGAATAGCGAGATGGAGGGAGGTCCTCTGAAAATCCTCATGGGACCCGTCAAACAACCCTTTTTGTGGCCAATTTTTGGGCAAAAATACTATTGAAAACTAGACAATTGTTATTATTTACAATTTCAATTAACTTTTTTCAACGACCTTTGGAGTAAAAAAAATGAGAGTGAAAAAATGAGCCGGCAGGAGCTTGGAGCTTCAAACCAAAATCGATAATTTAATTAAGAAAAATAAGACGAGAAAGAAAATTAGGCGTGTTTTGGAGCGAAAATACATAGCATAGTAGTTGTGAATTAGTTGTTGAGGGGTAAAAAAGATTACGGGCTTCTTTTTTGTAGGGGTTCTGCCTGGGTAACTAGGTATTAGTATTAAAATGTCTGGCTGGCTGGCTGGCTACAAAATGCACTTTTCCGAAAGCAGCTGCAAAATCACGGGAGAAATTCTTGGAAAATGAATGACGTTGCAAATTTCATTAATTTTAATTTAGATCAGATTTCGGAAAAAAACGTTTATCAAAAAAAAGTTGGGGTTTTCAACATAAATCCACTTTCCTTTCTTTTTTTTTTGAAAAAGCTCAAGCTTCAGAAAAAATTCAGATTGATTTTTACTAACAAAAGAAGTCTCCCAGCCAGCCGCCAAAAAGTGCAAAACGTTTTTTTTTTGGCTTCCGGAAGAAGTAATACTACCGTGAGACAAAATTATATAGATATGGAAAAAAAACATTTGGGAAAAAGACAAAGACAACCAATAGAACAAAAAAAATTTTTTTGACAAGTGTGAAAAAATAGAGGGCGCCTAGGCCGGCAAAAAAGGCGCGGCGGGGGGAACAAGAAGATAAAACCGGATTAAAGTGAGAAGAGATTGAGCCGGACGACGACATACGCGCGCAAAAAAAATGGACAGAGACGACGAGAAACTGAATATTTTTTTTTTTGAAACAGACGGCGAGGTGAGTGAACACTTTTTTTTCTGGAGCCACCGACGAATGGGAAACCTTTTGAAGTTAAGAATAAGTAAGTCAGGGTGAAAAAAAGATGACCGGAAGAGATGAGTGAGGAATTTTAGTGAGAAAAAGATTAAAAAATGGTGGGTGGAAGTTTTTTGAGAGAGGGGGTGTGGGGGAGATGATATTTTTGGATTTTTTTTTTGAAAAAAGGATAGGAGAGGTTCGAACAGAAAGGTGAATGTTGGAGTTCCAAATTCTGCAGTCGGAAGCTGCTCGAACTTATTTTGATCTGTGTCCAAGTTTTTTAAAACTTGAACTTCGCTAGGTGACAAATGATTCAAATATATGAAAATCACTTTTACAAACGAAAAATACACCAAGAGTTTGAATTACAATCGATTTATTGATCATAATTTATTTAATAACAAGATGGGGACCGTCCAGAGACAAAACAATCTACAAAACAAGAAAAAACACCAAAATCTCTTCGAAAACTTGAAAAATAAAATAAAAACCGAGAAGGCGCACCACAAACGCGTCAGTTCTTTGACGTTGGCGCGTTTTGTGTGCACTCACGGCTATTTGAAAAAGGATTTCATTCACACGACTGTGACTGATCAAGCCTCTTTGTAACTCTTGAATTGAGCCTGACACCTTAAAAAACCGACAAAAAATCTTCCAAAGTGAAGTCAAAATGGAATGAATGAAAAACGATGACCGGAAGAAATGAATAAAATTTTAGTGAGAAAACGATTAAAAAATGAGGAAAGAATTATTTTATTTATGAGGAATGGGGCGATATTTTATGAGTTTTGTTGTTTTTTTTTTCGAAAAAATATATATCTTACATATGTTCGTTTTTCTCTTTTCGTTTTCGAAAAGAGAAAAAATGAACAGGATGTTGATATGTGAACAGCACAAAAAATGTGTTTTACAAACTTTTTTGCAGACAAAAATGATGAAATACGATTTTTTTTTAAATCTATGAAACATTATCGAATTAGAGAAAATCTCAAGAAACACACTACACAAGAAAAAAAACGAAACAAAAAATGGTTCAAATTTCATTGAGTGTTTAACAAACCGCCTCGTGTTTGTCTTGAAACACTGACAAAATCTCTCTCATTTTTATCCAGAAAAAAAATAAAAATATTAGGAAAATAGCCAACGATACATACTTGTGAATAATTCATTATTGTGGACTGACTCGAGCCAATTTCAAGGTTGAGTGGAAAGAGTGAGTGTCAATCAAAATATGTAACAGATGGGTTTTTTTGGGGTTTATCCGCAAAAGATTTGTTGGAATAGACATCTTCAGTCAGTCAAAACAAAACAACGAGATAACAAAAAGACGTCAAATGTCAACTGAATATCAAGTTACTTTTTGCTTTTCGATTTTCGCTTTTTGTGTTGTACAAGAGAGACAAATAACAAACATGTATGTTATAATAATAAAAAACTAATAAAATAAAATAATAATTATGATGAGAGGTTATGAGGTTGTCGGAAAATAATGGGAATTGAATTGTCTTGTAATTAGTCGGGGTTTTTGGAATTCATATGAGAGAAGAAATTTGCACTTTTCGCTCAGCTTCACTGCAAATTCATTTAAATTCCAATTCAGTTAGCTAACACCTAGGCAACGGAACTTGTGTTCGTTTTGCATCAACATAATTTTATAAATAAATCCCATTCGTTTTTGCTGCCCAACTAGTCTGCCTAATCCATGTAAAAGCCCTCAGGCAAATAATATATGAATATGTATATATAAAATAAACTAAAAGTACATCATGTTCCAGAGGATGACAAGTAATCTGATATTCCAACCAAAAAAATAGATGGATGGAAGGAGGAGGAGGAGATTTGGGAATGAGATCGCAAAGTTTGTTTGGTAGTTTTTTTTTTATTGGAAAGGGGTTCTAGATTTTTTCTGTTGAAAGGTGTTTTCAACGGAAAAATTAGAGAAATAGAGAAAATATTTTTGATCTACCAGAAAAAGTTTTGAAAAGCTTCAGGGCTTCAGGTCTAACGAATTGAAGAGTAGAACCAAAAATATTTTAATTTAAGTCTGAACTTGAAGAGATTTTCAAAATCCTAAGCTTCACAGAAAATTTGATTATTACAAAATTGAAGTTTCAATTTTTCAGATTCAGGGAAAATTCTTGATAATTTTTATAAAAAGATTTAATTTTTAGAATCTCGAAAAATTTAATCTACAAAATATTGTGGAGAGGAAATGAAACAAACACTGGCACCAGAAATTGAACCTGGGACCTTGAGATTGAAAGCTAACCCATTCGAAAACCTGAAAATTTCAAAACCAGATCCCAAAATGTGTTTTTTTTTCTAGTCTCTCCATTTTTCAAAAGGTTTAACCAGGTAAACGAATCGAATGAATAAACCTCCTTGAAATTGAGGTCAATATACTAAAGATTTGCACTCGTCATAATTCAAATACTTGTTTTTTTTGTATTGCAATTGAATTGAAGTTTGATGAGAGAAAAATGAGGGATTTTCATTCAAACATTTTTTTTTTGTTTTATAAAAATTATATTTTTTCACTAGGGAAATCTTTTGATCTCACCTACTTCTCTATAAAAAAACTAAATTTGTCATCGTTCTCAATTGTCTGAAATCCGATAACTTTGCAATTAAAAGTGCATGTTCGTCAAACAAAAAACGGCCGGCAAATAACTCAATTTTCTCAAATTATATATTCAGCTGTCTTTTTTTTCGAGAAAACCAGCACTAATAATAATTACATGTTCTCTCCTTTTTCCGAAAATGAACTTTTGAATTCGAAAAAAAAAATAAAAGTCATATGAAAAATGAAAAGAATCAGAAATAATTGTCAATTTTCGATTTTCCAAATAAAATGGAGTGAATAGAAATCTGTTAGTCAGCGCCAAATAAAACTGTTCAAATAAAATCTAGAGCACAACAGCCGGTCGGTCGATACATATTTCGGGTACCACCTTTTTTTCATTGTAACAGTAGTAATACAATATATTTATAAGTACACAGTGGTTGTTATTGTTATTTTAGTGTCGTGACTGGCAATGTTATTGAATCAATTGAAAGGTATGATGAAATATTTTTTTGGGTGGAAAGTTTTTCATAAAAATTTGCTGGTTCAGAAGTCAGAAGAATGAATAACGTTGTATTTTTTGACAAATTTCCAACCGGAAAAAATTTCAAAGAAACAAATAAGAATTAAATTTTTTATAGAGAAGAATAAGTGGAATGTGAAAAAACTTTGCACTATGTTGAAAAACAAAAATTTCAGGTTTCAACAAAATTTCGAAATTATTATCTCTTTCATGAGTAATTTGAAAACCTGGATAAATGCACAATGGATATGATTGAAAAATATTCATAAAATTTTTCGCGAATTTATTGATTTTTTTAGTAAGTTTCATACGAACAGCAAATAAATTGAAATCTTGATTTTTGAATTTTCTGAAAAAAGCTTCTATCGTCAGTAACATATTTCATGAAAAAAATTTGAAATTATTTATTTTCGACAGCAGAACTATTGTTTATCAATCAGAAGCATCTTCCCCAAAAAGTATGCATTGTTTCTGCAAAATCCAAAAATTAATGTTTCTCACCTATTTCAAAAACTCACAGTTTTCGATTTCATCATTCGACTATTATTGTCACATCCAAATACTCTCTGAAATTCTGGAACTTGAACACTTGCTGCATTTATTCTTGCGTTTGGTGCATGATGACTATCTCTTCTGAGTAATGCTGATGGTTCTCTCTGAAAACAATCTTTATTTCAAATAAATGTTTTTTTTTAATTTGAAGAAAAAAGACAAACTGAACACGCAAAAAAGTTGTTTGCATAGAAAAATACTTCAGCATTTGTGAGATTATATCGAGATCCTTCCAACACTTCCTGAAATTATTTTTTTAATAGAAAAATTCGAAACTATACTACTCACATTCATTTTATCTCCAAATTTCTTCTTCATTAAATCAAAAGCTAATTTTGTTCCAAAGATATCTGAACCATTTTCATCAAATTGAGAATCAACAGTTCTACATTCTTTCTGAAAATTTGACTCGCGATGTTTGTGATAAAAACAATATTTGTTACTCACTTCTTTATAATATGAGCAAGTCCTATCAAATTGTTCTTGAACACATGATTTGAAACTTGATGGGAAATAAGGAACAAAATATTCATCGTGAGAACTTTTAACAAAAGAATGACCTAATTCATGTCCAAGTGTTGTTCCTGATGCGCCATACTGAAAAACAAATGTTTGTGTTATCTAAAACCAAATAGTCCTATTGTGAAGGAAACATGGCTTTCTTAATTTTTCGAAGTTATAAAAATTAAATTTACCAGAAGACCAGGATAATTGCTCAAACCATAAATATAAAGCATTCCATGCAAAAACGAAATATCTGGCACCCAATTCATCGCATTAAATTCATTTATTCTATCGGAAAACTCATGAGTATGTTCAATAAAACATAAAATATTCATTGATTTCAATTTATATTTTCTGAAATAAACAACTTACTTCAGTATCTTGAAAAAGGGTTAACATACGATTGGCATTCTGACAAGGTTTCGTTGAAATATTCGAAGTTTCTGAACTCCCCTCTGGGATATACATCCACACTGAATTTTGTTATTTCCAGCAATTCTTTGAAATAACGTTCTGTATCAGATTTCTCAACCCAAGGTGTGATCTTAAATATAACAAAAACTTCTATCAATTGTTTCGGGAAACTTATACCTTCATTAGTCTTTCAATTTCAGTTTTGAATTCTTCCATATAATCTTCATGTTCAAACATTAAATTTATATTATTTTTCATCCAAGCATGTGATCGAACAAAATTTGTTTTAACAGAAAGATTGAAACTGTTTTTACTTGACTGGAACAAAAGGTTAATTTTTTTAATAATATTTTTTTTTTTGAAAACCTCACTTGAATTTCATCATACCAAACTTTTTCAAGTTTTTTGCTGAGTTGTTCTGAAGATCTTCTACAATTTGTATCATATATCAAATTTGTGAATTTCATCATTTTGAATGTTTTCTGAAGTGTTTTCAAAATATATTTCATATTTGTTTTATTTCGATGAGTACAGCTGTAAGGTGATTGATAGAATCGGAAATAAAATATAAAACAAACCTTTCAAAAAAATCATCAGCAATTTTCTGAATATTTTCCGTTTGGTTATTGTCTAGAAGAACTTTTAACAAAATAATTGAAGAATCATTTGCTTCCAATCTCTGTTAAAAACATTTTCAAACAAAATTGTTATTTATCAACTCACGTTTCCTAATTCAAAATTATCTGTTAGTGTTAAATTGTTGATAACCGCCAGATACATTTCATTAGCCAAATTTATCAATGTCTCATTAACAGGTTTGTTAACATCACAAGAATGACGGTAAAAATCATCACAAGGATCTACATTTGCATCAATATTACTGAAAATTGTATTGATACGTTTTTTTAATAAAAGAAGAGTAATTTACTGCTCAATTGCTTTCAAAAAAATCGAATCCAACTGATTGAACATTTTTAAAAATTATTGAAATTGAGAATACAAAAATTAGCAACTTCAGCATATTGATGAAATGTTTCGAATGATATATTTGCTTTATTTTCTCATTATTTATAGTTTTGCAAAATTGAAAGTAATACTTTCAAATAAATAAATATATAGAGCAACTAATGAAACATAACAAGTTACTGGTGGAAACGAATCCATAGAAAACTGTTTCTTTTGAAAAAATGAAAAAAAAACCTTAGCTTGAATATTGAGGTTAATACGCACTGAAAATTGCAAGGTTAATAGATCGAACAACTTACATTACAAAAAAATTTCTGTAATTTTAAGATTTTTCAAATGACAGTGCTTCTCAAAAATAACCTTTTTCATTATCAAATTATTAACTTATTGTTAAAATTCGAAGTTTATGAGTTTAAGTGAAAATTCTAGAAATGATTTTTTTTCCGAAATTTTTAAAACAGTTACTATTTTCATCACTGTGTGGAGCTCGATTGTATTTTTTCTGTTATTTTAAATTATTCACTTTGAAGGTCATATGTATGAATAAAAATATTTATCACAAAAACTATCAATAAAAAATTTATTCCAATAAATTGAATCAATCAGAAGCATCGGCACCAAAAAGAATGCATTGTTTCTGAAACATCGATTTTTATTACTCTTTCAGACTGATTCAAAATTCCTCACAGTTTTTGATCTCATCATTCGACTATTGTTGTCACATCCAAAAATCTGTTGAAATTCTGGAACTTGTACACTGGCTGCATTTATTCTTGCATTTGAAGCGTGATGACTATCTGTCGGCAAAGATGCCGATTGTTCTCTCTGAATGTGATCATAATTATTGATTTAAAAAAAAATTTCGATCAGAAAATGACCAACCGAACAGTCGAAAATGTTAGCCGCGTAGAAAAATACTTCAGCGTTTGTCAGATTATATCGAGATCCTTCCAATACCTCCTAAAATTATTTATTCTGAAAACAATTTGAAATTAGAAATAACTCACATTCATTTTATCTCCAAATTTCTTTTTCATCAAATCAAAAGCTAATTTCAATCCAAAAATATCTGAACCATTTTCATCAAACTGATGATCACCTGTTTCACATTCTTTCTGAAAATTTGAAAAACTGTGTGTATAGTGAAAATAACTTTTAGTTACCTCTTTAAAAATTGAGCAAGTGCTAGTAAATTGTTCCTGAACACATGATTTGTAAGCTTTCGGCGAGTATGGAACAAAAAGAAAATCTTTTTGACCTTTGATAAACGAATGACCTAATTCGTGTGCCATTGTTGATCCTGATGCACCATACTAGAATAATATATCATTTAATTTTAGAAATGAAAATTGAACTCACTAGAAGTCCAGGATGTGGACTCATAGAAAATACATACATCAGTGAATGGTGAAAAACTATATCTGGTTGCGCGTTGAACGCATTTAGATATGCGGGCCTGTGGGAAAATGTGTGAGTATGTTCAAGGAAACATAACATAGATAGCTTTAGGAATGATATATCATGATAATATTTTCTGAAACAAAAAAACACTTGTTGAAAAAAAGATAAACATACGATCTGCATTTTGCCAATAATAAATTTAAAAATTCAAATTTTCCCATTTCACGTTGATAACTTGGGCCCATTTCAAAAAATGTTGAGTCAAGCAATTTTTTGAAAAAATTCTCTGTATCAGATTGTTTAACCCAGGGTGTGATCTTGAATTGAAGAAAAAATTATTATTTTGGGGATCATTATCTAACCTTCATTAGACTTTCAATTTCCGCCTTAAATTCTTCCATATAATCTCGATGTTTGTCAAATAAATCTTCATTTATTGACATCCAAGCGTGTGACCGGATAAATGCTGTTTTCACAGGGAGAGAGAAGTTTACTTTACTCGACTGAAACAAAAATCAATTTTAAATAATTCATTTTTTGAAAATCTCACTTGAATTTCATCATACCAAACTTTTTCAAGTTTTTTGCGTAGTTGTCCTGAAGATCTTCTACAATTTGTATCATATATCAAATTGGTAAATTTCATAGTTGGAAATGAGTTTTGAAGTGCTTGTAAGATGAATTTTATCGCTTGTTTGTTTTTGTTCAGACAGCTGTGAAGAAATCATTTTAAATCCAAAAAAATTATAAAAACAAACTTTCCAGTATAAAACATAGATAAAGTTTCAATATTTTCGGTTTGATTTTTATCTAGAAGAACTTTTAACAAAATAATCGAAGAATCATTCGCTTCCAATTTCTATAATGCATTTTTTAATGGCAATGATAATTTATCAACTCACATTTCCATATTCAAACTCATCAGTGAGGGTTATATTCTTGATAACTTCTAGATACATTTTGGTAGCCAAAATTTTTATGGTTTCATTAACTGGTTTGTTAATATCACAAGAATGACGATAAAAATCATCACAAGGATCTACATTTGTATCAATATTACTGAAAAACTGTGTTGAGAAGTTTTTTTTAAATTTCAGAACGTGAACTTACTGTTCAATTGCTTTTAAAAAATCGAATCCCATTGATTGAACATTTTGAGAAACTATTGAAATTGAGAATAGAAAAATTAGCAACTTCAACATATTGATAAAATGTTTCGAATGATATATTTGTTATATTTTCTCGTTATTTACTGTTTTGCAAAATTGAAAGTAATACTTTCAAATAAATAAATTGAGAATTCAATAACAAATCACTGAATAATTATTTATTCTTCCATTTTTTTATCATAGCGATTCGAATTTCCATTTCACAATTCTGATGTCATGCTTTCTGAAGGATCAAAACCAAAGCAAAAACAGAGTTACTAAAACTTGTCACCATGACAAAATATCAATAAAAACTTTAGATCCAAGCAGTTGTCTAGATTTTCAACAGAATAAATGTTTCTGAAACTTTGTGCGTTTTTATTTATTCAGAAAATTCTTACTGTATTTGTTGCAGTTCCTGGAAGACCGGTGGATTTTGAAAGTTCAATAGTTTTGGGAACTAATTATACAGACTACACAGATTGTGTAAAAGAATGCTTGAATATTACAACTTGCTCGGTGAGTTTAAAATGCTTCTGTAAATTCCAGATAAATAAGTTCTTCAGGCGATTTACTACAACTCATCCAACCTGACATGCATCCGATATGATTATGGAGATCTATTTTCAGTATTACAAGTTCAAGACTTTCCAGTCATTGAGATTTTTTCATTCAAAGTGAGTTTTGTTTTGAAACAATTATTATGTTGGCACAAAATTTCAGACAAACTCCACGACTTGTTCAAAATTACCTGATACAATTTACTATTCAAACCATTACTCCTACATCAACACTGGAACATATTGGGAAATTGAGGGACGATGCCCAAAAGATTGGAAAGAATTTAATCGAACAATGGGTCATTGGTGTATGAAACTATATTCAAATGGTGCAAAAAATCTTGAAACAGCCAATGATTTTTGCGGAACAGTGGCGGAAAATGCGACAATTTCTGGAATTGGTAGTCAAGAAGAGTTAAACTATGTTTACAATGAAAGTTGGGAAACTAAGAATGGAAAACAAGTTTCAATTGGGGTTGATGGAAGACTTATGGATAATTGTACAGAATCATTCAAAACAAGAACCGATTGCGGATTTCCTGAGTCCTACACATTCTATGACAAATATTTGACAGATTATTCATATTATAAATGGGGTGGTGAAAATCCTGATGCCATAGGAGGTAACGGTCTTTATCAGCAATGTATTGTGTGTTATTCAACAAACAGTGAACAAACGTTCAATACTTTTGATGATGTTGTTTGTTCGAGTCAATCAACATATTATCCATGTGGAAGATTGGCTAGAGATTTGTGAAATTTTCTGATCTGATTTTTATTTTTTCAGAGAAAAATGTTGAATAAAACATTGTGTTGAAGTTTTTGTTAATGCTTTGAAATAGGCAAGGATCAGCAAAAACGGCACAGCGGAAAAAGCTGCCACGTGGCTCAATTTTTTTCAATGAGAGTAACAAATTCTTCTATTTGCCCTGATAATTTTGTGAGAACAAAAATTTCATTAAACTTTCTAATATTCCTAATATAACAAATTTATTTCAAAAATTATATCAATCAGAAGCATCTTGACCAAAAAGAATGCATTGTTTCTGAAACAGCAAATTACTTTTTTTCAATATTGATTCAAAATTCCTCACCGTTTTCGATTTCATCATTCGACTATTGTTATCACATCCAAATATTCTCTGAAATTCTGGAACTTGAACACTGGCTGCGTTCATTCTTGCATTGTGTGCATGATGACTATCTGTTAAACTAGATTTTGATTGTGATCTCTGTAATAATTTTTGATATTCTCGTAAGATTTTGCCTATTGTAATATACCTACCCAACAGTAGATAATATTAGGAACATAGAAAAATACTTCAGCATTTGTTAAATTATATCGAGATCCTTCTACAACTTCCTGAAACAAGATTAATCGAGAGCTGATGTTTTGAAAAAAAATCAATTTACATTCATTTTTTCGCTGTATTTCTTTTTCATCAAGTCAAAAGCTAATTTCAATCCAAAAATATCGGAACCATTTTCGTCAAATTGATGATCAGAAGTTTTGCATTCCTTCTGAAAATATCTCATAAATTATTCATGAATAGACGGGTTTTCAGTTACTTCTTTATAAATTGAGCAAGTGCTGTTAAACTGTTCCTGAACACAAGATTTGAAACTTTCTGGCGAGTATGGAACAAAAGTGTAATCATGTGCACTTTTGACAAAAGAATGACCTATTTCGTGTGCCATTACAAATCCAGTTCCACCATACTGAAATAAACTACTACATACAATTTTTTTGTTGAGATTCTGACTTACAAGAAGACCAGGAGAAGTGCTCAAAGTGTATACAAACATCATTGCGTGATGAAAAGATATATTTGATCGTGCATTAAATGCATTTATTGTGTCCAATTTTCTCCAAAAACTATGATAATTTTCAATGAAACATAAAATTTTGACCGATTTTATTTTATATTTTCTAAAAAAACCGTAGTTTTATAAAGATAACAAGGATAAACATACAATCTACACATTGATAATAGATTATTCAAATGTTTTAAATCGTTAATATCATTTTCATAATCTGAAATTTCTTTCAACCATGTTATATTCAACAAATTTTTGTAATAATTTTCTGTATCAGATTGATCTACCCAAGGAGTAACCTGAACTCACAATCAGTAATTGAGAATAATGAACAAAATTTTCAAAATACCTTCACTAGTGATTCAATTTCATCTTTGAATTCATCCATATATTCTCGATGTTTTTCAAATAACTCCCTATTAACTGACATATAAGCATTCGATCGAATATACCCTGTTATAGCAGATAAATCGTAGCTTGCTTTTTTTGTCTAAAAAATCATGATTTCAAGTTCCCTTCTGAAAATCCCACCTTGATTTCATTATACCAAACTTTCTCAAGATTTTTGCGTAGTAGTTCTGACGATCTTTCACAATTCGAATCGTATATCAAATTTTTGAATTTGTTTTTAGGGAATGTTGTCTCAAGAGCTTGCAAAATATACTTTTTAACTGTCATATTTTTGTGAACACAACTGAAAAGAAATCGAGTCAAGTTTGTTTAGAAAAAATAAAATAAAAACATACCTTTCGAAAAAATCATCTGCAACTTTTTGAATATTTTCAGTTTGATTATTGTCTAGAAAAACTTCCAAAGCAATTATCGACGAATCATTCGCTTCCAATCTCTACGATAAAAATTTTTATTTAGTTTTTCTGTGAAATCTATTAACTCACATTTCCATATTCAAACTTATCTGTGAGTGTTAAATTGTTAATAATCTCTCTATACATTTCGATAGCCAAATTAAACATTGTCTCATTCACTGGTTTGTTAACATCACAAGAATGACGGTAAAAATTATCACAAGGATCTATGCTTGGATCTATGTTACTGAAAAGTATTAGGTCTTTAATTTCCAAACACTGAAAAACTCACTCTTCAATCATCTGCAGTAATTCAGAAATTGCCGATTCAACATTTGGATGTGAATTTAAAATTAAAAAGAATGCAAGAAAAAATTTAATCATTTCTGTAAAATGTTTCGAATAAAATATTTGAATCGTTCGTTTTATAATGTGCTCCAAATGTGAAATTCATACTTTAATATAAATAAATAGAAACAGTAACGCAAACATATCAAATTCTAGGAAAAATGGAGTTTTTTCTGAATTTTGGAACTCGATGGCAAATTTTTGCGTCATTAAATTTTTTCCTGAAATTCTGTTGAACACCGTTTTCATATTTTGAACATATTTATTCATTCAATAAATCTATCAAGAATAAATATATACAGCAAAAAAAATACATGTTTAATATCAAAGATTAAAAAAACAGAAAAAAAAAGTTTTGTGATTTGAGTTTGTGCGCGCGAAAAACTGAGGAGTAGTGTTTTGTGTGTAGGGAAAATTAAAATTACAACGATTTGTGAAAAATGTAGCATAAAAAATAAGAATGGCTTGAAACAGCACCAGATTTCTCATGCCGCTAAAACGATAACTAAAATATTTTGTGGGTGTTCCAAAAACTGAATCAATGCATAAGGTAAAGTTTGTGACAAAAACGGCAAAACTGCATTTGGCAAGTTGAGAATCATAGAGAAAATGAAAATATTAGGGTAGGGTAGGGTAAAAAATGACCTCGTTTAGTGTTTTTTGGGTTGGGAAAATAGAATGTTTTCGATATTTCTTCTGATTAACTCGAAGAAAATAAAAATGTTCAGGGTTTCTTAACGTCCATAAGTCATGTAACCATAATAACCAGCAGTGTTATATTGATTGTAATATGGATATGTTCCATATCCAGCATAGGTTCCATAACCATATGGGACAATTGCTCCAGCTCCTTTATCATAATAATTTGGCATCAAATACGCTCCATGTTTCGCTGACAAAGCCATCTCTTCTTCTCTCTATAAAACAGGTAAATCAAATCAAATTATAATTTTTTTCTTTCTTTATTTATTTTTTTTTTTGGTTTTAGTGTAGGTCTAACCCATATTGACCTAATTTTATACAGTTATTTGTTGTCAAAGACAAATAGTAAATAAAACAAAAACAAGTTAATTCGACATGTCAGATCAAACCGATATGAATTTTTTTTGGTAATAAAACTAATTTTGTCTTTTATTGTCAAGGTTTTTTGTACATACCTTAACTGCAACATAGGCCCAGAACATGAAAATGCTGCCTAACATTAAGAAGGCGATTCCGATCCAGGAAACAATGTATGACCATCCATAATTGTGGCGAGATGTGATTTTGAGGACCTGGAAAAAAAAATTGAAAAAATTTGATAGAAAGTTGGAGGGATGGGGGAAGGGAGAAAGTTAAGCTAACTCTGGAAAAAAAATTCCTAAACATTTTTAAAACTTAAGGAATTGTGTTATGAAATATTTTCTGATTGTGAATGGAAAATTTTGGATTATTACTTCTGGGGATTCAAACTCCCAAAGTGTTTTATTCCGAGAATTCTGGAAAAATTATTCCATGAACTACGACTACGTAAATTAAAAAAAAAATGAAACTAAACTTTTTTATCAGAGAATGTTCTAGGGTTTTTAAAAACTTCGAACCCTCCAGAAAAATTCTTTCAAAAATATTTCCTTGAAATATTCTCAACTAACGTTCAGATTTTTCAAAGCTTCTTAACGTCCCAAAAGTTTCTTGATATCTCTAACCGCCCCTTTCAAAATTATGTTCCAGTAATTTTTTTACTATACGAAAAAAATCTTATAAGCTTTTTTTCCTCTAATTATATGAAAACAGGTGGATATGTTTATGTGTTTCTTCTTCTTCTTCTCCTATATTTTGTTCGTCTGCCATTTCATCCGGTCACTATATTTTGCGAAAAAGAAGCATCTCAAGTATCCAACCAGGGCCGGTCATGCACGGCTCCCTCTTATGTTTTTTTTCTTCTCTCTCTTATATTTCATTCCACTAATGTGTTGTTTTGTTCTAACAAGAAAAGTGTAAGATTGTACAGATTTTTCAAGAGTCAAGATTTTCGCACTCACTTTTCACTATGTATATACATTCTCGAGAAAAAAATATGTTCTAGTGAAATTTGATTGAAGTGTTGTTTTTTTTCACACTGTGACCATGGCAATTGTGAGGAAAAAACGCGTAGAGACGTTTTTAATTTCACCAATTTTTGTGTGAATTGAAGGGAAGTGAAAATTAAAAATTGAACGAAATTGTATGTCGAGTGTGATTGATTAATGAAAGGAAAAAGGGAGGTCGAAAAATTGGAGGGGAGGGAAATTTGTCTTTTAGAGTTAGTGAAAGTTGAAACTTACCGATTCCCATGATTTGTAATATGGTTCCATGTCGAGAAGATATCTTTCACTGTAAGCGACGTAGTGCCATCCCATCATTGCCAAACACATTGCCAGAGCTGGAAAAAAAATTGAAAATTTCAAAGAAGGTTCAGGACCTGTGGGGACTTTTTGTCTTAAAACTCTGATAGATTTTAGAATTTAAAAGATCTTCTGATCATAAGAGCTTCCAAGTTTTGGAATTCTAGATTTGAAAGCTCTTCTTATCATAAGAGTTTCAGAAAAAAGGTTCCAGCTTTCACATTAGGTGGGGATAGGTTTCAAAGAATTCTTTCGGTCTTAAAGATCCCAACAGGTTATCTGAATTCCTAAAGATCTGGGGCCTAAACTACTAAAATTCTGGGCCCAACCGGAACAAGGCCATTGGCTTTGGACAGCCTTTCTTTGCAAACCCTCCATCCAAACTTACAGGCAATAAGAAGTAAAACAGCTGTAGTGATGATCAATTTCTTCGAGCGATTCCAGCATCCCAAAATTCCAGTGATCAAACTCAATACAACAACAATGATACCTGCAAGTAAAAAACAACTTGTTTCTTTTTTCATTCATCCCATCAACATAACATCTCCCATGTACAACTTTTCTTCATCCTCATTTTCCTCCCAATTATGTCAATATTTGTCGATAAAAAGAGTTCGTGACACCTTATGAGACGGAGCCGACTCGTTTGCTTGTATTGTTTTGCTGTTTCCGACTGGTAATAACATACAATACCACCTACATATATGTTTTATGAGTACTATATGATATATAATCCTATTGTGTATTATATGCCATGTGAAACTAAATAGCATAGCATATAGCATATATAGAAGAAGAAAAAAAGAATACAACTAATAATGCGCTACTAAACTGCGATTTCTCTTACATGCTTCAATGACATTTTGATTTTATGAATGACTATGCAAATTTTTATGACATCTATGTAATCCAGTTATCTTTTTCTTGCTTTTCCCCCTGGGTAAAAACTAACCAGCTCCATAGCAGATAATCGAAGATCTATAAGCATATAATCTATACCATTCTGGAGTTGAGAAATGATCTTTTTTCGCCTCTGGTGGATTGAATTCATTATTCCAAATGCATGGGGAACTGAACTTTGAGAAGCTTCCAATTTCTGCAAAAACATAAGGATAAATATTTTATAACAGTTGTGAAAATCTTCCAGGGAGCTGATAAATTACCCCTGGTAAATTAGCCTACCTTGTGGTACGGTATCTGGGAAACATGTGTGGAAGAGTCCGTAGTTTCTGGAGAAATAGATAATGTTGTGTCCGAAGGCGTTTTGGAGTCGTAATGAAAGTTCGGGTTCACGTTTGAAAGCGTTGATGATTTCACGACGGTTTACCTGGAAAAAATAGGGGTTTGGTTTTAAAAACAATTAAAGAATCTGCGATGTTTCTTTGAAACGGTGCAAAAATGGCTGGACTTTTTTTTTTTAATTTAATTTTTTGTAAACCTCTGACAAAAATGCAATATTTCAGAAATTTGAAAATTGAGATAAGTGAAATATTTTTCAGAGCACCCATGTCGTTAGAGGCGTTTCGGTCAAGTGTAGTTTCATTTTCAGTGATGCTTTTAGTTTCTAGAAGATACACGCAACGCTTGACCGCAGCGCATATACCGACATGAGCGTTCTGAAAACGTTTTTCATGTCTTTATCTCAATTTTTTGCCTACAAAACAATGTCTCTGGAAGCTTCGAAAGTCTCTCTCTTTTCCGATTTTTTTCCGGAATTCCAGCCCTGATTTCTATATTTTCTACAATTCAGTTCTCCAAAACAAAATCCCTCATTTTTTTTACAAAACGGAAAGATTGTCCTATATTCTTTCCAACACAAAGATCAAAACATAATTATTGCTATGTTCATTTCATGTTTTCTTTTTTTCTGTCTAACTAAAAGCCAACAACTTTCTAATCCCTGTACTTTTTCCGAAAAAAAACATTGTAGATCAAAAATAAATGGTCTTTTTTTTACAAGAAAAAGAGGATACTTCCACTTTTGTACACAGACAGACATCCTTTTCTTAGCCAGCCCGCTTCTTTATTGTTGTTACCTTTTTTCTATATATTATTTTTTACTGTGCTGACCTTGCCCTTCTTGTCCTCTTCCTTCTCCCTCGCCTCACCAAATCAATCAATACGAGGACAAAAAAAAACATCTAGTTATGTATTACCATATTTGAGTAATGAGAAGAGAAACGACGGCGAGACAGGGAAAGAGGAAAGAAAGAGCAATACACTTGAGCCGGTTTATAATATTAATTGAGGCGAGACTTTGGCAAATATGGAAATACGAATGATTGATGCTCCATATAATGTGAGAAAAAGTTGGACTGTTTGCTCGCGCAGAAAAATCAGGAAAAGAATTGAGAATATTTGGGAATTGAGAAAAAAAGGTCAAAAAAGGCAATCCGGATGGGGGGATCGGATTAGATCATAATCGAGATCTTTTTTCGACAAGGTCAAAGGAATTGCCGACGATTTACAGGTTGTAAAAAAACGACTCGAGAGACGTTTTCCGGGAAAATGGAGATTTCGTAGAAAGGCTGGGTACAGAAAGTTTGGATTTTTTTTTAGAAATTGGTCTCGAATAAATAATTTATTTTTGAACACGAGGTGCTGAAATTTCCTTCAAAAAATGTCTGAAACTAGAAAACCTTAAATTTTACCTCTGGAAAAAGCTGGAAGGAACAAGTTTTATAGAAGCTTAGATTTCGAAAAAGATATTCAAATCTGAAATTCCGAAACTCCAAAAAAAGTTTTGAGAACTAAAATTGATTCGGAAAAAAAAAACAAAAACATATATTCACCTAAAAAAAATTGAGTTCAGAAACAGAATTTCAAATTTGAAAAAAAAATTCAAAACTCTATTTTCCTTCAAATTTTATTCCTAAAACTTGTGACCATTTTCCCTGCGTAGCATTTTAGTTGCAAAAAAACTTATTCAATTCCACACTTTTTAAACAAAAAGCTCAATTTTCAACAATAAAGATTCAAAATATCCTCACCTGTACTTCAGTCCAATTATCTGTCGAAATGGCAATTGAAACGAGTGCCAAACCAAGTAGCGTAAAAACCGATGCCAGTGATAAAAACAACGGTGACGATAACATTTTGTACCCCTAAAAATCTCATTTCCAATATTTCAAAATAAAATGTTGCGGTTACGATTACCCAAGACAACAACAAAAACAAAAACAAAACAAAAAACCAGGAAAGAAAGAAAGCAGACGGGAGAAATAGAACGAACACAACAAAAAAGAAATACGGACGATCATAGGGAGGCGGGGTCAACCCGAGATGCGCACTCACCGCCGCACACGATGAAAAATACACTCATACAGTTTGGTGAGTGTTTGGTGAGTGCAAAAATAGTAGTGAGCGCAATTACTGTAGTAAAATACGATGGGAAGAAATAAGAAGAAAAAAAGAAGAAGACATACAAGGCCATCAGATATCCGACAATTTTTGTCGGTTTCTCTCCGATTAATGATGACCTACCTATATTTTCTACCAAAAACCTATGGATTTTTGCCCGCCTGATATGACCTCTTATATATAAAAAAATGAAAATGAGAAAAGAAGAAGAAGATATGGGATTTGTTCAATTATAATATTAGAATAGAATAAAATCATTTTTGTTTTTATTTATTTATTGAGAAGAGAAGATGAATGAGTATGATAAACACTCTCAAAAATGTTGCAAGAATCGTACATTGAATGGAATGCGGGTTATCTTCTTGCGCAATTTTATTTATTATCCGATTTTTGGAATCGAGATTTAATGAAAAACAATAAAGTTTTGTGTGGGTGATAGATACCAGAAGGGGGCATTGACACACCTATACTGATTGATGAAACTTTGTTGAATTACGTTTTTGGGTGTAGTTTTCGACCACAGGGTGTTTAATGGTGGGGTTAGACCACAAATGAAGTATATTTTAAAGGTCAGGTAGATAAATGTAAAAATGTTGTTGCCCAGAAAAATGAGACTATTAGGAGTCGGGTCATCTGGAAAGCATCCCTGTCTGTAGAAAACCTTTTGGGGTGTTCTGATATTGGTGATCTTCATTTTTTTCTAGAATTTTTGGGTTCACAAATATTAGGGTAAGAAAATAAACTTTTTGATGATAGATCAATTATTCATAAATGACTAACCATCAAAGTGATTCAACTTCCGACTTCACAAACCTATAACACATTTCATTTTCTCTCTAGCTTCCCAGAAACTAAAAAATCTTACACACATCCAAGAAAAAAAATTAAATTGTAACAACATTCCTAATATCAAATAATCTTCCATTGACACACTTGAAAAAAGTATAAATAAATCACTTTCTTGAATAGGTTAGTGATAATGGATGATTAATGTGAACTATATTTTTGTTACATTTTTCATATTTTTCACGATAATGTAATGAGAAAAAAATGTGAATGTGAGTATGTAAAAAAAACCATTTCTGGATTGTTTCATTGAACTTTGGGAATGAGAGTTTAGAGTTCAGGGCACGTTCAGGCAGAACAAGGAGCCGTAGTCCAGGTTCAGAAAAATTTCTCGAGTCTTATCAGAATAATTTTGAGAATCTCTGAAATTCTGAAGTTTCTAATTAAAAAAATTGAAACATAATTTTCAAAACTTATTTATCAATCAATTGTCGAACAAAGTCTTCTCACATTCTTTTGTTTTCCTCGTTCATTTTGCCGAATAAAACCATTTTCGGAAGAAAAATAGAATAATTGAAAGTTTATGAGACATTCAAATGATATGCAAAAAAGTGAATTGAAGTGTGAAAGAAAAGAACAAATCCCATTTGATTTCAGGGAATTTTGATTGAATTAGTTAGTTTGGATGACTCACAATTTGTTTTTTGATGACTTGAAATGGCAAGTTGTTGTGTTGTATATGGAGTGGGTGAATAGAAATAGACGATAAAGAAGAGTAGGAGAAGACGAAGATCATAAAACAGTTGAAACGGTAATTTTATGTGGTTTGTTATGATTTAATTGGAAACTTGTTTGTTTTCTGAAATAGTGAAAATTGGTAAGAAACTTGGGGGAAATAGGATTAACATTTCTGGAAATAATTTGAAAAGGGGTTCAAAAAACAGTTTATTTCACGTTTGTACAGAAAAAAATGTTATCAACAATGAAATATGTTTTAGCTTGGACCGTTGGACACCTTGTCACTGTGATTACTACTATTCTACCAAGACTTTCATGTATAAATTTGATAGCTTATTTGGATGTTTTCTGTTGACAACGTTCAATATCGAAAATGTTTCAATGTCTTCGTGAACGATTTTTTTCAATTTCTGCGTGAAACTTTTTAAAATTATTTTTTTTCTAATTTTCATTCCCTTCACAAACATAAAAATATCCGAACGCCATAAATCCAATAAAATGCACATGTTCTATTCGTTGGCACTGTTACACAACATTCAAAAAGCAACAAAAAATAAATAACTAACAGCGACAATAAATTCAAATTATTAAAATGGTCCCTTGTGACTTGCCGCCTCCCATTTGACAAAATATCTACTTGTCCCTTTTTCTTCCCATCGGCAAATACACGCTCACAGAAGAGAAAATAACAATTTATTGTTATTCGACTTTTCCCAGAGGTGTCACTCTGAACAACTATTTTTCTATCTTTTTTCGTCGTCTTATGTGTTTTTGTTGTTTCTACATTTTCTTTGGAGTTTTTGTCTAATTTGGTGACTGAAATTGGATATTTTATGGTTTTTTGAACTTCTGGTGGGAATTTAGGACTTTTTTTCTGTGTTAATTAGAACTTTGATGATTTTCAGTGAATGGGAGTCGTGAGTATTTTTAGTGTAGAGATTTTTTGAAGAATTTTTCAATTATCATCTCTCAACTTTACGAAAATTGAATATTGGTTCAAAAATATTTTGAAGAAAAGGCAAAGTTCAATTTTCAGAATGTTTGATATCCTGCTGAATATTTTTCTGAGTTAGACGCCAAAAGGTTTTGAAGATGAGATCATTGTTTATGGTCTCTTTGTTTTTTTTTCTGAAAAACTTTCTACTTTTCCTAAATTCCTTCTCTGTCTCTGAAATTCTAATTTTCCAAACAGAGCTAAAATTCTCTTCAGACAACTCGAAAAACAATCGAAATTTCAAACTTCCTATAAAATCAAACATTTGTTTTTGTCAATTATTTTTTTGTATAGTTTTCAAACGTTTTTTTCTAATTTTGTATCATATACTACCAAAGTTTTTACAAATCGCCTAAATTAGTTCACAATATTTTTTATCCAACCATTTCCTCACGTCATCATCTACACATCCACTATTTATTCCCAATATTCCCAAAGAACAAAAGAGTATTCATACATTCATTATCAATTCTCATTGAATAATATAAGTATATAAAATATTATTGTGTCCAAAGCAAACACATCTTTTTCCTCCCCTCTCCTTTTTTCGCAGGGACATATGAGTCGACAGCAAACGCGCTCCAAAGATAAAAAGCGGGCCGGCGCGAATGGCCGGTTGTATAAAACAAACTTGAAAAGAAGTACACCAAGAGGACGCGCATGTCCTTGTTTTTTTTTGTTGGTTTTTTTTATGTTCCGTTGACTTTTACAAACAATTATTATTATTTTTTTTATTTCTGTTTAAAAATGAATGAATGAAAAGATGATGAATACTGAAAATGTATGTAACATTTTGTGTTCTTTCTTTTTTAGCGGAACCCTATATGACTAATGATGATGACATTTTTCCTTTTCTTTCTCAGCTCACCTGTCTTCTAATCCTTTTTTTCTTGCCCATTTTTGTTCGCGGTGTTGAGTGAAAATAATTTAATTAAAAACCTGGGACCTTTGGATGAGAAATCAGATTAAAAACAGATGGCATCTTATTCATCATTGTTATTAGGTTTTTCGAATTTTAATTGGGCGATGAGTTGAGCGTTTTGAATAACTTTTTTTGGTTTAGGTTGAGAATATTGTAGAAACTATTTTTTTGGAATTTTTGAATGGAAGAATTCTTTAGAATTGTCTGAAATTCAATATTAATAGGATATAAATCAAATTTCATATTCAAGTTGAGGTTCTGAAATTTGTCTTTCTATATTTTTTGATTGGGCGTTGAGATTCTAAATAATTTTGTAGATTGTCTGAAACTATTGGTTAACTGAAAATATTTTCAATCAGAAGATAGGCTAACTTGTCTGAACTTAATAGAAGATATTTTCAAATGGAAAGCTTTCAGACTTTTTTCAGAAAGAAAATTTTTTCTTTTAATTTTTTTTACTTTGTCCCGAGATCTTCTTATCCTGCTATTATTTGTTTTTCGAACCCTTTTCAAAAATTCCAATTAGAATTTCAAAATATCTCATCTGAAATTCAATATTTTCCATCATAACTCTTCGCCGCCATTCATAAAAGACATCCGACTTTGCCTTGTTTTCTCTATTCCTCTTCGCCTATCACTTAGACCCTCAATTAAGAACACGCACCCATCTAATCCATCTTTTTATGTGTGTGTGTGTCCACCCAACCGCTTTCCTTCACCAATATCCGTATTAGGCTTGGGTGGAGATGCAAACACCACAGAGAGAGAGATAGAGAGAGGTTGGGGTGGGAAGCGGTTTTTTAATGTCATTCATCCCTTTTCTTTTTTCTTCCTTCTACTACTGACCAACACATCTGGCTTACCAACGCGTAATGCGAAAAAAGAGGTTATACATATTTGCAAACCACGCCCACTTTTTTCCATTTCACTCGATTTTTGCTGTCTTTCCTTTTGTACTTTACTTTATTCCTTGATGTTTCAAATTTCAAAATCTATTTTCAGCTCGAAAAATGTCGGTGGATGGTCGGAGACATTCATCAAAAGATACACGAAGTTGTATTGGAGGATATAGATATGACCCGAATCCGACTAAAAAACAAATGCGACCACGATATGCACAATCTGATATTGGTGAACCTTTTATTCCACGATTTTCGGCGATTGCTAGTGAGGTAAGGATTTTTGGGTTTTTTTTTAGAATTGAGCCAATGAATTTTGAACTGAAAAATATATAAGATTTTTGAAATAACATTGCCAAAACTATTTTTACCATAAAAATTACTTGAAACATATAATCCTAAAAAATCATTTAATTTTTCAAGACTGAAATAATTCATACCTGTTTGAAGCTGGAATACTGTGTCCAGAATGAAGTGAATTTTCAAGATGTGCTTTGAAGTTCTGAAATTTTTTTCTGAAAAACTTATTCTCAGGCTCTTAAAATTATTGAACTCTGGAATCTTTGGCAGCATTTTTCCGCAGACACAGTTCTGCTGAATATTATCTGAAAATGAAGGTTCAGTCCGTAAATCAGTGGCCTAAATTCATCGTAGTTAGCCGAAATATTTTTCAAAATTCTGCGAACTTCGGTGTGCAAATTTCAGCATATTTTTCCATTTCAGATCTATATATTCTTAAAAACATGCATTATTTTTTTCTAAATATTGCGAAATACTTTTTCGCCTTTGCCTTTCACAAAAAATTGTCACCTTTCAAAAAAAAAAAGCACACACACATATGTTTTGTGACATTCCCCAGACAAACTCCCAAATCCAATTTCTTCCGAAACAAATTTATCTCCACTTTTCATTTCCCAGGGAAAACAACTTCTTCCACCAAACCACGACGATTGGGCCGATAATACAACAGTGTTGACTGGCGTTACAGCCGATTCGTTCACACCAGACGAGAAAATCATCTATTCGCCGCCTTTGGGACGAGTTGTTGGACGAAGGTGAGTCATTTTGGGGTTGGGTTTGGGAATAAAATGTTAGGCTAACTCATCAATGTGATGAGTTATTTTTTGATGATTGCTTCACTTGTTTGATTGATTGATTGATTGATCGAATGACATTAATGTATAGTAGTTTTGATTTTCAAAGAAGGTATGCATTTATTCAAATTTTATTTTTCAAATGTGAAAGAAGCTAGTCAACCATGAAAAATAATGGGATGAATCTGATGTGAGAATTGGTAGCTATGAGTTGTGATAAGTCAAAAATTTTGATGATAGAAACCTGATGTTTGTGGGGATTTTTTCCAAGCTCCAAAATATTGAAGCAATATTTCAACGTACACAGCTTCAGTAGTTAGGCTAAGTTTGGAATTAGAGGGTCCAAATTTCACAAAATTATATGACATCCCCATAAAAATAAGTTTTCACAAAATTATCTTAGGTTCACATTGAAGAGATTTTCACTAGCTTTTAGAAACCTACTTCACGGGTTCCATATATTTAAATTTCCCTGAATAAATCCAATCAACCATGAAAAAATCCATGAATTGAAAGTTGATTTTTGGCAGATGTTCGCGCCTTGTTTGGCTTATCGCATCAACATTGCTTTGTATAATTGCGGTCGTCAGTGCCCCCATTATGTGCTCGATGCCGATTATTGGCCCGTATATTGGATTTGACATGCCGCCAATTCGATGTGATGTGAGTTGAAACCCATTGTTGCAAAACTAATTTGATTTCTAGGTCGATTGTGAAGGTCTACTTTTTCTAATGGCTATCAAAACGGTTTTCTTGATTATTGCAATTGCTGTTTTATATTGTAGAAAAGCGGCTGGCGATTTACCAAGATTGTGAGTTCATGTTTATTTGTTTTACTTTACTAGATGCCAGATTCTTTTCTTGAAGTGTAGAATTACCATGTTTATGTTTTTGTTTTTTCCAGATACTTTGCTCGAGCTGCGTTGACCTTCTTGACAATGTTTATATTAATAGCCTTCTGGATGTTTTATACTGTCCGGATATTTTTGGAGAAATATGATAACTACAAGTACATTGTGAGTTGATTTTGGAACACGTGGATTTTCAAAACAAAAAAAAAATTACAGGTTTCCTACTCTACCTCACTTCTTGATGCTTTACTCTGGACCCATTATTTATCTGTAATTTTATTGGAATTAAGAAGACTCCGATCTCAATTTTCTGTAACAATCGTTCGTGATCCGGATGGTGAAATGCATACAATGACAATCGGTGCTGGATCGATTCAAGAAGCGGCGATTGAAATTTTGAAATTCTACACAACCAATTTCTCATCCTATAATGTCTATCTTGATAAAGCTCGTCAAACTGCTGTTGCGAAACAAGGTGGTCTTCAGAATCAAGCTGGATTCAAAATGTATAATATTGAACAATTTGGTGGGCAAGAAACTGTTAGTGAGGTGAATACGAGAGCATTGATGGAGGCGGCGGCGAGAAGAAGAATTGGTGGATATTCGGAAGTTATGCAGGAGGAAATGGAGTTTGAGAAACGTGTCAAGAAGCGGAAGTATCGATTGATTGCTGCTGCTGAAGATGCGTTTTCACATGTTCAAAGTTTGACTGATGGTGTTCAAAAGGTAATTTTTCTATGGGAGAATTTGGGGCAAAATGAGAATCGGTCTTGAAAAGCTCAAATATTCGCTTTTCTCAAGATTTTTAACAATTTGTAAAGAATTTTTAAAGTGAAATATTAATTTTAAGGACCTATTTTCCCAAAAAATTCTAGAAAAACATAGAAATTTGAATATTTTCAGAATGGTATGCAAAGTCAAATGGATTCCTTAACAGCGGCTCAAAATGTTTTCACTTGGATTGTTCGACCTCTCACAAAATATCTGAAAACCACACGTTTGCAACCAAGACATCCATCAGAGGCTGTAACTCGTCATATTGAAAGGTAAAATTTCCCAACTTCCCCATTTATCTATTACCAACTTGATATTTTTTCAGATGTCTCACATTGAAATTATCGCATCGAACATTCCTCCAACGTTTCTTCAGTGATAGATTCCCGCATCAAGCAAATGTTTCGGAATCAAAATGGTCGCTGATATGCGATGAAGCGGTTTCTTGTTCGATTGAGCATGGAACAACATTAGTTCTCAAGTCATATAATCAGGATTTGGATTGTGGTGTACAATTGGTTTGCACTGTATCATCTCTTCCATTCTTCAATCTCACGGAACAATCAAGAACATCGACGAGTAAATTCGCATTGAGAATTAGTAATGAATCATCAGTTTGAAGACAAGAATCATTTTGTTTCATACAATGACGGGTTTTGTGTTGCCTTCGTATTTATTATTCTTTGAAATTTAATTTATTTAATAAAAATCATTGAAGAATTGGGTTGAAATATTCGTTTTGAAACAAGAATGTAGTGTGAGAAAGCTATTGCGAAATATTTGTTGAAACATTATTTTTCAAAATAAAGTCTATCTAGATTGTTTTCCGGTTGCCTGGAGATTTTTGAATCAAAACTTTAACTTTCTCAAACTATCTGGAATGAATCTAGTATAAATACGACAGATTTTAAGAAGAAAAAAATTCCAGACGATTTCTGATAACTTTTTTTCTCAATTCCCCATCAAGATGTAATAGTTCAATGTTCAAAGACTGTGTATCATGAATTATTTTATTTTATTTTAAAGTATGAAGTATGTATAAAAAATGAAAAGTTGAGATCAAATGTAATTATGAACATTCAGCAAGAATTACCCGTAATTTAAAGAAATGACTGGATCGGGTATATAACATGTAAAGCAGGAAAAAAAAATGACTGAAGAAGCATCAAATTCAGTGAGCAACATGTCTGAATGCACGTGGGAAGACATAACTTCTCTTCTTGCGACCAAATCTACTGTTGTTGATTCTTTGTGTATTGAAGAATGTTGAAATTCTATCATTGATAGTAGGGTCCATGTCATAGACAACACCGTTTTCGTCCATGAACTGGTTTGGTGAAAAGTTATCATTGATTTGCTTTTGCTGAAAAAAACGAAGAAGGTCAAATTGTTTCGGCCGATTTTGTTTGTTTGCAACTTACCCAATCATCTTCTCCTCTCAAATGCGAAATCGGTCGGAAATCAGTGTTCAACATTCCGATTCTTCTTCTCGTCAATTTTTCTGATCTGTATGCATCGAGTAGACTCATTGATGAAACAACACTCAAAAATAATTGGAATAAAACAAGGGTTCTCAAAATGGATGCCATCATTTTTTGGAAATTATTAGAATAGCCCAACAAACAAATAAGGGAGTATTTGTGTGTGAGTGTGATATGCTTACTATCAAATCGCGCACGGTTTATATAGAAGCAATCTGATTAGAAAGACGTAGAGACAAAAAGAAATATCAGTGATTAGCTGAAATCAAGAGACATAGAATATCAATTCTGCCTTTTTCTTTGTGTTTCCCGTGTGAAAATGGGTGGTACTATTATTCCCTTCTTCCTTCTTTTTCATTCTTGTAGTATCATCTAAATAAAAAAAGGAAAAAAGAACGATGTTTGGACTTTGAGTCAGTCGAAAATTTCATTATTCAGAGTTTTGATGATGCGTTATCATTCAATAGCTATTTATTTTGAAAATAAAACTATAAATTTCAGTTTTCTCAAGGTTGTGCTTGATATGACTGATATTATTTCACTTTTCAATTTAAACAAGATTTATTGTTGACAAAAATCAAGACTGAAAATCAAATCAACTTGCAAGTGACAAAAATTGTTACACGTAAGTAAATATTGTTAGAAGAGAAAATTAGAGATCAAAATTAATTCTTATGATTTTTCTTGGTTGCTCGTTTCAAAAGCAGCAATGCGAGAGCTCCAACAGCTACAACGATAGTGAAAGTGACGACAAGTAAATACATTGTGCAATAAATATCACATTCTGGAGGAGACCATGCTTGTTTTTCAATTGTGTTTGTTGAATCTTCAAGTTGCCGGAAAATATTCTCCGACGTTGCGAGAAGTCGTAGAATTGTCCAGGTGCAATCTTCTGCTTCGGATTTTGAGTTTCGACATCTCCAACAAGCAGGGGTCAAGGCACATTTTTGAATCCTGAAAATCGAAAAATCTTCTAGATTTCTCCAGGATATTTTATACGGAAAAATTTTTCAAAGTTCAAAAGCCCTTTTAAAAATAGATTTAAGGACACGTCATTTTAAAAAGTTATTTTTTCACACTTGGTAGATCAAACATAACAAATTGATGGTTGATAAAAACACCAACAAACATATCTACGTGAATCATTTCAACAACCCCACATGACTGCATAAAACGTTCAATCGAATCGTTCTATGGGTTCAAACCCACCATTTGATTATCGCCTCTAAAGTTCGATCATTTTTCAATATTGCACTCAACGGGAAGTTTGACGAAACGGTGGTCGTTGGGAAGTATTGTCTATAGCCTGAAAGATTTCGTGATAATTTGTAATTGTCGTGTGTTATTTTTTATTGTAACACAAAGAACGCTCACCAGATGAAGTGATTTTGCGCGTTTTATCACGTGAAGTATAGATGACTGGATGCTTTCGAAGATTGTTACTGAATCCAATATATTTATCGTTTTGAAATTCTGTATCAACGGATAGCCAAGCGATTTTTGAATTTCGTTTCAACGATTCCTGCAATCAAACCGTAACATGTGCTAACCACGTTTTCATGAAGAGAATTAATAGAAAAAAGAAGAAGAAGAAGAATGGCCTCGTGACGTATAGTCATCATGATTCATTATTCATCACTGTTATTTACGTGCGTTCAAAATGTTAACATGTTTTGCTAATGGTTTGATCTTGATTTTTCCCCTATAGGAAGGGAACTGTTGTTTTCTCCAAACCAACAAAACAGAAAACCTAATCAACTGAAAACAAATCACGTTTTCTTGTTAATAGCAGCAGATGATTCGATTCGGATTGTATTCTTTTTAAACTAATTTTTGCTTTGTATTGATGGGGTTGGTTTGAAACAAAGAAAATTAACATTAACATTGAATTTTGATCCTCAGAGAGGCCAAAACTTCTATTCACTACAGTATAAATCTATAGAGACGTGACAATTGTACTTATATCTTTTGCTTTTTGAATTTTTGATTTTTAAAAATATATGCCTTTGGAAGATAAGATAATATCGTAATATATTCGATGATGAAGAAAAAAACAGCCGTCAGTTGACTATCTTTGTGATTTTCATTTTTTGAGAAAATCAAGAATTTTGGGGTCAAAGTTTCGCTATCTATCTATAACTATAGAAAGTTTTTTTGCAAGATATGATGACTTTTTTTTGAAAAACAATAATCACATTTCTTGTAGTCAGGAGTCATGGTTGTTGAAAATGAGAATTATATGGTTTTGATTATGGAAAACCCTTTGGGGGTTTGGGGTTTTTCAAATTTCAAGCAACCAGGAACTCTTTCAGAATTCTGAAGTTCCGACTTTCAAGCAAAACAACATGACATTTCAATTTGAAAGTGTTTTCAGAATTTCAGAATTGTACAGCCACTAGGAAGTTTTGCAAGAAAAATAGGTTCTAAAGTTCTGAAAATCAATAAAATTTTGAGAAAATGGTCATGTTTTGTACAAAAAAAGTTCAGAATGAATTTGAACTAAAAAAAATTTTAAAAAGATCTTACAGACTAGAAAATTAAAAAAAACCATGTTGCTTCTGAAAACCTGAACACTAAAAAATATAAGATCTACGGTATTTTCTAGACACTGTGAAAAACTTTTTTTTTAATTTGAAGTTTCTCCAAAATTGTCCCGCTAGCTTATCGTTCAATTTTGTTTTAAATTTTTTCATAAAACTTTTTTTTTCTAGTTCACAAAGTCACTCTAGTTCAAGGTGATTTTGATAGTGACGAAATTGAAAAATCTCAAAACAGTTGATCAAAAACAATTTTTGCATCATTTTTGTAATTCTTCAACCATGTGGGGTCAAAGTTTTCTATATTTTTCTTACAAATCTAAAAATGTTTGCATCATCTTTTTTCTTTTTCCTACCACATGATAAAGTGGAAAAACGAAAGAGGAAGAAAAACTGGTTGGATAGTTATATGATCTTCAAAAATCACAACGTGTTTGACTTGTCTAAAATGTTTTCACATTTCATATCATCAAAAAATTGTTTCGATGAATGTTCAGGGGAGGAGTAAAAACTCATGTGAATTTTTTGTTTGTTCTTTGAAATCTTATCCTTTCCATATCAAATACAAAATGTGAAAAAAAATCAACCTCGAGATAAAATGGCGTCAAAAATCTCATTTTCCTTCTTGCAGGGATTTCCACAGGCAATTTGAATCGAATAACCTCCACATTTCGTATACTTATCAGCTGATTTTGCAAAAGCGTCTGAAAAAAACATACATACATACATCTAAACTATATTTCATTCTTCTCCCATTTTTAAAGAACAATACAATTGTTTTTCTTTTCTTCAAAAATTTGTGTAATTTAATATAACACCTAGACCTGTTTTTTTGCTATTTCTTCCTTGTGTACTTCTTCACTTACTGAATTATCTTTATCAAAAATCAACAATTTTGTTGTTGGAAAATATTTGTGGATTGAGGCGACCAAAACCAATAATTTGTTGACTTCATTATACGAAGCAGCTAATGCAAATGCAAGTTCATTTCTGGAAAAACATTGACATTGAGATTAAAATTCTAACTTCATAGATCTTCTTAAACCGTTTCATATTATCATCATTTGTGGAGTGATGCAATTTAGAGAAGAAGAGGGTTTAGAGATGGACAAGACACATTTCTCCAAACACAATCTAATACCATCTTGGAGAAATAGCTATGGGGAATGGGGATTTTGCGAAATATTTCGAAATTCCCGGGTTTTTTTTTTGATGGATTTACGATAGTTCTGGAATATTCAGAAAATCATCAAATTCTGAATTCCTGAAATTTTTGGGAAAATCTAATGTGGTATCCCGAAGATTAAGAATCTTTTGAAAATGTTGAGTTACAATTTTTTGAAAATTTTTTCCTTATATTTTTAAAATTCAATTTCAACCCATAGCTTTCTCATTTCCTAGTCCAAAGTTCAAAAAATGAAACTTCCAAACCAAACAAAGAAGAAATAGGTTTTTTTCGTGAATGATGAAATATCGTCTGACCATTGTTCAAAAATGGGTTTTTGAATGAATCAAACCGTGATTTTCACATGAACATCTTCGAAAATACGACAAAAAATAACTCGAACGCGATATTTTTTCGGTGAAAGATAGCAAAAACACAATTTTTTGGGAGTGGATGTGATAGATTGAAACTGTTTGTGGAAAAATGAAGATGGAATGAATGATTTGGGGGATTTTTCTATGTACAATCATAGATCGGAACTTGGGAAAACTATTATTCAAAATTTGAAGCGTCGGTAAACTCTAGAAACAGTGCCTTTTTTATTCATTTCAGAATTACCAAAATAAACTTGATCAGGATCTGAAAAATCTCCAAAACTTTTTATGAAGATCTGGGATCACATCTTTTTTTTTCGACATTTCCAAAATTAATTTTTCAACACCTCAACAACATCAATGATAACAATTTGTGTTATTTTGTTGCAGAAAATGTTTTGTTATGTCAAAAAAATTGTTGTTTAATCCGGCAAGTCTGTTTCTTTTCCGTAGTTTATAGGTGTCAATTTTAAAATTAAATCTTCATTCCATCACGGAATTGTACTTTCGAATGTACTTACTGAAAAACAATTTCCTGATTTTCAGTCTGTTCTTATCAGGTTTTTGAGTGTTGATTTCTTGTTCTACACATACAATGATTTTGAGACTAGAAGATATGGGTCTTAATGGGAAGCGGGAAACTGTGAAATTTATTGTGAGTCGAGATAAAAATAAAATTGAGAGTCAAATTCAAAAATTATAGATTTGGGATAATAGATTTCAAATTTTGAAAAATTCCAAAGTTTTACTAAATTTCTTATTTTTGAACCAAAATTGTATATTTTTCATTATCCTGTATAAAAAATCGGCTGAGGCACATTAATCTCGAGTCCATTAACATTATTATTAATCTGAAAGACAGTCGGCTTAATTTAGTATATTGAAATTTTCCCTCTTGGTATTATCCGGGAAGGATGATCCTTCTTACATTTTATTAGTCTTTCGTATTTTCCACATACGAAAAGATATTTTTAGACTTTGGAATCATCAAAACTTGCTTTCAAAATTACAAATTTTAAAATCATCAATCAATAAATCATATGTTTTTAATCAAAACACTGAAAAATTGGTTCTTGGAGTAGATTATGACGATAGTCGAACAAACATCATAACTACAACAACATAACTGACATATCAATCTTTCGCCTTTTTCTCAATCACCACGTGATTTTCTATTAGTTGTATGTATTTCATCGCTTTCCGGTTTCATACAACAAACATAGCAAGAGATGAATCAAAACTATTGTTGTGATAATTTAGGAGATGAAATGTTCAAGATATCATTGACAAAAAAGAAATGATAACAAACAAAAATGTGATTGTAATTCTACAAACCTTTTCTTTGCAAGTTCTTCTTCCTTTTGTGATGGTGTTTTTGAGGGAAAGCAAATTTCGAAACATTTTCCACATAAAGATGAGTCACTGGGATTTGAATAACAATTTGGTTTGTTTTTCATGTCTGGACATTTTGGGCAGTTTGAAAATTGCGAAATATCGAGCCAAGCGTTTGAGCCATATGCTTGCAAGTGCGCAAACTCGTAGATTTCTTCATAGTATAACTGGAAAAAGTTTTTTGAGGTTTTTGTTTTTTTCTAAGTTGGAGGCTGTTAGGAAGCTGATTTTGTGAGTCAAGACCACCCACGAAGCCTAAACTTCTAACTGCAGTGTCCATGTTTTCAGAAAAAATTGGAGTCAAGAATACTTTAGTTAGATAAAGTTTCAAAAGTTGTGCAATGTTTCTTAAGCACGGCGTTTCTTTTTCAATTTTGCCTTTTTTTTTTGAACCTTCGCCAAGAAAAAAACGTGATCTTTGTCATTAAAAAAACTAGAAAATGTGGTTCTATGTTTTATGAGAGATCAAGAGACCAAACTATTTTTGAATGAATGACTTTGAACGTGACTTTGAACCTTCTTCGATTAATTGACAAAGATCAGGTTTTCAGGATGTTTGTTAGGAGAGATCTTTGATATACCACGGTTAAAAATTTGTGAGAATCATGTATATGGTTTAATTGAACTGTCATAGGAATTAGGGATCGTGAAATTAAAAGTGGCTTGGGAGAATTATTGAAGTTTTTTTTAAAGAATTACCAAAATGGAACTCTGAGTTCTCAATTCCTAATTGAAACATACAAGTTTTTTTTTTGAAAAAAAGTTTTTAAAATTTTTTAAAATTGTTCAAGAAGCGTTATTTGAAAATCTGAAATTAGAGGATTTCCAGAAATCTCAAAATGTTAAGAATACACCACAGCTTTCTCCGAATTAGTCATCCAAAATCCTAATTTTATGATTCAGAAGGTTTTAAGAGTACAAAAATCCAATGTATTCCCCATGCATTTTTTTTGAAACTCACATAAAAATAAAGAAAAACAAATCCAGAAAAAATAACTTTCAAAATAGTTGTCTCCATTTGTTTTGTCCAAAACAAAACACTTCTCTCGCCAGAAAAAAATAAGTGAGAAAAAGGGAATATGAAATGACCAGTGTCCGAGAAAATCAATGTGTGCTCTTCCTACTTGGAAAAAAGGAGCCAGAGAAATAGAAGACTCAAAATTTGAATAAGGAAAAAAAAAGAAAGGAGACAGAGACGCATGGATAGCTTCCATTCTCACCAATTTCACCACCCTGGTTAATATTATTTACACAATTTTCATTTTTTTTTTCTGTTTTTGAAAACAAAAAAGTTCCATTTGTTCATTATGAAATACATCATTTTTGTTCGAAAATTCTTTGTGAAAATGGATTTCTCATTTCATCAATTATTGTCATTTGTCCATTTTGTAGTAATTTTCTATTTCTTCTTCTTTTTTTCTTGCTCTTTTTATTTCATTTTGTTTTCCCTGGTGGCTACATTTTATGGAGTATGAAATTTTGTTTTTGTTCTAGAAAAAAAAAGAAAGTTATTTTTCCAGTTTTTGTGAAACAAAAAATGTTTTCAATCAAATATAAGGAGTTATTTTTTTCAAATGAAAAATTGCTCTAAATTTCCATTTATCAATTCACACACTGTTGAGTTTGATTCCGAAACAAAATGTTTTCAGAATTTTTTTTCGATTTTTGGTTAAATTAGTTATTACGAAAGCTCTGAAATTCTTGACACAAAAATAAATAAGATCTGAAAGGTACAATTTTTCACTCTAAAATTCTGTGGCGAATATTCTCAAAGTTTCAAAATCAAATTCAGCTTCTCACATTCAGTATGAAAAATGAAAAAATTCTGAACAATTAGTGAACTGTTAGTCTTTTCCAACATATTTCCAATAAATCATTCTCCCTCCAATTTGCCAACATATTTTTCTATTTCCAATCCTTTTCTTGCATATTTACTAATCTATTCATTAATCATATTCAATACAACAAACCTCAAAAACACTGCAAAAATCAAAAGGCAAAGCGCCCTTCAACTAATGACTCACACATTCAAAAAGTGATTAATCACCACATCTCACACCATCAGCTTCTCTATTTTTTTTCTGCAAACAAAAATAATTTTCCATTTTCATTGACTCATCATTATACAATAAATCTTCTTGCTAGAAATTTATGTACTCTTCATTTGTCTGTGTGTTTTTTCCAATTCCACCGGAAAAAAAACTACCCATAAATCGTTTCTGCCTCATTCTACGCATCTTTTTCCCCTCGTTTTTTCATTCACAATGTTTTTGTGTTTTTTGGAAAACAACTAACCCCTTAGGACCATGGTCAGTTTTTTTATTCTGGGAAAAAAAGAGTTTTGAATTCGGAATTTTTAATTGTATTAACATAGTGACAAATGATACAATAATAATATGTTATCGATGTATTCAAATTTTATTCAAATTGTTTTTGACAGTTTTGGAAAACGACTTAATAGTGCATGTACAATTTGTGGAGGTGGTTTTGAATATTTCTTTGTTTTTGTCCAATACTTGGAACATGTTTGAGGTGGAAACTGTTTTTCGTAGCTAATTTCATTCACTTTTTCATAGTTAAAATCATTTTTGGAGAATAACCTAGTTTTTTGGTAAGTTCAATCTCTATTTTCATACGTTTTCAGAGTTTTTGTAATTCAAAATTGTTTTTCTGTGGATCACTTTTTCTCAGTTTTCGAATTTTTAAATTTTAGTTCGTAGATCAAATATTCTGTAGTGAAAATATTAATTTAATTTTTTAAATCTAAAATTTTTTGTAGATGAAATTTTCCAATTCCAGTTGTTTTATAGATAAAAAAACCCACTTGGATTGTTTTCTGAACTTTTTTCTCCTGATTCTATATTTTTTAAGCCTGTGAATTTTCTAGATTTTTTGAACCATAAGTTTTTAAAAACCACAGAATTTTTCTGTTGTTTCCATTATTTTCCCATCTTTAGCCTATTTCCAAATAACTTTTCTACAAGTTCAAAATAAGTATTGCACAGTATGCACATTTTTGTTTTTCGAAAAAATTGCCCGCACCTATTTGAACAAGCAACCGTAAAGCACCCGAATATGAATAAGAACAATATAAATAATAATATAAATATGAATACAGAAGAAAACCGTTAATTTTCCCCATTCCCTCCTTTCCTCTCCCTTTTCTCTCTGTCTCTCTCTCTCTCTCTCTCATTCCCTTCTTCCCTTTTTTCATCCCCGTCCGCGCACTCATTTGATCTGCGTCTCTTCTTCTCAAATGGTCAGTCGATGGATCGAATGTCTATTGTCTCTTCTATGAGCAATACTATTTCGAGGGTTTTTGTTGGTTGGGTGACCAAGCCAAAGTCTGAACCAGCCAAACAAGGAATGTATCGGCCATCGTTCTTCCACATATATTTATACACACACACACGCACATCGCCCTTTTTTCCCTCCTATATTCTTCTTTGTGTATGTCTTTCTATGTCTATGTTTCTTTTCAATCGATATTCGATTTTATTTTTGTGCGTGTTTTCTTAACTCAGTCAACAACTCAGCTGTTCTAATTTTTCCTATGTTTTCTAAATTTTGAAATTTAACAATTTCTTTATAAGTCAGAATTATTAGATTCCAATTTCTAATTTTTGCAAGAAAAATATTTGACCACGTCCGGATCAATTTCGTTTATATTTTTCTGGAGTTATTTCCCGGGATTTTTAACTCTGAAAAGTTTCATGTTTTTCTGACCTTTTCTAATTAAAAAAAAAACAAGTTTTTCAGAACTTTGAGATTTCAATTTCAATTTTTGTTTAAAAAATATCTGACCACATCCGGGTCAATTTTTCTGAAGTTCTTGTTTTGAACTTTTATTGTTTTGAAAATTAATCTGATTGATTTTAGAATTTTGAAATTAAAAAAAAACAAGTTTTTCTTGAATTTTTTGGAATTTTGTATTTCCGGTGTCTTTGTTCTAATTTTCAAAATTTTTCAAAAACCCCGCTTTTCTGTTTAAAAAAAGTGTTCATATTTTTCTCATGATCTAAAACTTTCCCAAGTTTCCGGTGCCTTTTCATTTTTCAAAAAACATCTGACCACTTCCACATCCGGCTCATTTTCCCATGTTTTTTCCCAATTTCCTGTTTTTTTTCCTGCATTTTGATTTGTGTTAAAACAATCACAATCATCGATGGGAAACAAAATATTTGAATTTATGAATTTTTAATTTTCATGGGAATTATACATTGTTTCGTTGAAAAATCTGAAATATACTCGAATTTAGTTATTTTCAAAGTTGTGCCTCTAGAGATTTGTCAATAATTTTCTTTGTTTTTATTTGCGCAACTTTACTAAAAAATTATTTTTACAAAGTAGCTAAAAATAATTTTTCTAGGTGGCTTTCAAGTTATCAGAACTTGAAAAATATTTTGGATGTTTTTTGAAATTGTGAAAATTGTATCCGAATCTAATTCTAGGCTGATAAAAATCTGTGATTGAAGATATTCGTTCTGAACTTCTAATTCTAACTTTTTTTTGAAATTCTAAGCCTGATATGTAATTAAAATGTAGCTGAAAATAATATACCTCTTCATATTTCTAAACATCAATACAATTTCTAATTTTTCTTCCGAGATCCAGAATCTTGAACTCAACTGGAAATTGAACTTTTCCAGTGTTTCATGAAGGCCAAACTTCTTAGAATTTTCTGAACCCAATTCCAATTGATAATTTCAAAGATCCCTCCCCTATCCTAAAAGTTTATTATTCATCCTTATATATCATATAAAATTTCCAATCTTTCCCCTTCTCTCATTTTTCCGTCGTTTTCCGAAATTTTATCTTTTGTCGATACCGTCTCCGTCAGATCATCTAAATTCCATTATTCACCATCCCGCAAAAATTCCACTGTTTTATCTATTTATGAATATAAATCTAACCTAAAAATATGAATAAAAATAAAAATAAGAATGACCGATGCTTATCAAAAACACAAATGTATTTCTATTTCTATTTCTAAATATATAAATATAAATATATATACACATATATATGTGTGTGTGTATTTTTGAATCAACAATAACATGGCTAGCAATACTTGAGCACATAGAGCAGAACACTTAAGAAATTATTGTTTTAGTGTTATTTTCTAACATTATTTGTTTTGATTTCCAACAATAACTAGATCGATAATGTGCTATTTTTTTTGTCCGAGGTTTTCTGCAAAATTTTCTGGAGATAATCTTTGGTAGCTGGGCAAAACATATTTACATTAGGTGGATTTCCTTTTCTTCTAGCTTCAAATCACTTAAAACAAAAGATTGATTAGATGTTTTACGACTTCGTTGAAATAGAAAAACATTTGTTGATTATTATTGTTTTTAGGGAAAGGGGGGAGGGATACTGTAGTTAATTATGGGAAAATTGTGGTTTTCGAATTAGGAAATAGATGAGAATAAATATACTGTAAATACGAAAGTCGGGAAACACTTTAGATATCAATTTTTTGGCTCAACCCCGAAAATTTTGAAACTTTTTGAGGTAGATCAAAAATGTTTCTACAGGTTTTCGAAATCCAAGCCATTTTTTTCTGAAAATTTTCTGATCTTCGCATTTCTTGAAAGAAATTTCTTCATCATGATTCATGTAATGATACTGAAATCAATCATATTTTCATTGTCTATCAGAAAAATGAAAAAAATGACTTGTCTGATCTTTCATTTCATTTCGGAACACCAAAAAAAAACAACAACAAAAACATCGTTCTCATGTTCTTGACAATCAAAATGAAAATCGAGTGAAACGTGTCAAGATCCACTTGAGCCATATAGATTAAATTACAAGACTTCCTCCCCCTTCTACAAAAAAAACTGAACACCTAAATAGTATTTATTCATTTATGTCTTGTTGAACATGCTATTTATCTATCTATCAGTCCCTCCCTTTTTTGATGATGAAGAAAAAAAAGAGAAAAAGATGGATGAGATGAATAATGATAAAGTGTTATGTTCGGTATGTTGTTCATGTTTAATTTTATTTGATGATGAAAGTGTTCGGAGAAATAAAGATGAACAAAATCAGGTTCAGTCCCTTCTTTCTCATTTCGTTAATTCCTTATATTCACTTCTCATTTATTCGTCCTGATCAGTTTATGTATGAACATTTTTGGTTTTTGACTATTCGCTTTTTGTTTGCCTCGCGTCAGGCTTGAATTAATTTTTTTCGATACATATGAGTGAGTGAAACTTGATGTTTTGCTCAATACTTTGAACAAATATTGTTGATCTTCTGATTTTCAGTTGTTTTTTTTTGCTATGTGGGAGAAGGGGAGGAAGTTTTTACGTGAAAAATTTTGGGCACCTAAAAATAAAATGGATTTTTTTATCAGAAACTCCAGAATTTTTGGAAAATTGTGGTTATAGTTTTCAATTCACAAGATTTCGAGAAAATTTCCCAATAACTATCCAAAGTTTCTCAATAAAAATTTTGATCTACCCAAGAAAAATTAGAACCCCAGAAATTCAGGCTAGTGAAAAACACAATGCCTCCCTCCCTAAACATTTTCTGGTTCCCATATATATTCGGCGAGTCCTTGAAAAGTGCAAAAATGTTTGATTTTCCCACATTCAGCTAGCTCATTTTGAACCTTCTATTCAATCCTTCCATTTCATTCGTTCCATTTCTTCTTCTTCTTCTTCTTTCTGTCCTTTTTTTTGCTGCTCCTGCTGCTTTTTCTTTAATATTTGTTCTCGATGACCAGCTTTCGATGTTTTTCTACATCGCACCAGGAAAAAACGAACGAAACGAAACGCAAAGGAAAGCAAAGGCATTTCGTTTTCGGTCACACTTTTTTTTCGTTGTATTTTCTCCGAAAGTTTTATTAACATGAGTCATTAGTCATATAAATATGGGTTTGACACGATATGTGTTTCATTCTGATGTTTTTATAAAAAGCTTTTCGTTTTTTTTTGCGTCTAAAAATAACTGGGAAAAATGTTATGAATTTCTCGCGATTCCAAATAAAATGATGTTTTGTTTTGTTTTTGTTTCTTATCAAATTCCTGTTGAAACATTGAATGATTCATATTTGAAAATTATTGACTCATTTGATCTTTAGAAAAATCATCAGGCATAAAAAAGAGGTTACTGATAATAAAACAGTTTACAACAAACATATGCATTTCTAAATACTAATATTTTCCTGTTTTTTTTCTCTGTTGATCACTGATCATTTTTCCTTCCGCGCGGTAAGAATGAAGAAGAACGGACCTTGTAGTGTAAGCGGTCGGGCTTGAAAAGCGAATTATAACATAAATCGCAAAAGTAAACATCATCATGCTTGCACATGCTGACGAGAAGAAAACGAGCACCATACAACAAAGACAAAATGTGTGTGTGTGTTGTGTCTGACATTTTGACTTTTTTTGGCGTAGAAGAATTTGATTTGTTGAAAGGGTGTGAATTTCTGAATGTGAGCTCATCATTTTTTTTGTCAAGGTTAGGGCGTGTTGAACATCTGCCGACATTTTTGATCAAAATGTTGAGGGGAAAGGGTTTCTTAAAAGTTAGGGTAACTTTGGAATGATGAAATCCCAGAGATTTTTCTCTTGTGAGGCCTAAACATATCGTAAAAAATTTTTAAAAATTATTTTTAAAACGTTTTACTTTTTAATTTTTGAAATCCATTTTTCTGAAAAAGGCTTATTATTTTGTCGAGGTTAGTGTGTGAGCCGACTTTTTTAATCCAAATTTTGAGAGCTCAAACTTTTCGAGCCTCTCCAAAGTTAGGGTAACTTTAAATAATCAAAAACCCAGAAAATTTCCTAGGAAGCCTAGAACTTTTGTGGAAAATTATTCCATAAAACTTTTTCACAATATGTAATATTATTTTTTTCTTAAAATCTGCTTATGTTTTTCTAAAAGAACCCTGACTTATATCGTTCGTTCTCACTTTCTTGTTTAATTATGTTATCATTTTTTCCGCGTCAACCAAAATATTTTATTTTATCAATAACTTTTCCTGACTCATTACTTTATTTTCTCAATTTCATATTTCATTCTCCTTTCTCAAAATTCTTCAAATCTTTCTTTTTCTGAAACAATCTAATCGTCAAATCTCCTTTTCTTCATAAATAACTTGCGGCGATCAAGACAATGATACTATTCTTCTTATGCGCGAAACGATTGAATAAGAATACATAGTGCATAATGTTATCCCGAAAAGAAATCTTGATCTTCACGCAAATGCGCAGAACAACAACAAAAACAATAGTTGGAGTAATAATAATAATAATGGAAGAATAAGAAAAGATGAATGAAATCGGATGTGTGTAGGTGACAAATAGTCAAGATGAAGGGAAAAGATGATGATGATGATGATGAGGCAAAAAAAAGAGAAGAAGAGGTGGAGACCCCCGCAAAAATGTATCAAGGACACCTTCCATTTTCGGGCTTGTCTTGTCCTGCCTTGTTATTTCATTTCATCTCTCATGTTTTTTCGGTTCCCACTTGTCTCTCAGATTTTTCAATATCTTCTCTTCTGATTTATTTATCACATACACATAGTTTACCGATACATTTTATCAATAATAATAATAGTTGAATTTGACCTACCTAGAAAAATATGAGGAAGAGAAGGAGAAGAAGAACAATTAAATTGTAAATGAGGGGTAACCTTGGACATTCCTTTGTTTTTCACAGACTTTTGAAATGACCAAAAATTCCTCTGTATATGTACATATAGGCATAAAAATTTTATGTTGTTTTGATATGATTTTGAAAAAAAAACAACATTGATAAAATTTTCGTATCACTCGGGGAAACACAAATAATCTGAAAATCCGCTTTTTTCTCATTTTTCTGATTTCTAACTAACTATACATAGTTCCAAGCACCTCTTTTGTTTCTTCTTTTTCTTATTTGTCATAAAAGGAACAATATTATTTTTTATTAATAATATTGTTTATTTTTGGTATGTTTTGAGAGAAGAAAAAACGATGTCAAACGCCATGATTCATCCTCACCGCCTCCTTTTTTTCCACATTTTTTTTGTCAAATTTTCATTCCGCTCTCCTTTGCCGCATTTCATTTGTTTCAAAAAATACAAAAAAAAATAAAAATTTGCAGCTTCTCGATAGCGATTCGATTCGATGGGTGACCTGCAGTATCTGCAGGTTCAACGGGCGGCTGTAGCTGATCCGGCGACACTTGCCGCATGGGCTCAGAAGAAATTGTGTTGGGTACCAGATCAAAATGAGGGATTTTTGTTAGGATCCATCAAGTGAGTGAAGTTTGATTTGGGAATAGGGGTGTCACATTTCGTACTGTAGATTTTGTAGAAGTACTGTAGATTTTGGCACAATTAATTATCGAAATTCCATTTTCAAAAATTACAACTCTGAAAATAATTCAGAGCGTGACAAAATTTGAAAAAGTCTCTAAAAATTTAAGCAAATTTGAAACACGTAAAAATTTTCAGCATTGTCTAGTTTAGGCTTTTTCTGAAACCGGAGTTTTCCAGAAAAATCTAATTTTGATTTTTCACATTAAATTTTAGTTTTCAAGGTTTCTATTAATATTATGAGATTCTAGAAAAGTTTCACAATATTCTGGAATTTTAAAATTTTGCCACGTCAACTCATGTTCTAATTCGATTCTGATGTGAATTTTTTTGCAAAATCAAACTGAGTAGCTTTTTTCAGCATTAGTCATTTCATAAGTTTAGAAGTTATTCTGAATCCGATGTTTTATTCAGAAAAAAAAAACATTTTTTTCCCAAAATTCTAACAAAAATTAGGAAACTTTAGGAAAGTTCCACAAATTTTTGAAATTATTTGAATTTTGCCACGTCATAACTCAGTTCACAGTTGACTATAACCATTTCTAACATCAGGATCCTGATCAACGGATTTGAAATCTCTTAGAGCCTGAAAAACCATATTTCCCCTTCCCTAGATCCATTTTTTTTCCGAGAAAATCAATATTTCGGAATTAAAACAAAACAAAAAAAACATTCGACCACACACTCACACACTTTCAAGGTTAATGGGAATAATCCCCCCACTTCAACCTATCAAACATCAATTTATTGTTATGTTTTCAAATTTCTTGAAAAGGGACCACCCATATTGTTTTATCAATAAAGACCACCAAATTTCTAGAATGTACATATTTTTCTCAAAAACCAATTCGGTTTGACACATTTCTGAGTGTGTCATATAGATTATTATTTTATTTGTCAGTCAGTCAGCGGGTTTTCGTATTGGGTGGTAATATTTGTTTAACACACATATTTTTCTTTGAGGTTGTGAAACATACTTGACAGCCAGTCAACCAGCAAAAAAATAACAAGGGGTTTGTTTTTGTAGAAATCAGACGAATGATGAAGTTCTCGTGGAATTGTGTGATTCTGGGCGACAAGTTACGATAAGTAAAGATGATGTGCAGAAAGCGAATCCGCCGAAATTTGACAAAGTTGAGGATATGTCAGAGTTGACTTATTTGAATGAAGCATCGGTTTTGCATAATCTCAAGGAACGATATTATAGCAGTCTTATTTATGTAAGCAAGAATTTTGTATTTTTTAAAGAAGGAGGCTGTGTTAGAAGGTTTTTGAGCTTTCGAGCCTAGTTAAAGAGCTCTTAATTTCGAAAAATTGCCTCCACAAGCTTGACTGAACAGAATTTTCAAAAAACCTTTTTCAGACATATTCTGGTCTCTTCTGCGTTGTCATCAATCCCTACAAACGTCTCCCAATTTATTCCGAAAGTTTGATCGACGAATTCAAAGGCAAAAAACGACACGAAATGCCACCACACATTTTTGCGATTGCTGACACCGCATACCGATCGATGCTTCAAGAGCGAGAAGATCAATCGATTTTATGTACCGGAGAATCGGGAGCTGGTAAAACTGAGAATACCAAAAAAGTTATTCAATATTTGGCACATGTTGCGGGAGCAACTAGAAATAAAGGACAAGCTCCACCAAATGGACCACAAAAGGTATGAAAACCAGAAATTTTTATAGAATTTTGAAATATAAAAAATAATCTGGAGATCCTAAATAAAATGATAGTTTTAGCTAGTAGTAGATCCGCGAAGTCCAATCGTAAGTTTGTGTTGTTAATTTTTCATTGTGATTTGATTTGATTTTGAAGTGTAGTGTATTTATTTCAAAACTTGTAATAATTCAGTACAAAAACTGTCATATTTTACATATATGTCAATTATTTTCTCTCATGCTGTATTTAACAAAAATGTCTTTCTCTCAAAAATTAACATAACATTGTGCTCTAAAATGTGAAAAAAATGCTCGATCTTATTGAAAAAAATGCTTTCAACAAGCTTTTACCCGAGCAAAACATCGTGATGTGCGTGTTTGTGTATTTATGAACCTGATATTAATTAAAATTAAAAATAATTAAAATTTCAGGGCGAATTGGAGCACCAACTTCTTCAAGCTAACCCAATTCTTGAAGCTTTCGGTAACTCGAAAACTGTGAAAAATGACAATTCTTCACGTTTTGTAAGTTAATTCGAACTCTTGAAATTCTGAAATTTCAAAAAAAAATATTTCAGGGTAAATTCATTCGAATCAATTTCGATATGTCTGGTTATATCAGTGGAGCAAACATTGAATTCTATCTCCTCGAAAAATCTCGTGTACTTCGACAAGCTTTTGATGAGCGAAGTTTTCATATTTTCTATCAGATTTTGAGAGGATGCAGTGCACAAGAGAAAAGTAATTAGATGAAAATTTTCAGAAAAAAATCATCATTTTCCAGATGAATATTTATTGGAGAGTGTTGATAATTATCGATTTTTGGTGAATCACGGAATCACTTTACCAAATGTTGATGATGTTCAAGAATTCCACAGCACAATTAAATCGATGAAAATTATGGGTTTCGCTGATGATGAGATTTCTTGTAAGTTCACAAGATAAATTTTGAACTGGGAGTGATTTCAAGAATTTCTGAATTGAACCAGGGGACTATAAATTTTCTATAAAGCCAAATTCTTAGGCTTCTGAAGCTCCTAGTTCTCAACTATCCCCCTTTCCACAATCAAAACCCCTTCTTCCAGCAATTCTCCGTGTTGTCTCTGCTGTTCTCCTCCTCGGAAACCTCGAATTCTTCCAAGAGAAAAAATCCGATCAAGCAATCCTCCCAGATGATCGAGTCATCCAAAAAATCTGTCATTTACTCGGCCTCCCAGTCATTGAATTGAGCAAAGCTTTCTTGAGACCAAGAATCAAGGTTGGAAGAGAATTCGTCAACAAAGCTCAAAATAAAGAGCAAGCTGAATTTGCTGTTGAAGCTATTGCAAAAGCTTGTTATGAGAGACTTTTCAAATGGTTGGTCACCAGAATTAATAAGTCACTTGATAGAACTCATCGACAAGGTGCTTCTTTTATCGGAATTCTTGATATTGCTGGGTGAGTTTTTTTTTTGAAAAAATTTTTAATATCATGTTTTAATTCTGTTTTTTTTTCAGTTTCGAAATCTTTGATATCAATTCATTTGAACAAATTTGTATTAACTACACCAATGAGAAACTCCAACAACTTTTCAACAACACAATGTTCATTTTGGAGCAAGAAGAATATCAAAGAGAAGGAATTGAATGGGATTTCATCGATTTCGGATTAGATCTTCAACCAACAATTGATCTTATTGAAAAACCAATGGGAGTTTTGGCATTGCTTGATGAAGAATGTTTGTTCCCAAAAGCAAATGACAAAACATTTGTTGAGAAATTGCAAAAAACTCACACCAAACATCCAAAATTCATTGTTCCCGATATGAGATCAAAGAGTCATTTTGCTGTTGTTCACTACGCTGGTCGTGTCGATTATTCGGCTGATCAATGGTTGATGAAAAATATGGACCCATTGAATGAGAATGTTGTTAGTCTTATGCAAAATTCAACTGATTCGTTTGTCGGTGGAATTTGGAAAGATGGTAGGTTCTATGAATAATTTTTAGAAAAAAAAATCATTTATGTTTTTCAGCTGAATTCGCCAGTATTTGTGCTGCTGAAATGAATGAGACCGCGTTTGGAATGAGATCAAGAAAGGGAATGTTCAGAACTGTTTCACAATTGCACAAAGAGCAATTGACTCGATTGATGACAACACTTCGTAACACATCTCCACATTTTGTTCGTTGTATCATTCCAAATCACGAAAAGAAAGCTGGAAAAATCAACTCAAATCTTGTTTTGGAGCAATTGAGATGCAATGGTGTTTTGGAAGGAATTCGTATTTGCCGTCAAGGTTTCCCGAATCGTGTACCATTCCAAGAATTCCGTCATCGATATGAGATTCTGACACCAGATGTGATTCCAAAACATTTTATTGATGGAAAAGAATCTGTTAGAAAAATGATCACTGCTTTGGATATTGATTCGAATTTATATCGAATTGGTCAATCAAAAGTGTTCTTTAGAACTGGAGTTTTGGCTCATCTTGAAGAAGAAAGAGATTTGAAATTGACTGCTTTGATCATGAATTTCCAAGCTCAATGTAGAGGATTTTTGTCGAGAAGACTTTACATGAAAAGAATGCAACAATCGAGTGCAATTCGGGTTATTCAAAGAAATGGTCTTGCTTATCTCAAACTTCGTAATTGGCAATGGTGGAGATTGTTCACCAAAGTCAAGCCACTTCTTCAAGTTACTCGAACTGACGATGAAATTCGCGCTAAAGATGATGAGCTTCGCGCAACCAAAGAACGACTTATCAAAATGGAAACCGATTTTAAGGATAATCAAAAGAAATTGGATCAAGTATTGGTTGAACGCACAGTTATTCAAGAACAGCTTCAACAGGAAGCCGAGAATAGCGCCGAGTTAGAAGAAATTCGCAATCGTCTACAAAGCAAAAAAGACGAGCTCGAGTATGTGGTCAATGAAATGCGTGATCGATTGGCTGAAGAAGAGCAAAGAAATGAGAAGGTCCATGAAGAACGACGAAAACAACAAGAAACTGTTCGAGATTTGGAGGAGCAATTAGAACAAGAAGAGCAAGCTAGACAAAAGCTTTTGTTGGATAAGACAAATGTTGATCAGAAATTGAGAAATCTTGAAGAACGTCTAGTTGAACTTCAAGACGCTTATGATAAATTGCTCAAAGAGAAGAAGATCCTTGAAGAAAAAGTTGAAGCACTCACAACTCAACTACTTGATCATGAAGAACGTGCCAAGCATGGAATCAAAGCCAAAGGTCGTTTGGAAAATCAATTGCACGAATTGGAACAAGATTTGAATCGTGAGCGACAAGTTCGCGCTGAATTGGATCAACAAAAACGAAAACTTCTTGCTGAATTGGATGATAGCAAAGATCATCTTGAAGAGAAAATGGCTAAAGTTGAAGAGCTCAATAATCAATTGATTAAGAGAGATGAAGAACTTCAAAATCAATTGACTAAATATGATGAGGAATCTGCAAATGTTACATTGATGCAAAAACAAATGCGAGATATGCAAACAACAATTGATGAATTGCGTGAAGATATTGAGACAGAAAGAAATGCCAGAAATAAGGCCGAAGTGACAAGAAGGTGAGTATTTTTGTTTGAACAATACCTGTCTCACAGTTGACAGGTAGATTTCTAGATAGTTAGAAGTAATTATAATTATATTTTTATTCTAATATGACTCTATATGCTTTTCCATTCAGAGAAGTTGTTGCACAACTCGAAAAAGTGAAAGGAGATGTTCTTGACAAAGTCGACGAGGCTACAATGCTTCAAGATTTGATGTCGCGAAAAGATGAAGAAGTCAATAATACCAAACGTGCTTTGGAACAAGTTCAACATGTTCTTGAAGGAAAGATGGAGGAGCAAAAAGCCAAGTTCAATCGGCAAATTGAAGATCTTCATGAGCAAATTGAGCAACAAAAGAAAGCCAGAGGACAATTGGAGAAAGTTCAATTGCAAGCCGAACAAGATAGAGTAAGTACAATTTTTTATCTGCAAAAAAAACAAAAAATGTTTTTAGGCTGACATGGTTCAAGAAATCGCGTTGCTCCAATCAAGCAGAGGTGAAATCGATAAGAAGCGTAAAAATCATGAAGCTCATCTTATGGAACTTCAAGCGAATTTGGCTGAAAGTGAAGAGCACAAACGAGCATTGATTGATCAATTAGAAAAGGTGAGTAACTCCGAATTTCTCAGCCAAAATCAAAAAAAAAATGTTTCAGACCAGAGAAGAATTCGATCATCTCAATCGTGTTCGAGAAGAGGAAGAGCATGCCTTTGGAAATATGCAAAGAAAACTTGCCGCCGCTGAAGGACAAATTCAAGAGCTCAATGAACAAATTCAAGAGGAAACTCGCGCTAAAATTGCTCAAATCAACAAAGTTCGACAATTGGAAGATGAACGAAATGCACTTCTTGAAGAAAAAGATGAAGCTGAAGGATTCCGTGCACATCTTGAAAAAGAAATTGGTTTGGCTAGACAACAAGTTGGTGAAGCCAGAAGAAAGGCGGAAGATGGTGTTAATCAACAAATTGAAGAGCTCCGAAAGAAACATTTGAGAGATATTGAGAATCTTCAACAACAATTGGAAGAAAGTGAACAACAGAAGGAGAGAATTGGGCAGAGTAAGAAGAAGGTTCAACAAGAGTTTGAAGATGTTGCGATGGAATTGGAGAATATTCGAAGTTCTCATCGTGATGCTGAAAAACGACAAAAGAAATTCGAAACTCAAATGGCTGAAGAACGCGCTGCTGTTCAGAAGGCACTTATTGATCGAGATGCGATTGCTCAAGAATCAAGAGATCGTGAGACAAGAATTTTATCGTTGTTGAATGAAGTTGATCTGATGAAAGAGCAATTAGAAGAATCTGATAGACATCGAAGACAACTTCAACAAGAATTGCAAGATTCTGTAAGTCAATTTTTTAAAAAGAAATTTTTGCAATAACTCCTGAATTTTCCAGATCTCAAACAAAGATGACGTTGGAAAGAATGCACATGAACTTGAAAAAGCGAAACGTGCCCTTGAAGCTGAACTTGTTGATATTCGAGTCACTATGGAAGAACTTGAAGACAACCTTCAAATCGCGGAAGATGCTCGTCTTCGCCTTGAAGTCAACAATCAAGCATTGAGAGCTGAAAATGAGAGAGCTTTGAACAATAAAGATGTTGAGGCTGAAGAGAAACGAAGAAATCTTGTCAAACAAATTCGTGATCTTGAAATTGAATTGGAAAATGAGAGACGTGGTCGAACTGGAGCTGTTAGTCACAAAAAGAAAATGGAATCTCATATTGGTGAACTTGAACAACAATTGGAAGTTTCTAATCGATTGAAAGAAGAATATAACAAACAATTGAAAAAGAATCAACAGATCATCAAGGATTATCAAATTGAATGTGAAGAAACTCGTCAAGCTAAAGAAGAATTTGCGGCTCAATTGAGAGATGTTGAAAGACGTTTGAGAGCTGTTGAAACTGAACGAGAACAACTTCGTGAAGCCAATGAGGGACTTTTGGCTATTCGCAAACAACTCGAATTTGAGAATGACGAGTTAGAAGAACTCCGCTCAAAGGTTAGTAACTTTTCATTTCCTCTGCCAAATTATATTTCTAGAGTCAGGATACTTTAAAAAGAAAACATGTAAGTTGTACGGTACGATCAGAAAAATCCCGCATGAAAATTTAAAAAAATCAAGAATGAACATACAAAGTAGAATGAAAGAACGGTGTGAGAGAGATTGAAAATTATCCTGAATGACTTGTTAGATGATCCCGAATGAATGAAAATTTTAGAAGAAAATTTCAACCTTTATTTTTCAGGGAGGTGGTGTCAGTTCTGAAGAGAAACGTAGACTTGAAGCCAAGATTGCTCAACTCGAAGAAGAATTGGAAGAAGAGCAAAGTAATTGTGAAGTTGCGATTGATAAACAACGCAAAGCTCAACTTCAACTCGAACAAATCACCACTGAATTGTCAGCTGAACGTAATCTCAACCAAAAAACAGATGCTGAGAAACAAGCGTTAGAAAGAGCTTGCCGTGATATGAAAGCCAAGATCACTGAACTCGAATCTGGAGCTCAATCTCGTTCGCGCGCTCAAATGTCGGCTTTGGAAGCCAAGATTCAATATTTGGAAGATCAATTGAATACGGAGAATCAAGATCGAACTGCTGCTAATAGAGCTGCAAGAAGATTGGAGAAACGTTTGAATGATTTGACACAACAATTGGAGGATGAAAAACGAAATGGAGAACAAAGCAAAGAATTGGTAAGGTTTTTTCGAACTGCAAAGAATTCCCAGCTGTCTTTGATATTCGATAAATTTTAAATAAAAATAATTTTCAGCTCGAGAAATCCAACATCAAACAAAGAAACATCCGCCGTCAAATGGATGAACTTGAAGAAGAATTATCACGTGAACGCACCAAAGTTCGAAACCTCCAAAGAGAAGCTGACGATCTTCAAGACGCCAATGATCAACTCAGCAGAGAGATTTCAAATCTTCGCGGAAACGCGAATCGTCGTCGCGCCGAAAACTTGCGACTACGAAAAGCGTTTGAAATTCCTGGATCAAGCGATAATCTTGCCCGAGAAGATGAGAATGAATCAAATGTTTCTGGATCAGAACATGCTGATCGAATGTCAGTTAATTAATTAATCGATTAATTGAACAACAATAAGTATATCGAAGGTCACACTGAAATCCACCTCGCTTAATTTTTTCTATTTTTTCTCGACTTTATTCTTTTTCCAAATTCAAATCTTCAAACATATCCAATTATTTGCTTATCATCAAAAATTGTCTCAATCAATCAAATTGCTTGCTCCTACGGGGTTTTTCTATATATTTTTTCGTGTTTTTTCCCATCCGCCTTTTAGAAAATGTTTCTGAACCTAACGAATCAAAGTATGTGTATTGTTTTGTTATGTGTAATCGCTTATCACTTGAAAAATAATGTTTTTTTTTTGGAATATTAATTTATGTTAACTTACTTTCTTATTTGCATATTTTATTCTGCTTTTGCCGGTGGATAGAAAAAAGTTGAACTTTTCACTGAAATAATATTTTTTTTATGAATTTGCTATGGTTTATTTCCAATCGATTGTGTCACTTTTTAAAATAAATAATTTTTTAATAGTTTTTTTTTGTTTGAGAAGAAGTATTTAAAGATCTGGTATCAAAAAACGGAAGCAAATTTTCTTCAACTTCAATTTTTCCATAGATTTGAACCAACGACAATTCGGGCAAAACAAAATTTCATTTAATAAATTCAAATGAATCTTTCACATGTGAATATTTTTGGATCTTTGCGAAAAAAATTTCTAAAATGTACATCAGAAACTCAAAAATTCAGAAAAATATTCGATAACCTTTTCCCGCTAGAAAAAATTCAGAGTTTGGGCAGAGGTTTCCCTGTTTTTCACTAAAATTTAGAGCTGAATTTGAATAGAAGTCATAATATTTTTATCTGGAAAATCTTGAGTTTTCAATTGAAAATTCAAAATTTGGGCAGAGGTTTCCCTGTTTTTCACTGAAGGTTAGAGCTGAAAATCAATAAATTCCTAAAATTCCCAACTGGGAAACCTCAGGATTTCAATTGACAATTCAAATTTGGCGTTCTCCGTTGAACGAAACGCAACTTGGCCAACTGCAATGAGTTTTGAAATGGCAGGTCATTCACCTTCACGAATGCGATTTGGATTCTGGTATGTGGTCCAAATTGTTAAATCAGCAAAGAGTTCATATTTAATCTTTCATATTTAATCGAATTGGATATCAATATTCTTTATGACTGGAATTAAATCGATATTGAACAAATTTTTATTGCACATTGGAAATGAAATTTAAAAAAAAAATTATTGCGATAAAAATTTTTTTAACAGCGTTCATCTTGGTTGCTCCAGCTCGGGAATTTTTTCCCACTCCTTTGTTGATTTTGTTTTTTTTTTGCTATATACATATTTTGGCACCAGGGAAGTTGTTGCCACTGGTGCCTGCCTTGCGCTGAAAATTATGTAAATTATTACTTGTTACTTTAGAAAAAAAAAAACTCACGAAATTAGTGATTGCCATTGAATCTTCTAACTCTGTCCAGTGGAGTTTAACAATTGGCAACACTTCGTCTTCCTCCAACTCGTGGAACGGTATTTGATACCCTGCTTCAAAGTCTGCATAATACTGGTGAATTGATGCAGAAGCGACAGTGGCTGCCATTCGTCCGGATCTTGTTGGCATTGGTTGAATTGCTGGCACATAGAAAACGGCAGTGGGTCCCGAACTGTTTCTTAGCGAATTTCTTTCGGGCTGTGGTGCAGTTTGATTTGATGGAGCACAAGCTGCGGCGGCGCGTTTTCTGTTTGTTGTAGCAGATGGTGTAACCGTTCGATAAGGCCGGTGCTGGAGGGAGATGCTGCAGTTGTGGATCCCATTGAAGAAAATGGTACTGCGTTGAAAACAGTATCGCAGCTCGCAAAAACATTGCATCCCTGTGTCGACGAGCCGCCATTTCACGATCATGAGACGATTGAGCTCGATGTGATATATCAATGATCGCATCGTGTTCGATTTCAACTATGTTCGGATCGATAAAACAGTGAATATCTTCCCATCCTTTTGCTCGACATGGAGAATTTTTTTGAAGCATGCTGATGTTATTGAAATCGAATGACAATAATTGCCTTCGAAGTTGTCCGACTTTAGGATTGTTCCTGGTCCTGGACGCCCCATAATGTCTTGCACATCTTCGTCAGTGTCGCGATATGCTTGATCGTGTGGTAGTCGTGGAGAATGAGGCAATCGATCATCGAGCCGATATGCTTCTTGTTGATTCCCATTATTTCCGACCGATTGAAGAATTCGCCTATACAAATCATATTGCGATCAGCGCAGAACCTGGTTGTGAATGTGAACACTTCCATCTTCCATGTGAATAAACGATCGGGAAGTTTCGCTTGGCGGGGCGGAACTCCTTGGTTGTGGCATATTATCGTTCGGCATCCTCAAACGATAAATTGGAATCCGACTCGCTGATGACTGTTTTCAGAAGTCGTTGGCAACATATCGATGGGTGACTGGTTCGGCAAATCAGCAACACGTCGATGATGATGCTCAACTTGAGGATTTTGAGTGGAGAGCGGGCAGCGAATTGGCTGACTCGGTCGCTGGAAAATTAATTCTGATTGTCAACTAATATTTTTAGATTGATCGTTTCTTCAGAAATTCTTCATTTTGGGAAAAATTTGGATTAGAAAAAAATCTAAATTCGCTTACCTCTTCAACATTGGATGATCTTCGGAGTCCAGTCATTGTTGCTGGTGGTGGTGATGTGGCTTTTGAGTTGCGATGAGACATCACTGAATAAGTTGGTGAAACTTGAAAATATACCCTGAAAATGAAAACAAAATTTTTTTTGAAAGATAGTAGAATTCAAAAGTAGTGAGCGAAAATATTAGAGAATTCAAAATCAAATGCGTTTTTTGAAGAACTTTCCAAAAAGCGGAAAATTGAAAAAATTAATCTTTTAGCATTCATCGATTAAACAACATAAGCGTTAGTCAGGACAATACTAAACTGGCGTCCTTTTCCTCCCCCTTCCTGTTTTTTTTTTTTTTTTGAGTTTATATATAAAAGATGAAAGACTATATTATAGCCGACGGGTCAAGTTGATAGGAAAAAAGAGAGGAGATATGTGATGCATATTGTCAAAAAAATATGGCAGAAAATAAATAAAGAAACGTGAAAATTTTCAGCAAACCCATATCGTTGGAGGCGTTGCGGTCACGCGATGTGTGTTTCATTTTTGAAAATTTGCTTGAAAAAATGAAAAAAATGAATAAAATTCTGAAAATGAAGCACGTATCGCGTGACCGCGACGCCCCCAACGACATGAGTTTTCAGAAAGTGTTCACGTTTCTTTTTTTATTTTCTGCCATCTATTTTGATTTCAACAATATGTATAGTATTGTTTTTTTATAGAAATGAGCACCAACATTGAAAAGTCACAATTTATACAAAAAATTAATCAATAAATTAAATGTGTTGTAATATAGTTATGCCTTTCAGTAAACTACATAATTCCAGCAAACTAAATTCAATATCCACACTTCGTGCACATTCTGGGTGTGATGTTGAAAAGAAACAGGATATAATTGTCAAAATAACTTTCCCCATGTATGTATTTTTTTGGAAAATCTTTGCGGAATTCATGATCCTGAATTGTACATTAGAAATTACAAAATTCAGAATCAGAGGTAGACCTTACAGTTAAGAGTCGTTCTACATCTTCTACCAAACTTTGGATCAACCTGCACAATTCGACCGGATGAACTTCTTCTGTGAGGAATTCGATGATTGCTGGAACAACCACATTTTGCAAATCATGTGGAAGATTATGTTCCAACAATTTTTGATTAAAAAATTCGACAACTTCATTGTTTTTTTTCATTACTTCTTGAAGGAATGTATGGTATGAAATGTTTTTGTGTTGGAAATGTTTAGTGCGCAACTGGAAAGAAGATTTGTCTTGATTTTTTAAAATGAATTTGGGAATCAGACCTCGATACTTTTTCCTTCTTCGATTCGCCGTTTTAAACCAGTGAAAAAATAATAAAATTCATTCTCGTGTTTATTTGTTTTCTTGTCCAACTTCCAAACTTTAACCATCAGTTTTGAGAATTTATCTTGCATTTCAGGAACCTGGAAAATCACTATTCAATTTAAAAAAAAAAGAAAACATTTTGTTTGGAAAGTCACTATTCTAGAAATTAATTGTAGCAATAAATCTCTTCCCGGAACATTTTTCCGAATAAACCCACCCTTTCAAGATCTTCAATCCATTTTAAAATATGTTCAGTATAAATTATACATAAATCATCTGAACAGGTTGACATTTAAAAAAATATGCAATAGTTTACTTGTTATCAAAAAAATCAATTAATATGAAATGAAAATGAACACAATCACAAAAATAAATATAAAATATTATATTTTTCTGAAAAACTTTTTATTTTTCTATTATGAAATAATCATAAACAATTTATTGATTTTTTTGAAAGCGGAAAATGTTGGAGAGAATGTGAACTGTAATTCATATGTTATCGAATGAATTGTCAATTTCAATTTCATTTTCATCTTCAGATTCATCAATATCCAAACAAAAACCACATTCTTTGCAAGTATATTCGGATATTCCTTTCAATAAAGGTTCCATTCGCGCTGTGTGTTCTTTGATACTTGTTACTATTGATTCAAGAGTTTCCCAATCTTCAGCCTGAAAATGAAAATTGATATGAATTATAAACAATAAACAATTCTGGTAACTATCATGAATAGACTACTTTTTCTTATCTTACATACCTTAATCAAATCAAACAGTTGTTCTTGCAATTGATTATAAAGATCTTGAAAATCATCATTCAGAAGTTGGTCATCAACAAATTCTATAAACTTTGGAAAACACTCATTTTTTAATGTGTCAGACATGTTTTGTAAATGAGCATCAAACAATTTAACCAGCAAATCTCGTTTGTGTTGAATTTTTCCAAAAAATGATTTTCGTTTTACCAATACGTGCATTAGGTGAATAGGTTGTTTCTGACATATATTATTGAATTTGAAAAAACGTCTCACGGTACATCTTTCAAAAAAAAACTGACCTCCCTGTGATGTCTATTTGTAGCTCTCATGATTTCGTCAAGGTTAACGGAAATAAAATGACTATATTCTAAACGAGATGCGTTTTGCAGAATAGATCGAGCCAATTTACTGATTTCAGGAACCTTCAAAATTAAAATAAGGGAAGTATCGCACTGAAAATTCATACCTCATCCATTGCTCTAATCCATTTTACCACAGGAGATCGCATTTCCGAAAAAAATCAAGTTCCAGTTGTTTCTTATTATAAAATTGCAGAATGACTAACAGTACTTGGGGAAAATGGAAATCAATAATTTTTCTGAATGCAGTGAAACATCAAATCATAAACATATCAAAATTCAAACATTTTGTTGGGAAATAAAACGTTTGAAGAAAAAAATGAAGGGATTCTTCACGGCAATAAATTAACAAGGGTTTGACCAGACCAAAAAATTTATTAAACTTTCTCGACACAAAAAATTCACATTTTTATTCATATCCAGTTCAATCAAGCAGTATTGTAGTAGATTCTGTGATGTGTTCTGAAAAAAATAATTTTGAAAATTAAAATTCATCTCTAAAACTAAACTTACACTGTTTTATTATCATGAAGTGTTGAACATTTCTTGTGAAATTTGTGTTTTCCATCAATCATCCAAGAGGTACTGTAGTTTAGATACAGTAAAGTGTCCTGGAAAATCTAAACTTGGAAAAAAAGTGAAAAAATACATAATGAGCAGCTGTTATGTCACAAAACTAGAAGATGTATCTGGTTACCTGAAGTGTACTTATATTAAATCTAGAAAATATCTGGCGAACCTTATACTAAAAATCGGCTTATCCTCATTACTCTTTGAAAAATGCTACGATAACTGTTTTTTTCAACTCACTATTTCCAAATTTTGAATCCTTCAGAACCACATTTTATGATTGGTCCACAACTATTCCAACATGAAAGTATCAAACATTGTTGATTCCAAAGCTTTCTGTCTTATGCCATCCAATGTTTTTATGAATAAGATATTCAATACATAGTTATTATTTTGCAAATGAGTACTGTAGTTTAGATACAGTAAGATCCTGTAAGAAAATGGACATTAGGGATATAATTGGCAAAAAGGAAGAGTAGCTCACAAAAATTAGTTCAAAATTTTATAGATACAAAAATAAACAGAGGTCAGTCTAGAGAATATTATATTACATCACACAAATGTGTCTGGTGTTCTGACAATGAAGTGTACTTACATTAACTCAAAGAAAATTGTTTCTGGCATATGTATCTCCTACCTTAACAAAAAAAAATCCCCAAAAAAATCACGAAAAATAATATTATTGATTTTTTTTCGAATTTTTGGCGGGAGTCGTCGCGCTTCCCCCTTCTTTTCTTTTCGTGTTCCCCGCTGGCTACTATTTCAATGTTCCTTTAATGTTAGAATTTTCTAGAAGTTATTTTCCTGGCCTAAAATTTTTTGCCAGTTTTTTATATCTATATTGTATCTACACTACAGTCATGTTTCAGTACTTTTATTTGCTTATTTATTTATATAATATATTTTTCAATGAATGGTGAGCTTTTTCTAATGTTTCAGCATATTTGAAGCATATTTTTTACAGAAAATTATATATTTCGAAATATTTTGGTTTTTATGAAATCATAGGATGAAAAAAACAAGTCAACCAATACTTTCAAGTAGAGGTTGGTTTTATCAAACATTGATTTCACAAAAAAATATATTTCAGGATTACTGTATCTAAACTACAGTACTATTCATATCAACAAATAAACAGTGCCGTTAAGGAATTGGATCAAACTTCCAAGACGCCGAAAATTCTGAAATTTAATGTCAGTTTTTCAAGTTTTACCAACTGAAATCGCTTGGCTTTAAAGTTTTGAAAAGTTTTTTTTTGCCTGAAGGTTGAAAATATAAGGCTCTGTTATGAAACAGAGAGAGAATTTAAATCTCAAAAACAAGAAACTCACTTTTTTCGAAATTTTTTCGGACTCCTGAAGTCAATTATTCTGAAAATCTTTTATATTCTTTGAAACCTTTCACATCTGACCAGATTTTATCTCTAACAAGGGAACCTTTTTTACTCAACACTTCAAATCATGATGAAATTTGGTCCATGGACAGCTTTTGGGGCCATAAGAACACCCTAAAAATTTTAGTCTCCCAATGGACCTCTGAGCCAAGTTCTGGGCTCTCAAAAACTCAAAAAAGGCCTAAAAATGGTCATAAAAGTCATCATAGCTCCATTTCAAAATTTTTTTCGGTGGAAATGAAGTTTCAGATATTGATCAGCATGGTCGATTTACTAAAAGTACATCAATAAAAAACTTTATTTCGAAAAATTTTGAAGTTTTTTATTTTTGGGCTGAAAATTCATGAAAATTCATATGTGCCCCTGCTCATTCTTTTTTTCAAAATCAGAAATTTTTCTGAAAATTCGATTTATTTATGCTTTTTGGGTAAATCGACCACGCTGATCATCATCTGCTACTCAGTTTTTGATAAAATTGATCGAGAATTGAGTCATGATGTGTTTTATGAGCCAAATTTGTGAATTTTCGAATTTTTGAGAGCCCAGAACTTGGCTCAGAGGTCCATTGGGAGACTAAAATTTTTAGGGCGTTCTTATGAACCCAAAAGCTGTCCATGGATCAAATTTCATCATGATTTGAAGTGTTGAGTAAAAAAGGTTTCCTTGTAAACATAATTTTGCGAAATAGAAATAGAAATTTTCATTTCAGAAGAAGGCGATCAAAAATGATAATCGATTATTTACTGTATCTAAACTACAGTACTCGAAACTTCCACATAATAAGAATTTTATTAAATTCTGACTTGTCTCCGTTTAAAAGGATTCCGTTTTCTGTGAGGCATTGGCCAGCAAAATCTTACGAATCCAAAATGAAATATTCATTGATGTTGAAGATGGATTTTGCTCAATGAGTGGTTAGTTTTTTGAAGTTTTTTTGAAATAATTAATTTTTCAGAAAAATATGATAATTTCAGAAAAATATGATATTTCAAAAATGGTCCTCAATTCAATTACTGTATCTATACTACAGTACTTTCAAACTACAATTTTTAATTTTATTGCTACTGTTCAAAGAATGGTTAGTTTCTTTTCAACACCTTGAGAATCGAAAAAAATTTTTCAGGAAAATATGCTATTTCAACAGTTAGTTAATGGTCCATTTCAATGATGTTGAAGTTAGATTCTGCTCAATGAATGGTTAGTCGATTTTCAAGATTCGAAAAATTAGAAAATATTTTTTTTTCCAGGAAAAAATTATATTTCAAAAATGTTCCTCAATTCAATTACTGTATCTATACTACAGTACTTTAAAACTACAACTTTTATTTTGGTAGCCACTGTTCAATGAATGGTTAGTTTCTTTTCAGTTCCTTGAAAAATGAAAAAAAAATGTTTTTTTCAGGAAAATATGCTATTTCAAAAGTTAGTTAATGGTCCATTTCAATGATGTTGAAGTTAGATTCTGCTCAATGAATGGTTAGTCGATTTTCAAGATTCGAAAAATTAAAAAATATTTTTTTTTTCCAGGAAAAACTTATATTTCAAAAATGTTCCTCAATTCAATTACTGTATCTATACTACAGTACTTTCAGACTACAATTTTTATTTTACTGCGACTGTTCAAAGAATGGTTAGTTTCTTTTCAACACTTTTAAAATTAAAAAAAAGTTTTTTTTTCAGGAAAATATGCTATTTCAAAAATGTTAATTAGTCAATGGTCCAATCCAATAATTTTGGAGTTAGATTTTGCTCAATGAGTGGTGAGTTTTTGAAAGTTTTTTTTTTGAAATTAAAAATGAAATTTACAGAAAAAAGTTATATTTCAAAAATGGTCCTCAATGAATTCACTGTATCTATACTACAGTACTTTCAAACTACAATTTTCAATTTTACTGCGACTGTTCAAAGAATGGTTAGTTTCTTTTCAGCTCCTTGAAAAATGAAAAAAAAATGTTTTTTTCAGGAAAATATGCTATTTCAAAAGTTAGTTAATGGTCCATTTCAATGATGTTGAAGTTAGATTTTGCTCAATGAATGGTTAGTCGATTTTCAAGATTCGAAAAATTGAAAAATATTTTTTTTTCCAGGAAAAAATTATATTTCAAAAATGTTTCTCAATTCATAGACTGTATCTATACTACAGTACTTTCAAACCACAACTTTTAATTTTCCTGCGACTGTTCAAAGAATGGTTAGTTTCTTTTCGACACCTTGAGAATTGAAAAAAAAAAGGTTTTTTTTCAGGAAAATATGCGGCTCTATCGCAATATATGGGTCCCATGGAAATATATGGGTCCGTAAAAACATATAAGGGTCCCTCAGAAATATAAGGGTCCGTGAATTTTTTTATGGGTCCCAAAAAAATATAAGGGTCCGTTATTTTTTTTGAGGGTCCATAAAAAAAGTATTTTTTCTAATTTCAATTATTTATTTTTGGTGATTTTTTGTAATTTTTTCACTTTTTTTTTTAGCCAGTCAGTATTTTTCTTTAGGGGTTTACTAAGCCTAAGCCTAAAATAATAGAGAAATTTTGAATCCTCTGGTAACTCTATTTTCGGCTTTTCAGCTTCAGATTTAGGCTTAGGCTTAGTAAACCCCCCGAAAATACAATGAATCGTCAAAAAATACAACAAAACAATTGAAAATTTAAAAAACCACACAGTTTTTCCTCCAAAAATCAAAAAAATCAGACCTATGAAAAAAATCACGGACCCTTTTATTGTTTTGGGACCCATAAAAAAATTCACGGACCCTTATATTTTTGAGGGACCCTTATATGTTTTTTCGGACCCCTATATTTTTTACGGACCCATATATTTCCATGGGACCCATATATTGCGATAGAGCCAAATATGCTATTTCAAAAAAATGATTAGTTAATGGTCCAATCCAATAATTCTGAAGTTAGATTCTGCTCAATGAGTGGTGAGCTTTTGAAAGTTTTTTTTTTGAAAATAAAATTAATTTCATTTCAGAGAAAAATTATATTTCAAAAATGTTTCTCAATTCATAGACTGTATCTATACTACAGTACTTTCAAACTACAATTTTTAATTTTATTGCGACTGTTCAAAGAATGGTTAGTTTCTTTTCAACACCTTGAGAATTGAAAAAAAAGTTTTTTTTCAGGAAAATATGCTATTTCAACAGTTAGTTAATGGTCCATTTCAATGATGTTGAAGTTAGATTCTGCTCAATGAGTGGTAAGTTTTTGAAAGTTTTTTTTTTGAAAATAAAATTAATTTTATTTCAGAGAAAAATTATATTTCAAAAATGTTTCTCAATTCATAGACTGTATCTATACTACAGTACTTTCAAACTACAATTTTTTATTTTATTGCGATTGTTCAAAGAATGGTTAGTTTCTTTTCAACACCTTGAGAATTGAAAAAAGTTTTTTCAGGAAAATATGCTATTTCAACAGTTAGTTAATGGTCCATTTCAATGATGTTGAAGTTAGATTCTGCTCAATGAGTGGTAAGTTTTTGAAAGTTTTTTTTTTGAAAATAAAATTAATTTTATTTCAGAGAAAAATTATATTTCAAAAATGGTCCTCAATGAATTCACTGTATCTATACTACAGTACTTTCAAACTACAATTTTCAATTTTACTGCGACTGTTCAATGAATGGTTAGTTTCTTTACAACTCCTTGAAAAATGAAAAAAAAAGTTTTTTTCAGGAAAATATGCTATTTCAAAAGTTAGTTAATGGTCCATTTCAATGATGTTGAAGTTAGATTCTGCTCAATGAGTGGTGAGTTTTTTAAAGTTTTTTTTGAAATTGAAAATGAAATTTTCAGAAAAAAAGTTATATTTCAAAAATGGTCCCCAATGAATTCACTGTATCTATACTACAGTACTTTCAAGCTACAATTTTTATTTTACTGCGACTGTTCAAAGAATGGTTAGTTTTTTTTCGACACCTCGAGAATTGAAAAAAAAAGTTTTTTTTCAGGAAAATATGCTATTTCAAAAATGTTGATCAATTACGGTTAGTTAATTTTAAAAAAATTTTATTTCCTGAAATTATATACATTTTTTTCAGGATTACTGTATCTATACTACAGTACTTTGGAATTTACCAAAATTGTTTGATGAAGTGGTCGAAGAAACATTTGGAACATTTATCAAATTTATACCCCACAACAAGATCGAATAAAATATTATTTTGAAATTTGAATTTTTCAAACAATGCTCCATTTGCCTGCATTTTAGCAAGCAGTTTTTAATGATTTCGCAATAGCTTGAATTTTTTTAATCTTGAAAAACTATTTTCGATTTTCACTTGGGATTCATAGACCATTTCAATTGTTTTGAGCTTCATTACACTAACAATAAAAAAAGGCATAACATTCAGACCGGTAGAAAAATGAAAAAATGAAAATATATATTACACGTGTATTCTCTAACCTTGAATAAATAAAAAATTAACCCTGGATAACAATTCTTGATAAAACTAACATAAATATGTACACATTTGTACAATTGCGAATATAATAAAAATTGTGGGCAAAATCAAGGGAATAACGCGATTAATATGAAGGAAAAATGATTATTTTGGGGAGAAAATATTATCATTGTCGCAACAACAAACACCTGCAACGATGGTGTCAAAATAGGAAGGGAATTGGTGAGCCAGAAAGGAAGAAGCCAGAGAACGACCAAATGTACGAAGGTGGATGAAGACGAAAATACGTGGCCAAAACTTGACATAACCAACCTGTAATTTTGTCACTTTGAAATTAGGACTAGCATTATTATGAGAAAACCCTATATACTCACCTTTGAACAGCGCATGAGAACATAATCACCGCAGCTTCATAAACGAAAAACAAACGAATTGCAACCAAACAAAAATGATGATGATTATGAAGAGGAGAATATTTACTTGCACTCTTTTTTGCCTGAATATGCCTCACAATCAGAACTTTCAGATCGTTGACGTTTTCGTTGTTCCAGTGACTCTCGAATGTTTCTGGAAATTTCAAATTTATTGAATCATACATAAGTTAGAAATTATTTTCGTGAAAAAAAATTTCTTTGAAACTATTGAAAGTCAAATAATTCTGAAAAAATCTAACCTTTGGATGAGCTCGATTCGAATAATATGCTTTCTTTCTTTCTCTTCTAATGTTTCTTCATCTTCGCTTTCGCTTTCAGAGGACGAACTATGATCATATGATTTTTTTCTTTTGAGCTTTCTTCTTCCTCTTAGCATAGGTCTGGAAAATTTAAAAATATTGACAAGGAATAGATCGCACCCCCTAAAAAGGTTTGGTTTTATATTCGAATATTGTCTTATGGGAAGTTATTCATTGAAAAAAAATCCAAATGTATTATAAATTACATAAAACACTGGATGGGGGTTTGTTTAGAATTTACACCCCATTTTTTTGAAAATACACCTCATCCAGTTTTAGCCTATAGCGGTACATTAAAGCAGTCTAATGAGGACCACACAAATTTCCAAACGCGCCCTTGCTCAAGTTTTTTTGCCGAGTTTGAGCGTGATAAATTGTGAAAAAATCTAACCTCTCACGACACGCGGCAAGCTCTTCCTGTTCTTTCTCTTCTCTTTCTTTCTGGAGAACCTCTTCATCTTCTTTTGCTTCCCTTTCATTTTGCCAAATATCATCATCTTCACTCAACGGGTCATCACCAAAATACGAATCATAAAGTGATAAATCTTCAAAATCTCTGAAAAGAAAAATTATTGATAAGCGTTGATTCCAATTTTTATAATCGAATAGAATACCTAACGAGCCCGATTATACTACAATCGTATTCATCATTTGCTACAAGTGGAGCCGACATAATACTACCCAAATTCGATTTCTGAAAAATCATAATTTCAATAAATTTTCTGCTTTTTATAAAAATAAATAAATTAAGAGTAAATCGTATAAAACGTCTATGAGCGTTTTATATACAAAGTTTCATAGTTGGATATGAGTTTTTGTTTTTGTTCAACCTTATTTCAAGAATAAAATATTCAGTTTTATGAAAAGAATAGTGTTTTTTATACACTAAAAACAGCCGCTGGAAATTGTCTTTATCAAATAGATGGCAATAAGTCAATTGTTAGGTCCTAGAGCGAGTAGCAATGTTCATTTTCTACAGGGAATCACGCGCAAAGTTTCCGCAAAATTGCCGCGAGAGCGGAGTTTAGCATATTCGTCCTAACTTAACAATAAAACAAAGTGCCGGTTATAATACTAGAAATCATTCTGAAACATCCCCCAAAACTTGATAAAAAACAAAACAGAAACGCATTTCCAACTTTGAAGTTTAACTTTTACAAAAATATTTTTCCTAAAAAAAATGAAACTCAAAAAAAAAAGAAAAAAATGAATGATAATGCGAGATAAACCAATAAAACAACAAGTAACGCAACCAATCAAAAAAAAAAATGAACACCTATTTGTGGTGTGTGTGTGTGTGTGTGTATGTGTGTGTGTGGCCGAAAAAAAAAACAATCCGAGAGAGGTCAAAAAATGTTTCTTCTCTTAGCGCATAAACTGTTTGTGAGAGTTTTTTAATATAGAGATTATATAAAAAAAATAATTTATTTAAATTATAAATTAACCAGTACAATCACTTTGAAAGGCAATAAAACAAAAAAATCATGAGTAAAAACTATCATTTAGGATATTTTTCTTTGAGATCTTTCAAAAACTCTTCCTTCAGTTTTTTCAAACATGATTTGTATTCCGGATTTGTTCGATACATTTCAAGACTTTTTGATGGCTGATGATTTTGATGAATGAGGAACATTGATTGGGATACTTTGAATTGAAATCTGGAAAATATAGAATTTTTTGTGGTTAATTGTTTTTCTTTTTCACGAGAACACTTACTTGGCATGCTGAATTTCTAAAATATGTTCCATTTTATTCCAACCAAATCCACCAAAACGTTCATCATATTTTGGCGACTCAGATTTTGTCATCAGTATAAACGGTTCAAATCCAGGATTCCAATTTACATTATAAACATTCTCTGATTCTATCCATTTTGTGATATTCGTTGCATTATGACCCTTCGGCCAAACATCAATGCGGAATAGTTTCAGAATATTCTTATTCAATAATTGAACAACTTCACTTTTATTTTGTGGAATAGTTTCAGCAGTATATTCCATCAAATAATTCCAAGTTGTAAATTCAAAAGCTGGTAATACAAGTACTTCATGTTCTTTCATTGTTTTAGATTCTTCCAATAACTTGTTGTAATCTTAAAATCAGATTATTGTTGTGAAGTTTTGTTGATAATCTTACCTCCTGAAATCACAAAATCTGCATCAATAACAATAATTTTCTTGAATTTTCCATATTTTACAGCGATATTTCTCAAGAAATTGATGGGGAATATGGAATTTCTGTTTTCAAATACAAAATGAATAAACAAATTTTCGCGATTCAAAAGTGACAGAATCTCAAATACATTGTTCTGAAAACCAACAAATTTGAATTTTTAACAGAAAAAAATATTTTCAGAAAACTCACGAGTTCAGCATCAGATCCATAAATAGTAGCAGAAACAGGATATTTCCAAGATTTCAAGAAATTGACAAAATGGAATATTCGATCAGTTGATAATTGGGTGACTATTCCAATTTCTTGTTCAATTGTTGTATTCATACCCATAATATTTGGGAAAACTATAAAATCAGTTAGTGGTGTATACTTTTCACAATCGACGAATACTGGGAACTGTAAAAAAAGAGATTTTTGGTTTTGGAATAAAGAAACATTTAAAAAATGTTTTGGAGAAGCCACATATTTCTAGTTAAACTAACTTACCCCTGTAATCTTGTGCCGATTGAGTTTCAAATAATTAGTAGTTTGTGAAGAAACAGACTTCTCATAGATATTTGCATTTTTTACTATAAAATTAAAATGATACACTTTCGGTTCTTCTGTACAAGTATCAGATCTATTGAATTGATAATTATAAACACAATCCAATTTATATATCCAGCTTGGGTTTTCATAAATCACAGCATTGTAAATGTCCTGAAATATTTTTCATGAAAGCAGAAGTTTTCATAAGTTGAGATTATAAAATGATACCTGATCAGCTAAACGGACTTCTCCATGTTTTTTAACATTTTTCATAGTCACTTTTGGCCATATATTTTCCCAATCATCCCTCAGTTTCTCAATATCCATTAGCATTATTCCGGTGTTGAATCCTTTATCCTATAAAAAATTCCTTTTTTCTAGATTTACAGAATTAGGACTCACTATCGCGGGCCATATGAATTTTTCTTTCAATAAATAATAATGTGAAAAGTTTTCAGTGATTGCAAATTTTTGACTAGCCGTCATATTATTGAAAACATTCCATAACTCTTTGATGTCGCATTTGAAAATAGTGTCAACATCGATGAAAATTGCCTGAAAATTTATCATTTTTGGATTTTGGATTGATGAATAAATTTACCTTTTTCAAATTCTTTAGAAGTGTTGGAACTAGAATTTTCATAAGTGAGTAGTTTTTGGAATAATGTGAATTAGGCACCCAAGAAATATTCGGAAATAATGGCTCCATATCATATAATGTGAAATTAACTGAAAAATTAGTAAAACATTAGAAATAAAAAAAACAAACTCACAGTTAGCCAAATCCCACGTCGTGAAAAAGAGTTTTCAACGATTCAGAAGAATCTTTATCCACAAAAATATGAAGATCTAATGGTTCTAAAGTGTGTGCAAGAATACTTTTGAAATGTGTCAGAAATTGAAATCTTGTCCATTGTTGGCCTCCGACGGTATAAACAAGTGAGATTGGTGGATTTTTGCTGGTAGCTTTTGATTTATTCGTGATTGTCATAATTTTGGCTGGTTTTATTCCAGAATTTTGTAATATAAGTTGGTGATAATCTGAAAGACGTGGGAATTTAATTCGTTGTGGGTCAGGGTAATTTTTTTCAACAAAGTTCGAAATGGTTGCCTCTGGCCCTGGCTCCGCCTACAATTTTTAGGCTCAGCCTGCCAAATCTCTCAAGCCTACCCTTACCTCCATAAAAAACAAGAACACCAAAACAAAGTAGTACAAATATTCCAAGTAATAATTGTGTATTCAACATCTGTAAAAAGTAATACGCATAACATAAGAAAAAAAAGAAAATAACTAATAAAGAAGTCACAAAATGGAAAAAGAAATAAGAAAATAAGGAGATGAATGAACAAAACAACACAACACAACATTTTTATAGGTCCCAATAAAATAGAAAAGAAACAAGAAAGAGAGAAAAGAATCCCGGAAGATGTGAATTTCAAGATTTGATTTGATTCGTATTCATTGGCTTCCGGTGTCTTCATCAAATCAAACTAAAACTTTGTTGAATAGTAAAAATGTATATTCACGAAAAAAGACATAGATATAATTGGTTATATGATACTTTTTTCTCTGAATAGTGCAACAAAATAAAATTCTTCCCCTCCCATAAAGAAAACATATGATTTGATTAAGAATTTATTGGATTTCCTTATGTATGAAGCATGAAAAATGTAGCAAAGGAGAAGACAAATGATCATTTTTTTTCCTTTTTCTTTTTTATTCATCCTTTTTCTACAGAGAGTCGGAAGAAATGTGTTATATGATACATCTCAATCAAAATGATGCGTTGAAATAAACGAGCAGTACTAAATTAGAAGATGAGGCAAAAAGCGACATGCGAACAAGAAAACGGAGGAAATGTGTCACAATGGATTTGGTTGAAAAGTGTTTTGTCAAAAAAAACAACTAGATGGACTTTACGACAAAATACGGGAATATTTGAAGATTTTCTGGAAAAAAAAACTTGAAGGCTATTTGAGAACTAGACCAGTAGGCTTGAATGCTTCGACTTCTCTAGAACTAGGCTCTCTAGGTGCGGCTACTTGAGAACCTAGAATTTCCAGGCGCGGCTACTTGAGAAGAATTTGGTCATCTAGGTTCGGCTACTTGAGAATACTTTGGCCTTCTAGGGGTGGCTACTTGACAACTAGGTTTTCTAGGCGCGGCGACATGAAAACCAAGACGTTGACCCTTGACTAGTGAACTGCGGGTCTAACATTTTGATCTCCCGGAAATAAAATAAGATTACTATCTACAGAATTCTCCTTTTATACTAATTCTCACATTCAGATTACACAAAACCCAATTGAGTTTTTGGAAACCTTCTTTTTTCAAATAAAAAGTCCAATGAACAAATCTGCTATCTGGAATTCCAAGTTCAAAAAGTAGTTGTTTATTTTTGTCACAATAAAATTTCAAAACAAAGTTGACACCGGAAGTTCAGCCAACCATACTTGTTTAGTTTTCCAAAAAAAAAACTCACAAAAAATAATGTTTTTCGGCTTCTTCTTCTTCTTCTCAATGTCAAAAAAAGACAACGTTCCGGAAAAAATATATAATTGAGTTTTAGGAAAATAGTGCTTTTTTAATTGGGTGAACTATCTTTTATAGATTCAATTTTTGTTGAGCTCAAAGTTTTCTGGCTGCGAAAGAAAAGTGCGAAAAAAATTAGGAAAGAAAATGTTTTCAGGATAATGAGAAGAATAAAATAAAAATATAGACAACTGAAATTTGTGGGCGGAAAATTTTTGGATATCGGTACATCTTATCGTTCAAAAATACGATAAGATCACAAATTTATAGTTCAAAATTTAGGGAGAAACAGGAGATTCTTTTCTAGAAAAAATTTGGATTCCTAACAAATAGAGAAAAATTATTTTAATAAAAAAAGATAGATCAAGATCTGCCTAATCTCCAAAAACAAGTATTTGTATTCAGGGTCAATAAAGTTTCCTGAAGATATTATTTGCATAACAAAGTTACGATAGAGATATGATTTTTTGAAATTTTGAATTCAACAGTGCGCACCGGGAATCGAACTAGTGATCTCAACATTGACAGCAGTATTCCAAGAAAAATTTGTAGTTTCTGAAAAATATGAAACATTAATTTTCAAAACAAAAATCAGAGTTTCCTAAATTCAAAACATCCAAATTCCAAATGATCGAAAATCTTTGACTTGTGTCTTCCAAAAAATCACTATGTCTCATCATTCTTATCAATTTTTGAAATTCAATTCAGTAAATAGAGAACGAACAATATAAATTGTGTAAAATTTGTGATTTTCAACAAGTTTTTACTGATATCATTTTCATTTTTCAATTGTTATTCATTCTTCCAACATTTATTTTATTTCTAAAAAATGTTGTTTATATTTCTATTAATCGCTGGAAATAATGCGCAATTTGATTTTTTGAATAATATGGGAGTTGGGGGTGGTTGGAATGGTGGACCGCCACCACCTGGTTCAAGACCAGGCTCCCCATTAGCTGATATTTTCAATAATGTAAATGGGATGATTAATGGAATTTCGCATCAGATCGGAAGAATGGCTGAAGGTTTGGATGTGAATAATGATCTTAAGGGATTGATGCGAGGCCCAAGACCACAAGGAGAAGAATGGAATGGGCATGCTAGACGATTTTGTAGAAGATTTCCTGGACATCCAAAATGTCGAGGAGGACTTCCTTCTTTTGATGATATATCCCAGATATTAAATGGTATTGTGATGGATAGTGGAAAATGGTTACCGAAAGTTCCGATGATTAATATTCGTGATCCATTGTCTGGAATTAGTGGTGAATTGAGAAATGCGCTGGGTGGAATTGCTTTACAATTTGGGCAGATTGGTCAACAGATTTCAGATAATATTAGGGTATGTTTGAAACTTTCGGAACTAGAATGACTTGAGATTCTATTTACCACTTATGAAAAAAACATTTTTTTTTAAAAATCTAAAAATCAAAAATTCCAGGGAATCTGTCAACGCACAAATTGCAAAGCTCAATCGAGTCAAAACGACGCAATCAAACAAGCAATTCTAAAACAAGGTGTAAATTTCGAGAAAAAAGTGTTTGGAAACGATGTGGCTGACAAAATGAATTTACGATTCGACAGAACATTGCAGCTTAAACAAGCATTGTTAGAAAGAGCAAATTTGAAAGGAGTCGTTGCTCCGGAAGACAATGGAATATTTGACAAGGATCTTTTACTAACTGAACAACAAGCCAATTTCATGTTAAATGAGCTTGGAAAAGGTGGCGAGGGAGCAATACCAGAACCAGGAAATAGTCGGGGGAGAAGAGCTTCGATATTTTTTGAGGAGAATCTTGTGCAGAAATGGCCTACAAATGCGCCTATTCCATATACTTTTGATTCATCATTGGATGATTTGGATAAAAATGATGTGCGGGGAGCGATTTCAGAGATCGAGCAAAAAACTTGTATAAGATTTAAATATATGCCAACAGCTCCAAGAGGCAATCATATTAATTATCAAAAAGTCAACAGCCCTTCTTTGTGAGTAAAGTTCTTTGCGATTAATTTTTTAAATCGATATGTTACAGCTGTGGACTTTCATATATCGGTCGAGTTGAACCAGCAAATCCAGTCTATTTGAGCTTCCAATGTGGAAATGTAAGAATCTAGGAAAACAACAGATTGCAAATAGTTTTTTTAGGGTCGTGGAATAGCAGTTCATGAAACTATGCACGCTTTAGGAGTCAATCATCAACATTTGAGAATGGATAGAGATAAACACATCAAGGTAAGTTTGAAAAAAATATTTCCGCAAAAAAATTTTAACGTTTGAAAAGTTGTTCGAAACATCTATCTGAAAATTTCATTCATTTTTAATCAAGGAATTCATTTTTCATTGACATAGACGTTTCAAAAAACACTATCAAGTTTCTGAAAATAATTGATCCTCGGTGTCGTGTATATACTCTAGCGCAATTTTTGCTAGATGCGGACTTGATTTTTGTTTATCGCAAATAAAATCTATAATTTATGAAACGTCCTAATATTTCACATATCTTTTTTATTGAATACACGTTGTATTTGCTTCTTATCTCCGAAAAGATTTATTTTCAAATCAGGATACGCACAAAATAAGTTAATTTTCTTTGAAATTGCTGAGGAATCAGATTTTATCAATTTTTGAAAGATGTTTATTAAGATTAATTAATAAGAGACAAGCAAAAAAAAGAAAATATAAAAATCGTGGATCAAAAAATTATTTAGAAAGTTTAAGCTCACAAAAATCCCTACAAACGAAAACTTTAGGTTAAGTCCCTAGGGTTAGTTTTACTGGCTTACAATTAGTTTTAGATTAGAACCTTACATTAGACAGGTAAAGTTTCTTGTTGCCAGTATTTGTTCACAAATTGCATTCCACTAAAAATGTTCTAGGTTGATTGGAGTAACATCAATCCCCAACAATATGATTCCTTCGTCGTCGCTGATTCAAAACTTTATACAACCTATGGTGTAAAATATGCATATGATAGTATAATGCATTATAATGCTTATACGGCTGCTGTTAATATTGCAAAACCAACAATGATTCCTCTCGTAAATCAACAAGCTAATATTGGACTTCTTGGACAACGAGCAAAAATGAGTTCAGCAGATATAGAGATTCTCAATAAAATGTATTGCAAACCTGCAGGTATTTTTATTTTCTTGAATTGTTCGATGAGGTTTTAATCGATGAATGTTTTTTCAGGCTGTGATGATAAAAATGTGTATTGTGGAGCTTGGGCGTTATCGGAACTTTGCAATAACCCGAATCATAATGTTTGGATGAAAAATAATTGTAAAAAGAGTTGTAATTTTTGTTAACTCTATGAGATTGACTAATTGAAATGAATTTGAAAAAAAACAAAGATTTATTTGACCCAAAATTTATGCAATGCTCGCATCTTTGATCGAACTTTTTCCCGGAAATCTTCCTGAAACTTTTTCAAAAACCACCACATCATCATCATCTGAATCACTTTGATGAGTTGAATTATTTGGTCGGCTTCGAGTGCTTGATTTATGCGATCGGGTACTGCAAACTATATTTATGTACACTATAAATTCTGAAGCAAAGTTTTACCTGAGATAGTCATGAGCTTCACAGCAAAGAGCACGGAGGCAAATTATTTGACCACATTTGAAGCAGAAAATTGCAGCACTGATGACAGCTGTGACCATCTGAAATTATTGAAAACATTTTTTTCTGATGAATTTTTTTGAGCTTACGAAAAAATCAGTTTTTGTCAATTCACAATATGAATCAGTTCGGAAGAAAAGGCAAGTACTTGTTTGGAAAAATAATCTTTCTGATACTCCACTTGCGTTAAAGCTCAAGATCAGTGAAATGAAGAGTGTTGATAACATCAAGAAAACTGAGATGATTATTGAAACCTGAAACAAAAATAATTTAACCTTTAAATGTAGAATCCAAAATTAAATATACCCAAGTAAACACAACAAAACTGAATTTGCTCAAATTCATTGTGAGCAGTCCATAGAATGCATAAATTGTGGCGAGAAAGATTGAAAGAATAACAAAGAGCGAGATGATGTGAGCAGATGCTACTGAAATTGCTAAAAAAAATATGAGGAAGGAGAAGTGGAAATATTTGGGAAATTGAAAACTTACACCAGAGTGAGTCACTGATTTGTAAGGTTATGATGTTGAGAAGAATTCCAGTGAGAACTATCAGGTCAACGATCAAGGAGAGGGTTATGACAAGCTGAAAATGAAGGTTTTAGTGAGAAAATATTTCTTAACTAATTTGATCAAAATTGAATTTATTTTTTGTAATTTTACGTAACTCTGACGTTTCATAAAGGAAAAATTTATATTTTTTTACTCAAAAATCAGTATTTTCTGTTCCAGTTGATTTCAGAATTCAAAATCGTTTGAACTTTGTAAAATCAGTGTCTGTGCTTAACTTTTCGATAATATTTTTTTATATTCTGGAATCTTGTTATGAGTCATATCAATTTTTATCCAGTCACATATCTTTCAAATCATTAACGTCTTCTCCGGATAATCAAGAATCAGTTTTCAGACCAGTCCTTGAAAACAAAAAAACATATTCTAATCCACAAAACTCGTCGGTCATATGTAAATAAAGAAGCCCTTTAAGTGTTTCGTAACTAATTGTAAATACTTGTTGATATTCAGATCTCATCTGTGAACTTTTCCCTCAAAAAGACATTTTCTCGTTTTTTTTGTTCACATTAAAAAAAAAATGTGGAAGCCATTTCTAATATTTCATCAATCACATTTCCAATGATAATAATGTGATATGTTTATTAGATTTGGTGGAAAAAATGAGGAATACTGTAAATTATGAAATAAAACATTGATGGATTTGGAAATATTTTCTTATGAATGTGAGGGTTTTGAAATTGGGGGAAATTATAAAAAATATAAGGATTGAAATAATTTTGAAATGAACAAGAATGAAACCAGTTTTGGAAAATGATAAGTTATGAGATATTATTTTGAAACAAATATTTTGAAGTTAGGAACTTTTTTTTTCAAATATTTCATTACCTCAGTGTTTTTCTTATTGGTTTTCAGGAATTCCTTTCAGATATTTCTTCAAGAAAATTTATGGTTCAGTTAATTTCTGAAAATGTTTCTGAAAACCCAATTTCGATTCAAAAACCAAGTCCCACTCCACATTTTCCCCATTTCGGAATTCAAAAAAAAATCACAATCCTCTTACCTTGTGTTTAGCAAACTCTCCAGACGGAATTCTCTCAAACTCGGTGCTCTCTTGTATCATAATGAACTCGGACACAGTGGTTTGATCAATCATCCCCATTTTCTTCATGAAGTTGAAAAGAAATTCCCAAATTTTATTCGAAAAACGCCGAATACAAAACAAATCTAAATCAAATAAAACCAAAATCGAAACGAGCCAAGCAAGCGATGCGATGATGCCGGGGCGGGCGAGCGAGCGAGCGAACAATTTCAATTCTCCCATTTTGCCCACGCCCCAAATCAATTATTGATTTTTAATTATTCCGACATCACGAAAGAGAAACAGAAATATATATTTATATATTCCTTTGATTGAAAAAAAGAAGAGGAAAAAAATAGCGAGAAACCATTAAACTGTTTATTTGAATATTAGTATGAAGAAAAATCACACACACACAAACCACATACATTTTTGCATTCTTGTTTGCAAAATCAATAATCAAGAACATTCTTTTTCTCATTCCGTAAAAATATGATATTTGGAAGTCGCATTCCCATTCGTCGTTTTTCCATATGTTGATCAAAACCATTATCCTTGAATTTGATCAGATTTGGGAGTCGTAGACCGATTCGTCGTTTTTCAACAGCAGGAGTTCTGTATTGCATAAAATTTGGCAGTCGTAGCCCTGAAATTTGAAATAATTTTTTGAAATACTTTTTGGAACTCAGGCTTTACATCAAAACCTGATCTGGGAATTCATATATTTGGAAGAAATTCCAAAAATTACTGAAGAACAATGAAGTATGAAGACACATGTTCAGTAATTTTTGAGATTCTAATTCTAGAAATTCAGCCCCTGATCTAAATTGAAACCAACCTAGTCTAGCCGCTTTATACTGATTTGATCTAGCATATGTTTGTGGAAACGTGGTCGCAGAAACAAACATAATAATCGCAACCAAAATGATACCCCTGATGAGCATTTCGTCTAAAAAAAATTAAACTAAATGTAAATTGTTCTGTTAGACAAAAAAAAATAAGAAGATTAATTTTTTTTTATTTTTTCAAAAAAAAAAAATTCAAGAAGACCAAAAGTTTGTCGTCCTTGCGATGGATGAAATGAACAATTGAGTGGTCTGCAAAATGGGTTGAGCCAAAAAGACAATTACCAACCCTATTGGTATGCTGAACATGTGTTGATATTGACATTGGGAATATAAATTACCTTGCTCTTCCAACTTTTTCTTGTAAATTGTATTATATTTGTCATATTTGTCATGAGGTGATATTAGAAAATAAACAAATTAATCTGAAGAAATCAAAATACTTTTTTGTGTATGATATTGTCAAAAACCAAGATGTTAAGCCAAGGCTTTTTTTACTTTTAAATTTTTTTATTACATATGTTGTATCGTATTAAAAAGTGATATTAGAAGATAAACCAAAATAAAAAATCACACAATAAATATTTTTAAAAATATCAATCAAACAGAAATTCCACCCACACACCCAAATTAATATTCTCTTTTTTTGAACAAAAAATAAATAAATCTTATTAATTAGAATTTCGCTTCATCATTTTCGTTAATTGTTACCAATGGATGCTCCTCTGCGTTATGACTCATTGTTAATCCAGATTCTTCATCTTCAATCGAAACTCGAGCTGAAATGTTTCTGAATTAGTACAGTGATTTTCTCATAATATTCAAAATATTATTTGCCATTAATGGAAAATCCATAAAAATTGTTGTTTCGTGAATTTATGTTCGCTAGACGAGAAAAATCGAATTTTTTTTCACATGACAAAAACACATGTAAGGAATTTTTTATCGGCGAGAAAACAATGCAGAGATTATGCATTTTTTGGGGGGTTTTTTGAAAGAAATTGTTGAATCAGGGAAGTTTTCAGAAATGGATGATTACGGTAATTAGTTTTAAATATTTCGGTTTAGATACAACTTTATTCGATTCAAAATTACTCTTTTTTTTCCAAGTTCTAGAGATTTCCCGCAATTTTCCCAGAATTTAAATTATTCAACTAACCTGAACTACTTTGTCCATCTTCTGATACAGAATGATGAACACCTAACGTCGGAATAGCGGAATGAAGCAATCCTTGTTGTGTTGCCTTTGCTCGAGTTGATTTCTTCCGTCCGAAAACACTGCTTCTCTTCTTTCTTTAAAAAACCCCACTTATAATCAACATAAATTACCTAAAAATCACTAACTCTTTCCACATTTTCTTTGCTCTCGATTGCAAATTTTGCAACTTGTTCTTCTCTTTTTGTTCCTTTTCTTCTTCATGTGTCAAATTTCGATCAACGAAAAACTGGAACGAGAATTTTGAAGAAAAAACAATGAAGTGAAAAATCTTACGTCGCCATCTGTCATCAATTTTCTAACTGCTGTCAAATCTTTTGTGAGTTCTTCCGCTTTTTTATCAACTTCCTCGCGTGTAGGAATGTGATGATGATCGTCGTCAAGAAGATCCATTGGAATATGACCTCTGGAAAGAAAGTTTTATTTTCAGAATAAATGTTTCGGATAAAAAAAACTCACGATTCAGCCATCTCGTCAAAAGTTTGTTGTCTCTTGAATGAACTTTGTGAAGGACTGCTAATCATAGCTTCTCTAAAAAAATTTAAATTTTTTTTTGAATCCTCAAATTATGTTTAACTCACTTCATAGTAAAAGCGCGATCCAATTCAACCAATTTGCCTTCTCTTCTACTTCTCTCATTATACTTTTTCTCAAGGATTGGTCGAACGAATCTCTTGGAAAATGCACTGCATTGATTCTGAAATTCAAAAAAAAAATTAGATGCAATGAAGTGGGGAGAAACTCACAATCCAGTTGTAATTTTTGTAACCACAAAGATCTTCGACTCCTTGAGATAAATGTTCGATCATTCCTTTGTTGAATTCGATAAACAAGGCATTGTGCTCTTCTTTTCCAGCTAGGCCAATTTTCAGAACTTTTACCAAAAATTTCATTGTTGATCCCTGGAAGTGAAATGATTGAATAAAATGCTAGGAAAATTTGTGACCAGATTTTAGTGAAAATGAGCGAAAAAAAATGGCGAAATACGCTCCGTGATCAAGAATCTTAGCCCAATTCTCCATTTACAAACCTGAAGGAATACGGTGAACAAAATAACCATATAAGTCGCCGACAGAATTGTATTCTTCGCCTCTGATTCAATCATGAATGCCAATGAGAAAGAAACAGCTCCTCGAAGTCCCCCATAAGCCATAATACATTGCTCTTGGAATGAAATATACCGTACTCCGCCAGTGAATTGATTCACAATGTATGTCAACCCAAATGTTACTAAAGATCAATTTTCCTTTTTTATTTTAACTTCATACTTATAAAAATCAGTTATTTACCTGCAAATCTGACAACAACACAAAGAATAACCGACCAAATTGAAAATGTTGGATGCCAGTCTTGCCAGAACCATTCTCTCTCATTAACAAGCATAACTCCGAGAATAATAAAGATTAAAGATTCTGAAGATGAACTGATAACTTTGGTGAAATATGTGACACAAGTCGAAGATTTATATGAGATGTTATATCTTGCATAATGTGATTGAAGCAATCCACAAGTGATTAATGCAATAATTCCAGAAAAATGGAAAAGTTCAGCACCAATATATGATAAATATGCCATTCCAAATAAGAAAACTGGCTCAACAACTCGAACATTTTCGGTATATCTTGTCATAAATGAAGTCATTGCACCGCATAACATTCCAATTGTAAGACCACCCAAGGAAACACTCAAAAATGCAGCAAATCCTTTCAAACACTATAAAACCCAAGAGATTTTAGTGTTTTTTATTAAATTGAAAATAACTTACATCAATCAATGTGAACTCGGGAATTTCTTTAAATTCATTAGCCAAATTATAGCAAACAATTGTGACAGCATCATTCAGAAGTGATTCTCCGAAAACCATGAAATATAACATTTTGTTGACACCAACTTCTTGAAAAACTGCCAAAACTGCGACAGGATCGACGGCAGCAATAAGAGAGGCAAAAACGAAGGTATCGAGAACTGCCAAATCATATCCACTGATTGCTCCGATTCTTCCGAGAAATAACAAACCTCCACCGATTAATACAATGTTCAATACAGTTCCCTGGAAAAGAACTTGATCTTTAGATCTCGAATTAGAAGGGCAAAATTATTTTCAGAAAATTTTAAATTTTTGATTTTTTTTTGGAAATTAATAAATGCAGATTTTTTATAACTAGAAATCCCTTCGAATATCCTGTAATGTTTTTAAAAAGCCTAAAGGTACAAAAAAGTCTAGTTAATTTCAAGGTTGAACTTTGGCTAATTTTCAGAACATCTCCTTATCAAACTTCAGAATATCTGTAAGGAACTTTCGACTCAATTCCAAAATTTTTTTCGTCCGATTTCGAATAACTTGGAATTTCGTTATTACTCAATCAAGTTTCTTATCTGTTTTTCCTAACTGTCATACATAAAAATGACAAAATTCGTAACTTTACCTATCTGAAAATGGCTTATCAAATAATGACAAAATACATCATTATATATTTATGTCATCACTTTCTATTTTTTCCAAGATTACGTCATGTTTTCTCACCAAAACTGCATATAATACAATTGTTCCGAAGTTATCAATAAAAGCTCGATCTTTCAAAGAATATGCAGATTCCAAAATAATTGGTGGAAGAAGATAGAAGAAGAAGATTTTCGAGTTGAATTCCAGAAATTTGATTGACGCATGTGTTTCATCACCTCTGAAATATTTCATTTTTTGATAACGTTCCTTCCGACAATAAAATTGCGATAAAACTCACACAAAAAAGAAGCCAAAAAGAACGCCAAGCAAAATGAGAAGACATGACTCAGGTATGAGTTTACGAGTGTATCTTGTGTGATGATAAGCTAAAGTTTTTAATGTTTCAAATTTTTTATCTCAAAAGGCGGTGAGATCAAAACATCGCTCACCAAGTTTGAAAATGCCAATGATGATTATAAAAGCGGTGAGCATAAATGGTTCCTTGACGTAATCCCATCGAAAGTTCACTATTTGAATGCCGTGGTGTTCGTGTGTTTTATGATCGTGTGAGGTATCAGCATCGAAAATCGGAGATGGCGAGTGTGCAAGATCAGACCTAAAGATCAGATTTATTTATTAAGAGGAAAGGGGGGTTCATAAACTATATTTTTTCTAATGCGATGTCCAAAGTAAAAAACATATCAAAAAATGCGAGAATATATCGTCCAAAGCTCGCCTTATGTATATTCGAAATACAGAACAGAGAAATAGTGTGTATATCCGAGAGACGCAGACACGAAACAGAGAAATAGTGTGTATATTCGAGAGACGCAGACAGCCAGACTTTGGATATATATATATAGTTTCGCATTTTTTGTTATATTTTTTACTTTGGAGGAAAATCTTTCATATTTTTTTATGAAATGAGATATTTTTTGAAAAGTATTTTCAGTTGGAATAGCACGAATTTTTTAGATGTTTTTAGACTAAACTAAAAAAAACCTAGGCTCTGAAAATCATAATTAGAAACAATGAATAGTTCATGTAACTCTTTTGTAATAATCTTTATGTATATCATGAATTTCCAAAAAAATAGATTGAATAAGTTCCAAGAAACTATATTCCCTGATTTTTTTTACTAAACTCACAAATTTTGTTCTGGTAGTTCCACGTTTGATAGAAGTTCAGTTATCGCCATGGTTTCTTTATCATTAATTCCTCCATCAACGTTTCCAAGAATAGATACTCCAAAAACGAGAAGAAAAACAAATATCATTTGGATTCAACAATTCTGTAAGCAGACAAAAAATCTACGATGCGGCAAAAAAATATGAAAAAGGAAAAAAAATAAATAATGTCTTGATTTGAGAAATGCGAATGAAAAGGCACAAATTGTGATTGTGTTGATAAAAAGACAATTAAAATATATATGTGACGGTTTTCAAAAGCGGCATTTTAATTCGGTTCTGTAAATAGATGTCGAATACTCAAATATTTTAACAATTTCTTTTTGGTATCATTGATTGACGTTTTTGAAATTTGGAATTTTCAATTTAGAATTGGAATTTGAGAAATACTGGTCTAATGAAAAATAAGTTGTGGAACATTTTTGCATATCAGAAAAAAAAAACATATTTTTTGCATCCAGAAATCCGATTTCCAGAAGATTACACAGTCAAAAAAATTGATTCACATATTAACAAAAACGTTAGGAAAACCATGACTCACATAATTTTTTTGTCTTTGTAAAAATTTATTTTTTTTTTTCTATAATGAAATGTCATGGGAAAATGAGGAAAATACAAGATTTTTCGAAGATTTACAAAATGGAAAAAAAAAATTTGTGATATTTTGGGAAGGTGGAAAACGGCGTGAAAAAAATAATTCTGGGAGGTCCTGCAGCAGACATTTTCGTGTGTGATGAAAACGGAAAAACTCTTGAAATTCTGAAACATTTAGAACATTTTCAATGTTTTCAAAAGCGTGAATCTAGTTCTCTGAAATTGAGCTAGACTTTTTTCTAATTAGAATTTCATCAACTTTGAAATGTTTTCTATCTCTCTCCGCATACAAAATCCAAAAATTTGGAAAACTTCAAGCTCAGCCCAGCCTGTTCAGCAGAAATCACCAAAAATCACACCGTTTTTTGTTCTTTTTCATCCATATCAGTATTTTTTGGTTCTTGTGACATGTTCGCAACTCGTTCAGAACTCTTTCATATCAGCAAACAATTAAAAATAACTGGAACTAGATCATATTCTCAAAAAAAAAAGAAACAAAAAGATCAGCGGCAAAAGATACTATTTTTTTTTGAATGTCCTCTTATCATTTGAGGAGCCTTACCATAATTTAATTGCTTTTTACTATATAAACATTTGCACCTAGCTGATTGTATATATTATTTTATTTCTTTGTCGGTCGGTTTGACGGGAAATTGATTTGATTTTAATTGATCTCAATGATTCATCACAAAGTTTAAAGAAAAGGTTAGGTTAGGCGAGTGGTGGATTATGTACTATCAAGGTCCCACGATTTTTTGTTTTCAGGATTAGATTTTAGATTAGTCAAACGATAGAATCTTCAGACTAACGTCGCCTGAATTATGCTGAAATTAGGTTGAAGCAGATATCCTAGATAGATTCTACAAGAAATAATCCGCAATTACTCTGAATTCAAATATTCTTCTCCCCGTTCGCACTCATTTTAATTCTCTCTCATCCTATCACAAAATTTAATTTGATTCTTATTGATCTCAAAGATGAATCAAAAAGTTCAACAACCATCGTCGACAGGTTTTTGTGTGATGTAAACCCACAGATGAGGTAATCAATCAAGATAACCTCGAAAAGTGAAACACAAAAAATAATAAATATACAATAGAGAAATTCTTATTATTTTTGTCGATATTTTTCTCGATTATTCTAATATTCCCATGATTCGATTTACTATTTTGGTGATTCTCCTAATATGTTTTAATTTTATATATTCACATAAAAATGCATGGCTTCCACAACATTGGTATGGAGGGAATTCGGAAACTATTAGATCAGGGGTTGTTCAAGAATGGAATCCACCACCAGTTATGAATATTGGTACGGTAGCTCCACATATTTGCGGTTTCAACACTTTTACAAGGTAGATCAACAGGTTTTCTGTGGGGGGAAAATTTTCTGACAAAAAACTTTTTCAGAAGATGTATGGATCCTGAAGGCTTCTGTCCTGGACGCTGTATGAATTTTCGGTACACTTATAACACTTTATATGATTGTCGATGTCTTGCGATCTGAAATAAAATTTCAATATTCCCCTGCCTCATTTTGTTTCTGTTTATCTTTTGCTGTTTTAAAAATATAATATTTTTTTGCTTTTCTTCTTGGAAATGTAAAAAATCAAAAAAAAAATTTGTGTAACAAAAAGTGATATGCAAAAAGATTTCCGGTGAAATGTGACACGTTTTGGACAGCACATGCACTTGAGAAAAAAGTCTGACAAAAAGTACACGAATGGTTTTTTTTTGTGTTTTGATGTTTTCAGAAAGTTCAGGCTTCTTGTTTGAAATTGAGGATTTTACACAGTGAAAAGTGCATGTGACTTCAAGGGTTGGTTAAAAACTGACAAAAAATAGTTTTGCAAAGCAGAAGTTTTCTTGAAATTATTAAAACGTGAGAGATATGATAAATCTCTTCACAGCTCAAATCATCTTGGAAAAACGCAACATCTTTTTCTTCAGCTTCTTTTTTGTTTCAAAAGAAGAAGATATTCTCATCTCACAAATCATCTTTGATTTTTGTGGTATAGTCGTCGTATTTTTTTATCATCGCATAGTATATCATTGAGACATTGCCATGAATCATTTAAAACAACAACTGTTTCACACACACAAAAAATTATATAATTTTGAAATACGAGAAATGAAAAATCGTGTGGGGTGATGAATGATAGATTGATGGATATTATAGTGTTGCAAATCTTTTTTTTTTGAGGATTGAAAATGAAATAAGATCTCTGCGATTGATTGTTGACTTTTGAAAGACTTGTGGATTTTGGAGCAATTAATCATTATCCGGAAGTTTGTTGAAAAACGGAACAGCAATGAAGTTGAAGAGTTCGGATATCGGTGAATCCCAGTTGATAGATGAGAGAGAAAAACGACAAGTACTTACAGTAATCATTAAAAATCTGGAGAAACCTCACAATGAAGGTGTTCTGATCAATTTTACTGAAACTTACTGAAAACGATTCTAGAGTCAAAAAGTGCCACTTCCGCCGATTTGAACACTTATGGAGTTGAAAAAGTCATAATAGTTTTTCTTTTTCAAAGTGTCTCACAAAAGTTTCACACAAATGCATTTTTTGAAAAAAAATGAGAAATATTTCTTAACACGGTATTTTACATCTGTGTTTTGAATATAACAGTATATTTTCAATGTTTCTAGACTCTGAAGTTCATTTTTTTAAGAGTACAGAATAGTTTTATTTTTCATTTTTTGTGAAGTATGTATTCTCAAAATTCAGTGTTCTTCTCATATTTTGTTTGAAAAGACTGAACGCTGAAAAAAAGACACACAGAAAATACAAACGTGCCGCATGTTCGCTAGAGCGCGTTTGCCACACACCACTTCCTCATATCCTTATGGCGGTTTCTGTGTGTTTTCTCTAATTTTTCGCATAAACGGTCATTTTTTAAAGATATGTGCTGCTAAAAATAGAGCAAGAGTCCACTTTTAAAATCTTGACATTTACGAAAGTGGTTTGAAATTTGAAATGCGTGAGTAGCTGAAACACTAATGACTAAAATTTCTAATAAAGTATCATAGTCTTCACTATAAAAATTTTATTCATTTTTCTAATTTCATTCAACTTTCTCTGCTCCCCCCCCTCACATTTGTAAGGTCCATTTTTCTAAAACGAACATATTTGTCATACCCAATACTTCTTTTATGTATCCATGCCAATTCAAATGTCCGTCAAAACGTACTATAATAAAGTGTGTGTATACACAAACATATATGTATATAAATCTCAATCTTCAGTCTTCGAAATTTGAACCTTTTTGACTCACTTTCTCGAAAAAAGATATGATATGATATGATATTTTATGTGATACAAACACTCACGAATATGTTTCGTTTTTCTTTTCTTCAAAAATATCTCCTCATCATCTTTTCTTTGTTGTATTCTCTTTTTTTTCTTGAAATGTTTCATCTTTTTCGCCCTTTTCTCATTTTCAGACTCCTCCCTTTTCTCGAGACTCATTCAATCGGGAAACGCCAAGTACACCGGTGGGTCCAAACACATTTGAACTAGATGAAGATGAAACCGTCTACGGTATCTGGACTTGTGTCATTTATCTTTTTATCTTTTTTGGTATTATGTGTAAATGGAGGTAAGTGTTGTAATATAAGATTTAGTTTTTTTCTCTTATTTGTTTGTTTGTAGTAATATAACATGACTTTTTTTAAGGCAGAATATCGATATCAAGAGGCAAAAATGTTACAAAAATTGAGGATCTTTGCGCAAGAATGCATAATAATACAGCACTCGGTTAGTTTGAACTGGAACCAAAATTTGGAAAAGGGGTGAATGAAGGTTTGCTGAAAATACAAAAAATGGGTTCTTCAAAATTTAATCCCCTTTTACTGGAACTAGAATCTGGAAAAAAAGGTTTTTTTAATTAGAAAATCTGGTTTTTCAAATTTCAAGGAAAATCATTTCTGCGTGTAGGTAGTGTCTCCTTCTCGGGCTTTTGAGTCAAGTCTGGCCGGTCCAGGATGTCGTATGAATTTTTCTTTCATAATTAATGTCGGGCATCCGGGATTGAACTCAAGACGCTGAATCTCACATCAGCTAGCTTTAACAGTCAGCAACACCTTCTCCTTCTGATCATGACTTATATCTGAACGATCTTTCTGCTAGGCTACTGTTTCAGCCTGATTTCAGTAAATCTCTGGTCGAGACTGATTTATTTATCTATTAGAAAACTCTCCACTGTGTGAAACTAGAATAGCGGATACCTGGATTCGAACTCGGGACTTTGAGATTCACAGCAGCACCCGTGTTATCATAACTCAAAATATCTCTTACAGAAGGTACATCTCCACTTCTTATGATGCAAGCCACAGCTTATGAATGTCAAAAAAAGTGTGTCGACCTTTTCCCAGAATGTTCAGCAGGTTAGTTGGTTCGAAAAAGATTGATGTGTTAAACAATATCTATAACAAATGGCGTTTTTGTGCACATTTGTTGCATGTTTCACTTTCGAGGAAAAAACTTTCTCTTGTCTTGAAAAAAAAAGAAAAGGACGCGTAGGTTAGGTAACCTAATATTTTATTGCAGTTGTGTACTATTATCTTCACAATGAGACAAAACGTCATTACTGTTATTTGTTCGAGGATAATTCGATTAGCGAGAAAGTTGAACTTGTTGAGCAAAAACCAGAGCATAAGAAGGATATTGTGAGAATGCTTGAATTGGTCCTCGATTGTCATCAATTTGATGCTCATCCACCACTTGAGGAAGACGGTTTGGCATCTTCAACCGACAAGGTTGATCGCAAAAAGAGACGTGAGCAATGAACAAAATTTTTCCCTAAATCAATTTTTTTTCTGCAGAACAAGGAGATGAAGCTGTTATGGGAGTCGGTGATTGGACTGATTGGTCAGTCTGCTCAATGAACGGCCATGAAACTCGCTCACAAGCTTGTGAATACGGAAGAAAAATCCAACGTCGTGGATGTCCAGCTCGTTCAGCGCCACAAAGAATTCCAGCTCCACCAGCTCCACAATTCCCACCAAGACAACCACAATATCCTCAACAGCAACAGCAACAGCAACAAAGAGAGCAGCAATTGAGAGAGCAACAATTGAGAGAACAACAATTGAGAGAACATCAAGCTAGACAACAACAACAGCAACAGCAATCTCAACAACCTCAACAACATCCAAATGCTGAACAACAACGTCTTGAGCATCAACAACGTCTTGATCAACATCGTCAAGAGCAACAAAGACAAGAGCAACTTCGTCAGCAACAGCAACAACCAGGACATCCAGGAGCTCAACTCACACCAGAGCAACAAAGAGCTGAACAAATCCGTCAACACGAATTGCAACAACGTCAACAACAAATCCAACAACACTATCAATCCGGTCAATCTCAAATCCAACTTCAAACTGGACCAGCTGCTCCACCAAGTGCTCCACAACAACCAGATCCACAACAATTGTATCAACAACGAATGGCTCAATATCGTGAGAACTACAATCAAAGACATCCAGCCAAGCCAGTTGCCGATCCATGTCCAGGAGGTTATTGCATTCCAGTCGGAGGTCAGCAACCAGGTCCACAACCACCAGCACCTGAAAGACCAACACCGCCACCAGTCTTGGCACCGGTTATTATCACACCAACTCACCCACCACTTCCACATCCTTACCCAACTAGATATCGTCCAGCACCCCCACCACCACCAGCTTGTGACGGACAAGGATGTGCTGCACCAATTGTTGTGCCAGGTACTGTAGAGCACTAACACATCACATTTTAACCTTAAGCACTCGCACACAGAGTTTCTTGATTGATTGACTAACAAGTTTTCTTCTGAATTTTAGGAACCTGGCATGATTGGTCTGATTGGTCTCAATGCTCTTGCACCTGTGGAGATGGAGCCAAATCCCGTCGTCGTGAATGCTCATCCAATAATTGTCAAGGACCAGACTTCGAGACTGAAAACTGTAATTTGGGACCATGTGAAACCTGGTCAGAGTGGTGTGAATGGTCGACTTGCTCGGCTTCTTGTGGAGCTGGAGAACGCTCAAGAACTCGTTTCTGCCATCTTGGAACTAACAGATGTGAAGGAAAAGACTTTGAGGTAAAAATAATATATGATATCTATTGAAAAGGGCCGGCCCGGGCTTCCGAAACAAGATGTCTGATGAATCCCAGAAAGTCGGAAAATTTCCAGATTTCAAAAACCAGAAAATCTGAAATTTTTTTTTTAATTTCAGCACTTTTTACATTGCTCATTAACAGATGATTTTTCAGTTTTAAAAATCAAATTTTTTCGAAAATTCAGATTTTTTGTCAGACTCTGAGAAAAGTATCCGAAAATTTGGCCGAAAATTTCCGGCCCTGGCCTGATCCTAACAATAAAATCTTAAATTTAGGCTGAACAATGTACCGCTGGACCATGCCCAGAATGGACAAATTGGGAAGATTGGGGAAGTTGCTCCGTCACTTGTGGAACCGGTGTTGCTCTTCGTGAACGTACCTGCCTTACTCAACACGGACAACAATGTGAAGGTGAACGTGTTGAACAACGCGTCTGCGAAGCCGGACCATGCTCCCTCTGGTCACCATGGCAAGAATGGTCGGGATGTTCAGCTAGCTGTGGAAACGGAATGAAGAGACGTCAACGTGTCTGCCAATATGGAACTGATTGTCCAGGACCAAACGAGGAAAGTCAATTCTGCTACGGACCACCTTGCGCTGAATGGACTGAATGGTGCGAGTGGTCAAGATGCTCATCGAAATGTGGACCAGGACAACAAACAAGAACAAGAGGATGTTTGGGATCTGATGGAAAAGAAGCTACTACCTGTCAAGGATTGAGCATTGAAAATAAACTTTGTGAAGGCAAATCTTGCTGCAATTGGGGAGAATGGTGCCATTGGTCAATGTGCGATAAGGATTGTGGAGGTGGACAAGCAACTCGTACACGTACCTGTGTGAACGGAGCTGGACAACCAGATGATAGTTGTCACTGTGATGGAAACGATAGAGAAGAGAAACAATGTAACACACAAAGCTGTGCCCCACAATGTGCCTGGAATCAATGGTAATAATTTCCATACTAATTCTGTCTAAAAAAAACATTTTTCCAGGTGCGATTGGAGCCCATGTTCAACACCACTTGAATGCGAAACCGGAGTTCAAAACAGAACTCGTCAATGTGTTGGTGAAACTGGATGTCACTGCATCGGACTCGCTGAAGAGTCACAACAATGTCGCGGTCTCAATCCATGTGTTCCAAAACCACCGTGTTAAATAATTTTATCAAATTCTAATATATAATATATTTATACTTTTCTTTCTTTCTTTCAAAAATGTTTTAACCGCTGAAAATATGCTTGCCTCCTCATTCAATAGAGTTATTATGATCCTCCAAATCTAGTCAATTATTCAATGCCTTTTTAGGTGCTTATTTTTCAAATTGTTCTTCTTTTTTAATATCACTGCCTTTTATCGAACAAATAAAAATTACAATTTTTTGTTGGGGGGTTTACAGATGAAAATCTTACAGATTATTTAGTTTAGAAATATATTTTCACGTTGGAATCGCACTTGATTTTGAAAATATAAAAAATCCAAAATGAATCAGCTTGTGGAGAAAAAAAAAGAGAAACCCTTCTGGAATATCAGAACAAAGTTCCATTTCGATTTTTTACAGGAGTTCCTATGGTGCACTTTTCAAAATAACGAGATAGAAGTAATTCTGATAAGAAAGCCATAATTTTCAATCATAATTAACACGGTATGATTTTACAGGGTAAACACATGAAATAAAAAATTATTTTTTCAAACTTTCTTTGTAATCAGCAAGATTTGTAAATAATCAATTAGGCAAGCCGTATGTTCAGAATTTTGATTTTGGCGCCAGATCAAAATTTCACAAAAAAAAACAGATTTCATGAAACCTCTCGTACACCATGAGTTTCTTAATGTTCAAAATTCAAGATCTGAACAAAATTAGAGTATCTCAAACTCAAAAGCATCATTTTTTTCCAGAAAACTGTCTTTTTGGTCATCTATAAAAATATATTGTTGTTCTCATTATCCAATATTGAAGGTTCAGACAGTTTTTGTTCTAATAATGTCATTTGTCTTCAGCATCTTCAGTAATAAATTCCTTTTTCCCAATTTTACTGTTGGCTAACAAAAAAGAAATACACCGTTTTGCTTTTTTCATCGGTTGGATCAAAGAAGCGGATTTTTTATTCATTGTCAGATTTTTGAAAAAGATAACAGTTAGTTTACACATTCAACAGGAAAATGTGTTTTCCTTATAATAATAATCCGATGTTTAACTTGACGGTTGCTATTCAGGCTTATTTGTGATTGATGCAGGATTTTTCTGGATTACTTTTTTGTACTTCCAGTTTTTCTTTTCAGAGTTTCTTTTTGTTTCATCAACTTTGAATCAATTTTAATTTTTATTCACAAGAAAATGAACTTTTTTTTCTAAAAACTACTTTAAACTTTTAAATAAATTTTCATATTTTATAGCTTGAGAACATTTTTCTAATTTTCAAAACTGACTGATGACGAAAATTTCAAAACAATCATTGAAATTTTTCAAAAATTTACAAATTATTTGTTGCCCAGCTCCCTTCTGATTTCTTCTGAAAATTTAATTAGGCTGGCCAAATTAAGAAAATGTCCTGACACATTCTCTAAACTCTGATGTGAGGTAATTTTAGTTTGATGATTGAATCATTATTCCAAAATTCGCACATTCTTCATTAATTCAGCCGTCATTTTTCAACGCCACCAAAATGAAAAGAAAAAAATCTGATGATGAATGAAGAAAACAAGAAGAAGAAGAAAAAAAGATATATGAAATTGTAAGGTTGAAATGTCAAATATGATATATTGTTGCACAACAACTCATCACTTTTTCACATGATGTCTGATTCTTCTTCTTCCACCCAAATCAAGTGATGTGTGTGCTTTCATAAAGAAGAATTGTTGAGCAGATGAATTATTGGTGTCAACGGCGGCATATGTTGTTCATTTTTTTCATTTCTTTTTTTCATTTGTTTTTTTTTCGTCTTCCAATCCAATGATCTACATTTACCAATTGTCTCTTATCACTTGATTATTGCACTGCTCCAGATATTTTTTCTTCATCTTTTTTTCGTGTTTTCATTTTTCATTTTTCATTTTTTGATCTTCTCTAAATATCTAACATCTTAAAAATAATTCCAATTTCAGGAATGAGAATTCTCTTCTCCTTAATTTGGATTTTACCATGTTTTGCTGATGTTGAATTTCTATTAGCTGTTTGGCGACACGGTGATCGTGCCCCTGAAAGTCTACCATATCCAAATGATCCATATAATATCACTTTTTGGCCACGCGGATGGAATCAACTTACAAATGTCAGTTTGTTTTCATTTTGTTTTGTTATGTGTATGTGTGTGTGTGTTGAAAAAAAAGAGTAAAGAAGAAAGAATAATGTTTTTATGTTCTCAAGATGCACTCATTAGAAGAAGAGATAAAACCTTGTTTTATTGCAGGTTGGAATTGAGCAATCTGTTAAACTTGGAACATTTTTACGAAGGAGATATAAAACTTCCGTTTTACAAAAATTTGATAGAAAACAAGTTTTGATTCGAAGTTCTGATGCAGATCGAGCTATTGAAACTGCACAATCTGTAGTCACATCGATTTTTCCACCAATTGGAGAACAAGCTTGGAATACTGGAAAATATCGATATTGGCAACCAATTCCAGTTAGAACTAATCCTAAAAGTGATGATATGGTAATTAGATAAAGTTATAAAAAATTCAAATGAAGTTTTGTTTTTCAGATGCTTCGTCCAAGTAAAATCCACTGCCCTGCTTATAATCGGTTGATCGATGAAGAGAAAAGGGAAATTGAAGAGGATGTTGACTGGAAATATAGAAGGGAATTAGATGCTATATCTCATTATATCAATCATACAGTTCGATATTCAAATATCAAAGATGTGTATAATATTTTGTTGGAGGTTGGTTTTTCAGGGGAAAAATTGTTTGGACAAGACAATTTTTTTGTATTTCTTTAACTTTAATAAATTTCATCATATTTTTTTCCAAATATAAATATATTACAGCACTATAATGGCCTACCGTTTCCTGACTGGATCTTGCGTGAAGTGAATGGTCGACCCTTGTTGGATACAATTGTGGAAATTCGAAGAATCTCGAGGCTTCAGAAATTTGATTCAAGGGAGAAATCAAAATACATGTCAGTTTTTTTCTCTATATATCCTCAATCAATATAAGTTTTAGGGCCGGATTCTTGATAAATAATTGGATTGAAAGTCTCACCGATGTTGCCAATCGCAAATCTTCTAAAAAAGCTTTATTATATTCATCGGTAAAGTTTTTTACTATTTTACAGGGTGACAACAAATTATAGCGACAAATTCCACTAACCCTGGTGACTGTCGTACTTAACCGATCTCTATGAAAATTTTTTTGACTTTCCTGACTATCCAGGACTACGCAGAAAAAATATCAAGAGTTCTCGGAAGGTTCACAATATTTTTTCTGGCCCTTGAAAAGTTTTGAAAAATATTTCCGTACTCGCTAAATACTTTGTTCAACAAAAATTTTCCCTGGATGATAAATTTCATATTTTTTGCTCAAAATAGTTTTTCTAGATCATAATACACACTGTTTCACAGTTATAACAATTCCTGATGTTCAAATGAGTAATCCACCGGGGTTCAATTATCATGAATTTTCGGAATTTTGTGAAAGTCAAAATTAAAAAATGTCCCAATAATTTTTTTTAAACGATGTTAATGTTTCAAATTGTTCCAAAGGAGTTTAGTGAATGTTTTTATATCACGAATATTATTTTCAAACATAAATTTTGAAAGAAATGCAACTTTTCCAAAAATCATAATTTCTCGAAATTCATCATTTGACTCTGATTATCCGTTAATTACTCTAATTAATGAAGAGGATTTATGCTCAAAATTTTTTTCGACAATTTTTGATAGTATTCAGACTATTTGTAATCATTCATACTTATAAATATTGGAATTGTTTCCCCAGATTTCAATTTTATTGAAAAATGAAATTGTGATACTCGCAAGTGGTGGTTCAATATAACCACATCTAAAAAAGTCTGAAAGTCGAGTAGCTGTAATAATATTTGTGCCGAACCTTCCCCAATACTTACTTTACCTAAAATAAAAATTATAGTTATGAAATATTACTTACAGACATGAAACAATTAGCCGATAAAATATCGAAAATTGAAAAAATCGTAAAAAAGAGAAATTTTTAAAACGATCACTTTCCAATTTTGTGAAAAGTTTTGTGTTCATAATCAAAAACAAGTTAGTATAGTGATTAGGTGATATAAAATGATGGTTTTTGAGAAAAGTTGAGCAATGAAATCATAAAAAATCGTTCCGTGATTACTGTCAGATCAGTGTAAACTTTTGTCGCTATAATTTATTGTCACCCTGTATATCTATCAACAAAATGAAAAAAATCTTAATTTCAGCACGACGGAACATTATCATCATTATTGTATGGCCTAAACATTAGCAATCATCAATTAGTTCCATACACCGCTTGTGTGATGCTTGAACTTCACACTGGAAACAAAATCAAAATTTTCTTACGCAATTCAACTTCGGAAGATCCAAACGATGTACATCAATTATTGATACCAGGATGTTCTGAAGAATGTCCTCTTCATGTATTTAGAAGTCTTGTAGCTGATGTTAGAGTCAAATCTCAACATGAATTAGAAAAGGTTTTTTTTGTTAATCAAATTTTATTTTTCTGAAAAAATCCATTTCAAAAATTTTCCAGATATGTTCATCTTCAATTTCAAAACCAACGATATTCTCCTCTATCATTTTGCTATTAATTTTCTACTTGTTGTGATTTTCAATTTTCCACAAAAAACATTCCATAGTTGTTGTATTTTTAAATATTGAAAAAAGGAACTCTTCGCTTTATATATTTTGTTGTTGAAAAACAGTAGAATATATTTTATTCACAATTATTTTGTATATTTATAATTATACTTATTCCGGATGAAAAATTCACTATGCATAATAAAAAGTACAAATTTTGTTGAAATTTTGTTAGACGCGGCGGGAATCCAAATATAATTGATCTGTCTTCCAAGCTGAAATATTTTTAAACGGTTTTGAAATAAAAACTGAAGAGTCATAAAAACCTGTATAACAATTATAGTCATCGTAAGCTGCACAGAAAAGATCGTAATTGAAGATCGTAAACTTCTCATCATCCATGTTTGATTTGGTTTTGTTTTTTATTTTGGTAACATTTTCGAAACCTACAAAAAATTCAGAATTTTTAGATTAGAGGAGATTTTTGCAGAAAAATCTTTCTCGATGTTTTTAAGAAAACGTTTTGTCAATAAACTAACTTGTGAATTTTTCAATAAACATTTTGAAGTTGCAGTTTTGCTTGGTAGCTTCTAAAAACCAAATATTATTTTAAGTTTCATTAGAAAAAATTCAATTCAACCAACCTATAATTTTCATGAGTTTGTAGAGTTTGGACTGCGCATTTTTAAATGTTCCAAATATTCTACTCTGTTTTTCTATATAAAAAATCAATTATTTCAAAACCTAACTCAATAAACTCACTATTTCCATTTTCAGATTGTTCCAGCTTTTTCTCTGAAGTTATATATTTATCCCGATTATGTTTGATAAATCCAATTTCTGTGAAGTCGCATAATTGAAAACTTTCTTTTGTTTTCTCCATTTTTTGTTTCGCAATCAGCCAGTTTTTGAAGCGGGTTTTAAAGGATTCATTTTTCTCCATTATTTTGTTTATTAATTACTATAAGTTGCAATGTTTCAAGAATCTAAAAATATAAAAGTTGAAAAAATGAGTTAACAAGAAGAAAAAAATCAAAAAGTTTCTGACCAAAAAGTAAATGAACTCGTGAACATGAAACAAAAAACTCTCAACAACATTAATAAAATATATAAAACAAATTTGGTTATCATGAAAAAAAAGGTTCATATTTCTTATCCAATTTATTATTCAAGTAATTGGACAAGCTTTATCTTTCCGGTGGTAAATGAACCAAGAAAAAAGTGGCTAGATAAATAAGCGGTTTTTCCTTCTTCTTTTTTTTTTGCCAATCAATTTCCAGTAAACAAAAAAGACATTTATAATTAAAATGATGGGAATTGAGTGTATACATATACATATATTCATTCGGAATTTCGTAAAATCATCTGTTTTTCTTTGACACTTAAAAACATGAGGGAATAAGAAATTTGTATGGATTATCAATTGGATCTTCAAGTGTATATGAAAAGATCGTAGAATATGTTTCAAGAACAAAAAATTTATCCATCTTCCTTAATTATCATGTTTTTTTGCAAAACATTACAACAAAAATTATGAAATGTGTTACTTTTCACACATTTCGCAACACCTATCTCTTTCTATATCAATATGCCTAGCCAGTGAGATGTCCGTCACATAGTTTTCTATACCTATATAACTGCATTTCCTAATTCTTGTTTTGTTCTTCCGAGAACATATACTAAAATTGGAACAATACAGAGAAGATTAGCATGGCCCCTGCGCAAGGATGACACGCAAATTCGTGAAGCGTTCCAAATTTTTTGTCAAATGTTATATTTTGATAAAAAAAGGTATTTTAAGCCTAACTTGGGAAAATCTTACAGTTGTTGTGTAACAAAACTTCACAGATTATTGTTTTTCTTGTTAAAACATTTTGTTTTGTCTCATAAAAATTCTACAGACTCAAATGCTGCTGAAAACTTGGATGTTTCCACCCTAACTGAATGTGAGTCTTGAAATTGTTGGCTGAAAAATACTTCCTCACCCGTTTCAATTTTTTACAGTCCCTGTTTTCCCATTCCGTATATCTATCCCTTTTTATGTAAACACCTTTGTCGAATTTGCACTTTTAAATGCTTCTGGGAACCTAAGGTGTTTTTGTTTTCAAAACGAACTCTTCAAGGTTATTTAACAAAAGAAAGCGTTTACTTCAAAAGGAATGAATAACAAAACGAAAACTGTTTTGTTACCTAAATGTATGTGTTTTTGCACTTTTTCGAGTTTTTTGTCTGGGCAAATAGAGAATGTAATTTACTGAATGGGAAAACAGTTGAAATAAAAAAAATCGATGAAGACTTGGAGTACCTCATAAAATGCTTTCATGCATTTTTACAAAACATGAAACAGTATTGGCGGTGAAATTGACAAAATTCTGCTAAAAAAAGAAACTTTTCAAGATGGACTGTTCTGACTTTGAAAATTAGTCAAAAAATTTGGAACGCTTCACGAATTTGCGTGTCATCCTTGCGCAGGGGCCATGCTAATCTTCTCTGTATTGTTCCAATTTTAGTATATGTTCTCGGAAGAACGAAATGAGAAATAGGAAATGTAGTTATATAGGTATAGAAAAGTATGTGACGGACATCTCACTGGCTAGGCATATTGATATGGGAAAGAGATAGGTGTTGCGAAATGTGTGAAAAATGACACATTTCATGTTTTTATGAGGATTGTTTTTGAACAGTGTTGTTCACTATGTAATATTAGAAAAAATTTTAAATTTAGAGATTTCAAAAAAAATCAAGAATGAAGAAGAAACATACAAACTTTGAAAAAAAAAACTTGAAATGGAGTATCTCAAAATATAAGATGATAACCATTGTAAAATAAAGTGACGTCATAATTCTCCACTAACTAATTTCAAAAAATTATTTTTGAAAATACAAAATTTGTAAAAAATTTGGGTTTCTTGCTTTCGACAAACCAAAAACAAATAAAAGTAAAACAACAAGACTCCGCGTGACACTACGCTCACACACTCGCGGCATTTTTTTTATTTTCAAACGAGGACTTTTTAGTTTTTATTATTTTGCTCCCAAAAAAGATCTGGAGTGAGTTTTTTTAAAGTTTTTTCTCTGCAGATGTGTTCAAAATAGTTAGAAAAAATTAATTTTTTTCCTGTTTTGAACAGTAGCTGAAAATTTGTCTATTTCTTTAACTATTTTTGATCTTTTTTGAAGAAAATCCACCCGAATTTGTTTTACCTTCTGAAATCAGTATTTTCTATTTCTTGAACCCAAAATCCGCATTTTCAAGAACTTCGAAAAATATAAGTTTTCATTTTAAATGAATATAATCGAATGAATTGCTCTTCTCACTAAAAATCTCTCAATTTCTCGCAATATTTTGTCACTCAATACACTGATCTCTTCAATACGTCTTACAACGATATCTGTTTCTCAATATCTCGAAATCTCTCATTTCTGTGTGCTCTCTCGAATTTGCGAAACTTTTTTGCATGATTATGAATGAAAAGAGCTCCAGCCGTTTGGCACTTTTTGAGTGCACTTCATTTTCACAGGTTTTTATTAAGGATATGCTAATTAATTTATGTGTTATGGGTGGACATTGCTAATTCAGATGTCAAGTACCCAATTGTTGAATGCTTGTTCTTAATTTTACTTGGTTTTTGGATTAAAAATAATTGTTTTAAAATTTTTATAATTTTTATTAAAAATTTCAAATCTCAAAAAACTTCATTTTCATGTTTGATTTACGCTTGAATTTAAATAGAATCAATTGTTTTTGAATCTAAATTTTGAATAAATTCACAATTTCATTAAAAATTTCAAAATCTTTCAAAGAACGCTCATTAAATTCAAATTTTCAATTTTCCAGGTGAAAAGTTTTTCATTCTTCTTTCTTTCACCTTCTTCTTCTTCATCTTCTTCTACTTTTTTCGTTCATTTTAAATTTGCATGCCAACCACCATTCCATTCATTTCACATTTTCTTTCTTTTTCCTCTTTTTCTTTTCATTACACCCAAGCAACACCCAAAAAAACCAATTTTCCCACGTTTTAAAATATATTATTCGATTAGTCACCGGACCTTTTTATTAGTTTTTTTTGGTTGGTTTTTTGTTGGTTGGAGAGGTTTGATAATTGATTTTTGCGTGTTGATTTTGTAACTTTTTTTCATTTTCTGAATTACAATGTTTCGAAAAAATTTTCTCCCTGTAAATCTTCTCTCTGTTTAAAACTACCCTAAAAGTGCACTAGGGCAGTTCCGCATTGCTGTTTCTAAGCCTCTAGTGATAAGGTTCCTAATGATCATAAATGGAACGCTAAGGTCTTAACGAACATCATCATTTTGTGAATTTTTATTGCACTAAAAATTCTAGGCTTCAAAAAATTGATCTCGTCAGTTTCTTAACTTTTGTTGGTCAGAACAACAAATGTTTTTTTTTTGAAAAAAAAACAAAGTTCCGTTCTTTCTCTCAAATTCCAACCAATATCTTGTTTTCTTAAAATTTTGAAAAATTGCTCCGTTTTTCATTGGTTTTGATATGTTTTCTTTGAAGGCCGAGAGTATTTTACAAGCTTCCAAAAAAAAAGTCGCTTTAGTCTGAACTATCTAAATTCTAATTCTATATCTAAAAATTTCTAAATTTCTGGTACTGAAAATTAATTTTGGAATCTGAAACTTTTAAATTTTTAGAATCTTCGGAATTCAAAACTTCAAAAAAGCCCCCCTTCTCTTCATTTTTTCTAAATATTTCCACAATGTTTTCTTCGGTTCATCCTCAAAGTATCTACTGAACCTCAAGCTAATTAACCCGCCATAAAAAGCAGCCGGGTGTACAAAACAAAGAAACATATTAAACAAATAAATGAGTGAATCCTCCCAATATTTTTCTGGGCCAATGCTTTAAAAATGACATTTGGTCTAATCCTTCGCGCATCCTTTTTTTGATTGTAAATTTCTTTGCGGGTTTATTATTCTTGTTATTATTATTTTTTCTCCGCTTTGACTTCCAAAAAAATAACGTGACAAGGTCAAATGACACCTGCGTGAAACACCAACACCTGCATAACATGATCTTTCTAGAAGAAAAACGGGCATAAATCAATTAATGGATGTAATTAAGGCGGAAATTGCATAAATTCCCGTATTGTTCCTCTTTTTACGACCGTAGGAAGCGGAGATATAGGTGTGTTTTTTTGAAAAAGAAAAAACGCCTTATGATTTTTTTTGAATATTGATGAGAGAGGCATAAATAACATATACAATTTGAAATAATCTTTATTTGATTAGAAAAATGTTTAATGGGTGTGACGATGATTTGGCTTAAGGCAAATGTGAAATGAAATTTTCACGCCTATTATTTTCATAGTAAAATAATATTTTGAATAAGTTTCTTAAAAAATTCCCAAATAAACATATAAATTGTGTCATTTTTCGCACATTTCGCAACACCTATCTCTTTCCCATATCAATATGTCTAACAAGCGAGATGTCCGTCACAAAGTTTTCTATACCTATATAAACACCTTTCCTATGTCTTATTTTGTTCTTCCGAGAACATATACTAAAATTGGAACAATACAGAGAAGATTAGCATGGCCCCTGCGCAAGGATGACACGCAAATTCGTGAAGCGTTCCAAATTTTTTGACTAATTTCATGTTTTGAAAAAAATCAAAATCTGGTTTTTAGAAAATCATAAAGTTATTGTTTTCCCTCAAAACCTCATCAATCACATTTCTATACATTTCTTAAATTTAGCGCAAAAGGTGTTAGCTTCAACAACTACGAAATTCTTTCTTATAAATGATTCATTTGGTTGTGTTCAGTATGTTTTCACTAGCGTCCATTGTTTCTAGTAGTAGTAGTACGGACACGAAAACAACAAAATACTATTACTTTTTTCTGATGTTTTTTC